TAGAAGGGAAAAAGGTGCAATGCCCTTGCCGGGACTCGAACCTGGACCTCTGGAATGTGCACCCCGAGTGTACTACCGTTACACTACGAAGGCATGCAGAAAGGGGGGATAAAATACCTTATAATATCATGATGCAAGAAAAATTAAACACAAGTCTTGTTCAAAACACATGTTTGAGCTAAGTTTCGGAATTTAAAAATCATTCGAGAGAAATATCCTAGAACTAAATTTGTTACCGAACCAACTTTAATGACTTCTCCCTCCCGTTACCTTTTTGTTATCTTAAAGTTATTTATGTGAAACTATTTGTATTATGATTATGATGTATGCTGCATATTATAGAGATAAATGCTAGAGGGCTGATGAAGATAACCATTCTTTTAAAAGGGGTCGATGCAAGAAAAAGTTTGGAATCCCTGATCTAGAATTTTTGAGGATTCTGGTACATTTAATATGCATAAGCCAGTTTTCAGAATGAAATCCTTCTTTTGTTTGCCTTTCCGTGAATATTACTTTGACATCACTCAAAATTAAATAATGTGTTAAAAATTACTTTCTCATAGTTATTAAAACAAATATTTTATTTTAATATAATATACACTGCTCAAACCAATAAGCGAATATTGTGAGTTCGGCAAGAAATAACCATACAAACGACAGCTTTTTTTAAAAAATTAAATAGAAGAGGTTAAAAAGAAAAACTGTAACTTTGAGAATGCTGGAAATAAGCAATTTTTGTCTATGACATCGAAAACTACATGGCTTAGATAAGAATTGAAAAGACTTGTAGCTTTCCTTTTGTAGGAGGAGTTTAAAAAATCTGATGTAGACACCACATGAGTAATAGATTTAAACTGATGATCTATAATTTAAACGTATTTCCTCAAATTTCATCAGAGATATATTTCTCAGTCAATTAATTATAGTCTTACTTCGCGGCAAGGCAAAAACACATGGGTGTGCTAAGTTTCGGAATTTAAAAATCATTCGAGAGAAATATCTATATTTAAACTTGAAACATCCCTATTAAAAATTGTAAAATACAGGAAAACAGAAAACACTAAATGCAGTTAAAACAGTTGAAAAAAAAATGTTACAGTTAAAATTGCAGTTTATACGCAAAAATAAGCAATTCTGCCAGCAGGTATGAAGGTACATTTTTCGGTGCACAAAACTGAAAGTTTACTTTTCGTTTCACTCGGCAAAAAGACACTGAAGGTGCAGAAACTGACTAAATTCACTACTCTCTTAAAGAGTTCCAAATGTAACAAAATGGCGGATACGTTAGGCTTAGTCACACTAAAACAACTTTTAAATTGTTGATAATTCTACTACTATAGCATGCAGATTAACTACTTAACTGGAACATAAGAACAATAAAATTCAATCACTTTTAAAGCAAAAAAATGCACAATTTACCATCATATAAAAATAAAATAACTGATCTCACGGAGACGGGTAACAGAGTGAATATATATATATAAAGTAAGAAAATTTAGAACTAATATTTCACAAAGACCAGAAATGGAAATTCATAATTAATAAATTTCAAATAATTATAGAAATGCAATAATAAATTTAAAAATTTTAAAACAAAAACATTTCAAATTTCCAGAAAAATGAACAACTGTTTTTGTTCATTTTTCTTTTAATTTCACAATTTTTGAAGAGGGGTTTTGCTTGTTTGAAATGCTTTGGTTTTAAAAATTTTTAATTTATTATTGCACTTCTATGATTATTTGAAATTTATTAAATTATGAATTTCAATTTCTGGTCTTTCTGAAATATTAGTTCTAAATTTCTTACTTTATGTCTTTTATGATAATTTTTTCTGCAGTTTAATGCGCGAAAATAACTAGGCATGTTTGCGCTTTGTTTTCAAAATAATTATTTTGTGTGTGTGTATATATATATACTTTTGGTGCGACCGATTGCAACCAAAATGGGAGATGTATAACCACATCTTATAGCACTCCCATGTACAAAATTTCACCTTTTAGAGACTACTTGTTTTTGAGTTATGCGAGATACATACATAAAGACCTCGTGAAAAAGTCTCTTCTGAATCCATTTTAAATCCATTTTACAATCCTTTCTGGGAAAAAGTGTCCTTTTTTCTGTCCCTACGAACAGATGTCACGCAAAAACATCGCTCATATGGATTCAAAATGGATATTTTCGTTGAAATCTGATACATGACATTTTTCGAAATTACAGTACAGTCAAAAGTCGTTAATTCGGACACCCATAATCTGGAATGATCTATAATCCGGACCTCAAAGCTAAAAACTTTCTGCGCATGCGCCGCGTTGACGCATGCGCATAGGTGTTTACGCGTGCACGTAAGACCTTTACGACTGCACAGATGGGTGTGCGCAAGCGCAGAATACGTTTTCGCGTGCGCGTTTAATGCATAACGGACGGTATAAGCTAAAATTATCTAATTATCTATTTCAGTTAATGTTAATGATTGCGTTGTTCCTTAATCTTCGAATTGGATCCGGCTTATTATTTTATGCAGACTGTAAGAGCAATTTCATAAAAGTAAGCTTGAACTTTCGATTATGTCAAATAGAATTTCCGATGCTGGAGCTCGCAAAGGATCTATAAAACGAAAGTATGTTTCGATGTCCATCAAACAAAAAGTGGAATTGCTGCAAAAAATGGATAATAAGGCATATCCTTTGTTATCTAACCGTTCCGAAATCTGTTTATCAATTTCACGCTGCTCTGTGCGGTGGGTGGGGGGGGGGGGGGAGCGTCGCGGCGCGCAATGAACTGGAAGTTGATCTGCCAGCACTATCGTTATCTTCAGGGCAGATGTTTTTATTTTATTGAGCTTATAATTCCTTACTAAATGTAGTATTTCATCTCGATGTACTCCGTCTTTGATATGATTTAAATCAAATTCCTCGTCATTATAAATATCACGAATACAAATCAAATAGTTTTCTGGTTGCAATTTTCTAATTTCGGCTATGCGAAATGTATGCTTTACGCATGCGCGCGTTGAAAGATATGTTTAATAAAGTAAACAAATAAATATTAAGCTTTTTTTTTTTTTGTAAATTTTGATACCCTTTAGATCATAATTGCTCGTTATTTTATAAATTACGGTTTCATATTTTTAATTTTATAATTTCTGCATGCCATCTTACCAGATTTAAACTGATGATCTATAATCCGGAAAAATCGATAATCCGAAATCGCCGAAATCCCGACGAGTCCGGATTAAAGACTTTTGACTGTACTTCCTTTATTTCGTACAAAGAAGTAAAAAACTGACATGTTTTAATGTTTTGTAACAGTGAATGCGATGTCTCAGCAAGATGACTCAACTGAATAGGTAGCCTGAAGGGCCATCGATCATGTAGAGGACGGTCAAACCAAAGCCGCCTGAAATACAGCCTGTTATCTACAGGGGGATTTGGTCAAACGCGATCTGTTGCAGACAAAACGTTAATAGTTTTTCAAAGTATCATTTCCTAAAGCGAATTCTATTTCTGATCAAGAGACTGTCACCGTAGCAGAGGTAATGAGGGAGGATTGGATTTCCAGGTTCCGAGAACCTGTTCATTCCGATGAATTAGGAAATTACATTCCGATGAATTAAGAAACTACATTCCGATGAATTAAGAAATTGTTACTCGGATGTAATTAAAGAAATCGGCAAGCTACTTGGCATCGACAAAACACAAACGACACCTTTACATCCTCAATCAGACGGCTTGGTAGAGCCGTTTAATTAAAACAACCTTAATAAACTCACTCTGAAACTCACTCTGTTTCCGAAACCGAAAGCACTGGGACAAGAAATTTACTGGCTTACTGCAGTGCTGTCCACGAGACTACTGGCTATTCCCCATCCCAGATGCTTTTCGGTCTTGACCCTCGTCTGCCTTGTGATCTCTTATTTGGTCGCTCTACGGATGCACCTAAAAAGTGCCTACGGATGCCAAGTGAGCTTGGCAACGGAGAAGATTAAGACAGGATAGTACACAAGAGCTACAGGACGTGCACTCAACGAAGGTGATAAAGTGCGATTATGGAATCTGATTTGAATCAGTTTAGAACCACAGTAAACTGAAATTAAATAAACCAGAACCACAGTACACTGAAATTCCACTCCCAAATTCTATTATAAACCTATCTTTTGTAGTTACTTAAAGCTAAAAATATAGAAATACTTAAGAAGGAGGCAATAGTACTTATTGTGATATGTTTTAATAATGCAATTTATATACCTATATATTTCTTTAATTTAAAGTATGGTTGTAATTCTCTCTGAGTTTCAGAAATGGTCTAACTTTAATGCCAACAATATGTCTATGTCATGTTCATGATATGTCTTTCTGAAAAATCCCGTAAATTTATTAACAAGAGGAGTTATTAATAACACAATATGCTATACCTCACATGCTTTCCATTGAAAGTCTTAAATCCAGAATTAGGGTTTTCAAATAATGAGCAAGAAATATGATATATACTTACGTAAATAAGGTTAGATGCAAAGATACGCTTTTTTAATCTACTCTTAACATTTTGTAGTATATGTATACTTAATTCAGGGTTTTTAGATCCTTTTAAGCACATTAAGATGCACAACAATTATTATCTTTTTTTTTTTTTTTTTATTATTATACGCTATTTCACTTAAATTCTCTTTTATACTACGGGAAAACGATAGACCCCCTAGTTCTTCAGGGTTCGGTTGAAACTCGTCTTCAGCAGCTTATAAACTAGTAAATCAATTGAACTGTTCCTCTTAACACTATTAGGAACTACAATCAGTAAACATTTAAATTGCTGCATTAAAGTTTATTTTCCGGGTAACAGATAATTCCATCGCATCTAAATTTAGTTCATTTCAAATCCTTAAAACTGAGAATAAACTCTTTTAAGTCTTTCTCTCCCCTTTCATTTTTTTGTTACTTCAGTGTGAAGTAGGTGTGGCCGTTATCCTATTTTAAAAGGCGATACGTACAAAGAGGAAATGAAGAAATGAGTGGATAAAAACCCAATTGAATGTGACGGCACTTGGCTTGTTGAAAGCCGACGGTAGTGACGCAGGAATGTGGCTGTCAGCCTATTGATTTACTTCTGAATGCCGTTACCTCCTCTTTAGTTTTTTAAACTAGTGTAAACATGTCTGATGGTATGTTGAAAAATTAAGTATTCGTCTCGATTCTGTGTAAATTATACTGCATTCTCGAACCTTTAGATATTGAAATTTAATTAATGTTTATCTATTAAAATCCATGTGTTTTGGGTCTATTATATATTTTGCAAAACCGCCCGTTTCTATTACATACTTTACCATAAATTTATAGCAGTAAACTGAAGTCAGTGTGTAATTAATGTATGTAACATGAAATCAGTGAATAGCATATTCTGAAGTAATAGTTATTTCATGGAATATAACATAGTTAAATTGGGAATTTTAAGTTCATTTAATATTATGTTAACATTGTGTTTGAATGGAGTTATATTAATTGCATTTATTCCAGCTCTAAAACATACTTAGGCATTTGAATCTGCTTTTAAATTTTAATACTACTACACAGAAGTAGCATGCAATAATTGTTTATTCACATATGCATACTGTACAAGAATATTTACTACCCAGTAGTCATAATAATTTACCTTTCATTTAGTAATTATACAGTATGATTTATTTCCTTTTTATGAATTATATTTTGTTCATTATTTTAGATTACATAATAGTTACCGAATGCATTAATTATTATATATTTACAATATATTGACACTGAGTTGAAATTAAAGTTTTGAGTGTTTAAAATATTCTCAAACACTTTTTCAGAAAAAGCAAAACTGGAACGGCATTTAACTCTTCTTCGAGGTGAATATGTCAAACTTCAAGCTAGATTAGCAGAATCGGAAAAAAATTACAGCATTGCAGCTGCTCAGATTGGAAATACGAGTGGAGATTCTTTTATTGTTAGGCTTCTAAAAACAGTAGCTGATCTTTTTGATAAAGAATTATATAGGTATAAATTTTGAACTAATGTTTATATAATAAAATATATAACATGTTTGTGTTACAATTGGTGATGCATTATAAATGTTATTATTTTCATTTTATATTTAATTTAGTCTGAAATAAAAATTTTAATTGTATAAAATATTTTATTATTTTACATAATTTTAATCATTTCCTTTTTTCTGTTGTTTGTACATATGCTTCTTTGCTGACCATGAAAATTTAGTTTTAATTACTTAAGGTATTAAATACCTGTGTAACTTAATTCAAATTATGAAACATTACAATAAATAGTTAAAAAAATATTAGTTTGTATCAAAGATAAAATATTTCATTGATATATGTTAGTGTGATGTAACATATGTGTGAGTTATTCTAATTACAAATGAATGTAAAATATTGCCTAAGAAATCTTTGTGATAAGTATGATCACATTTTTTGTCATTTTTAAGTTTTGTTAATGATATATTGACAAGAAATAATATAATCATGTCAGAGATTAGACCAATGTCTTTCAACTTTAATAGAGATACATTCAGTAAAATTTTTTGCTCCATTTTCTTGAGTAGAATTATTTTTTATACGAGAGTGCCATGTATTTTATGGTAATATTTTGTGTACCACTGTTTTATGTTATTTTGATGCATATTATTTAATTTAAATGATTTCATGGCTAATCTTTGGAATATGGTAACAGGTAGTTTGGCGACATTTTGGTAAGGCGATAAAGGTTACTAGCTAGGACTCTAGCAGTGTACATGGATAAAGTCAAGAGTGTGCGCAATGCCATTTTTGTGCGATTCTGGGATGTTTTTTTAAGTGAAAATAGGTCGACGTGTACATGGATGATACCGTGTATGTGCAATTCTTAAAAACGCGGCACGCAGTGGGCGATTCTGCACTTTCTCCCAATTTCGCACTTAATCTTCGTCATGATTAAGCATTTTTATTCCATAAAGTTCTAGTATAAGCGTAATTTGGCTAGCAGATTGTTGGAAAAAATGTTGAGTTAAAAAAAAAAAAAAAAAATGCCTTTACTTCGTGAAAACAAAATGGCGTCCAAAACAAAACTAGCAAGTTTTTCGCCAAAAAATCGCCAAGTTACCATAATCCGAAGATTAATCGATTTCATATTTTATCAGTATAAACTCTTTATTTTATTTCAACAAGGTTAAATATAAGTTAATAGGGAAAAATGAATGATTGATATAAAATTTATTAAATGTGTTTTGACATAAATTATACTTTCTGATTGATTAATATCAAAGGATTTTTATTGCTTGCATAATCAGAAAGAATTATCTTGCTTCAAATGAAAGGCCGAGTAAAATTTTTATTCTCTTTTAATTTTAAAATAGTTAAAAAACTACTGAGTGTAGCACAGTATCTATAAATCTGTGCAAATTGTAAATTACCCTTGTTTTAATACGACAGATATCTACTTCTGTCAGAAAATACAGTTAGTAATTTTATGGTTGTTTTAAAGTTTTTAATTCTGCTTGAATTTTTTTTTTTTTTTTTCAACTTAATCCTTCAACAGTTCTGAGATTAAGCAAGTCTTTCTGCCCCAAATATGTGCAATATCTGTCAATTGTAAATTTGTAATGCAAGCTGTGTTCATTTGCACCCAATGTAGTGTGTAACTGGAATGCGAGTTGAGTACATAGATGACCATCAAAAGTTTAAACAGGTTTTACATTTTTGAAGCAAAAGTGAATATTTTACAAAATTATTAAATCTAGGATTTATTAAATTCTTTTTTACAAACTGCAATTTTTGATTGAATTAATTAATCAAATGAAATTGTTTCATTTCAAGTAAAGATTGCAGTAAAACGTATCTTCTTTAATTAGTTTTAATTTTCGAGTTTGAAATAATCAACATTGTTATTAATAATTAACTGTTATTGATATTATGCCAAATTTGTTAATATTGTGCTGTTAATGCAGAAGAGTGTCAATAAACCTGTCCATAAGAATTAAATTTATTAAGATAGAAGCTACTACATTTTAAAAGTATAAGGAGGAATTTTATGTGTATCTCTAAAAAGCAAATTCTGAGATTTAGTTTGTACATCTAATGATTTCTTGTATTTAAACTTAAGTAATGCTGGGAAAATAAAATAATTTTTTTAACTTGCATGTAATAACTAAAAGACAAAAATTTTAGTTTTAGTATTAGAGATGTGATAAATCCTAAATTTTTTTTTTCAAATCCAAGTCCTAAAAGGTTCTTGAATATTTTTTATGTCGAATCTCTTATTTCCTTCATGCAGAATATAAAAAAAAAGAAAAGGCTTAATAAAAGTTATTAATTAAAGGAAATTTCGAAATCTATGCATTATAAAAAACAAATTTAAAAATACACCTATATTAATGAAACTATTACAAATGAAAGTTAGTAATGAAGTTTTTGATTAAAACTCTTAAAACTTGTTCTACATTCACAAAATGAACAAATTTTCTTGTTCAAAGAGGAAAATTCTTTGAATAATAGTTCAGATTTTTTACATATTCCAAAAAATCCTTTAAAATTAAAGCAAATGTAAAGGAGAAAAGATTCTTTTAGGAGTTAAAAACAGGAAACTCTAAACATGGAATATTAAATTCTGCCTAGAAAATTAACTTTGCACTCACCCTTAGAGGATATGGGTGACATGAGTCCATTGGTATTTCATTAATTGTGTTCTTTTAATGAATGCTTCTAATGACCTTAACCAGTCTTTTTAAAGCTTTTAACACACACAAAGTAATTTTTTTTTTTTTTTTAAGTTGGAAAGATTTAAATGAAAAAAAAAATGCTAAAATTAAGGTGGTGCCCTAATATCACCAAATTTGGCGATATGTTTTCTGCGCTGGTTTTTGGCACGATTGCATGTTGTATGGCAACTCGAGTGGTTTAATTGTTTGTTGGTTCGTGTTGTGCGTGTTTTGAAATGGCCTATGTTGCGATGATAGACGTGGTGGCAAGATTTCAGTCGCGTATTTTAGATTGTGTGGAAAGTAAATTTAGTATTAAAAGGTACAATGTTGGAGTTGTTAACAAGTCTTTTGTTCACGGGTGTGTTTATGAGGATGGAAGTGTATTTTTGGAATCTCTGTGGGACTTTTAAAAATGGAGTACGAAATGCGCAGCTGCTCTGAGATCTCGGACGAAGAAGGGCATATCTGATAGTTCTTGTGTAGATTTGCAGTTAAATGATTGCTGGTAAAGTATGTGGCTGTCAGCGGAGTTTAAGATTTGGATTGTGGTTTTGGCATAGTAAGTTAACTTTGGAGGAAGTTTTTATTGTTACTTTCGAAATTATGAATCTCGGAAAGACATGTGATATAGCAAAATCGGGGCACTTTTGTTGAGAGACGTTGTGCGACTGGCAAAATTTTATTCAGGAATGTATTATGGTAAATCCATTTTATTTTAGCGTTTTTATTTTGTAGAATGTTATGTTCATTGTTTTTTTACTATGAATTTCTGTTTTTGTTGTTTTTTTGAATTGCAATTCAGTTTATTTGATTGATTTGTGTGCAATGCCTAGATTGTGCAATTTGTAGATGTTTTTGTAAGTTTAAACAGAATGCTGTGTATATGGTATTCTTTGAAATTTATTGTTGTTATGTTAGTTTATTAAAGCGAGGTGCAGGGCTGTGGAGTCGGAATCGGTGTCGGGTAGATTTTTGGGTAAAGGAGTCGGAGTTGGAGTCTCTAAAAAACACGTTGACTCCAACTCCAGTTTTTGTTGAACAGTTTGAATTTGAAATGAAATTAAAGTGAATTGAAAAAAATTAATGATAAACTGAGTTAATATTTTTATTTATATATACATTAATAAACAGTTATTTTCTATTTTATTGACATATTAGTAAATAAATATAAGGGAGCAGGATGGATGTGATAGTTGCCATTATTGATTAAAATGATTCATTTAGTTACTAATCTCATTGGTGAGTTGAGTAAGCAGCAAGAACTCCCAAAATTGATGCCATTCTTAGAAAGCGAGCAGGAAAAGGAGCAATGCAATGGAGAAGTACATATTTGATGATATAGTGGTTGATAGGATTAAGAACTTTTTCAGAAGATGTAAATAACTCTAATATTTCACTTACAGAAAGACTGTGGAATGATCTTGCAGAACTGAAAATCCTTCTTTCAACACCGTATATAGCCACCAAAAAGCTACAATCTGAAGAATTAACAAGAGACAAGACTGGAAGAATGTGATGTTTGTTCTTTCTGAAATGGTGGGTTTATTGCAGAAGGAATAATTTCTTCAATGAAGAAAAGAGAAACTAGTTTGCTAGGCAATAAGATTGCACTGGGTGCAATATATGAAGAAACAAAACACCGAATTTTGTTTTTGTTGGATGACAAACAAATTAAAAAGGCAAAGAAAGCCATATATGAACTTTCATTAAGAATGAAATTATTCTCAGAACTACTGGAGTCTTCAAATCAGGATAGTCAAACTGCAGATATTGCAACCTAGTCTCTCTATCATCTTGTTCCACTGTTAACTATCTGAAATGTGTCATTTTATCAGATGAGGCCATTGAATGGTAGTGTAAACTGACACAGTGCTAGAATCTAGGTGTATCTGGGGGTGCGAGAATCCCTGTTTTGTGTTTGAGACTGTCAGAGACAGCCCTAAGCTGAACATATGGTGCAATCTTATGGACAATAAAATCATAGAATGTTTTTTCTTCAGTGAAAAGAAGATCACATTCAATATCTATCTTAATATGTTCTAGTTATTTGTTATGCCACAGTTTCAGGACATTCTAGACTTAATTTTACAACAAGCTGATGCGTCACCTCATTGGGGGTTAGAAGTCCATGCCTATTTGGATTCAACATTTCCGAGAAGACGGCTCGGCTGTGATGATCTGATAAACTGGCCGGACATAAAACCACTGGATTTCTTCCTTTGGGTGTATGATCAAGTAACCAGGTTTATTAGACGCTGGTGAACAACATGGCAGCATGCAGAATTACTTAAGTCATAACATCCATAACTCATGTAATGTTGACTGACACATAGATGGAATTGGAATATCGTCTGGAAATCTTTCGGGCAATGAAAGAATCATATGTAGAAGTTTATTATGAATATTTGTAATCAGGGAAAGAATTCTGGGACACTCTGTATAATTGTAGATGGACCTTTACGGAATTTGATCACATAGCTATCATACCTTTTGGTGTATGTTTAAAAGTTTTAATTTAAGTATGAAGTTTTTAAGTATGGTGTTATTCATTTGATAATTCTAAAAATCAGATTGCAAAATTTCTCATTTTTAGCTACATACACGTGATTGAAAAGGAGTAATGTTGCTTTAAAGGTGGGGAAGGCTTCGTGACTAGTAAGAGAATATTCTTTCATGCCACTCTATCGGGTTTTAAATTTTTCCTTCTTTTCATTTTTTTTAAAAATCTATGATTGGCTTAGTGGATAAGATCACTGAAAGCCTGTAGTTTGTTCTAGAATAATTCTTGAGGTTTTTGAAGTTTCTGTCATATGAATAAGGCTATTCTTAGGAAATGAAATGCATTCTTCTGAAGCAGATAGTTCTTATGTTCTTTATTGTGATAAGTATCTAACTCAACATCTCCTAATATGTTCTTGAGCACTTTCTATAAGTATTCTGATAAGTAAGATAACATAATCTAATTTTTATATAGGTAAACTAACCTTGATGCTAAAATTGACACAAAATATAATGTACATAAAGGTATTTAAAAGCGCTACTTTTAATAACAGATTATAAGAACGCTTATTATGTTTCTCTTTTCTGATGGTTTTTAAATATTTCTTACAGTTTCCAGTCTTTTTTTTTTTTCTCCTGTATAATATTTTTTCCCTTACTGAATGTTTATAAACCTCTAATAGTCTATAGATTACATTTTGAAAAATAAAGCATATAGCTATTGTGTATGTATTTGAAAAATACTGTGTGTGACTAATAGCAAAAGCATCCATGATTATGAAATACTAATGGTGAGAATTATTGTAATTTATGAAGGCAGTTGTTATATTTCTCTCCTTCAGTCTTGATTGTGTGAATTTTATGATGTAGTAAGGCCTATCCTTTTTATTTGTGAAGAATTAATTTTTATCCTTTTTCTGTATGTTGAAGAATATTTAATTCACCATTCATTCATTTTTTGTATGCAAAGTCAGTGTAAAAGTTTTTACAGTGGCATATTACTGTCATAATAATTGGCATAATCAAGGGAAAAATAGGAAATAGGATGTTTTAAAAAGTGAAGAATCATGTCTTATGTGTTGGAAGTATTTAAGGAGAGTGTAAAATAGTCTTATAATTTTGAGTACTCATATTCTTTCTACTTTTAATAACTTCATATGTTTGAGAAAAAAGCATTATTTGATGCCGAGTTAATTTTTGATTAAAGCATGAACTGTCATCATGAGTTAAAAATCTGTCTTGGAAAAATTTCAACCAGCTTTTTATGGTTTGATATATTACTATTAAAAACCTTACATGAAAATAAAAAAAAGGTAAATTTTAAATCAGAGTTTGAGATATATCTTTATTATGTATTTTCTTAAAATTTTGATCAGATATTATTAGCACTTTATATGTGTAACTTTATAAATTTACTAAAGTTTCTAAATTTTTATTTTTTGTTCTAGCGATTTAAGAGTAGAGCTCAATGGACGTAGTATAAGAGCCCACAAATTTGTTCTTTCTGCTCGAAGTAATAACTGGGGTGTACCAGATCTTGCTGATGTTGATTATTTAGATTTAACAGGTTTTGTATGATCTCTTTTTGTCCCAATTTAGCTGTTGGGGCTAATTCATGATTTTAATTAATAGTCCATACTGAATTTTAAAATGTATTTCTTAAAAGAAATTTTTATTAAATTGAATGTATGATGATGATAATTATTATGAAATTAGGTTCATTAATGTTTAAATTTTTATGCTCATAATATGTGCAGTCTGTGTGTTTTTAATGTTACCCTCAACTTTTGACCACATTTTCAAAATATTTTCAGTAACAAATAATTAAATATATGTTGTTTTATATATTACATGTGCAATGTTTGTCTGTGTTTATATATATTAAATAAAGTACTGTATAATTTATAGCACATAAAATTTTATGTAGTTAATTCAAACATTGATCTGTATTTTATTAACCTGTGAGTGATGATAAAATCCTCATTTGATTTTTTTTTTTTTTTATTGCAGACATACCTCAAGATATAGGGCTTACTTTACTTAAATGGGTGTATACGGATGAATTGGATTTGAACAAACCTGATAATTTTTTCCTAGATCTTATGAGGTTTGCTAAGAGATTTGAATTAAAAAGTTTGGTTGACAGGTAAGTTTAAATTCTGCATCTTAAATATCATTATTTTACATTTCTTTTGAAATTCATTTAAAATTTATTTGCTTTTTAGGCAAGGTGCTCTCCTGTTTTAATGGTGTCCAGTTTTCAGTTAGTTTTACATTATGAATTTGCTATAAAGTTCATATAATTCCTGAAATTGCCCAATTTTTTTTAAAGGTTTATTTCTTAAGGAATGTAGAATTTTATTCTTGATGAAACTAGATATGTAGTAAATGCTTAATATTCTTTCATTGAAGAAGGAAAAATACTTATTTATTATCCCATTGATGGTTAAATCATTGCATTTAAAGCAGTGCAGTATTTAGTGCCACTGATATGGATAAGTGTGGCATCACAACACACTCGCAATATGTCACTTTTGTTAGATGTAAACCCAATTCATTCTTGATAAGGCGCGTTTTATTTCTGCGGAAAGTATATAAGTTATATTGATTTATTTTTCTAATACATTAAAAAAAAATATTAAAATTTGGGATGTGCCTTCTACAGAATGTGCCCTTTATTTTTAAAGTTATGGGATCTTACTCAGGCCCATTCCTAGCAGGGATGTAGCACGTAAAAGTATGGTGGCAAAAATCGGGGGGGGGGGGGGGGAGCCAGACTGTCGCGATACCATGACTGAATATTTAAAATTCATTAAATTCATTGTAAGTACTTGTCATATCTAAGTATTTTTTTTACAATTTGTTATATGTAAGTACTTAGTGAGTATGAAATAAAAATTATATTAATCATTTAAATTTTTTGTTTTAAATTTTGGGGGCGGCAATCCTAGAAAAGTACGCAGTCATGCCAATCCTACGAGTGGCAATTCTAGGGAAGTACATGGGCAGCCAGTGGCTTAGGAACGGTCCTGATCCTATCATCAACAAAAGTATGCATTTAATGGACGTGATATCTTCATCTGATGTAGTGTGGTGTATTTAATTATGGCAAAGCACACGAGGGCTATCTGCCTAAAGGGAGGGATGCCTTCGTGGAGGACTTTCTAAGGGAAACTGGCTGGTAAATCGTTACACATGGGGAAAACCACGAAAACGCCCATGCAGCCAGCCCGTTCGCGGGATTCGAACCTCGGACCGAACTACCAGTGTTCAGCGACTTTACCGCTCGGCCGCTTTCATCTGAATATCGCTGACAAAACAATAATAGATTGGAACAGTTACCTAAGAAAATTTGTACTCTTAGTGTTCTAAACAGAGCTTTCATTAAAATTAGAGTGCCTTGCAGTACAGAAGAAATCAAACAAAAACATCTTTATGAAGTGCAAAAACGAAAATGGGTTGAATACTGATTGTTTATTAAATAAAGATTTCTCAGCTCCTTCAGAATTTGGCAGCAATGATTGGTCACTTTCACAGTCGACAGGATTAAGAAAGATGGGGAAAGATAATTAAAGGGTGAAAATTTATGATGTATTATAGGTAAAACACATTTAAGCTATGATCTGGAATTGATCCAACTTATGAAGTTCATTCTTTAATTGGAAAGAGGAAGTGGGTTTGGTACTCTTGTTATCAGGACTTGAATTCAGAAATGTATTCTATGTATGCATTTATGTATGGATGTATGTGTTAATGTATGCATATGTTAGTGTGCATATATGTGTATGTGTATACAGATGCTCATATATGCTTATTATACAGACATACAAACATTTCTGAATCTGGCCCCAATAACAGAATGAGGCTGTACAACCGATAAAGACTTGGTGTCTTTTTTTTTTGTTGTTGTTGTTTTGTTTAGTTTGGATTGGTGTATTTCCTCACTTTCAGGCTGAAACCAAAATTGTTATGGAGCCTTTTTTCCTGTTGGGAAGATATAGGTATCTGAACATGAACATGGTTTGTTAGATCATGTTTTTCTTTTGTTACTGCTTAGCTATTCAGTTATGTATATCATTGGGAGTTAATCAAAGCTTGCTTCCAATGAATCATAGCAAGATTTCTGGAATAGTTACATAAGAGAGGCATGAGCCAATTGTTATCTTAACATTAAAATTGATGAATGAAACGAAATTGTGGAGGATGATGAAAACTATATGATATGATGTTTTTGGAGATGTGCCTGCAATTAAATAATACAGAATTGCTATTGTTCCGCATTGTTTTGTTTTATCTAGTATTGAACCAAAGACATGGGGGAAGAAATAAGCCATAATGTGTTCGTATGGTGGCAGGAATGCATGGTATAATTTTAATAGAAAAGTATATGTGAGACGGGTTAGTTTTATCCTATTGATAACTAGTCATGGCACTAATAATCTTGCTTAGTTCGAGAGGAACTGCATATTCGGATGTCTAGTGTATGTTCTGGTCAAGTGACCAGTGATGCAAAGCTACCATTCACGAGATTATAACTGAATGCCTCTGAATTAGAATTCCACCTAATCGCTCCAGCGATGCTGTTCAGTACATCCTCGTTCTTTTCTATGAAATGAACACTGTATACAGAGTCAAACGGTACTTGGAAATGAAACAATTATGGGATAGATTATTAAACATGTAACCTAATAGTTGAAATAAACTCTTATACTATTAATGCATAAAATATTAGAATTTATGTATAATGCATAAACAAATTTACTTTTAGGTGTGAAAATGCCTTACTTTCATCTGTTAATGTACATAATTGTGTGAAATTTTATCAAGCTGCTGATGAAATAGATGCAAAAACATTGAAAAGCCACTGTTCACAACTGATATCTAATCACTGGGTAAGTATTTATTGGCTATGAATGTCTCTCATGTAAAAAAAAAAAAAAAAAGTTAAATCCTTCACATTAAAAAAAGTTATACATCTAGTTTTTATTATAATCACTTTTTTGTATGATTTTATGTGACTGTGGTTTAGAAAAAATCTGCTTTTAAGTCATTTATTTTAATTTAGTGTGAAGCTAGTGACATCTTTTTAAAAATTTTGATTTGAATTTAACACGTTGAGTGTGGCAGAGCATTGAACTTTACGTGTGGCCGGCGCCGGTCCCTAGGGATCGGCAGTGAACTTTCCATGTGGCCGGCGTCGGTCCCTGGGGACCAGCACTGGAATTTTCGTTTTGCTGCCGCTGGTCTGCAGAACCGACAGTATTAAAGTTAAAAAATAAGTATAGTCTCAATGAAATGTGATCAAATTTAGTTTTAATGAAATGTATTGAAACATTCTAAACAAAAATACGGCTTAGCTTGCTGCTGGCTGAACGGAAAGGACAACAAATTCGGCGCTGTGTTTATCCAAAACACGTACGTCTACTAAAAAAAAAAAAAATTTCCTAAAATTTTCATAAAAAATGCTGCTTTTGTAGCTGAGTTTTTGAAATGCTTTAGGGATACATATTTTTCTCCAAACTTCTTCAAAACAAAATTGCTTTAGCATATAGCTGTATATCTTGCCATAAAAATTACTTCTCAGTAAAAATGTGAACACAATGGCTTAAAGCTATTGTTTAGAAAATTATTTAGTTATTGATCTGTCTTATGCAAACCAATGGATTCATCATTGGAAAAGGACAACATTATAATCCATTTAATAACATACTTTATGAGCATATATAATTTTTTAATACCTCTAGGTTCATAAATTAGTGGCTGTTATGTTCTACATGTAATATAATTTACTTTTTTTACTTATCAACATTTTTAAATATATGGAGTAAAAAATGCATGAATAAAAATCATGCCAAGATTTAATTAAAAAATTTTGTTTTTCGTTTAAAATATACGAAAGTTTTTTCAGAGATTAATTAGAGAAATCAAAGATTAATTTTGACATTATGCTCTTTTCTGTGAGGTTTTATTATGCTTTTTTTGGGGTGGAGGGAGGGTGTCATTTTATAAATAGGATGCACATTGACTAGTAGGCAGTTGATCAAAGGATGGAGCATGTTAATCCAGAGTAGGGGGTAATCAATGATTTAATGTGGCCCATGGCTTAATATTGTTTTTTACATGACAAAATTTTAAGTAAATCATAGTAATTAAGTAAATAATAGTAAAGTAGTTTTAAGTAAATCATAGTACTCTAATGCAAGTACGTATAGTTAAGAAGTTGTGGGTAATGACTGTCTGTAATACTACTGGTGTCACATATTCACATTCATTGCCTGGTGTTACAGTAGATTAAGCATTGCCAGTTCTATCAGTTTTGCTTAAGAGACGCACATTGTCTGTCATGTCATTGATGTTTACTAACTATAAGTGCTGTGTGGTGTTTTGTTCTCTTTATTTCATTTTATTTATCACCCATCATTGCCATGTCACTGTCACAACCAGAGAGAAAGAGCAAAGTGCACTTCAAATGTCATGCTTTTAAAGTAGGAATGGAGTGCAAATTATTTTGTCATAGAATTAACCCGCTGAGTTGCATCACTGTCTGTACCAGTCATGAAGTTTTTGTCTCTTGGTATATATTAGTTTATAAAATTATTTTAATAATATTTTAATATTATAATATTATTATATAATTATTTTAATTATTTTAATAATTTTTAATTAAATTAAATAATTTATATAATTATTTTAATATTATAATATTAATAATATAAAATATTTTGCTTTCTTACTTTCTTTAATGATGTAAATGTCATCCTAATGAATGGAAATTTATGAAAACCGAGACTAAAATAAGTAATTATACAAATTTAACTATTAAATATGGCTTCAATACAAGTCTTTATGAGCAAATCCCAAAACCAGTGCCTCTCTTCTTCTTCGTCAATGGCTCGACAGTCCTAGGTGGGCCCTGGCCTTCTCCAGAAGTCTTCTCCAAGCATCTCTACTTTTGGCAACTGTATTCCAGTTTTTAACATTCAAAATATTACGATCTTTTCCAACACAACCAATCCATCTTAGCGAGGGGGGGTCTATTTCCTATGGGCTTTGCCAGAAAGATTTTCTTGCAGCAACGATCTTCATTCATTCTAACCAGATGGCCAGCCCATTTAAGTCATGGTCTGTAATGTGATGAATTTTACAATATCAGGTTGTTTGTAAATTTCATACAGTTTGTAAATTCATCAAATTAGATCTTCTTCATGATCCATTCACTTGGAACGCGACGTAATATCTTTCATTCAAAAATTCTCAGAGCTACCTCATCGTGTAAAATCAATACCCACATCTCTAATGCATAAATCAAGACAGATCTTATAAGATTTTTGTAAAGAAGCAATTTAGTTCTTAATTAAAGAAAGCTGGATTTTAAATAACTCTTCAGAGCATTTAAACATCTATTTGTAGTAATGATTCTTTTATATATTTCTGGGACCAACACATTGTAATTATTTAGCTCCATTCCCAAATAAGTAAAACTGTTAACTTTTTCAAATTTATAATTGCCAGTTTCTAAGTGACTAGGTTCCAGTGCCTCTGAGAGGGTTAAATTGCAAAGTATTATGTTTATTATGTATTTGCATAATAGCTGTACTGAGCTAAAATCTTTATAATCTGGCCTTTACCAAAAGTTTGCTGACCTCTGATCTAGATGAATCCTTTTTTAGTGCTCCTCATTTAATCTGGCAGTTCAAATTTAATTTCATATTTATATTCTACAACTAATGTATCAGTTTTATGATCATATAATAACTATAGGATTCAGTTCCACTATCAGAGAAATAAAAAATAAATCTGAGTGCTCTAAAATAATAAATTTTAGTACTCTAAAATAATAACACATGAACTGTTGCAGAAAAAAGAATTACTTCTTATAACACTTTCATAAAGGTAATTATAGATTTTATTTTATTTAGATATTTGATATCTCATTAAAACAGATTTTAAATATTTGTATTTTAAGATATAATGAATAGAAGCATTTTCAGTAATTATGGTAATTTTACAATCTCATAATTATTTTTCTTATAATATTAAAAATAATACATTTCTTTATTGTTAATCAAAATGTTTTGTTTTCATGTAAGCTTCTATATTTTTTAGCATGACTTCACCAGTGATGATTTTGTTCATATGAGTGCATCTCTCTTGTATAAAATGTTTAAAGCAAAGACTGATTTCATTTTGCACACAGCAATCAAAATACAGAGAGAAGATGTTGTTTTTCTTTTCTTGATAGAATTTGATGCTCAGGTATGTTTAAATATATTTTTATACATACAGCACATTATATCTTTATATGTATGTAACACTTTTAAAAAGCATTGAATTTTCTAGTTTGTGACAAATTTTATTGTATTTGAGATGTGCTTAACACATTGACTGCCAACTATGACTCATATCAGCATTCTTGTCCTGGATGCTCAATACACATATACTTGCATTCGTTTACTCAATTTAAATTGTTCTCATAACTAATATGCTGTAAAAAAAAAAAAAAAAAAAAAAAAAAAGCAGATAATTTTGTAGCTTGCATGAGATTCTAACTACTAAAATAAAAATAGCCATATTTTCAAAATGCTCCAAACTCTGGTAATAATTTTTCAGTTTTAACAGCAATGTCACCGTTTTCATGTGCAGCATTCTTTCTATTTTAAGTCCAATAATTTTTTTATAAATAGATGTTGATATTTTTTATTTTGAACTACCTTGAACTACCGTATATACCCGCGTATAAGTCGATACCGCATATAAGTCGACCCCCCCTTCGACATAAAAAATTTGTAGAAAATAAGAAACCCGCGTATAAGTCGACCCCCCCACTTCCGAAATCGATGCAGAAACTTTGAAAATTTTTTTTTAAGTACTACATTTATTCAAAATCATCTGAGGAAAAAAAAATTAAATATATGATAAAAAATACCTTGGTAAATAAACATAATCAAAATCCTTCTTCTAGAATTGTTCCGGAAATTCTAGAATTCTTGAATTAAAATTCTAGAATTTGTTCCGGAAAAGATTCACGTACGTAAAATCTATCTGCATTTCCCCTTTTTAAAAGTTAAAAGAAATATTCAAAACTGTTCAGTTATTGCGTGGGCTATTTTTTAAAATTTTGACATGTACGTCTGTTAACAAAAGTATTACATGACTGAACAATAACTATTATAAAGACTTGTACGTACGTTTTATCGAAGCTTACTCTAGTTAAAGTATGAAACTCTGTGATTAGTTCGTCACATAATTTAAGTCATGAAATTACTTCAAGTAAGTGACTTATTTGATAAGTCGTCCAATTTGAATGCGGGAAGAAAACAACTGCATTATATAAAGAGATTTTTGAACTTCCGAATCTTTTAATTTTTTATGGCCCCCTGTATAAGTCGACCCCCCCCCCACTTTGAAGTCTTTTTTTTTTTTTTTGTTCAGAATATCTTGACTTATACGCAGGTATATACGGTAAATTTTGGTATATGCAGTTGCTTGTAGTAGTAGGTAGTGGTAAAATTTTTGTATGAATACAGTACAGTAATTTACCATAAAATGGTTAAAGAGAACAATTGCTTTGAAGGATTACTTGACAGATTGCCACAAAATTTCTACCTGTACGAAAGAGACAAAAATTGTATTGTAAGTAGGTTTACAGTACAAAGTCCGTAATCTGGACTCGTCGGGACTTCGGCGATTCCGGATTAGGGTTTTTTTCGGATTATAGATCATCAATTTAAATCTGGTAAGATGACATGCAGAAATTATACAACAATTAAAAATATGAAACAGTAATTTATGAAATAAAGAGCAATTATGATGTAAAGGGTATCAAAATTAACAAAACAAAAAACACTTAATATTTATTTGTTTACTTTATTAAACATTTCTTTCAATGTAAGTTGTTTAAGTTGCTTCATTTTTTGTGCCAATACTTTCTCTTTAATTCTATAAACAGACATAATTTCTTGTTCAGTTACAAAGTTCCACTGTTCAAGTCCTGTAATTGCTATGTCGAGAATACCGACTAACTTGTCAATCGGTATTTTTTTGTTTTCGATAACTTCTCTGTCACTTTCTTCACTATCGGAAGAGGTATTTTCTGGATCTAGAACCATACTACAGATTTCGCTGTCTGTTAATTGATTGATGATTGGGGCATTGTCGTCGCAACGAAAAACTTCTGTTATATCATCTTCATTTATTATCGCTTCTCCACATTTCTTTAAAAAATGCAATGACTGGAAAATTTCACCTTTAGTTTGCGATGTCCAAAAACCTTCAAATTCGCAGCTATCATCTTCATCGTCCTCGCCATGAAATATGGTAACTGGCCATAAATTATGCCAAGCATTTTTTAACGTATCTGGAGACACATCGCATGTGCATTGGGAGGCATACCCCCCCCCAAAAAAAAAGCATGGGAGCATAACAAAAAAAAAAAGTTTGTGCTCCAGAGTATAGATCATTCCGGATAATGGATGTCTGGATTACAAACTTTGTACTGTATTAATTAACTGATTTTCAGGGTAACTGCCTAACTAAAAGATAAAATATGTATGTATGTATAATTTTTCCAACTAATGTGCATCATTGTTTTTCTTGTTTAAAAAGGTCATCAAACTGTGCAAAGGTGGTTGCTATAATATTTAAGTTTCATAATTTCCATCCATATCTTATTTTACCTAAAATTTTTAGGTAAAATTTTTAGGTTTTTTACCTCTAAAATTTTTCACTTTGAATCACTTTCATATTTTCATATTCTTCCAATTTCTTTTTGTTACTATTTCATGTGATAAAATAATTTTAGTGCTGCACATGGGAATTACTGGAAACTAAATGGTTTTCAGTTGTGTAAGAATATCCACTTCTCTAAGCACACAAGAACAATGTGCATTATTAGTAGTACATGGAAAAGCTTTGCGAGATAACTCGTATTAGAGATTTGTGGTCATAAGACGAGTATGTTGTGTGGCAGTCAATGTATTAATAGTTTTGCCACTTTATGCTAATTTTATATTTTATTATTGATTATTTCATAAAGAAGGAAAGTATTATGCAAGACATTTTACCTTAAAATGTTTGCTGTTTAATTCTCACCAGACTTTAAAGTTTAACTTTAGTTGGGATTTAGTTCACAGGCATTTGATTTTATATTAAAAATAAACCAATTGGTAAAAAGTTTGAATCTTTTTTTTATATAATAAGATTTGCGGAAATTATTTTTGGTAGTCGTCAAAATGTCTGTACACTTCATCATTATAATTAATCTTACTGTATAAAAGATTCTAATCTTGTGTTTTGAAATTTGTTTGCAAAGTTATCGAAAGCTATATCTTATCCATATATAGTAGCTGCAACTATCCAAGTTTTGATAATTTGAAATTTTCTGCAAGTCTGCATGCTTCTTACAGATGAAATTTTTTAAAAGTAATTACTGATTTTTCTTGATATTCGAATTTCATTAGCTCAAAATTTTTGAAAATTTTGATTTCTTTCAAAGGACCATGGCAATTTTTTTTTAACAGTTCTTTCTGTAAACTAGGAATTATTCCTAAACTTTGAGATCATGTAGAAAACCTTGTTTGTTGTAAATTTTATTCTCTATGTAAAGTATTAAAATTAACATACTGATTTTGTTACACAGTTTTAACAATATTTTGATGTAATATTTCTGTTGCACCAAAGAAAAAGGACTATTAAGAGACATGTCTGTCTTAGTTCTCAATTGGAAATTCATGTTTTCTTCTTAATATGGGTGCAAATAACATGTGATAATTTTTTTTTATATTATGTTTCTTTGGATTTTATACATCAAAATAATTTCCATTAATGCAATTATGTTTATATTCATATTTGCATAGATCAGTATAGACCATGTATAAATGTCATTGATATATTTCAAAACAATGTACTTACATTAACTTTTACTAATAATTATGTGAAATTAATATTTAGCTTATCAAGAAAGTGAATGAACTTGATGATCAAGGTGACATTCCTTTAGACCTAGCTCTTAAAAGTCATCAAGAAAGTATTGCCAAGACTTTGATTAGCCACAAAGCCAATATTAATCAGACAGATAACCGAGGATGGACTTTATTACATAAAGCTATAGACAGAGGTGGATATTTTTTTGTGTTTTAAATTCTGTTTTTTTTTTTTTTTTTTTTTTTTTTTTTTTTTAATGTGTTTGAAAAAAGTAGTAGGTAAATCTTTATAGGTAGTTATTATGTCATCAAATGGTCTAGTAACATTGAATATAACAAGTTTCATTCTGAAAATAGAAATAAATATTTAAAAAAAGGAAGGGGGGCACCTTCAGTTGGTGCAGATTTTGAACAAAATTCCATCAGTTTAAAGATTGATCACACACAAGCTTCTCTTCTTTACTAGAAAACAAAATTTGTGATAGAATTATTTTGCTTCTGAAGAACAGGACCTGTATCTAATTGCTCTTAAAGTCGATAGGGTTTTGATCAAATAATGTCTAAATAAGATTGCCTTTTCTTATCCAGTTTTAAATTTTACATTGCTATGTTTCACTTCCTGTTTACTTATAGATAATATGCATTTGGAAAAGGTTACTTTTTATCTTAGTAATCTTTAATATTACATTAAATGTTGAGTGAGAGATTAAAATATTGTGATGAATAATACAATGCAATTAATTATATATTTCTCATTACATAAAGAATTTCCTTTACTTTTCAGAACTAGAGAATTAAAAATTATATAAACTAAAAATGAAATGTCATGTAAGGTTTTATGATGATAATCATTAATTTTATGATATTAAATCTTACTGTAATATTGAAGTATATCCATTTGGCATCACCTTGACTTTTATGTCACAAAATAAGTATTATTTCTTTTTTGCTTTTTAAATAAATAGTGACTGCACAAAAACTGAATTTTTAAAATTTTAATGTTTGAAAAAGTAGTCAGATATGTAAAGTCAGGTATGTAAAATGCCATACAAACATAAATATTTCATTAGATAAATGAAAGCTAATTTGAAATTAAGGTAAATTAATTAGCTGCATCTGAATTTTAGAATTGCAGAGTATCAATAAGAATAATTGTTTCATTAATGGTTTTTATAATATATTATCATACAAATTTATATTTAATGGAAGTTATTTTTAAACTTCACGTGGATTAGTAATTAGCATTCAAATTTTAGAAATGTAGATTATTTTAGAATGTAGATTATTAAAAAATATTTAATTTATTTGTCCATTGATCTAACTTATATTATTTAACAATATTTCATTATATAATCACGTATTTTTTAAATATTTGATAAGGTTTTGTAGTGAAGAAAATTTATGTACACTGAAGTGTCACGGAATTAAGGATAGACATGGTTATGCAAATTTTTAGCATTCTGCTCTTTTTATGTTTACTAATAATTATGTGAAACTAATATTTAGCTTTATAGTTATGATAACTGCATATATAGTTAGAATGATGATTGTTGTTCAATTGCATTTCAATTGCTAGTATGGATAAAACTTCTGATTTAGACACTTTTGATTGCAGACAGAGAGTAGGTACTCAATGCATGGGCCATTTAATTTCTGAAATCATCAAAGGGCTAGGATTTTCAAGGTCGACAGTGTCAAGAGTATACCGAGAATACACAAATGAAGGGGGAAAACTAGCAATTGGCTAAATTGCAGAGGATGATTAGCCTTGAACGAGAGTGGTGGGAAAGAACTCAACCATATTGTACATAGCCAGCAAAGCCAAACATTTGCTTAAGTCACCATCCAGCTGAATAAGTGCGGCAGTCACATAGTCAGAAAATGGATCATGCACTGCTTGCTTCACCATATGGGCTTCAGGAGCCGTAGACCCACAAGTGTACCATTGCATGCCCTCAAGCTGCAAGTCTTGGTTGGGCAAGAGAACACAGAGAATGGACTCTAGAGGCCTGGAAATGAGTAGCATGATGTAAAGATCTCAATTCTGACTACTTAACAGTGACAGGAGGCTGAAAATATGGCATCAGGCTCATGCAGCCATAGATCCTGCATGCCAGGTTGGTAAGACCATGGCAGCTCAATCATGATCTGGGTGTTTTCTCTTAGCAGTGTATGAGATCTTTGGTACTTGTACCAGCCTCCCTCAATATGATTCGATACATAAAGTTGCTGGGTGCTCATCATCATTTATTTATGTTGTCCTGTCATTCACATGGAAATGGAGCATTCCAGCAAGAAAACTGCATTCTTGCAGGTTCCAGTTGGCTACTGCCTAGTTAGATGAGCATTCCTGTGACTTCTGTGTCATGAATTGGCTACCTAGAAGCTCTGACTTAAATCCTTCTAAGTATCTTTTGGATGTTTTGAATAAGGGTGTGAAACCACATCATACAACACTAGCAACCTTTCCTGAATTATGGACAGCTCTATCCGATGTTTGACAAGCCTTTCCAATGGAATGCGAACTTGCAGAATCTATGCCTTATCATATGGCAGCCGTTATCACAGCCAGAGAAGGCCCAACACACTTTTGACTTGCTATCCATAATTCAGTGGCACTTCAGTATATGTAATTTTTGATATTTTATTATATTTCCTAGTTTATCAAAATGTTATTTTTTTGCACAACTTTCAAGTATTTTAATGCATTTTCAATAGATAGAGGTATATATCATATTAATTAAAAGAATATTTTTTGATTTGAAGAGGAGAAAAATTGTCATATACTTGTTATTTATTGTCTAATATTTTACCTAAAGAAAGCAGTAAATTTTAACGTTAGTTGAAGTTAAAATGTTACAGTTCGCTTTGAATGAATGAAAATGGGATGTGAGGGAGAAGTTGTAAATGTTTCTTATGAATATATGGAATATACAGTCATTTTTCTTGTGTTGACTTTATTAGTCATTGTGAGAGAGAAACAAGTTTATGATATCATGCAGTAAGGAGTGACCATGTGCAGTAATAGTGTAAAGCACTGGTATGTCTACATTCAGATGGCAGTTGTGTGTGTAATAACTTTGCTACATCAAAATAACTTTCAATTGCAAAGTTTTTTAGTAAGCAAACAGCATACAGTCATTTGCTTTTTATCAGCTAAAAGGTAACAAGTCAGTTAATATTTATAAGAGGATATTTACATATGTATGGACTATTTTGTGTTTCAAAAAATTGTATATGTATGGATCATGCATATCTTTTCAGAATTATGAAAACTTGTTGAAAGTTGTATTAGGTATAATAATAAGCAGTGGGATGTCCATCATAAGGAAATTAAAAAAAAAAATAAAAAATTATATAAATTCTGAATAATAATAAGTAATGTTACACTTTCTTTTTGAACCAGAAACAAAATGAATGAATCTGCAGTAAAAGCAAACTGATATTTTCAGTATTAGTAAATTCAGAGCACTGTCACAGACTGGGAAGGTTTTTCTGTGTTCTTTAATCAAGGAGGTGTGATACTCATTAGCATAGTTTAATATTTCCTCAAAGAAAACGTATTTTAAAATACTGCAAAGATTGCATATTGTTATCAGAAATAAATTGATCAGGATATTGAACTCCAATATTGTGTTGTTATATAGTATTATTAGTTATTTAGCCATATATTTTTTGTGAAACAGAAACTCATCTGACAAAATTTCAGTGGAAGTGAAATTTCCAATATGTACCTTACAGTATAGATTTTCACATTGTGATACTGTTTGTTGGTTCTTTGAAGAAGCATATCAAAGGTTGACTTTTCCACTTGAATCCTGAATCGCATGACTCTGACAGACTAGTGTCTCTTCACGTCCACTTTTTTATATAAACCCCGATTATCACAGAAGTGAGACCATTGCCTGAAGCCTTCAGTAATTATTTTTAACTGGAATGCATACATACTTTCTTGTGACTCTCACGATCTTTTCATTTGACCAGACCAAATATATTAATTTCTTTGTCCATATGCTAAATATGTTAATTTTAATTTTACACATGTGTGCACATTTAAAAAAAATTCAACTTTTATAATTTATTTAATTTTAGTCTTAAAATATTGGATATAAATCAAGTATAACAAAATTATTTAGTGTGGGACATTTGAAAGTAAACAGCACTTTTTGTTTGAAGAGTAGTTTGTTTGCTAACCATCAAGAATGACTGATTTTATTCTTTGTACCGCAAAGGGCACAACTGCTTTATTAGTTCCTTTTGTTTTGACAGGAATTCATATCTTACATGGAAAATTTGAGGTTTGTGTTGCTCTCTGCTGAGGCTTAACTGCATTATAGCTAGGATTATAACCACATGTAAAACTTTCTAAAGAATCAATTTAATGATTTCTGTGAGTATTTTATTCAATGAAATTAGGTAAAATATAGATGGATGTTTATGTTACAAGGGTCTTTAGAAAAAATAATAAGCATTGATAATTAATAATAGTTTTCTATGCAATAACACTTTCTCGTATATATTAGGTAAGCTTGTTCTCAGAATTTCATTGATAATAGTAGCAAAAATCCTAAAATACTAGATTAATGGTCACCTTAGCCACTGTTTCTGAGAGTTTTAAAAATGAAAGTGACCAGTGCACCATCTGGCATTGGTGACCTATAATTTGACAAATCTGTACAACTAGGTTATTATAACACTAACATTATAATGTATTCTAATATTTTAGGGTTCTAGGCTATTTGCAAATATAAAACTTTTAAGCATTAGAAGTAAAAAAAAAATATGTTGATCTGAGCTAGTCATATTTACAAGGGCATTCATCTATGACCTGAGTTCTTGAATTTTTTATATGATAATTTCTGCAATACAGTAATTGACCATGGATATTCCAGCTCTCGTATGTTATCAACGGTGCGGTGCAGTTTGGTGTAGTACTTGAGAGGCTGATGAGTAATAAGGAATTGCTTCAGTCTCAAATAAAGGATTAAAGTTTTAGTGGGAAAAAATATGTCAAATTCCTAAAATTTGACCAAGTTCTCAGTTAATATAGTAGTTAATGACACATGTTATATCATAAGCAGATGTAACATGCTGCTGTGTTTCTATTTCGGTTAATATTTAGCCCTCATATATTCAAGGTTAAAACAAGACTTAATAGAACATCATTTAGAGGACAATAATTCCATCATTAAAGCTGTTCAAGACTTTATACTGATAATGGTTTTAAGTATGCAACCATTCCACTTTAATAATTGGACTTGACCAGGTCATATTTGAATTCCCTGTATGTTAAATTATTAATATAGTAAATAAATTTTATAACATTAAGAAATATTTATAAAATAATAATCTTTCAAAAAATATTATTATATTATAGTTATTTTAGATTATTTTTAGAGGATGAATTTTCTGCATTATTTCTTATTGAAAACAGAGCTTCAGTAAACTTGGCAACACCATCTGAGAAAGCAACTCCTTTGCACTTAGTTGCCAGTTTTAAACCTAAAGATGTTGCAGCTGAAGTAACTACAGGAATGACTAAAATTGCTTCAAAACTTTTACAGAATGCTGCTGATCCAAATCTGCAAGACATAAATGGAAAGTGAGTATCTTTATTAAAAGTTTACAAAGTAAATTTTAGTGTATCAACTATGCAGAGTGTCTGAAAAATAAGAGTAGAATGAAGTGCTGTTATCAATTCCCAATATAGGAAACTAAGTATTTTCCCTTTAGATCGATTGTCTGATTGACCTGCTTGCATAATCTTCCATGAAAATGAACTACTGCTGTATTTTTTAGCAGTTATGCATTAAGTGTTAAGCATTCATATTCCCTGACAAGCCATTCATTTGTTTTCACAAAGCTAGAACTGTAGGTCATTGGATTTCTTTTAGACTTATGTAAAAGCATGTTTGAAAACTAACGAATCATACCATTATACTGTATGCTATGCTATTAAAAATGTATCCATAACAATAGTCTAAGGCTATATCAGAATTAGTAACTGCAGTAAAGAAATATCATACTGCATAGTGTGTGTCATATAAATTAATGCCAAATCTGTTTATATTTTGGACACCCTGCATTATACTTTTTAAACATTTTGGCATGCAATAATATTTATTTAGAAATGAATTAAGAACTAAAATAATATTTTGAAAAGAAAAAATTTCAAATGGACTGATTTCTTTTCAGAAATGTTCTTTATACATAGCATTTATTGAAACAGAATTTGCAGAAGTATGAACAAATTCTATATCCGATATGTAAATATGAATTTCATTTGTTAAATGAAAGCTAAGGCAAATCTGACAACAAAAGAAATATGTTTGATTTAGGTACATTTTAATTAAAATATAAGTAGCTTTTTAGATGAGAATTGGTGCAGGGTTTTTAAAAATGTTTTTAAATATTTCAAAAGTATTTAGAATTGAACACATGGGTTTAATAGAATATGATTTTTATGAAAATGAGTTCAACCTTTCATTGTCAAAAGGTGCATTATTCACTATCAGAACAATATTGAAAATGATGCACAGTAAAACTTCTCATGGCACCTCTGAGTATGTGAAGTATTTCTGATAACCTAAATAAACATAGGCATTAGCATAGCATCACTTTTCTTACATGACCTTTTTTAGATGACTGTACAGAAGAGAGTATTAAGATGACCACAAGTAGAAAAAATGGAGTTTTAAGAAGACCACATGTGGTCATCTTAACAAGAATATTCACCTGAAAGAAACTTGTCACATATTATGCCAATAATTATTTATCATATTCAGTAGGAAAAAAAGCTGTTTAGTAGCATTTTCATTGTTATTCAGAATATCATCATTCCTATTTATATAACTTTTAATCATTTCAGTGTGGTACAACATCCTTTATGTAAAGTGTATTTACTTCCTGTCAAATATATTTTTTCTTTTTACTTCTTGTTAAAAAAATCTCACTTCTTATTATTCATTTTCTGCGAATTATATTTCATGCACCCATTTGTTAAGTTTTTAAATTTTTTATTATATTATAAAATTATAGTCTTTTGGGTTCTCTTCTTTTCATTTTTTAGTACCAGCCATAAATTTTCATGCAAAATCTTAACTAGATGACAAACCTACCAATGTGTATAGCTTTACAAAAATAATAAGATCTCTCATTCTAAAACCATTGGTTACTTGTTACAAAAGTAGTTTTGTGTTTCTGCCTTAAGCCATTGTGGGTGAAGATGTAATTCTCTAAGCTTTTAATGGGCTTTGAATCAGTCCAGTTGGTGATGAGCAAAGCTATTTTTGCTGATAAACTCTATTGAAATGAGCTGATACCTGTCTGCAATAAGATGACTACATCAATTGTAGCCGAATTATCTGAAACATAGACACTGATGCTACTGCAAAGGAAATTCAAGAATTCAAAACTGATATGTCTGAAACTGAATGTGCAATACGTGTCATACGTTGAAAGACATTCTGATGTCGATTCTGTATGACAATATCGCAAGGATATGCCAAACAGTTGAGTTCCTCTGAGGTAAATACAAGTTCTTTACTTCTAGACCAAGTGACTTAGTCCCAAATTTAGACGACTCTGCTAATGTGAAACTTTATATTAAGAGAAAATTTGATATTTTGATAATAATGGGGAAAACTCCCATGCAGTTCCGAAAAGATTTTCTAACCTAACGAAAATGCGAAACAAAAACTTAATAAAAAGGTTGCAAATTACCTTTCTGCAAAAAACTGATTTATCCTATGGCACTGCAACTAATCAAGATAACCTAACTATCTTCTAATAATAATGATATGATAATGGATATTAGCAAAGACATTCCAAATACAACAGCAAAAATCAGCAACATAGCCCATTATTTACTCACATATTATGAAAATGAATTAAGGTAAATTGGTAAAACTCCAAATGGAATTGGTGAAACTCCAAATGGAATTATTTTCATCGAGTATATTTAAACTATCTTCGAAATGACTAAAGCCAAATTTCTCAACTGAGTTAATCTTGCATTTTAAAAATTTGTTCTTGACAATTTTACTTAATTTAAAAAAAATTTTTCTTATGGTGTTTACTTAATTTTTAAAATTTTTTCCTGGTGATTTTAATGCCTAACATTTACCAGGAACATATTTTGAACTTACTTTGCTTAGCTTTGAACTTAGCTTATTTTGAACTTATTTGTAAGAACTATTTTAATCTAAAAAATTTGAACACTATCTAGTAAATCACAAACAGAAATGGCATAACAAAGTTATTTTCAAGGGATGACCTGTTTACACAGATAAAGCAGAAATTACCTGAATTTTTAACCAGTAAAGGACTTCATGTACATAAAGTCCAGCTCACCAAAAATCAAACTAAAACTCTTGATACCACATTTTCAGGTTCAACTTTCTCCAATAGCTAATATTCAAAGTGTATATGAAATTATAAATGTAATGATCTATATCATTTTATAGAAAAATTAATTCATTATGTCAAATGCTGAAGAATTGTTAAATTGGATCTTCGCCTCTATAAAGGCGAAATAAATAATCCTACTACCTGTATAAATTGTTTTAGAGAACATCTAGCTTCATATCATGGATGTCCCAAATTTCCTAAAAACAAACTGTTCAAAAATAAAAAAAGCATGAAAGCAAAGAGTCAATCCGACAATATCATTCATCACATAGTCCATGCAATGAGAGAATTAGAAGGTATTTTCAGAAGGAATTAGCTTTCCAAATTAATCCCTCTAATCAGTAATAATCTACATCAATTACAAAATGGAGAAACTCTGATGGACAGATGTATATGCTATTCTTACTATTCAAAGAAATAAATATTTTTTTAACAAAACAGTTAAACTTATACCTTAATTTGTATTTCTCCTTAATGCACCAATAACATGGTTGCTGCTTGGGTGGTTGGCTCCTGAGAATTGCTGCATGCTTCATTCCTTTCTACTTCTTTTATGTTTGTAATGCAGTTTTTTCCCCTTTGATTTCAATTACTATTTACAGCATAATCATTATTTTTCTGACTTAAATTCTGTTTATTACAGATTTAATTAATTCTCAATTCTTCCTTCCTATTATTATTCTCAACTAACTAATCTAAATTTGTATGAAACTGTATGAAACCTTCCACTTCCTATTATAGGTTGATTCAACTTTTTGTACTATTAATCATTCTCATTTAGTCACTTCTTATCACTAGTTATTCCTGGATTCTCATTATTACCATCTGTCACTGGTATTTAACCCTCTGACTGCTCAATTTTTAGACCAAAATCGCTTCAAAAATTGTGTAATTTTTTTAAAATATTTTAAATCCATATATATTGGAGAATTGAAAAATGCAGTTTTCCTTTCTAAAAATATTTTTTATATAGATTTTTATCATAGAATTAAGTTGCCGGAGAAAACCAGTTTCAGATGTTTTCACTAAAAAATTTTTTTTAAAATAGTTTCAGTCGAATTACAGTTAATTTCTATTTATTGCAAATAAAAAAATAAAAGTATAAAATTTAAGAAAATATAACACTGAGGAAAAACATCTTAGAAATGCAGTTTAGCATGATAGAATTCAAAACAGGGTTCAAGGCAAGTCCAACTTCACAGCTTACCCCAGATTCAATACAATCTAATTAATAATCAAAATCTAATTAATAATCAATCTAATCAATAAATTAATAATAATCAATCTAATCAAAAAATCTAATTAATAATTCAATAATTTAATTAATAAACAAGATAATCGCTGAATGTTTCTAGCAACCATTTCTGAAAGAAAAGCGCAAAACATGGAGTTGAGCGGTAAACCGTGCCTTCAAACGCCCATTGTGGACAACTGATGATATCTGTTGGCCAAAACGTAAATAATGTCTAGTACTATTATTAAGTTATTTCAGAGGTTAAACGTGGAAAAAACGGGATGTGCTCCTCAATAAAGGAAAAAACACATGCCCGCGGAAATTGCGGGATGAGCAGAATTTGCTACATTTGAGTTGCCTGTGGAAATCGCGGAATGAGCAGCCAGAGGGTTAATTTCTGTAGAAAAGAACTCTTATATTTTATATACTAATTAACATTCGAAAAGTGACTCACCTGTTGCACTTGGATAGGACAATCAGCCCAGACACCCACTGTATAAACTTATTTTAGTTCAGTGGATAAAAATAGAATGACTAATCTAATTAAATTCGGATTAAATGGAAATATGAAAATACAAAATGGATTTTGCCAGATAATTTCAGTTACACAAGAGGCATAAAGCTACTGATTTTATTTAGTATTTCCGAAAACATTTTTGTCTTCTCATGCCATCAACAACATATGGATTTGATTAGGTAGGAATCAACATGATGGTAAATAGATCCACACTGACATTTATTTCTTGTTTTGCAGTGGTTCACTAGCATACAATAGTTTCTTTCCTAAAAACAATATTAATCTTTGAACTAAAAAGCAACTAAAAATTTAGCAGGGAAAATTACTGATACAACCTACTGCCATAAATCTAAACATTGTTAGCTGTCATAAATCTAAGCATTGTTAACTTCTTAAATATTTTATTGTTCTCCTTTAAAACAAACAGTACAGTGAAGATATGTGTGTTAGTATTATAACAGGAAACTTTGTTGCTAAAATGCATTCACATTTTATTACTCATATTATAAAAAGAAAGAATTGCCAGTAGTGTAAAAGCCTGAAGTCCGAGATAAAACATCTACAGAACCTCTGCGTTATCATTGACGCTTATCCTTCACTGTCTGCCCTCTTCAACATCTTTTAAAATGTTGCTTCTATACTGTGTTTTTCTGAAATTTGTTTTCATTTAAAACTTTTTCTTATTGTTGCCATTTACCATTTTTTGAATTCTGTCTTGATGTGACCATGCACTTGAAAGCTGTTGGGTTACGCTAAATTGACGTTTATTCTTCCCACTTTGTTCAAAAGAACATCATTACAAAGTATTGTCATTGCAAAGTAGTCATTGTATTTGTGATATGATATAAATAGGCTATAATATTTATTACACATTTATAACTGGCACCCCATTAGAAGGAAAGAACCATCTTTCAGATTCCTTGTGCTTTTATTCTTTATTTCTGATCATCTATAAGCTATAAATTTGGAAAATATGATTTTAGGGAAATGTTATGATTAATGAATTTATTGATGTAAATATATATTTATATTAAGAATATTGATTTTAATTAAGGCTAAAAGAATTGGGTTTGGAAATAACCTATTATCTGTTTTTAATCCGATTATCCATTTGGTGTGATGGTTACCAGAGCCAGCTTTCCCATGTATTTTCCCAATTACAACAGCAAATTTTCTATCTCTGGCTTCTGGCATCTTATGCCACTGCGGGAGGAACAAGCCTTTATAGAAGAAATGAAGTTTGGTTGTGCTCCATAGAAAAACACAAACTAGCCCTCCAACTTTTTAACTGTTGATGTAAAGGAACCATATATACTGTTTATACCTATTTTTAGGTGACAGTCTTTCTCAAAGAAAAACATATCAACCGCTAAATGGTTTGAATGTACCTAAATTAAAATCTTTAACAAAGTTGTGATATGTTTGTGACTGTCCATTTCATCTGTGTGTTCATGGTTTGATCTTCTCCCAATGGTGCATTCTGGGCTGATTTCGTGGTGCAAAAATGTCAAGGTATTTAAGATTCTATCATCTCCAAATGAATACCTAGCGTTTGAGTGCTTGATTGCTGGGAAAATTTTGTAATCTTTTGTTTAAATGAATTTGCTTTAATTTTATTTATTTGTTTTGAAAGTTAATTTCTTTAACCCTTTGATGCGCGGTGGTCACACTCTGAAACCACCAATTTTTGAATTTTTTTCTCCTCTTCCTTCTGAAATTTTTGAATGAAAATCAATTCATTACTGATTTTTTACCTCTAAATAACACAAAATGACTTCAGAATCATACATATTTTAGGTCTTAGTACTTCAAATCGGATGCCTTTTAAAATTCATTTTCAATGAGACAAAATAACTTCCTTTTATTAATATAAACAACTTTAAATTTCAAAAGTTATTCATCGCACATCATGATTTCTATCATAAACAATAAAAAAATAGCAATAATTAAAGCATATATAAAAACAACTTTCTATATGTATGGCATTTGCTTGTGGTTTGAAGGCGCAACCATGCCCCTAGAGCTTGTGCCACAATGCTCTAGAGGCTCGGTGGTCGCGCCTTGAAACCACTGCTCTTCACAATGGCGTTTGTTGCTGCTCGATAGGAATGTTTATTTTACCTGATATAGATAAGGGTTTTTGAAATCACAGAGTGTTTTATTACTAAACATACATCAACCTGCTCAGTAAAAGGTCTTTTTTTCCAGCAACTTCAACACACTGCTTCCAAGCTAGTTATTGTGATTTTATAAATTCTTTCCTGTTGTTAATTTATGTACATATTTGCTGTAATTAAAATAGAAATCGATAAAGTTTTATTAAATTAAAATATTTTCTGAAAATTTGGGATGAAATAGAATAAATACGTATGAAAGGGAAACGAATGATCGTATCAAAGCCAAAAGACTAAGCCCCTCCTCATTAACATAAAAACCCTTAAATTTCATGTGCCAGATGAAAAAAAACTAAATAACGCTGGACATATACCAGTGAAGTTTAGATCCAATCAGCGTACATTTTGTAAGACAAGGAAGAAACCTCATACAGAAGAAGATACATGTGGCGAAACTTGCAATGTGGGCATGCATGTACCAAAAAGACAAAACATACATACAGACAAAAGACAAAACAAAGACAAACAAAAGACAAACATGTGAACAGTGTCACAAAAAATATTTGTTCTTTGAAATTAAAAAAAAAGCACTGAGTCTTTTTTTCTATCCTTATTTTACTGAGTTTTTTAATCCATGTAGCCAAACGTCCTTATTATGTAGGTACTTTCACTGCTATAGAAAATTACATAAATGTTTATTTTTTAATTTTTTCTGACGATTTACTTTGTAAAATAATGTAAAATATATATATATATTATGCAATTCCTACATGCATTCTGTTTTAAATTCGTAAATTTCGTCATTTATTGAAAACGCGCACAGAGAAAGGTAAGTTTTTTTTTCCTACTTACCTCGGTAAGTTTCAACTCCTAGCCGCGCGGTGGTTTCACAGTGTGACCACCACCCACAGATCAGTGGGCAAGAGTAGATTTTTTTTAATTTTAATTAAATATATTATTTGTCTCTAGGCTCATAATATTCAATTTCTAGAGTTTTTAGTTAAAAAAAATTATAAAAATAATATCGCGCGCGTCAAAGGGTTAACAAATCATTAATCATCATAATCAACATTGCTATGTAAAATTAATTTATCTACCTATGAACGTCACAGCATTTGTCTAGAATCAGCATTTAAAAATTTGGTTAATGTCTCTGAATTTAAATTAGTCACCAATTGCGAAAATAAAGTTATGCTACTGGTTGTTCTTTCTCATCAATCACATGTTGAAATTCTTGTTGTCTGCTACTTTGTTTTAATGAAATTTTTAAGTAAAGGACCCATTTTATCAGTACTTCAAACGAATAAGTAGTATTTATTTCATTTATTAATTATTACTAATATTCTGTGGTATACTGCTTGATCGTACAAACAAGATAAACGACAAATCGTTAAATATTACATAAAAGGTTAATAATTTTTTTTCCTTTGTAGTACTTGTTTACATCGTGCAGTGGCTGCTCATAATTTTCCTGTCTTTGATTTGTTACTTGCGCATACACATTTGGATCTTGAAATAAAGAATGCTGATGGCCAGACTGTTCTTTGGTTTGCTTTAGATGCTGGTATTGGTGGTTATGATGAAAACAGTTTTGCAGCTAAACTTGTGAAGAGAGGCAGTTGTGTTGATGCTGTTTGTCCTCTTAATGGTGAGTAATATATTCCATAGTACAACTTCAAAATCTGATTATTAAATTATGCATTTTGTTTCACCTAGAACAATATAGTAATTTAGCATGAAAAGTGCATTACTGGTAATTCCGTGACATATATTTGATTAAAGTTTCTGCAATGATACGGATATTGCAATAAAATAAACTGAAGGGATATTTTGCCTCTCCATGCATATAAAAGTATGTTGTCATAATGCATAGTGCACTGTGCATATTTTAGAGACCAAAATAAAAAACTAAAATAGTGGTTCGTTCATTTCGTTATTCTTTATCAAATTTCTTTTTTTAATATCCTTCAAAAACTTCCTTTTTACAACTCGATTAAAAGTTAAATTGGAGAGAAATATTCTCAAATCTTAGTTTACAATATATGTTTTCTACTACGATTGATCATTTTTAATTATTTTATTTTTAGTACATTTTTAGTGCAGAGAATTAAAATTTCAAATTCTTATAAATTATTAGAATAGGACTCTGCAATGTGGCTACATAAGCATATTTTTCAGTTTGTGATAGATTTTTCAAATAATAACAATAATGGTATATGACAGTGCTTTGTGATTTTGTGAAAGTGCTTTCTGATGTGAAAAACTGTGACTGAATTGCTTTACTTCTAAACAAATCCCTTTTTAAAAGTCGGCATTTTTATTACACTGCGAGATGAATTCAAAAGAGAGCTCTTCTTTTGATCCTGATCATAGAATTGAAACAAAACAAATTGTTAATGTTACAGTACAAAGTCTTTAATCCGGACTCGTCGGGACTTCGGCGATTCCAGATTAGGTGTTTTTCCGGATTATAGATCATCAATTTAAATCTGGTAAAATGGCATGCAGAAATAATAAAATTAAAAATATGAAACTGTAATTTATGAAATCAAGAGCAATTATGATCTAAAGGGTATCAAAATTTACAAAAAAAAAAAAAAAAAAAAAAAAAAAAAAAAAAAAAAGCTTAATATTTATTTGTTTACTTTATTAAACATTTCTTTCAATGTAAGTTGTTTAAGTTGCTTCGTTTTATGTGCTAATACTTTCTCTTTAATTCTATAAACAGACATAATTTCTTGTTCAGTTACAAAGTTCCGCTGTTGAAACCTTGTAATTACTGTGCCGAGAATACCGACTAACTTTTCAATCGAAATTTTTTCGTTTTTCACTAATCTCTCTGTCACTTTCTTCATGCTTTTATCCATTTTTTGCAGCAATTCTACTTGTTTGATGGACATCAAAACATGCTTTCGCTTTGTAGATCCTTTGGCAGCTCCAGAATCAGAAACTCTTTTTGACATAATCGAAAGTTCAAGCTTTTCATAAAATTGCTCTAACAGTCTGCAAAAAATAATAAGCCGGATCCAATTAGAAGATTAAGGAACAACACAATCTGCAACATTAACTGAAATAGATAATTAGATAATTTTAACCTAGCTTATACTGTCCGTTATACATTAAACGTGCATGTGTAAACGTATTATGCGCATGCATAAAGGTATTATGCACATGCATAAATGCATTATGCATTTACGCATGCGCAGAAAGTTTGTAGCTTTGAGGTCCGAATTATAGATCATTTCAAATTATGGATGTCCGAATTAAAGACTGTACTGTATTAAAAATTTTCAGACAAAATATTAAAATTTTGTTTCATCTTTATAGTTCCTTCAAGTTGTGAGTAAAAAGCATTTATTATTATTATCATTTTATGCCTTTTATAGGAGACACATTATTACATTTAGCCTGCAGAGCAGGTAATGAGGAAGCTGGTATTTTCTTGGCTGTGCATGGAGCAAAACCAAACCTGACTAATAATAAGGTAATATTCTTTCCATTAAAATTTGTTTTAGAGTTGTTAATGCATTCACCATATAGCATTTTTTACATTAAAATCTTATTCTAGGGAGAAGCACCTCTTCATATTTCCTGTTCTAAAGGATTGTCTAAATTAACAACAAAACTACTTGAAAAAGGTGCAAATCCGAATGCACAAACTACAGCACCTGCAACCATGCAAGTAACTCTTGAAGATGATGATGAAGTTATATATTTACAAACACCATTACATCTTGCTATACTAGGACAGCATGAGGCAACTATACAGTCTTTTATTGATTACAAATGTAATTTTGCAATTATTTCCTTTCCCTTGTAAATATGAATGTTATCATTTCGGAAAGTAGTTTTATTCTTTATAAATTTTAAACTAGTCATAAAGTTTTTATTTATAAAAATTATACCATAATTTCAATTAAAGAGGTTAGCACTGCAATGAAATTTGCATTTTGGAAATAAAATATAATTTTATAAACATTTTTCCTTTTCTGCCTGAACTGTGTTCTTTGAAAAAGAAAATAAAAAAGCAATAAGAATAATGTCAGTATAATTATATCCATCTATTTTTTCACCACAAAAATTTGTAATGTGATAAATTTGTAATGTAAGTTTTCACCTTTATAATTTGCTTAAAAATTTTCTCGTATGCTAATACACATTTTAAACTCTTTGTTTAAACTTTCAAAATGACCTCACTTAGACCTCACTATCTTGTTTTAAGTATATGAAAAAAGTTATGTTACTGTTAAGTTTGAAGTCAGATTTAATTTTTGTTATTTCATATTTTTAATTAATAATTAAAATTAGATTTTGGGATTTAATTACCTTTTAAATGTATAACAATACTTATTAGTTCATCTTAATTAAGTTAAGAGTTGAAAGTTTTCATTATTAAAGAAAGCATTTTGTATTCTAAATTATTAATCTCTTTATTCTTTTAGGCATTACAAATTTATTGTTACAGTATGGTATATTTCATATAGTTTACATATTTATGTATAAACTTTAAAGTATATGTATGAAATTTAACTAAAATGTTATAAAATTTGTTTTATCTTTCAGCTTTTGCCCAAGTCAGTACAGAACCAAATGTTGTTGTTCCAAATTTTAATGTGAAAAATTCAAAAGGTCAAACTCCGTTGAGCTTGGCTTTAGAACTAAATCTTTTCAAAGTTGCTTTGAAACTTCTGTCTGGTGGTGCTAATATTGACACTACAGATGATGCAGGTTTGACGCTTCTGCATCAGGCTATCCTGAATCAGAATCAAGAAGCTGCTTTATTTCTGCTCGAAAATGGGGCTGATTTTAGTGCCAGGTAAGAAGTGGGAGTTAATAATAAAGAACAGCATGATCTTTAAAGATTTAGTTACTTCCATCTCTGAGGCAAAACATGAACCATATTATTGCTTAAATTCAAAATTGTTATATAATTTGCTTGTCCAAATTTTGAAATACTAAATGCTAAACAAAGTTTTGCCTTGTGTTTTCTATTTAATTAAATTCAGTTAAAATGAGATGATTTTTATTTATTATTTTTGACGAAATCAGTTTATATGTTGTGCTAAGCTCATATCTTGGAAATCTGTATTCTTAAATAGAATCTATCTAAAAATTAATTGTATAGAAAAGCTATATTTCCCATTTAAAGAATGTTTCACTTTTTGTCTATTCGTAAAGTAATTACTTTTGGGTATTAGATTGCAGCTGCTATTATAACAGATATGGTACAACTCTTGACTTCACTTTTGTATGAGCATTGCAGCTTATAGGAAATCCTAGGAGCTGTTTTTTCTAAACTTTGCTAGAATGATATTTTCTTTGACTAAGTGAGGCTGTGGATGGATATATATATTTTTTTATTATTCCACTGTCAACTTCTGACCAGTTAGAGCATGTGCATATCTGCAATGCATTATTTTTTGGAAACCCCTTTTCCATGGACGGAGTAGGGCAGTGCTTGTTCATCTTTTGAATTTTTACATCATTTTATATGATAAGTTCATTAGATTTGCTTTGAAATGAAAAAGAATCATTTCATTATTTCCAGACATATGGTGTAGGTGTATGTGATTCTGGCAAAGCCTCGATTGCTATCTGCCTGAGGGGAAAGATGTCTTTGTGAAGGTCTTTCTAAGGGAAACTGACTCGTATATTTGTTACACATGGGGAAAACCATGAAAGTGCCCATGCAGCCAGCCCATAGCAGGATTCGAACCTCAAGCTGAACTATCAAGTTTCAGCGACTTAACTGCTTGGCTACTGGAGGTCCCAGACATATGGTATTTTGCCTTTTCATTTTAAATGTTTCAGTTCTGATGCAACAAAACTATACATGATTGGAGATGTTCAGTGGAAATATAATGTCAATAGTTGTATGAAACAGAGAGAAGCTGCAGAGATTAACAATCTGTTGCATTTTGGAATGTGATTATAAGAGAATCCTAGCTGGAAATAGAAATGTGTTTTGTTCTGCTGATATCAAAAATATTTGTCATTACCAAAAGGTAACACTAGATTGCTGGCTGTGTATCATTGGTTGCCAGCTAATACCCAAGTATTGAATCTTGTTAATATTGTTATAAAATTATATTCCTAATTTTTTTTTTAAATGTTATTTTCAAAAATTCCTATTAAATTAGAAATTTCTTAAAATATTTATCTACTCCAAATAGTCATGCAATTAATGAATTGCAGTTGATATTATGTGTTCCCAGTTATGTAGTTTGTTGTTTGAAATTGCAAATATTACTGTATTCAGTAAAGCATGTAATAACACCTATTTATTAGCATGTTACAGTGTATTTCTACCTGTATTTGAAACATGATTGTTTAATTATTATTTTTTTTTTGTTTAAAAAGAATCCCCATTTCTAGGAAACTTGAAAAACTACTTCTGTGTTAATACCCATTAAATAATATTTCTTTTTATTTATTAATCAAAAATATTCAAATAAGTGAAGATTTGACTGCTAATTTTTAATTCAGAGATTTAATATTATGTGTTTTTTAATACTGATATTTGTGTAACCATTATATTTCCTTTTTCCAAAATCTATAGTAAGATGATATCTTATTTTGATGAAAGAAACAGAATCATATTTTGATGAAAGAAACAGAATCAAAAGGAATGTTTTTAAGATACTAAATATGTTTTTTAAATAAAATATTGTAGGTAGAAAAAACTCTTAACAAATTATAACTTTTCATTTTATATTTGGTACCTTCTGTTGATATCTGTACCGATCTCAGCTTCCTTGTGAATAATAAAACTTTTCTTGTGAATTTGAATTTATAGTAAGTATTCATACTGTTAATAATATTTATAATTTGAGTACGTTTGTTTCAGAACACGAGAAAATGAAAGTCCTTTACAACTTGCTGTTCAGCGTCACCTTCCAGCTGTTGTAGATGCACTTTGTCGTTCTGGTGCTGATGTTAATGTCTGTGATGCAGAGGGTAATAGTGTCCTCTGGTTAGCACTTGAAAGTGGACAAGAAGATGTAGCATCTATTTTAGTAAGTATTATTTAAATTCTGTTATATTAAAATTATTTTCAGTGAGTATTTTATAGTTAGAGATGTAAATTAAAACTAGATAAGTGTTTTCAGATTGGTTATGCGTCCAGATTTTGGTTTGCTTTTGATGAATAATAATTTTATCTTAGGTTAAATACAACTGTGATACAAATTGTTGGGGAAAAGGACCTGGTGGTTGTTACCAAACATTGTTACATCATGCCTTAGATGAAAATAATGAATCTGTAGCCTGCTTTTTAATCAGAAGGTATTGTTTTATAGAATATTCTCTAAAATAATAAAAACTGGCTATTTTAATATGTTACATTATTTCTCTTCTTGTAGCTGTTTGCTTTAGCTCATTATTTTAACATCCCTCAGAGATATTACTGAGGCTATAATTGAATGTTTTGTATATGCAAAATTTTCAAATCAAGTACAGAGTAGTTAAAAGTACTTGTAATTATCTCGAGTTAAATTTTCCTATATATTTTTACTGAATGGCTCGAAGACCAGAATACTAGATTCTTTGCCAAAAATGTTTGTTCTATAAATTCATTTTTATTAGAGTAACTAATAATTTCAAAATTAATTTCTGAAGACTATTTGTAATAATATAAGGGATTTTTAAATGTTTTATTTTCATTTGAAACTTTTCACTGTAAAAATTCTGTAAAGCAGTCTATTTGTTCTTGCATTTTGTGATGCTGTCACCAGATCTTCATAAATTAATCATAAAAGTTATATGCTTGGGAGGTAACTTCACAAAGAAACCTTGCTCTTTGCAAAAAATGTTTATAAAGAAATAGTTTAGCTAACTAAAGTCAATCAAATTTTTCTAGTTTTAGAGTTAATTTAATGCATATATCAGTTTTTAAGTAATACCATTAATTTCTTTCTAAGGATAAACTGAATGAGATGAAACTCAGTTGAATCCATTGCAGCTAATTTCTCACCAATTTTTCTTCTTGCTTGTAAAAAATAATAGTAAGTAATAGTCTAAATTCTAACATATTTTATCAGATTTGAGGCATGGGCAGGTTGTTCATATTGTTCAAAATCCACTTTAGCTATAATACTTGTTTGAATGGTCCTCAAAATTTTGAGTAAAAATGATAAGGATTATTTTGGGAAGGGTCTTTTGAATTATGCTGTTTCATTAAATTTTTTATATTTCCACACTATGAGTATTCTACTGAATATTATTTTTGTATGTCTTTTAAAATTAATAGTAATTTGAATTTTTTATGGAAGTAAAACAAGGGATATAACTAGAGTGGTATTGGATGGGCTGTAATTAATGAAATAAAAGAAGCCGATAGTTATGCCCCCTTCTGCCATAAGAAATAACTAATGTTGTAACTGGAGTACCCTTCAACAGATCATCAGTAAAATATTGTGTGAGATTTGAGACAGCTTTGATTGTTTCTTTTCTTTCTTTCCTTTTTTGGGGGGAGGGAGGAGAATCAATTTTGTACTTTCACATGTAGAATTTGTAATTGAGCAAGTAGCTGAATGTCATTGCACTTTCAGTTGTCACAGATTAAATATTGATGGTAATCATGCAATTTGTTTTACTCATTATTTAGATTATGAAAACATTATATATTAGTATATGTTGATTGTTAGTAGTGTTGTTAAAAGTGAATGAGCTTGGACGCTGAGCAGAAAAATATCTGTTTCTAAAATTTGAAAGATTACAATTTAATCTCTTTATAGAGATGTTTATTTGGGAGAACAATGATTTAACTTTGTGTGTAATTTTAAGGACCCCATTGTTCACATACTTCTTAATAACTTCTACATAGATAATCGTATATCACCGAGAACTGTTTCTGGGTGGTAATGGCTGTGTTGTAAGAACATGCCACCAATGAGAATTTATTGTATTTTTTGAGGCATGCATTTTTATTGCTGATTCCAAGTTGCATAGTAAAGATTAATCAGATTTCAATTTGAATAACTTTACTATGCCCCCCCCCCCCAAAAAAAAAATATTGCATGATATTCTGTAAATTAAATGAATGAAATTTGTTTTAAATGGCTCACTAAATATTGTTATTAATTTTTTATTTTTACTAAATCCAATATGTGTTTGCAATAGTGGCTGTGATATGGATAGCCCACGAAGGCCTAGTCCTGAAGGCCATGGAGAGGAAGAAGCATTTGATGGTCAAGGCCCTCTGCATTTATCCTGTGCATGGGGGTTAGAGCAAGTTGTTCAGACGTTACTTGAACATGGTGCTGATGTTAATCTGCAGGTGCTAATTTATTTTTATTTATGTCTTTAATAGATTACATTATCCTTGAATACTTTAAATGTATGTTTTTTTAAAAACCTGTGTTTAATATATGTATTTAAAAATACTTTAATCCCTGATGTATGTCTGTTTGTTTTTGCCATAACATTTAATGATTGGTAATTTCAAAAGATTTTAAATTTATCATACTATTTTGTGAAATGTGATTTATTCATAAAACTGAAAACTGTAAATCTTTTTGGATATTAAAAAACTAGCTTTGTTTCTCAAGCATATCGGATAAAGGAAAAAAAAAAAAAAAAAGCTAAATTTGATTAATTTCAACTATATTAAATAAAATTATTGCAATACAAGCTCGGATTTATAGCATTGTTGATTTATCTTTTCAATAGAAAATGGGAAATGCATATGTTATGAGGTATTTTCTCCCTCCTTTCCGCATTTCCTTCATGGCGTAATTGGAAGCGTGCTCGATGCGTATTCAAGGGGTGCAGTGTTCAAATCCTGGTGAGGGTGCAGATTTTCTTCAGTTTACTGGCAACAAAAAATTCTAAAAAGCTCTATAGTGGCACTCGAACTAAAAGTTGATGGATGATAATTCGTCAACACCGGGATTTGGCAACTCCCCTTATACCCAGTTGCTCTTTAAAAGGAGTATATATTTTCTTCCTCCTTTCCACATGCCTTCCTTGCATATTTGGGAGGTCCAGAGTTCCAATCCTGGCGAGGGCATTGTACATTTTTCATGTTCCTGCATCAATATAAGTTAATAACTGTACAAAGCAAGCTTGATGAAAAGTTTGCTGTAAACATGGGTTTTGAACATTAAAACCCATGTTAAAAAATAATGCTAATTTCATATATAAAAAAATTTGCCACATTTTTAGCACATTTTTGTCACATTTTAGTTCACGAATAATTTAAATTTTGTAACTTTGGAAAAAATAAGAATTGGAATAATTGCTAAATAACGCATTCTAATTTTTATAAATGTACTTGATATGCATCAGGCAACTTTTGTATGTGTTCCTTCTATGCAGCTGTTTGCTTTCTGAATGGTAAAGTTCCAATATTTTGAAGACTAAAATTCTAATTATGATTTCTGTTTTTAAGTTTCCTAATGTAACAGCAGTTGACATATAATGCCTCAAAGAATGAAAATATGTATCCCTAAGTGAAAAACTGTTATTTGGTCTACATCATGAGCAGAACACTTCCAAAGCACTGTGAATGATTGTTCCATTTTGCCTACAAAAGGTGTGAAACTTGATGCATAAGTTTAGATCATCTTTCATCATAATAATTGAGTCCTTTCTGTTATCCTTGCTGAACTATCCTTTATATGAGGCTATTGGAATAACTACTACTTTCTATATTTTCATATAACAATGTAGCTGCTGCCATTGTGTCACACAGTCTGGTTTTGCCACTTTTTGAAGTACATTTGGCATGGTCTTCGTATCAGCATTGCTTTAAGACTTAATAATAAAAATAGCTTGAAAAATCAAGATGATCACAAGTGTTGCTTAACTTCTGTCACAAATTATAATTGCCGTTTTCGGCTAAATAAAGCGATTGCTAGATTACCTTTCTATACATAATTACTTTCGGCTGATCTTTAGAATATGGTAACTGGTAGTTTGGCGACATTTTGGAGGCGATAAAGGTTACTACCTGGGATTTTGGTAATAATGTGAGCAGTACTCAGTTCCGATTATGCATTATTTTGTGTGAGGGAAATGAGAGATCATGGGATATGTCATGTGATATTAATGGACGAATTACGGTTCTTTAATCGGAAAAGGGGGGAATTTTGGAAAAATATCTGTGGCTGTACTATTATTTGCAGTATTAAGCTTCATTGTGTGTTGTGTGAAGTAGGGTTGAATTAATTTTGGGATTGTATGGCGCTATCTAAAGTGAAAAATCGTATGAATGTTTGGAAGATGAAGGTTTTAAACATCTTGCTGTGAACCACAAATATTATTTTAAAGATCCGGAAACAGGTGCACATACCAATACAATAGAGGGCACTTGGAGTGCTATAAAAAGCGCCATTCCAAGGCATTGTGATACAGAGAATTTTGCTTTTTACTTAGCGGTGGAAGTGTGGAGGAAAAATTCTCAGAAAAAATTGTTCAATAATTTTATTGAATACATAATAAAAGTGTAGCCACCGTGTAAGCAAGATTCTGAAGAAGATTAGGTAAGTTAGTGTTTTTAATTATTTGAGGATATTATTTTTATGCATTGTTCTAAATGTAAAGTGGAAGTAAAGTAATTTGGTATTATTGGGAAAATTGTTATTAGCAATGATTTAGTTTAAAGTAATTAGGATTGTAAGCTAATTTTTATTAATTTAATGTATGTGCTTATTTATATTTTAAGTAGTGTTTTTTAATTTAATTATATTTTAATTAAATGATAGTTATTTTGTGAATTTTATGTTTGTAGGAATTTGGTATACGTTTTAGTTGAAGTAAACGTGCATGGAAATAATTTAAATATTTGACACTAAGTATTTGTAATGCTTGCGGTATGAATTCGTTGGTGACGTTTATAATATAATAGATGATTTAGAGGTAAAAGTTTTTGGATATTTTATTTATTTTATATGTGGAAATGTTCATATTTGGAAAGGGTATATACTTTTTTGCGATCAGGTAATTTCATATATGTTCTTTTTACCGGGTTTAAAGATTCAGAAAATTGTCATGTATTTTCGTGAAATTTTTCTAATTTATGAGAAAAAAGCAGTGTACATGGATATAGTGAAGAGTGTGCGCAATGCCATTTTTTGTGCAATTCTGGGATATTTTTTTTAAGTAAAAATAAGTCGACGTGTACATGGTTTATGTGTATGTGTTATTTTGAAAAACGCGTAAGGAGTATGGTATTGTGCACTTTTTCCCAATTTTGCAGTGAATATTTGTCATGATTAAGCAGTTTTGTTAGATAAAATTTCTAGCATAAGTGTAATTCGGCTAGTAGATTGTTGGAAGAAGTGTTCAGTAGATAAAAAGAAAAGAAACATGTCTTTAATTCGTGAAGACAAAATGGCGGCGGGAAAAAAAAAAAATAGAGGGTTGCTGTAGGAGAGTTGGTCGCCAAATTTTCGCCAAAAAATCGCCAAGTTACCATAATCTAAAGATCAATCATACTTTTTTCTTTGATATAATTTATTTATTTTTAGTATTAATGAATTGAGTTAATGTTGAGAGCACTGTTTTTAAATAATTTTCTAAAATCAATATACATATTTATTTCCAGGATGCTGAGATGAAAACCCCTTTGCATACTGCCATTGCTAATCAGAACTCTGTTATAATCAGTTTGTTGTTGTCATGTCCAGCCTTAAATTTAAGTTTAAGGGATAGGAAAGGTTATACACCATTTGCTGCTGCTATGATGGTAAAAAATAATAAAGCAGCAGAAGCAATTCTTTCTCGTGAACCTCGAGCTGCTGAACAAGTAAGGGAATTTCTTACTTTTAGTTATTTATTTATATTTAAATGATACTAGTAAAATGTACGTGTTTTAAGATCAGTATTTTGTATTTTAGTTATTATTATATATTGTTCCTCTCATTATTTATTCTTTATATTTTAGTAAAATTATTCCAATTGCTAATAAATGTGTATAATGTGTATTTAAACTTCAATTTCCCCTCTTCAATCCATGTTGGTGTCTTTCTAGCCATTTGCATGGTTCTAGTTTTTATTGTTATACTTTCTTAAGTGCAGTGGAACATTGGTGCACAAATACTTTGGATCACAAACAGATCAGTTCCTGAACAAATTTTCCAAACAAAAGATTTTTTAGATGATGAATGGTGGAATGAACAAGTAAGACAGCAACAAATGGTACTCCAAAATGCAATTAATGCAGTGGAGGAAGTACCTTCAGAGAAAGAAGACTGAGAGGAAGATGTTTTTCGTTATTTAATTTGCAAAATGTATATGAAATGGGATATGGTGTGAAGGTTCATAAAACAATATCATCCTGATAAATTAGTAGTAAATTGTAGCATAAAAATTTGCAGTTGCAATACCATGCCCTAATTTAGCAATATTTTAAAGCAGAGACAAACAAATCATAATGGACTAATTTTTGATGGGACAGAGGCTCAGTGATTCTTAATTAGAGGTGAGCAATATCAAAAGAAAAAATGATAGAAAAAGAGCAGTTACTTAATATTTTTATGGCATATGATTTCCCTTTCAAACAATATTTGCACCTTTGGCTTCTTCACTGTTTTCAATAATGCTCTCAACTCTCATGTATGTATTGTAATACAGTAAAATTTAATTCGTTTTTCTATTTTTTTATATGTTTAGTATTGTGTTTAATATTTTGTACATGTTAATACTGTGAATATGTTAGATTAAATGAATTCTATCAGTTTGCATTGTGAGTTTAATACAAAGTACACTTTTTTTAGCAGTCATTTGGAATCCATTTGTGGATTAATTCATTTTATGTGAATTCTTATGGGAAAAATTATTTTGATTTATAACTATTTCGGGTGACGAGTTATCTTCAGGAGTGAATTTACTTCAAATTCTGTTTTTAAAAACAACAATCATATAAGTATCTAAATATTTTGGTTATCATGAAGTGTTACAATCTCTACTGAGATATTATTATCGTGTTTTGTTAAAAAATAGATTTAAAATCTCATTTGTATACTTTTCTTTGCAGCATGATAATAAAGGGAGGAATTTCCTTCATATTGCTATTCAAAAGAAAGACATTGAAAGTGTTCTCTTTTTGTTGAGTATTCATGTCAATATCCATTCCAGAGTACAAGATTCTACTCAACTCACCCCTCTTCATCTTGCTGTTGAAGCAGGATCTGAAATAATCGTTAGGAATCTGGTGAGTTTTTAGCCAATTTTACATTATTCTTATTTTATATATTTTCTATAAAGGGAAAGTGAAAAGTGAAAAAAATGAATCAGCATGTGGAAGTTTGGTTTTCGTGCCTTCTTCTTTGGAAAAATTTCCAAACTATCGATATTCACAGTAAGCTTGGTAAACAATATCAACATAGGAAAAGAAAACATACTTTAGCAATTTAAAATATAAATTTGAATTATTAAGGATTATGTCAAGCATAAAAAAAATAAAACACATTCCTCTTAGAATTTTTCGTAATTTTTTGTTTGTGTTTTTTTTCCCATTATTCTTCTCTTGAAGTACACAGTTAAGTTTTCTTTTTAAAAAAAGTCAGAGAATTGTGGAGACTCCGCTTTGTGCAATCTTTGGCAACAGTGGCTATCTAGAAAATGCATTTCATCATTGTTCCCTTTAGAAAAATTTCAGCAAAATTCTGTATTACTGCCGAAATTTTACCTAGTTTCTTCCATTGCTGGCGAATTCCACAAGCTCATACTTTAAAACTATGTTTAAGGCAAAAAATATTATGATTTGTGTATAAAAACCGGGAATAAAACAAAACAGAATGTGTATGAAAATGTCAGCATTAATTGACTGAAATTATTGTTATGAGCACGGTTGCAGAAAGAATGGTTATGCACATGATCCCCAGAGTTTGGCGCTTTCTGGAAACTTGGCTACTCCTAGTAAGATGGTTCTGATAGTATATAAGTACCCCTCATGGTCTGTATATTTTGTGTGAATTTGATGAATTGTTACAGAACACTAGAACAATGTCTTATACCTCTTATAAATTAATATTTCAAAATAGCTGATAAATTAATATTTCAAAATAGCTGCTAAAGACAATATAGTTATGGCCATCCTTGGCAAAAGACTATTTTATTTAATGATTCACTTAACTCATGATATATCTAATAAATAGTTTTTATAAATTTCATTTATATTATTTATCAAAGATTTTTCCAATGCCATGTAGTGTGCAAATGTTACAGAATGTTTTATTTTTATTAGCCTTTTACATTTTTATAAAGTATAACCTTTCTCCAATATATTATGTTGTAATCTGAAGATTTTAAACTCGGTCTGCCTAGCTCAAATTTTGCTAATAATTCATATCGAAATTCTTCACTATCCATTATGTTTAATTCATCCAGTCTGTCATAAATATTGTGATGATATTACTTTAAGCACTTTTCTTGACATTGTTCCACAGTTCTTTGGGAAAACTTTGTTGTCTCTATAAATAACTATGAATTAATTTTTATGAAAAGATAGTAAACCATATTAATAATGCATTTTTTATAAAGGTTATGTGTTTTTATTTGATGCCACCTGTGGATAAGTTTCATTAAAAGTCTGTAATGAACTTTCACCAATTAAATTCATTGTTTTTCTTTTCCGTTGTTTCATTTGATGGCATCATTAGAATTTTAGTGCTTAAATTTACTTTTAATGATCATTAGATATTTGTTATTCCTGGAAAATTAAATTATTGAATGTCTGTGATTCTTATCTTTGCTTCTTTTAACTGTATGTTGATTTTCAAAATTGTATTGTGTGTTTAAGCTTTAATAAGTTCCTCATTTTGCATAGAATTAAAGCTTTATGTGAATCCGGAATCACTTAAAATAGAATTTATTATATTGGATCACATGTAAGATTCCTTACCCTAAAATGCATTTAAAAATCCATATCAATCATATTCACAGCCCAGCATATAAAAAATACACCAGTTTACCATTTACTGTTTTTATATTGTATATAATAATTAAGTAAAATATAACTAAACAATTCAAAAAAATTGATTTCAAAAATATATGAAGGATTATAATTGAACTACCTAAAACCTTGCTGTGGAATAAGATAGTTAACAGTCTTTGGCTAAGAGTAAAAATAAACTGTGGATATTAAAATCAAATTATTTTGGAAAAGACCTTATTAAAATTAGATAAGGTTAATTTGATCGTGTTTTTATAACAGTCTCTCTCTGAAATCTTCTTGAGGTGGTCAGCGAGGAATTGTTACTCAATACAGCATTTGGTACTCAACTTTTCCTAAATTTATCAGATCCAGTTTAAAAATCCCAATTAAATAAAATTATAATATATATGTAATACCTGTGATAAATTTAGGGGACCATTTCTATGTATTTTTGGTTACCAATGTAAAAAAAAAGTTCAATAACAAAAATGACCAAAATGGCAAAGCATACATGAAAAATTCTGAAAAGAAATGTATAATATTATTGCAAATATTTTAATCCTTTGGTTGTATTTTTGATTTTTTTGCAGTGTAGTACTTCATATTGTTTTGTTTATTTTATTTATTTACTGTTTTTAGAATCGTAATCTAATTTGTGGCCATATATGTTGTATTTAAGTATTTATTTGTTGCATGGAATTGTAAACCTTTTAAACCTTTTAATTCTGAGTGCTGTGGCTTTGAAGTTATAAAAATAACTCAGAAGGTGAGATATAGTCAATTTTCGTTCTTAAGGGGCCTTAGTGACATTTTGTGATTTCTAGCCAGCTTGGCAACTTTCTGGAAGATTTGGAAAACACATTTTCGAAGCCATACAACCAATTCTTCCAGAAGTTTCCAGAGCCAATGCTTCAGAATATAAATACAAATGAAAGAGCTAGGGAGTTCAGTAAGCTGTGAGATTTAGCAGTTAGCTGTATTACTAGTTAAGAGTTTATCCTGAGAGTGATTTGAGGAATTTTATGATTTACAGGGGTTGGACAAAAATATGGAAACACCTTTAAAAAAACATGTTTCTTTGCTTAATATGGTGTAGGAAACCCGTTGGCATCCAAAACAGCTTGCAGTCTTCTCGAAATGGATAAATACAGTTCCTGTATGTTTGCCAAGGGAATATTATACCATTCTTCCTGCAAAACGGTGGCAAGTTCAGATAACGATGTTGGCGGTGGATAACGAGAACGCACTTTCCGTTCCAATGTAGACCACAAAGTTTCGATAATATTCAGGTCTGGTGACTGTGGTGGCCAGGGGAGATGGGACAACTCATCCTCGTGCTCAGAAAACCAGTCCTGGACAATGTGAGCTGTGTGAACAGGGGCTTTGTCGTCTTGGAAGACACCATCACCATCGGGGAACAAAGTTTGTACCATGGGATGAACTTGATCGGCCAAAATGTTCACATAAGTCTTGGCAGTCATGTGCCCTGACACAGTTATCATGGGGCTAGCAGAGAACCACGATATGGCTGCCCAAACCATAACAGAACCCCCGCCATGTTTCACTCTTGGCAACAAGCAGTCTGTATTATAGGCTTGAGATGGCGTTCTCCAGACGTAAACTTGGCCAGAAGTGGGAAACAATGTGAAAGAAGACTCGTCAGACCATATTACTCGCTTCCACTGCTTTAGGCTTTATGACTTAAACACCACCTTTTCCTGTTACGGACATTAGCATCACTGATGAGTGGCTTCTCAATTGCAGCACGGCCAGCAATTCCCTGTTTATGAAGCTCCCTTCTAATTGTTTTGGTACTCACAGGGTTCGGTAACACAACATTCATTTCAGCAGTAACTTTTGCAGCTGTGGTCTTCTTATTTTTCGTCACAATTGCCCTTAATGATCGTCTGTCACGATCACTCAGGACACACTTTCGTCCGCGCTGTGATTTAGCAGATGATGTTTTTCCGCTTTTCAAATATGCGGAATAAATCTTCGATACAGTACCTCTTGAAACACTAAACACCTCGGCTACCTTGCTTACGGAAGCACCTACCATACGTGCTCCAACAATTTGCCCACGTTCGAAGTCTGTTAACTCTGACATAATGCAATGACAACCTCACATAACAGTACTCCGACAACAACTGAACTGTTTAGCACATTTACGAAGTTGTATAGGTGGCGTCAGTAGTCAAAAACGCCAGCGCCACCTACATATTTCATTAAAATCAATCTTTCTTTTCAAACATGCATTTCACAAGGTGTTTCCATATTTTTGTCCATCCACTGTATTTCATGTGTTAAGGAGAAAATGCTAAATATCTGCATTCTTCCTGAATTATACCCAGTTCTTATTCTGATGTGTATACTATTTCTTGTGCTTATTTTCCTAATAAATTATTCATTTCCCCCTGCTTATCTGGACTTATTATTTAAAGAAAATCAACTGTTCTGTAGCTTGCAAGATGAGATTAGTGATCTCATTATTTTAGAAATGGCTTAAGTGAACAAATTTGTGCATAAAGTATTATAAAGATTTCTTAAAAAAAGAACCAATAGCTCTTTAAATTCACCCGTTTTCTTTAATGCGTATCTCAGAACTTCTTTTGTGTGCTAATAATATATTTGGACTGACGTACTCATTCAAGCTAAATCTGTGGAAGGGAGAGGGAGTCTAGAAATATTTGGTATATGTTAATATTAAAAATTGATTTTGATGTATGTTTATAAATATTGTTAAGTAAAAATAAGTTTCTCTCTGTTTTGAAAGTTGCTAGCTGGAGCACAGATAAATGAATTAACACCTCTGAAGCAAACAGCTCTTCACATAGCTGCAGCTCATGATCATAGTTCTATTTGTATGGTGCTGCTTGAGAATCGTATAGACTATGATGCTGTTGATAATAACCAGAACAATGGTAATCTGCTTCATTAAAATGTAATATTTTTTAAATATTAGAATTATTTAAATGTGAATCTATTGTCCTTATTCCTATATTAATATTATTAGGAACTGATATACTTCTGGTGCTTTCATGTTAAAATCAGAATTAAATAAGATGATTAAAATTATAAAATTTATTGCTGTTATGACATTTATGTATTTAAAATTAATACGATTTATTAATTTGATTAAGACTGTAATATTGGAAATTTGATTGTATACAAAATCAATGTGAAAAATGTAAATTCAAAGTTTATGAAATCTTTTAATAAATTTCATGACTATTCAAGTAATGAAATTTTTGAGGTTTTTTAATTCCATGTTTTGTTGTTTGTAAAGTAGTTTTAAGGAAACTTTGAGAGCTTATTCTTAAATGTTAATCTATTTCAGCTTTGCATATTGCATGTCAGAAGGGAAACCTTGCTTCTTGTCGTGTTTTATTAACTGAATCTCAAATCAATGCTGAAACTATAAATCTAAGGTAAATTGGTTTATTGGTCTTTGTTTGGTAAAGTATGAAACCAGACTTTAAAAGTGTAATTAATTTATGTATAATAAACACTAGCACTCAAATTATCCAGATATCTGATATAAGTTTCCTCTCATTTACAATAATAAATCATCCTTGTGAAATTTTTCACTAACTCAGATGTGTAAGCAAAGAAACCATTGCCATTAAAGATTACCATGTATGCTATGGTATAATTTTCAGAAATGATGAAAGCAAAATTTTGTTATTAAGCAATAAGACTTTGGTGCATCAGAAAATGAAGTATTAGGTGTTTGGTTTTAAAGTTTTAAACATTCAATTTAGGACAAGTTTCATATAAAGAAAAGGGAAACAAGCTAATCACAACAAAATGAGTGGCATCTCTTTAGACTTCTGTGGAGTACTGTTTAGATTAGGAAATGTGCCACATTTGCCATTGGAATTTTAAGACTTGTTTAATTTTCAACTAGTTGTCAAAAGTGACATATTATGAAGCTTAACTACAAGATAATCCTACATGTGTCACCTAAAATAACTTTATGATAAATTATATTTTTATTTTATAACTGTTATGTGTATTTATAAAAAGCTAGCTTGAAATTGATTTTCATTAATTTTTACTAGTATTTTAGAAATTAAAAAGTTTTCTGGCCTTTAATTTCTAAAAAAAAAAAAAAAGAAAAAAAAAAAAGAAAAAGAAAAAAGAAAAAAATAGCTTTTTTTTTTTTCCCCCCTGAGAAATTTTAAGTAAGTATATACAGATAATATTGATAATATAGTACAAAGTCTGAGATTCGGACTCGTCAGGACTGGATCTGGGTTTTTTTCAGATATTTGATCATTGATTTAAATCTAGTAAGTTGACGTCTAGAAATTATAAAATTTAAAATATGAAATAGTGGTTTGTGAGATAATGAAGCATTTATGACTGTAAGGAAATCAAAATTTACCAAAAAATACACTCAATATGTATTTTTTTGCTTTATTCAAAATTTCTTTTAATGTAAGTTGCTTAATTTGCTTTGTTTTTTTGTGCCAGTACTTTCTCTTTAATTATATATTAATTAATTATCCATAGTTTCGTTTCAGTTACAAAGTTCTGTTGTTCAGGTCTGTTAATTGCTGTATTGAGAATTGCTTTTATTTTATTGATATATCATAAAGTTATTGATATACCTACGTAAAATTCTTAAATTTATTTATTAAACATTAAGTGAATTCAGGTATTTAAATTCAGTATTTTTATATATTTATTAAAAAAATTTTTTTGTGTAACATGGCTTATTTTGTAAGAGAAAATATCCTATAAATCAAAAGTTTCCTATTCTATTGTAAGGTTAATAAAAAAATTCTACTGAAAGTATAACTCAAATAAAAATAAAATGAAGTATGTTCATTACAAATATTTCTTTTAAATACTATGAATTTTGCTTTATATTAAAAAAAATCTATCATAGTATATGACACTGAAATTTTTGTTTTGTATTAAATAGAGGCCAAAATCCCCTTCATGTTTTGGCACAATATGGGAAAGAAAATGCTGCTACTATTTTTGACTTATTTATTGAATGCATGCCGAACTATCCCATAGACCTACCAGATGCAGAAGGAAATACACGTAAGAAAATTTGCAGCATTTAAAAATTTATTTTAAAATTTATCAGATACAGTTGTGATTTATAAGCTAATATGTACTGGTGTTTAGAAAAAATGCAGGTATATTTGATATACACTAACTACTTATAACTGCTAGCCTCCTAAAGCAGGTATTATAAAAATTATCTGATGAATTTAATGAGTTCAGTCCGTAATTTCATAAGTCCTTCTAGTAATTAATGATAATAGAAATGAAGACCTGTGTTTACTGCTTTCAAATCACTTAGTTTGTTAATCAATAACAGATAAATTAAATGTTTTATGCTTTTCCCATTACATTAATTCGTGGAAAATAAAAATATTTTGTTTCTGAAAGTGGCAACTTGTTTCTTTTAAATTGCTGACTTTTCAGATTAAATCTGAAACATCAATATAACTTGCATTTTGTCAAGTGGCAACCTTTCCTTTCAAATCGCTGAGTTTGTTAATAAAAATTAATTAAATTTTCACAAAACATGAAATAAATGCCTTCAAGGTATGCATGTTTTCAAAATTTGGTGGCTGTAGGTGCTGTCATTTTTTCATAGTGTGAGGAATATATATACGTATATATGAATTATTCATTATTCAATAATAGAGATTTATGTTAAGTAGAAAATGCATTTTTCTGTGGTTTGAAAAAACTGGAGTTCAATTTTTTCTAACTTAGTGCCAGAATTCTTTTTCCATAAAATCAGATTTTTTAAAAACAAGCAAATCTAGATTAAAGTTTTTGAGTTGATTATTAAAATTCACTTAATATCAAACTTTAATTTTACCGATATTAAAATTATAATTATTTCTCACCATTTGAGCAATATCCGATTAGCAAATTGTAATTTATGAAAGCACTTTTTTTTAAATCACCACAACATTTTAAATACTCTGCTGTACCTTTAATATGTTTATTGTTAATTTATATATGTTATCACTTTATTCTGTAATAATAATGTTTGTATGATTGCATTTTCATTAAGAATTTGAAGTTTAGCATCAAATGATTTTTAATTGTTTAAACATCTATTTATTATATCGCTCTTTACCTCTTTTATTACTGTTTCATACTAAAACATAATTCATGAAAATTTTGAATGAACTAAACTTTGATTGGAACACATCTGGTCAATGAAGAAGTTGTTACCAAGCAGTACAATATAAACACCAGCTGTAGAGGTACGTGATGTCACAAGACCTGCAGCTTCATTTGATGTAACCCTGATTGATCCTCAATGAGTCTTCTTTTTATTTTTATGAGCAGGGGTATAAATTAACTGTTATTGTTGTATTTTTCTTTCCTCGCATTAAAAAAAAAAAAAAAAATACATAGTTCAAGGGCTGTAGAATCACATTTATGATATACTTCTACTCTAGCTCATTTACAGCTGGCCAGGAGAATTAATATCTCTTGAATAGTTTTCCCTATTCAACTGAATACATGCTTGATACTACTATAAAACTGGATATGGCCAACAAAACAGTAATAGGTTGGAACAAGCACTTGAAAAAAATTTGTGCTCATAATGGCCTAAACAGAGCTTCTGGTAAAATCAGAGGACCTAATGAAATAGTAAAAATCAATGAAAACTTTTTTTATAAAGTACAAAAATGAAGTGGGTCAAATATTGCCAGAGCCATGGCTATTTTCTGGATTGAGGAGAGACATTAAAAAAAGTTTTAAGAGTTGCAGGCAGATATGCAATTCAGAATTTCACAGGTGAGATGTCTGTTAGCATTCATAGTTTGATGGTAGCCAAGTTTTCATGATTGAAAAATAATATGCAAGTACCATTTGATTTAATATGAATTGATTGCTTTTTAGTTTCTTAAATATGTAGATTCTGTTAATAATTTACATACTTAAAGGAACTGAAAAGTATTTGGAAGGAAAAAAAGAATAGTAGTGGTTCATTACATATACATCATCAATATTTGAATACAAACACTTTTCTATTCATCTTAATGTAAAAAATAAAAGCATTTTTTCCTGTCTCTGCATACTAAGTTGCTATGAGTATCCTTGTTTTTATAGTGTGCATAAAAGCATGTTTTGGAATGTTTTAAGCATGTAATTCTGTGTTAGTTCATAGCTAATAATTACAGTATTGTTGTAGCTGTAATGAATTTTTATATTATAGCTCTTCTTCTTGCTTACATGAATGGAAATGGAAATCTTTGTCGAGCTCTGGTTCGTGCTGGTGCATGCTTAGGAACCTGCAATCGCCAAGGCATTAATATATTTAATTTCCAAGTGGCTACAAAGCAATTGCTATATAGATTATTAGGTAATTAATGGAAATGTTTTGAAGTTCCTTCAATAATTTTGTTTGCTGAAATTATTGTGTGTCGTTTTTTCCCCCTTGTTTTCTAGAAAATGCAGCATACCAAGTGTTTCTATTCATTATGAGTAAAATGTTCTAATTTGTGCTCTAAATTTTTGTTTTTAATATTTATTTCAATATGTATTATTGCAAAATTATCTCATTTTTTGAAAGAGGATATTATAAATCCTTTCTTAGGATAATGTATTATGTGCTATTTTTGAAAAAGATACATATTCCATATATTAAAATGTTTTGTTCTAAGAAACATATGTGAATTGTGAAAGTTCAAAGACCATTAAAATTCTGGTAATTAATAGTGTATCTAATATTTGCAGGTATCATTACTAAAAATCTTAAATGTCTAACAGTATACTATTTGAAATTTAAGTTTTATCAATAAATGGAAGTAATTTTTGAGAATTACTGATGTGAATGGGTAAAATCTAGTCTAAACTAGTTTGTATCGTTTTTTTTTTTTTTATATTAAATCATTCACACATTGCATTTCTTAATATTTGTAGTAGTTTTTTTTATCTTTCATCGTGAGAACTGTTGTATATGTAAAGGTTTAATGAGTGGGCCAGTTTTTTTGCATAAATTCAAATAATGCTTAAATATTAAATTTTGTGAAAATCACATAATTTTATATTATTTTTACTTTTATTTAATTTATTTAGTTTATTTTTTACTTTGTTTTATTTTACTTTTATTTTTTGCTTTTATTCTTTGCTTTTATTTGAACTTGAAATTTAATGCTAGTTTTTAGTTTAGTGCCAAAACTAGTTTCACTTGATAGCTTTAAACTTGCTATCCTTGGATATTTTTACATTTAAAAGTTGATATGTATTTCTTAAAAATAATTAACAGCCTTAGAATCTGAAAATGTCTAACTACAGTCTAGTGCTTCAAAAGAGAATTTACCTTTAAAAATATTTTAAAATAAAATGTATAGACTCAAACATGCTATCTTCATCTATCAATAAAAATATCATGTAATGTCAATTCATAACACTAAATCTTTACTGTTGCTGAATAAAATTAACTTGCCTCAAAAGGAATTTCAATTTTAAAAATCTCAATTTTTTTTCAAGAGTAAAATAATTTGATAAGAAGAATGCCAAATCATTAAAAAAGTATCATTTAAATAAAACTAAAGGAAATAATATATAGTGTATATATAGTGTATGAATGTATATACATTGTAGCACCATTACACCACCTGTGTAATATGAAGTATGATCCTCTTTTGCCCTCAAAACTATCAACACCTAGCAACAAAAAAAAAAAAAAAAAAAAACAAAAAAAAAAAAAAAAAAAAAAAAAAAAAAAAAAAAACAAAAAAAAAAAAAAAAAAAAAAAAAAAAAAAAAAAAAAAAAAAAAAAAAAAAAAAAAAAAAAAAAAAAAAAAAAAAAAACAAAAAAAAAAAAAAAAAAAAAAAACAAAAAAAAAACAGCACACAGGCATTGACTTAACAAAGTGTTTATAGGTAGCCTGAGATATCTGGTACGAGGCACTCACTAGCTGGTCCTGTAATTCTCACAAATTGTAAGGTGGTAGTGAGGCAGCATGAATTTGGTTTCCTGGGTGGCTTGGTTTGATTTATTTAGTTATGGAAAAGTACACTAGAACTAACTAAGCCTAAGGGGAGGAATGCTTTTGTGAAGGACTCCCTAAGGAAAACTGGCTTGTATATATATATATATATATATATATATATTACGAATGAGGGGAAACTATAAAATTGTCCATGCAGTCAGTTAGTTCACCCTGTTTTGAACCCCGGTATGAACTATCAGTGTTCAGCGACTTTACTACTCGGCCAACTAGTGGGCCATTTTCCAGGTGAAACCAGAAGTGTTTGATTGGATTCATGTCAGGTGAATTCAGAGGCCAAGACATGACGGGAAATTCACCAGAATGTTCCTTGAAAATTCGGCTGTTCTGACATGATACATTATCTTGTTGGCAAACATCATCACTTGCAGGGTACACTTGGTCTGCAGTGATGTCCATATAGCACACAGATAAGGATTGTTCTATGGCAATGATGAGCCCTAATGTGTCCCATGAAAACATTGGCAATATCGTAATACCTCTGCCACCATCTTTTATCCAACCAACTGTGCACCCAAGGTGCTAGGGTTTTCTTTGGAAATCGATGTATTTGCTGTCACTTGTTAATGTGATTTACCAGAAAATATGGTTAATGGACCAGCCAGCTTTCTTTCATTTTTCTATGGTCCAGTGTCCATGTTTCTATTGGCGATGACGTGCCGTCAGTATGAGGACCCAATTCGGGCATCAGCTGCACAGGCGCCTGTGCAGCAGTGTACACTGCACTTTGTTTTGAGATACACACCATCTTGGTCACCACTGTTATATCTGCTGGTGATTTTGGTAGCCCTTTTGTTAATGGCAAACAATGTATAAGTCTCCGCACTCTGGAATTAATGTGCCATGGCTGACAAACGGTTGACTAGCGACTTGTCATTTCACCATCTATATATGCTTTAGATGCCTACTCACAATGGCAGCACGTAGCTCACCAAATGTGCCACTTCTGGAAATGATGATTCCAGGCACCAAGACATAACAATTTGACCTTTATCAAAATCTGGTAAATCTACTGCATTTGCTTTTTTCAACAGGTGACTGGTGGTCATAATGTAATATCTCTTTGATGTAGATCCTTGCATTATGTGTTAGAAGTAATTACTTAAGATATTTGAAATGCATCTTATTTATCATGGTTACAGTATAAAATAATACTGCTGCAAAATGTCTTTAAAAGAATTTAAATAAATTTCAGAGGATTCATTTTTTTATGAAAATGAGCAATATATATATATATATATATATATATATTTTTATGTGAAAGATAAATGAAAAATCTTGCACACCACCAGTTGACAACAACATGCTTTCATATGTCTGGTCTTTATTATGGAAACAGTTTGATAACTAGTGAAAAGAGTATCCTCCCCATACACTTGATGAATTTTTCTTCATGCTAGGGCTACAAGTACTGCCTCTACTCATACAGCAAACAATAATTCATACAGTACACCAAGCAATAACTCAAACTCATACAGCAAACAATGTCTGATATGCTCTTCATTATTTGTTACATAAAACCATTTGAATTTTTTTTAAACCAAATCATTTACTCTTACAAGCATATTGCTTTTATATGCTCTCTGCTTACATGTTTTATTTGCTGAAAATTCCAATCATCACAGTTCCATTTATGATATCAAATCCACTCACTATTCGAGTCTCTGAAACATGAGGCAAATTTTTGCATCAACTGAAAAAAACTTTTCTTTTGTTCTAATTTTAGACATATAATCAAAACAACACGGGGGCAAAATAAATGTCAATTAGAAAATATTGATTTAATATTTAATAAGTTTGTTCTTTCTTGATAAAAAAGAAATGTCAATTAGAAAATTTTGATTTCATGTTAAATAAGCTTTTTCTTTTTTATATTTGATGTATATCTTAAATTGTGCTTTCAAGACATAAGAATGCAAGTTGAATTTTCTTGATATGTCAGCTAGTGTGGGGGATATTAAAATTGTTTCTGTTTCTTTTCCCTTGTAAATATTATATTGATACATATATCCATTCCTTGTATCTTATTTTCTAAATATTTTTGTTAATATCAAGTGTATTTCAATTATTGAATTTAAATAAGAAACATTCTATAGGAATGTATAAGTGGAAAACTTAATTATACATTGTCTCAATAGAAATAAATGTAGTTGATCCATTCTTTTCTTTGTGTGAGTAGAATTAGAGATTTTTTATGTGTCATAGAATTAGAGATCTTATACGAGTTCAGAAATTTTTTTGATGTAAGGGTTTTATTATATTCCAAATTTGTAATAAGTATTTATTTCCTTAACAGATTTTTTGCCCAAAGAGCCCCCATGGTGTGAAGGAGAAGTTTGTTTAGAATGTGCAACAAAATTTGGAATTAAAACAAGGAAACATCATTGGTAGGTTATTTGGGAACACCAAATGAAACTTATGTGTTTGACCAAGAATTATTTTAAAATATGGTACATGTATAAAGTATCTTTAATGAAAATGTATTATTTCTGAGAAAAAAGTATGTTTTTGATGAAGAAAATTACCTTTTTTTTTAAAGAAATTTCACCATTAAAATGCAAATTTTAGAATAATTAACATTTCATATTTCTGTACTTAGACTGTTGTTTGTGTTATTAAAATGTTATTTGTATTATTAAACTGCTAAAGTGAGGAAACAGAATAGCAAATGCAACCACTGACTTTTATTTGTGGCCTTTTCTGAAACAGCCTTGGCATTTTCATTAATTTTCCCCTGCAATGATGTATAAAGCTCGAAAATTATGAAATTAATTTGGGCTTCATATTATCATTCCTTTTTGTTGATTTATGAATATTGATAGCTTTCAGCATAGATTTTTATATTAAATACCAGTTTTCAGAGATATATTACTTAAAGGTATACAAAAATTCAAAAAAATATTATGTATTTTTGAATTTTTAATGCAGAATACTTGATTATTATATATATATATGTTCTTTTTACTTTAATTAGTTATATATATATATTATATATATATATATATTATTTATTTACTCTGGTCTGTATGGTTTCAATTTTCATTTATTATATTTTTCCGTGGATTGTTTGACTTTGTTTGCTCAAAATAAAATTTTTTAAAATGAAGATTTTTTAAGCTTGTTTATGATTTTGATGCTATACTTTTTTCAATTTTTTTACCCTTCTTACTGCAGTTGGGCTGATAAACATATAGATGAGTTTGATTAATCTTCTAAAATTATTTTAAGTATTAAACATTAATTTGTATCATTGTTGATTCAGAAATGGGCAGATATATTTACTTCTTTCATTATGCAGTAAAAGATATCAATTTAAATTTTTTCCTTTTCATTTTTGGTTTTGGCATTTTTTGCACCTATCATGCATTTTGCCACTGTGCTTTTTTGAACTAGCATTTTAAATAAAATAATAGGTATGACATCATGGAAAATTTTAATGTATACTCTATTTAGCTAATATAAGTACATGGGTTATAATGGTAAGCTTTAATATGTTGGTTATATGAGCTTATTCGTAAGTCCGTGAAACAGTTTAAAACTTCTTAGAAAGTAAATTATGTAATTGCTATTGAATTTTATTTATATATTTTTTGTTGTATTTCTACCAGTATGGGAGCTTAAAATTAATTTTTATTAATTGAAAACAGAAGGTATCTATTCCATAAGGGAAATAGTTAATGGATGATTTGAAATTTAAATAAATAAAGTGTTAATTTTCATTGGCATCAATTCTTCATTCACAAAACATTTCATCAATCAGGTAAGCTTTGTCATTGAAACAAATAAATCACAACTAGCTTATCATTAACAATTTGTCTTATTTACAGTTTGTGTCATGCTGCCTAGAGATAATTTCATGTTTAAAGAACAAACAACTTTCAAAATGTTTGAATGTAGTTTGTGATATTTGTTAATATTATTATATCTGCTTCTATAGGTTGTATCACAATAAACCGAGTTTGAGGATTTTATGTTCAAAAAGAAATTGCTGAAGTTATAATTAGGGATGTGTGATATTTTACATTAAAAAAAAATTGAAATTTCACAGCAATTAAAAGAGATCAAAAGAGAAAGTGTTTATAAAATTTTTTGATGGAATGCTGGTGCTTTAAAAATCTGTATGGTATCAATATGAGTACTTAAATGATCACTAAGAGTTTGCGTATGAAAATTACTGTATTAATCACTGAGCTTATCATTTGGAAAAAGGCATAGCTTATAGAATTCATTTACATTGGATAGCACATGTAGAGTCAGTTTATTTTTTAATGCTCAAGAGAAGACTTTAAAGCATTCACAAGATGTGAGTGAATGCTTCATTAATTCTTTTTAAATTAAGAATCAGTTTCATAATTTTAGGACAGAATTAAGGTATGAAAGTCATTTAAAGCTGTATATTGTGAGATCAAATGTGATTTTCGAATCATCTTTTAAAAAAACAATATTTCATCATATATAATCATCATATTTGTCGAGAAAAGCAATAGTATGCTCCATGTATTTAATCATATAAACAAAAACTCTGAACCAAGAATTCCATCTGATTATGACAGGCTTAAGTTTTGTTACCAGTCTGGATATCTTTTCATAGTTTAAGTATGCACTTTTCTTTTCTTTTTTTTTTTTTTTTTTTCAGTTGGAAAACAGCTACTTTTATTTTGGTTGCAGCAATATTTTATTGTTCAGATTCTTATTTTTATCATTTCTTGTTTTCTTATAGAATGTTTCTTTTTTACCATTTCTTGTTTTCTAAGTGCATTTAAAATTTTTTTTGTTGTTTATATCATGTGAAGGTAGTAAGTCTTTCCATCTCTTAAAAACATTAAATGCCGTGTGTTTTGTACTTTACTGTTACCCAAATTAAAAGAATAACTTTTTTCATTGTAATGTTTTCAGCCGTCACTGTGGAAGAGTTCTTTGTGGCAAATGCTCAGACAAAGATGTTCCAATTTTGAAGTTTGGACTTAATAAACCTGTTCGAGTTTGTGAACTGTGTTTTGATGTACTGACAGTTGGCGCTTTCTGAGGTGAGATGTTATGAAATGTACAAAGAATCATCATCCTAGTCTGTTGTTTTCAGTTCTGAATTTTTATATTCCTAAATTGTTCCAAGTATAATCAAACTAAGAATAACAGTTTTTGAAACATTTATATATATTTGTGTTTGCAGTTATTAATTTAACTTGCTTACTAGGTAATTTTGTGTAGTTGCCATATGAAAACTCTATATTATTTTTTCAAACCATGTCAATAGTGTTGCATGTTATTAAAATATGTTTAATGTTCATGTTTACTTGCTCATGTTTTTGTTATTTGTAAAAAGTATTAAATTCTTTGTAAATATTTAAGTAACTTAAAAATCGTGGTTAGAAAAACTGTTGACGATGTTTTAAAGATCTGGTAATGTGATTTTTGATTAAAAATAAAAGCTTCAGTTTCCTAGTTTGTGTTTGAGAACATTTTTTATGTTTGTGAATGAGATCCTGCTAAACAATTGTTGTACTATAAATTTATTGTACAGTTGAACATATATATTTCAAATTATACTCAACTTAATTTGACAGTCACTTAATAATTTTCATTAGATTGGTTAATGCGTGTTCATGATGAAATTTTGTTTTTCATACGTATGTGTGTTCTTAAAAGCTTTTTAAGGTACTATTCAGTTTTGAAGACTGTAAAATATTGCCAAACTATTGTTGATGCCAGTGCTGCCAAAAATAATTTGCAGCAACCTTAACGCAAGAAAGGAAGTGTAATAGTAAATAACTATCTAAAGATTATTGTTTTAATTTACATGAAAGGCTAATTTGATATAATACTTTTTTATTATTATAATTTATATAAAAAAGGCTAAACATGACTGAATGGAAGCATAAGAGTAAATAACTATTTCAGATCATTATTATACGTTATATAAAAGAAGACTAAGCATAACTGAATGGATTTCTGCATCGCTATTTCGCTACCGAGTTATTGCTAAAGCTTAATTTCATCTCATTGGTTGTTTAAACATAATTTTCTATGATGAATGATGCCTTTTTGAAAAAATTTTATTGCAGTATTTTCATCATGGGCAATTCCCAAATTGTTAAATCTATAGGATATCAAAATAGGATTTAAAAATTAAACTAGTATTTCAATGGCATCTTAAGAAATATAGAACTATCTACTATCTAAACTTATGCAATTTGAAATCAGCACATATGCTAGATTTGGTGCACTGTTAAATGGGCGCATTTGCTAGATTTGGTGCTTTTGCGCATATATTTTCGCTACAATTTTTTACGGTTCTCAAAACGGAATAGTACCCTTCTTAAAAAATCTTAAAATATAAAAAAATATTTTATGTATATTAATTATCACATTTTAATGAAAACGTAGATATGTATATATATAATTCTTTTTGATGTTGCATATTTAATTTGTCAAAATAATGTAATGCCAATTGTTAAATGCTTATGTAGACATTTTAGACAGATTTTCTTCATTTGAGAGGCAATCCCCTGGACTTAATGTGTACATCAGAAGTATAGCCAGAGCTTTTTTTTATTGTTGTTGTAGTTATTTTGTTATATAAAGTTAATGTTTTTAAAAAGTCTGATGTAATAACTTAAATGTGTTCCAGAAATCGCTTGAAATGATTTTTTTAAACTTTTCATTGAATTTTATTGAAAAGTCTAGAAATTAAATGTGAAATTCTTATTTGAAAAATGTTCTTGTATTTTGATATATTAAAAATTTTTATGAATTATTTAATAGTGTACAAGTCTGCATTGCATGTTGTGTTGTATATTTGGATGTGAATGACTTTTCTTTTTTGGAATATAACATACAGCTTTCAACCAAAACTACAATTATTTGTACGGTAGTAGAAATTATTTACACTGATTCATACACTTTTATTTGTCTCTCTAATAAATCGGTTCTAATTAAGGTCATGACGATTTAAAAAAATGTGTAATTTGCTGTCTGAGATGTTACTTACTTTTGGATATATTATATATAAATTATAAGAATGCTTTTATTGATAGATATTGGCATGTATGTGTTTCCAAGGAAATTTTTCAGTTTTCATATGCAATCTATATAGGTCATCTTACACATTATGGTTTTATCGTTAAATCCCTTTCTAGTTTTACTGAACTGGAAAAATTTTAAAAAAATCATAATAAGATTAAATGTTTCTTGATACTTCATATGAATTTAAATTTGTATTTTCCCACATTATAAATAATTTAAAGAAATTTAAGAGTTTATTTGAACTTCTTCAAATTCAGGCTTAAAAGTTACAGTACATTACTTAATATTGTTTATTGGAATTGTAAAAGAAGTGTTTTCTAATTTGGTTTTAAATCTTGCTATCAGAGAAGCAGCATTAAGATAGCAGAAGCAATTCAGAGTTAAACAACATAATTAAGTGAGAGTTTTTAATGCCATCTTTCATTGTCCATTTAAGTTGTCACAACATATTGAGTAACAAATGTGAGCTATTGCTCATATGAAAACTGTTAATTCAGTACTAGGCAAAGCAAAAGTTCTAAATGTGTATTGAAATGAATGATATGATATACTGCATTAGAAATATATTTCAGAATTAAAATAATGATTCAGACATCGGTTTGATATATTATAAATTATGCAAATTAAGTAGATTGTGAATCATATCTGTTGGAGATATTCTAAATGAAATGAAGATGCAATAAGAAGTTTTATTTTATATTTAAGTTGTTTCATATGATAAAGATATATAATTTGAATTTGAAAAATAATTTTATAATCTTAATGCCACATTAAAAAGGGGAACATGGCTTAGAATTGCCAATTTATTAAGGTACATGGATGATAAAGATCTTTTGCCACAGTGCTCCACAGAGTTCTTTAGTGGAGAAATGCATTTGTCTGCCACCGCTAACTAGGACTCATCTTTGACCGGTTTTATGGATACTCTGCTGTGGAGCTGTTGATAACCCATGACATTTAAGCTTGCCATTTGATGATAAAATTGGGCTGCAGTATACCTTGAATGTTACTTATTTATATGTTCCAATATTTTTTAATCTTTAATTGTTGGATGTAAAATTTTGTTCCTAATTTTCTCTATAACAGAGCTTTAGCCAGAGGGAAAAAATCTATTTCATAGCAGTCTGATATGTTAGTAGCATGTTGAATTAATTTAAAGAGATATAATAAGTGAAGTTGATTTGTTCGTGAGAGACTTAATAAAAATGGAGAATGAGATGTTACATTTGCACTATGTTACAGTATATTAATTTTGGAAAAGAATAAATGTTGGAATTTAAATAAAAGGGGAACATATTTGAAATGGGCTTTTTGAGTTTGGTAGATTTATAAATGGGCTTATTGTTAACTTAAATGATAAGCCCTGCTTTGCACAGATTTTCAGTAAAAATGACGATGTGTCATTGAAAAACAAGACACAATAATCATAAGGATTGCAATTGAGGAGATTGAAAGGAGGTTTAAGGTTAACATTTCATCTGCATGTCAATATTTATAAAAATATGATTTTATTTCCAAGCTGATTTCATTTCCAGGTGCCACGTTGTTTGATAGAAAATGGTAAGTTGGATTGTATTTCTAAGCAATGGAAAGTGAATACTGTATAAAAGCAATGAAAAAAAAAAAGCTGAAAATTGTAGAATCTTGAACAAGCGCTGTCTCTTCTAATGTTGTTGCCTTCTGTGCAATAGAATTGCAGGAAATCACTTTCTTTGAATTTCTCTGATCCGAGGAACAATCGTAGCGAACAAGTACTATGGGAAGCTCATCAAAAATAGAAAATTCTCAAGCAGGCAGCATTTTCTCCAGATTTCCTTCTGTTCTGATCTCTATAGTTTTAAGTTTAAATGGATAGAAATTTGATTCAATGAAAATTGCCCAAAACTGTCTCATTACCTTCTTTGCAAAAAAAAATACACAAAACATTATGTGAAATAGTTGTCCAAAACTATTTCACAACCTTTTTTTTTTTTTTTTAAATAATAATAATAATAATAAAATAAAAAAAAAAAAAAAAAAAAAAAAACTATCTACAAATTTGTGAAGCATTGAAAAACTGTCTTACAAAATTATAGCTTGTTTTGATTATTGGAATATGGCAAAGCTCACAAGGGCTATATCCCTAAAAGAAGAGATGCCTTTTAAGAGGACTTTATGAGAAAAACTGATTCATATCAAAGTTGCATATGGGAAAAACTCTGAAAACCGCCCTGTTCAAACACAGGCTGAACTAGCATTCAGAGGTCTCAAACACTTGGCTTGCTGTTGGTGCTCTAAATGATGATGATAATATATGTAAATAAATTTCTCTTTCAGATAGACTGCTTATATTTTATTTTCAAACAGGGCACATATTTTTGTACTCATCTAAAATCAAACAATAAAAGCCTGAATGATACCATTTTTATGTTTTGTTTCATAAATTAAGGGAAAAGTTGTTTTTGCTACAGAAATAATAATTAAAATTAATATAATACATACATAAGAAATGAGAATGTATCATATTGTTTTGACATGAAATATTTTCAGTTGCAAAAACAGATAATTAGTCCAAAGGGCGATTAATTTTGTTTTGACATTTTGCGTTGTTTCACAATAAATGTTGGTTCACTTTTCAAACCGTTGCCACCAAATATTACAGCCCTGTGTTTTAAATCCTATGTATAAAAATGCCTATTATAAAATGCCTGTGTGCCTATGTATTTCCGACTGTAAAAAGAATATGAAATTGGAAGAGGGAAAGAATTGTTTAGTTGTTTTTGTGTGGATGTGTAGAGTTTCAGGATGCGAATAAAAGGCATTGAATTACAAAGTCTGTTCGAAATATGCAATGGAAGGAGAGCACTGAAGGTAAGTTTCATTTATTATTACTGATTAACATGAAATATGGGGTGCATGCCAAACTGGGGTCATTGCGGTTGTTAAATAATGTTATTATTATGATAGCTTTATTTTTGTCATTGGGTCGTTTTTTTGGAAATGTTACTTTTTTATAACTTGAATCTGTGGATTTGAGGGATATTTCCGTCTCTGGCATTTGCTTTGTCCTTTCAAGAAAATTTCAAAACTCGTAATTATGAATAAATTTCATTTACCTGACAGTTCTTTCCATCGATGCCGGTCCTCTTCTGAAGTCAATCGTGAGTCATAGACTAGATTTCAATCCGTACTTATGACACAAACGTTTATTACATTTTATGTACAGGAAGAAACTTGAACATTTCGGTGACGAATTACACCACTGTCAAAATAAGCACAGCTATTGGTAATAGTAAAAGAGAGGAAGTTAACTCCTCAGCGTTAAAACCCTCATCACAGTCATTTTTTTAAAACGACTACATTTAACTTAAAGAAAAGAATACAAAATAAAATGACAATAACTTTTGGAAGTCAAAACTGCAAAGTCAAAAACAGTAAATAAATCATGAAGGTAGAATAACCCGCCACCTGACGCCAAGAATTGCTCAAGTTCCGAGTTTCTGATTGCTATATGTCATTTTTAAAAGGTTAAAGACAGAGTTGCTGTTTTATTTTTATTACATTGGAGTGCATGTTGAATGCGACTATGTATATGAATAATGTAATGACTTGGAGTGTATGCATATGTAACTCTTTTAGGGAGAATGTGATCATGGCTGGTGCTCAGTACCAAGGCTGTGCGCAATGCCGAGGTTGTGCACGATTTTCCGAGGTTTGTGCAATTTTCTGATTCTTTTTGTAAGTGAAAATAAATTGCTGTATGCATGGAGAGAATAACAGTAATGTATCGCATATAATGTCCAATGCTTAATATAATATATTGGTTTTGTATTTTTAATTTGTACTGTTGTATTAATTGTAAATTGTATTTTTAATCATTTTTGTATTTTGAATTAGATTGCTTTCACATCGATAGTTTGGCAATCTTTTAAGTCAAAAGTCGAGTCACGAAATTTGCAAGCTTGCGCTCGATACGTAACTTTTGCATATAAATTATATAGTGTTTGCTATCGTAATTGGAATGCCGAGGCTGCGTGCAATGACTAGATTGGGCCCGACGGTGAGTTTGTACAATTCTTTGGTATTATTTTAAATGAAAACAGATCACTGTGTACACGTGGAGAATAACAGTAATGTATCATATATTACATGCAATGTTTAATATATCATTTGTGCCTTGTTGTTTTAATCATAAATTATATTTGAGTCATCATTTTTATATTTAAATTGTATTTTTAATTGTTTTCTTTTGATATGTTGATTATCTTTTCATAATTATCATTTTTCATTGTTTTCTTTTGGTATGTTGATAATGGCCTTTTGACTTATGATAAATAGCTATAGTTTGAGGATCCTTTTAAAAACAGGGGAAAAACTATGAACGTTCACCCGATAAGTAACTTTTATCTTATTATTTTAATACTTAGTCTTTGGTATCGTAGTTGCACTTATATGTTTTCTTCTTGAAATATTGCTTATTCTTCCAAATTTGTCGTTTTTATTTTCCTTATTGTGATAAATTAGATTTTTCAGTTATTAATGTATAGAATTCCAGTATGTGTATGGAGACTATAATGTTATTTAGGAATTTAAGAAACAGTGATGTAAAAGCTGTGTATCATGTTCATTTGCCGTAAAAAATATTTAAATTTTTTCATTAATACTAAAGTTTAAAATTTTTAGAAAATAATGAAGAAGTAAAATCATTGTAAAAACTATAAAATTAAACTGTTCCATGATGTGAAAAAAATTAAATTATTTTTTTTTTAAATTTGTATAAATAGTAAAGTATTGCAATCTTTGAAAATATTGAAGCTGTGTGAAATACAGTTATGAGAGACAGTGACATTGTTTACCATTTTAACAACTGAGATAACTGAATTACTGTGGCATGTTAATTTTAAATCTAAACGATTTATTATACTCATTTTCATTAAAATTAAAGTTTAACTGTTAGAAATGTAAATTTAAAGAATTTAATGTTAATTGCATATAATAAACAACTGACTATTGTTGTTTTAATACAAAATAGTAAACACACATGGGGAAAAATGCCAGAACAGATTGTGATGTCACAAGCTTAGTCCTACCCATCTGCGACATCACTAAGCTACACCTTTACAATTCTGTTTATGCAGTGGATTCTGAGCTTTTACCTTAATTTACTTCCAAGTACTCCTATGTCCCTTTCTCATTCCTATGCTATGAAGTAACCGAAAGTAAACTTAAACCACTCTGTAGGTATGTAGAATAGTATCAAAGGTTAGGGGAATAATTTAAATCTTCTGTCTACGATAATCCAAATCTTTCAGCCATTGTTTACACGTTTAGGCAATATCAGTCGTTTAGGCCATCTGTGCCTGACACTAGACTTTTCGTTTAGGCTGCATCAGCCATCTGTGGCTGATACTAGACTTTCTGTTTAGGCCACGTCAGCCATCTGCAGCTGACACTACACTTTCCATTTAGGCCACGTCAGCCATCTGTGGCTGACACTAGACTTTCCATTTAGGCAGCGTCAGCCATCTGTGGCTGACACTAGACTTTCCGTCTAGGCCGCGTCGACCGCCGCTGGCTGACAGCGACATGAATATAACTATACAATTTACACTGTTTTATGGAATTACAGAAAAATTATTTAAAATTTACTTAATTTTGATTCATTACAGGACTAATGGATTTCATTGAAACGCAGTAAGTATAAAAACGGTTCTCCATTACAGCTATTACAAATTGTGACAACTTAGTCTTTTTTCTGGCCATTACTCTACCAGCTTCAGTTGCATTTTTATCATAATATAATTTACAATATTTCCGTACTTCAGAAATCCATTTTCTTTGGAGTTTATGCTGTCGTTTTTTAGATATTCTTGCATTTCTGTTCGATGGAATATCTTCTTTTTTCACAACTTGTAAGGGATAGCGCTAATTCTTTCCGGACTTCAGTAATGCTAATTTTCTGCTTTGGAATATCTTTGCATAGGATGTAACTATTTACAAAACAGACTTGGAGCGTAACGTGTTGAATGAATACCTTTAGGAATCACGTTCCAAACGTAAACTATCTTCTACTGTGATAAGAATCGCTGGCCCTACAATGGCGCGCGCGTGGCCTGAACGGGATTGCCTAAGAAATACGCTTGGCGCTCAACGTGATAAACAAGTATTTTTAAGCATTTGTTTAGGAGATGAGCGAAAGAGATTAGTTGATGAAATAAGTATTATCGTGCTCACTTTTGACACTACAAGAACTTACTAACAAACATAGCGATAAAAATATAATAATTCAAGCTCACCTTGATTTTTTGGGTACCTCCTCTTCTCTATTCTAAAAATAGTAAACTTTTTCAAAATTGTGTCACTGAAAAATTCATCAGCATTATGTCACCAGCACTGATGTAAGATCTTGTCTAAACATCGCTTAAAACTTAAATGAAGGATTTTGATCTTACATATAGGCCCTGCCAAAGTGCATTCACTTTTCTCACTCGCTTTTGCAGAATTCATGTCTTGTCGCTTGACTATATCTTCTATATATAATTTTAAAATGTGTTTAAGTGTATATAGAATTGTGGGATGCTTGTCGCTGACATAAAAAGGAGAAAATATGTTCTGAGAAAGTATTCTTCAAGAAAATAGAATTATGTGCCTCATTATTTACAAAGTATTCAACGTCTGCGAGTTTTTTTTCTTCTATTACACATCATATTTATGTGCAAGCTACATCTCCTTTGCAACATTTTGGCTATTGCAATAAGAAGTAATTGGTGTCTTCATCTACAAATTATGTGTTCATTTTGCACGTGTAAGTAAATAAAAAAATTTATTTTATGACGTCATTGTTACTGTACAAGAGACCAATCGGCCACGAATTCTACAGTGGTGCTATATGATACTACTCATATATATTTATCATTATTGTTCAATTAATTGCTCGCAAATTCGTATGTGATTCAAAAATGATTATCATTTCAGAGTCAGTGAAATAGTGAAAGCTGAGTGAATAGAAGTCTTTTTTTTTTTTAAATTTGTTTTTAATAAATAAACATTTTAAACAAATGTCTCATTCACAAAAGCTGATGTCATTGTAAAACATATCACAGGGGAAAGAAAGCATTTGAAATAGGTTCTTGTAATTGTAGTAATTTTTGTAAAGTAGTACAAAAGGTAGTAATTTTATAGCAATTTTTTCTCTGTTGGCTGACTATAATAAAGTTTTGAATTTCCTGCTCACAAGGAATACTAACTTTCAAATTGTTGAAGGCTGTTATGTAAGTCATGGTAAGTTCGACCATAAAGTCTGATTATGTAGAGTCAATATATATATATGCATATAAAATAATTTATGTACATAATTTTAAATTTGAGATGACAGACGAGGTTTCATAGCGAAAAATAAGTTATATCTTTCAATTTACATAAAAAAAAAGAGAGTGCGGGGGAGTAAACAAGCTGAAACTCAGTACGAGAATCCACCACGGAAGCACATTACATATAACATGGAAATTAACAGCACTATTTTGGTTCCTAAAGCATCAGATTCCTAATTGACGAAAGTGTACAAGTGTCTAGTCTTTGAGGAAGGAGTATTCAGTTAAAAATGTTCATGATATAATGCTTCATTTCTTTGGTTATTCAGCTGTACACTATAATTATTCAGCTTCACCTGGATAGAAATAAAAAATGTGAAAATATGTTTTTTATTACTAAAACATTATATAAATTAAATCTGAAAATAAAATTCTATTTAATATTTATTCATAATTTGTTATTATCAATGTAAACTACTGGAACATAAAATATTTTTTATAATTTTGATCTAACCTAAAAACTTAAATTAATTAATCAAATAAATTTGCTTGCTTTTTATTATATGAAATTTTTTTTACCTAATTCTCTGCCAATGATTCCCCCAAGACGTTTTATTTAAAATATTTAATTTTTTTCAAATTTTCAAATAATTGCATATTTTAATTACTTCTTGAGTAGAATGAATTTAAAAAATAATTTGTTTCAGCAAAAATGGATCATAATACATTATTTATTAAAAATATGCATTTTAGAGCAGATATTTTGGATATAAATATTTTAGGAATACTTAATTTCTTGACGTAGAATCCAGAGTCAAATTTAAATCCAATTAAAAATTTTAGATAATTACCATATTTGATGGCATATAAGACGCACTTTTTTTCCTAAATTTGGTCTCAAAAAGTTACCTGCGTCTTATACGTGAAGGACACAGGTTAACTTTCAATACTGAATGCTATTTTTAGCCCGGATAAAGATCTATGGTCACTTTACTTAACCTGTTCCGCCAAACTAAGTTAATGGCACTACAGGGTTAGGAAATCATCCTAGTCATTGCTAAGCAATCTGACGGTTAGGCCGCCTTTCTACATTTTACATTAATCTGTAGTTTCTTGGATATAATTATTTTCATTCACTTGCTTCATTATCTCTGAGATGCCCTTGTTGCAGTAATAGTCCGTGAACAGTCTATTCACAGGATATGTGATGTAGTCGGAAGGAAAGAACTGCTGTCAAAGGTGCTCTGTCAGAGGGCAGGAGAGCAGGTAAGGAAGTGCATCCGCGTCTTCCCCGCGAAAACCGCAAGAACAGTTGACGTCCCGTCTGAGGAAACGTCTGTAATTCGCTGGGAATTTCCCGTGGTTGGTACAGGCTTGGAGGAAGAGTCGGTTGCATTTGAGTCTTCTTGAGAGAAGGTATTGGGAAGATGTTGTAAATAAATCTTACTGTCTCTTCTTGCTGCCATCGTGATGACCATGTCTCTTGAAATGCTGTCTTGAGGAGCCTTTTTGCAACTTCTGCAGAAAGCAGAACTTCCTTGTCTATTTCTGGTTTAAGAGCTGCAGTCTTAGCTAGTTCATCCGCTCGTTCGTTGCCTTTCGGCCCGGTATGTCCTTTTATCCAGTTGATCTTTAAATGTATGGAAGAGCCTAACATCAAAGAACATCTATCTAAGTGTTGCCATGTGCAAATGTTTTGGAGGAAAGGAATTCAGCGCATTCAGAACGCTCATGCTATCTGTGAAGAATGAATTGTGAGCTTGCTGGTTGCGTATCTAACCATAGTGCTGCTTCTTTGAGTGCTAGGGACTCGGCTTGGAAGACTGAAGCATGATTGCTTAGACAAAATTGTGCTTGTTAAATTTCTTCATTGTTCGAAAAGACCGTGAACGCTGCCCCTACTCGTCCTGAAATTTTTGAACCGCCAGAAAAAATCTCTCTTTATTGTCCTGAGGGTGGCGATTTGCACCAGGAAAGGATGGGTAGATCTCCTGGCTGTAAGTCAGGGGGATCTTGGAAGCTTTCTATGCTGACATAGGATAGATGCAAATCTTCTTTAGTGTGAATGTCCTCTTTGTAATGTAGAAGTCGATAGATTCATCTTTCTAATTCTGCTTTTAGGTCGAGTGGGAGCGTGCCAGCTAAAACCTGAAGTGCTGCGGTTGACGTGGTAGTATACGCCTGGTAATTTTTAACAGATTACCGCTGCATTTGATGTAGTTTTGACATATTCTTGCTGTGCCATTCATCCGACTGGGTAAGCCGCAGAGGATCATGCGTTCAATTGCATTAAGGTATAGATGTTTTAACAGGCGCCCCTTTTGGCTCCACTTGTCTGTGATTGTCCTGTTAGTTTATGATGATTCGATACGTCTTATCTCGGACTTCGTAAGATGTGATACCCACTGAGCTTCTTATCAAGCTGAATCCGAGGCTTTATGGTATCCTGGCGTCGCAGTGGATGCCCTTTCCCACTTTATGCGTGGTGGATTCGCGTCTATTTTTGAACCTTTTGGAAAGACTATCATCTGTGTCTTTTCAATACTGAAACAACAGTTTTGTTGTCTTGACTCCATTTTGTAAGCATTTGTGTGCTGCGTCTGCTTTACGCTCTATTGTTGCCTATTGCCCTCCGTCTATTATGAGTATAATATCGTCAGCGTAAGCTTGTATCTTGGCATTGTCTCCAAAGTTGATGTTCAGCGCTGAGTCTACAATTATGTTCCACAGGATGGGTCTGATATTAAACCCCTGTGGGGCTCCTTTGTGGTAATTCATCGTGATATTTAGGGCGTCTCTTTTGTAGGTCACTTGACGTTCTGTGAGGTAGCTTGCGATCAGTTGGTAAAGATTCTTTGGACATCGCAGGTCTTTTAGTTTCGTTTTGAGCGCTGGCCAATAGTTTATTGAATGCTGAAGCCACGTCAAGCGATATTATACACGTAATGGAAGTTATTTTGTCTGTTGTTTAAGATGATGTCTTGAACACGGTTGAGGGCGTCGGTGGGGATAAAGATCTAGACACACATAACTTTTTCTACATCTACATGTGTGTGGCCTTCTAAATAAGGGTGCTTCTCATATGCCGTCAAATACGGTACTTGGCGCAGTACTTTTAAAGGGTAAGGTGTAACAAAAACTTAACAAGTAAGTTTACAACCAAGCTCGCAAAATTCATTAACTTTATGTAAATTATATAAAATTAAAAAAAAGGGAAACGTTGAATTTATTTATGAAAAAATATACTTAGAAATTATATTATTGTCATGAATAACGGTACAAAAATGGGTCATAATCAGTTTGTAGAAAAAGAGTCATCTCCTAATTGACGAGGGATAAGGACGGGGATAAAAAAATGTCCCCAAATAATATTGTAAGGTAACTTTGATAAAAGTCTTTGTAAGCAGCTGCATTCATCTGGTTTTGTAAAATATAACTGTAGTTATTTACCCTTGTAATCTTGCTTAACATTGAAAAATCAGATTTTGGGGTGGCTTGTTGTAAAACTAGTATTTATGCAGATGGATATGAAAGCAAATTCATTTGTTTGTGTCTCATATTTGGTAGTATTTTCCCGTGTTACTCACCTCAGACATCGGCATCATTGAAGACAATAAGCGAAACAGAGGCCTCATTTTGTCCACTGTGATCTATTGCTGTGAGCACATACTGTCCCATGTCTGCTGTCACAGCACTCGGAATGGTGAGAGTGTATTTGGGACCCTCCGCGCTCAGTTTTATACGAGGGCTCTTTTCGTCAATGAGCCGGCCATCTTTTGTCCATTCCACTGTAAAAAGAAGGAAACAATTATATTGAAATTCTTAATAATATTTATATATATAAAGTTCTAAAATTACTGACTTTAAGTGTCCATAATATAGTAGTATATAACTAGGGTAAGCGCGGAAGTTTCCGTGATTATTTTCGTGAACGTTAGGAGATTTTCTGAGATTTCGTAGAGGTCCTATAAATCCACGAATTTTGGAATTGACATACTTAAAAAATTTTGCAAAATAATCTTATTCTAAAATCGATAACAGAACTTGAAAATCTGTACTGCTTCTCAGGTTTTGTTAAATTTCTCGAATGCGAATAAAAGTAAGTTTTCCAAAGTCACATTAAGTTATACTCCATTTATAACATCTACGGTGTGAAATAACTGCATGTTCAACCTAGCGGCTACACAATTATATACCACTACCACTTAATTTGTTGCTGATTTATCGCTCGTGACAGTTATTTAACTGCCAACACAAAAGAGATATCAAATTTTAATTTATTTAACTGAAAGTTTAACATACATTAAATTGATGACTTGCCATATTAGAAATTATAGAAGATGTGAATATGGTTATAAATATAAGAAATACCGTTCTAAATTCAGAGCTAAAGAACTCTTCAACTACATAATCACCAAACTCACAAAAGCATTTATTTATCAACGACACTACGACTAAGCCTTTTTGATTATAAGAAAGCATACTAGGACTATCCGCCACACTAGGACTTTCTCCAGATTAAGTGCTAAGTATTTTAGTTCTGATGCACATTTTATTGACAGTATAAAAAGTTTAAGCTAAAAGACTTCTCCTTAATACTCCGCTGCATCCTAGGAGAGCTTGTGTCTTTGCACTGATACCTGAAGTTTATGATCTTTTGTAAACGGCGAACTTAAGGAAGCAATCTATATTCTCCGTTTTGCGTTATCACCTTCTTAGGCTACTATGATAATAAAATTCTCCGCATATGATATAATTCTTGCATAGCTAATGTGACTAAGCAAGTGAAATGCCGAATAGGCTATTAAGATTAGGTCAAGATAAGAATTATAGATAGATTAAGGTCGTGTTCGAGACATAAGCCCAGTGGGCATCCTCTTAATATTATACAGCAGGAATTAATCGTCAGTAAGCCCCGTGGACATCATCTTAATATTATACAGCAGGAACTAATCATCAGTAAGGCAGCTGTAATGTGATAAAAGCTGCAATAGCCTTCAGGTTAAACTTAATACTTTTAAAGAGTATGCTGCATGACGTTAAATTAGGCTCTTCCACTTATTTAGTGTGTGTGTGTATTTAATTATGGCAAAGCACACGAGGGCTATCTGCCTAAAGGGAGGAATGCCTTTCGTAGAGGACTTTCTAAGGGAAACTGGCTCGTATACACGTTACACATGGGGGAAACCATGAAAACGCCCGTTCGTGGCCCGTTCGCGGGATTCGAACCTCAGACCGAAATACCAGTGTTCAGCGTCTTTACCGCTCGGCCGCTGGTGGGCTCCACTTATTTAGACTCACCTCGTTTTGCTTCCTTCTTCAAAACAGCTGTGAAGGTTGCAGGTTGACCTTCATGAATAGCTAGTGATACTGGATATTGTGCAAATACAGGGCCTTTCGATTTTTCTGTCGGTACTGCAAAATAAGGAATATTTTTCAAATAATGAAGCATGTGTCAAATATTTTTCTAGAAGACATTTATCAGATATATGAAATACAGGAATTACAATTTTTTACAATTCTAAAATTTGTGCAAATAGAAGAATAGAATTAACATCAGCAAACAAGATGCCAAGCATTTGGTATTGTAGATGAGAGAATGGTATATGATAGAAATTTCACATCACTTACCTTGAACTTCTAATGTACATGTACTGAAAACTTCCCCACCATCATTGAATGCATCACAAGTGTACGTTCCTGCATCCTCTGGAAAGATTTCTGGGATGACAAGTTTGTAGAGGTCACCCTCATTGAGGTACTGGAAGTCTTCACTTGGTTTAATTTCTTTGTTTTTATGTAACCACACCACATCAAAATCAGATGGTCCTAAAATAATTTTATGTATTAGGATGCATTATTAAAACAAGAGATGGCAATTGATCATGCATTCAGAAGGAGTGGCAGAGAAACAGAGCATTTTTCTCAAATTCTACATTGAAAGAATGGAATTATTTCAATAAATGTTAGTGTTTCTCCTTAAAAACACTATCTTAATAACAAAATTTATTATTTCTTATATTTAAGCAGGATCCGTTTTTCATTAAATAGACATGTACACTGCAGAGAGAAAAAATGGGACAGTTCTATATTTCCGGTTTTACTGGGCTGATTGACAAAATTCAACTTGCGTTTTTCATGTCTCGAAAATGAGTTCTCCAGACGTCCACGGTATATCGCCAAATGGGTGGTTTCTCGCCAAATGTGGCAACCCTGTCTTCCCTTGCCATTTTATGGCAACCCTAAAACTGCTTTGCGAGGAAGCAATCTCACCGCGCCTGTACATTTCGTAACACTGAGGTAAATCAGCATGTCGCAACAACTGGTGTCAGGAATGGGGTTTGTGAGTGAATGCCAGTGACAAGACCAATGGAAGATCTATTAAGACAGCTCGTGACTGCCTTTGTGGAATTCCAAGGAAAGATGGAAGCCGGACAGGAGAAGTTGAAAGCCGGATATACTGAGATAAAAGCTGAATGTGCTGAGATAAAAGCCGGATGTGATGAGATAAAAGCTGGATATAAAGAGATGACAGCTGAGATCAAAGCCGGACTAGAAGAGAAGAAAGGCCGATGAGAAGAGATAAATGGCGGCCCAAAAAATGTGCGAGAGCAACTCCAACAGCTGAAAGTGGAGCTTACAGAAAAAACTGAAACCATAAAAGAAGATGTGGAAATAAGAGAAGTGGCATCCGAAGAATCAAAGGATGAAGAAATGGAGGAAGTAGCTAATAAACTGTCTGAGAAAGATAAAAAAATGATGGATGAAACATCTAAAGGGATTAAAGGAAAACAACGAAAACATGAAGAAATAAAAGATGGGAAAGAAACTTTTGATTCACAAGTGCCTGAAGTGGAAGAAAGTGAAAATGCGACTGTTAAGTTCGTCAAAACGGATAGTGAAGTTACAAAGTTGCAGGCAGTAAACCATCTGAAAGTGCATGTGATGCAGAGATGGAAGATGCTGAAGTGCAGTTTAAGCAACGTGCTCCAGTATTGCAAGAAAATTCAACCACTTCACAAACTGGGTGTGCGCCTCATAGTGCAGATTTTGCAGATAAGGACTTGAGTCTAAACCAGGATACTTGCGTTTGTAAGGTATCGGGCTCCGTTCATGACTCTGATGCAGAATTTGAAGCTGGTTCCCAGGAAATGGAGGAAAATGTGCAAGTACCAGCTGCTGAAAATACCGATGTGAACTGTACACATGATGCGAACAAACTTCAAAGTGGTGAGCAAACTGTCTCAGATGTTCCTGTTGATGACAAATCTGAAAGGACTGAAGCTTCAGACTGCGATATGCAAAACAGAAATACATCTGAGAACTGCAGTGGAAAAGTATTTAACCCGGGTATATTTTACACAGACTGAGACTGCAATTCATTCTGAACTAGTGTATATAATTTAAAATTGTTTTGTATCTAATTTGTGTATATAACTTGTATATAGTGTAAATATTGCTTTAGTTATGTCATTTGTTTGTTTTAGAACCTTTTGTTTGTATCGAATTATGCTTCTGACCAAGGGTTGTACTGCCCGGGACATGCAGTCCTTGGGAGAGGGCAGTGTTACGAAATGTGCAGGCGCGGTAAGATGGCTTCCCCGCAAAGCAGTTTTAGGGTTGCCATAAAATGGCAAAGGAGAGCAGGGTTGTCACATTTGGCGAAAAATCGCACATTTGGCGACAAAATTGGCAATATACCATGGACAGTTGGAGAACCTTCTGGAACAAATTCTTACCAGTTTAGCCCAGAATGTTCCTGAACACAGGCCGAAAGCTATATAAACCCTGCATGTCCACAGTCAGTTAGTGTGTCTCAGAGAGTGCCTCGTCTAGTGAGCAGTGTGGAGGCGATCGAGTTGACAGCCGGGCTATGAGTGCCGAGTGGGTTGTCGAGTGCACCGAAGGAGTCTCTTAGTGTATCGCGGTTAGTGCATCGTCGAGAGAGCGTGTTAAGTGCTCCGGGAATGTCTGAACCGAAAAGTCGGGAGCTGTGCTCGTGTGTCGTTGAGTGCATCGCGAGTTGTAGCGAGGAGAGTCTCAAGAGTACGTGGAGTTCCGAGAATGACCAAGCAGGGTCGGGTGCTTTGCAGGAAGCTGTCTCCACCACGATAGCCTGATAACCTGAAGGCCATGTCCCTGATCGTGTCAGAGTGTTTATAATTGTTCACCACGACTGTAAAACGTGTTTTGGAGCTGTCTAAATAAAGTGTGTTCCGATACTTCATCAAGTGTCGTTGTTATTCACTCCAAATCTATGAACCCCATACGAATGTGAACGTAGAAAGTAACATAACTGGTGTCAGAAAAAAAAAAACATAACAATTGGTGTCAGAAGTGGGACAGAAAAATCACAACAACTGGTGTCGCGATAGTGGGGCACCCTGCGTAAGCCAGCAAGGCCGAAAGCAGCCCTGCTGGTCCGCAGTCAGTTAGTGTGTCTCAGAGAGTGTGCCTCGTCTAGTGAGCAGTGTGGAGGCGATTGAGTTGACAGCCAGGCTACGAGTGCCGAGTGGGTCGTCGAGTGCACCGAAGGAGTCTCTTTGTGTATCGCGGTTAGTGCATCGTCGAGAGAGCGTGTTAAGTGCTCCGGGAATGACTGAAACGAAAAGTCGGGAGTTGTGCTCGTGTGTCGTCGAGTGCATCGTGAGTTGTAGCGTAGAGAGTCTCAAGAGTACGTGGAGTTCCGAGATCGACCAAGCAGAGTCGGGAGCTGTACTCCGGAAAGCAGAGTCGGGTGCTTTGCAGGAAGCTATCTCCACCGTGATAGCCTGATAACTTGAAGGCTGTGTCGCTGATCGTGTCAGCATGTTTATAGTAGTTCATCGACGACTGTAAAACGTGTTTTGGAGCTGTCTAATTGCGTATTGTCTAAATAAAGTGTGTTTCGGTACTTCATCAAGTGTCGTCGTTATTCACTCCAAATCTACAAACCCCGCACGAACGTGAACGAAGAAAATAAAGCAACAACTAATGTCAGAAAAGGAAAAATGTAACAATATGTATTAGATTTATATATAGCACTATTCTAATATCGGTATTTTTACTAAAAATCGGACTTTTTTCTTAAATAACATACCAAGTTTTTCCATATTTCAATTCTACGACTCAAATTACGCCAAACTACCAAGTTTTGTAAAAATTGCACGGGTAGTTTTTAAAAAATTAGGTCTCAAAATTTTAACTCCTCAATGTTAATTAAGTTTGGTATATATTGATTAATCTCTTTTTATTAAGCTTATTTGATTCTTCCTTTCACATTTCGAAATTCAGGTTCATTCGAAATAAAATTCACCTATTTTTTATGATTTTTTTTTTTACATTTGTATTTTTAAATAATTTTTACAAATTTTTCAAAAAATATTTGAATTATAAGCTATAAAATTTTTACCATCATCTTAAGACGCATTTCTAAGCATACCTGCAAAAAATTAGAGTTTTTTATTAAAAATTTCCGAAGAAATACGTGAATTTATATATTGGCGCGTTTTGAAATTTGGCATATTTATTGAAAGCGATAAAACATCAGATGTGGGTTAAACACTTTGCTAAAAAATAATTTGGAAGTAGAAATGATGTGACTTTTTTCCTGCACATACGCAATGTAAAAAAGTAGGAACGAGGTGCCTTTTTTCCCCCTTCAGCATAATGGAAGGGACAGGAAAATTGATTGCGATATATTAAGAAGTTCGCCAAGTAAACGCATTATGGGTAATTATGGATATTCTTAGCCAACCTGAAAAAATTTCGCCAAGATAAATTTTTGAATTTCTCCTTAAATTTCGCACCAAATTGTACAAAATTTTATATCTGGGCATAATTTCAGTCGTATCGAAATATGGAAAAAACATTTGGTATGTTATTTCAGAAAAAGTCCGATTTTGTGTCAAAATACCTATGTTAGAACAGTGCTCTCTCTATATAAAATACATATATCCTAAGATGCGCTTTCGAGACATGAAAAATGCAATTTGAATTTTGTCAGTCTGCCCAGTAGAACGGGAGATATAGAACTGTCCCATTTTTTTCCCCGCAGTGTATAATAATCTTAAATTACCTAATTATCTTGCTTGTTTAAGATACAATCATTATGGAAATTTTAAATTTTATTTAATTAAAACTGCAGGATAAGATTGAACAATTTTACCTAGCTCCACTTTTCTAGATTATAAATGAAAAGATCTCTCAAGCGCAGAAACAAAATCAGTAATATTTGTCCTAAGGAGTATATTAAAATCGTCAAATTTCAGGATAAAAGCAACCAAAAATACGCACAGACAGTAAATTAAGCAAAGTTGTAGAAGAAATAAACTTATCTGAGGCTTAAAATTTGAGAAAACTGAGTCCGATTACAGGTGATGTTGCAGCATTTCTCTAAAACTAGTAAAGTGGAATTTTGTCTAATTTTCAAAAAAGCCATACGATTTCGCTTTCATAGTCTGCGAATTTATAATAAGCATTACGGGTATTTGCACTCTTGATTGCACTTTATTAGAGATTGTTTGCACATTTTTTAGACGATTTTGGTAAGCTGTAATAAAAAAATCGTTTGCTGCAAAAGAAGTAATTGCAATTGTGCTATGTTTATAAAAGTCAAAATTATCGTCTGTGGCTTGAAAGTTTTGTTTTTATTCAAAATGGCGAATTTAACAAAGCAGTAGTTCGAAGGCAACATTTACGCTCTTTCCGAAGAGAAATATGCATACTCCGTTATCCAAAAACGATGTGAGAGTCATGGTTTTGTGATACCTAAAGCGTCGATAGGTAATATCATCAACAAGAAAGGAAAAAAACTCAAATTGGAGCCTCAAGTGGGACAAAAATTCCAATTAAGTATCCAGGAGAAAATGGACGTCTTCGACTATTGCAAAGGTACGTTGTTCAATGTTAAAAGAAAATCCCCCTAGTCAAAGGACAGTTGCAAAATCATTAAAATGCTCGGTGTCCACTGTAAACAAAATGATAAACATTGATTTAAAAATTTAAGAAAGCGAAAAAACGCAATGTGCATCGTCTTCTTCCAAAGCATATCGCTCAACGCAGGACACGCTGCAAAATTCTATATGAGAAACACTTATCCAAGGAAAAATGGAAAACAATTGTCACAATAGATGAAGCATGGGTGTATTTAAATGATTGTAACAAAAAAAAGAGCCATTTATTATCATAAAAGGGGAGGAAAAAAATTAAGTACATGGTTCAAAGAATCAAAAGAAAGTTTTTCTAAGGGATTCATTATTGTTCCTGGTTTTTCTTATAATGGCAAGTTAAAAATATCAAGATTAACTCCAAATACTATCAGGAACATATTTTATCGCCAATTTTTCTGAATGAAATACCATCGCTTTACTCACAGTGCCATCCATCTGTGAGACTCCATCAGGACAAAGCTAGCAGTCACACATCAAAATCCACTGTAAATTTCCTAAAAGAAATCGAACAAAAAACTGCTATCAAGGCCATACCCTTCACTGATATCCCTACTAAATCTCCCGATGTGTCACGTATGGATTTTTGTGCTTTCGGACTTTTAAAACTGCATTATCCAAACATTGTCCCAAAACCTTAACAGGACTCTGGAAAGCTGTTCGGGAGGAATGGGATAGAATACCTCTTCTGCCACTTCAAAAGGCATTATTATCCTGGAAATTGCGGTGTCAAAAAGATAGTTCAGAATAAGGGATGTCAAATAGAACATTTAAAACACAAGAATTTTATGTAATTTAGTTTTGTGAATACAATATACATCGTCTAAAAAATGTGTGAACAGCCTCTGTATATGTCTTGCAAGTCTGTCTCAGTTCAGATCAATTGAATTTCCAATAAAGATGTCAGTAGATCAATCGAAGTTTCAGGATTGTTCAAAAGATGATAATTTCAATGACATTTCGCAAAATACTGCTAGATGACATAGTCCCGAATGTTATTCAGACTATATTTTAAAGCTGCCTATTGCAATATAAATGAAAGTTTCTATAATTAAATTCTATGCAATACTTATGCTATGTTATATTACTTAACTTTAACGAGGAAAAAATAATTTTTATTCCTTACTTATCAAAATTTAAGAAATACATAATATTTTAATATTACAATATAAAAACTACGATTAGCTACTGTCGTGAATTATTCAAAGAGCAAAATAATGTTTAGCACAGGAATGCAATTCTTAATTACCTGCTATTCTACACTGTAAGGTCACTGGATCTCCATCCTTTACAACCATGCTTTGCAAATGTTCAATGATTTTTGGTGGTTTGGATCCAGTCTTCTTTTCTGCTTTTCCACCTTTTGCTTTAGATGCTGCAAAGAAAAGAATTCTTAAACAGTTGATTTCATATATAAAAAAAATTGTGTAACAAAAGGATATGTATTTAAAACGAGTTTCATATATTTCAATAAACAATGGATGTTTGCAGAGATATCTACAGATTAAAAGCAAAATATCTTTCCACAGCATTAAATTCAATTTATACATCAGAAGTAGTAAAATAAATAATAATTAAAAATCTCATATTAATTTTTGAAATTGCACTAGCTATAACTTAGTGTACTTTGCCTTTTCTCTCTTTTTTTTTTTTTTTAAAAAGACCTACCTACATTAATAATTGCATTCTCTTAAAGAAATCCGGAAGAATTTTTATGTTAACGGATAAATGTTCAGCAATACGCATTGGTGGAAAGCATAACTTTAATCGTGGAAGAATGTACAGATTCAGGGCAGATTTTCAGAGCATTTTTTTTTTTTTTTTTTTTTTTTTTTTTTTTTTATTTACTAAGAAGAATTGTGTAAAAGAAAAATACATTTTTGTTTAAATAGTCAGTTTTTATTTTCTGTCAGAATATTTTCAAATCATATTTCCAGTCTTTTATGTAAGTAAAGCTAACATCAAAAATCTGCTTTCAATTCTGGAGCAAGCAGAAGGAGAAATTTGCTGAGTGACTAGCGATATACAAATACGGGATTAATAAGAAACCTTTCTTAATATTATAATATTCATAACAAAAATAACTCTATAGACATGACAGATGAATTCCTGTTTCTGAATCCTGAGTCCTGTTTACACCATGTCTTCTGCGATTTTAACGCTGTTTCTCTGTGGTTGAATCGAGCACGGGACCCAACCTCTTTCAAAACATTTAAAAATTACTAATTATTCATATGGTCCGAATTGTTTAGGTATTTAGCACTAAATTTTAAAATTAGTGCACCTCTATGAAAAGCTGAACAAGCCAGTGAGAAACATAGTACAGTTATGTGGTAAGAGCTCAAATATTTGACAGATGTATGGAAAGCTCTTTTAGAAGAAATAACAAGATGCAGAAGGAATGAACAAATAATGTTTTTGTTGTCTTGCCCATGTAATTTCATGAAAGAATCGTTGTGAGAGCCTCAAGGAGGTTGGACTTCTATTTACCACTCCAATTTTGAGAGGGATCTCCCACCTATCTTCCCTACTACAAAACCACACGAGAGGACTTTCGGCTGGCCATATACACTCATGTCCATAAATTAAGGATAATTCAGAGTCACGCAGAAATCCTGTAAAATCACTACACAGATCTTCAAGAATCATATGCAAATTTCAGGAAGTAACCAGATGACACCGATGGTACGTCACAATGACGAGAGTGTAAGAGAGTGATGTATAAGGAATACAGGCAAAGAAGTAAAATTGTTCACAGACGCTTTATAAGCATTTCAGTGCAATAACCGAATAGTTATGACACAAAGGACGCATTTGGATGATTTTTTACGTGGTAGAATTATCGGTCATCTGGAATGTGGGCGTACCCAACTGGAAGTATCAGACGAACTTGGAATTGCCAAGAGTGTCATCTCCAGGCTTTGGCAACGATTCCAAGATGATGATATGTGAGTAGACGTTACAGCATAGGTCGCCCCAGAGTTACAACGCCGAATAAGGATCGGTATTTGGCAGTTACTGCCAAAAGAAACAGGCGGAGCACAGCCTCAGACCTGTCTCGTCAGCTCTCTTCAGCCACTGAGGCGCACCAGCGGCCGAGCAGTAAAGTCGCTGAACACTGGTAGTTCGGTCCGAGGTTCGAGTCCCGCAAACGGGCTGGTTGCATGGGTGTTTTCGTGGTGATCCCCATGTGTAACGTGTATACGAGCCAGTTTCCCTTAGAAAGTCCTCCACGAAGGCATCCCTCCCTTTAGGCAGATAGCCCTAGTGTGCTTTGTCATAATTAAATACACCACACCACACCACTCTTCAGCCACTGGTACGACAATTTCAAGGCAGACCCCTGTACAGACACTTAGAGCAGATTGGTCTGTATGCTCGTAGACCTGTCATATGCATTCCACTTACTGCAACTCACTGTCGCCTGCTGTTAGCCTGGAGTAGAGAGCATGCATTGTGGACACCGCACAGTAGGCTTGTGTGATGTTTTCCTACGAGTGCAGGTTTAGCTTGCAGTCTGATTCTCGCCGGACTTTCATATGGAGAGCTCCAGGTACCCGTTACCACCTAGAAAACATCATTGAACGACACCGTTACGGTGGTGCAGGAGCGCTCGTTTGGGGTGGAATTATTCTAGGTTCCAGAACTGACCTGCATGTTCAAATTGGAACCATGACAAGCCAAACCTTTCGGGACGTCATTCTGGAACAACATATACGTTTGTTTCGGGACGCCATGGGCGCACAATTTGTGTTTATGGATGACAACGCCCGTCCTCACCGTGCAAACATCATAAGCGAATGCCTTCAATCGGAGGATATCCCGCATATGGACTGGCCAGCATTCTCACCGGACTTGAATTCAGTAGAGCACGTGTCGGACATGCTTGGCCGACGAGTTGCAGCCCGTCAACCTCCTCCCACATATCTATCGGAACTTCGGAGAGCATTGCTTTTTGAGTGGTGTAATATCTCCCAAGATCATATCGGTAATTTGATACTCAGCATCCTAGGCGTTGTACGGACTGTATTGCATCGTCTGGGAGATATATAATGTATTAACAATCATACCAACCATGTAATATTGTTTTTTTTTGTAAATAAGCTTTTTTTTTTTTGTACTTTGCTCCAGGGAGGAAAAAAAAATCGCTAATTTTTTTAATAATATCAAACATATAGCATTTTGTTTGGTCTTTACCTTTTGTTTAATGAATAAACTTTACAAATAAGTCAAATTTGTTTTGCTTCTAACTCTTCCTTTGCCTGATTTTGCATTATCCTTAATTTATGGACATGAGTGTATTTGGAGTACCTACAAGCTGATAAGCACACATGATGACCACTATACACATAAGACACTATACATTTACAAACATCCATCCCTTCTCCACGATTTGAGCCAGGGCCTTTGGTACCGCAATAGGCTCCTCTAACCACTATACCATCTGGGCGGCAGCGCATAAAATACATGGGATAAAAGGCAACCGGAAAATACATTTTATTCTCACTCCTTCTAAGCTTTTCGCTAAAGTCATTGTTTTTCTGAAGGTGCAAGGTGAAATTGCATTACAAGTTACTTGTTTAGGCTGTGAATTTATATTATTCTTGCTTGTGATGTCATTTCCAGTTCCTCGCATTGCTTCGTATAATTTTATAAGAGGTGAAGAATTCATTTTTAAGCATTATTTTCTTTCCGTATTTTACGTTCAGAAGATTTTTCTAAGTAAATTAAGTTTATTTCTGAGTTTTATTCACGTTTAATCTCATGAAACGGTTCTTAGAAACACTCTACTCTCCTAAAATGGAAGACAGAGTATTATTAATATGCAGAATAAAATATTTTTGGACATTAAATCCTATTCTGAATCATGAATAAAAGCGGTATACAAACATGGGTTATAAATGTACACTTGTTTCTGATCAATGCACAGGAAAGCGTTCGATATTGTTAACAATTTCACGCCAACAGAGAACAATTCTTTTTAAAATTTCATGTTAAGTTATTTTTGGAAAGTTCTGAACTGAGGACAAGATATCATTGTTGTTAACATCTACATGGTTCGGGATGGATGTTACCATCATTTTTCTGAGTATTGAATGTGGGCAAGGCTTTTATTACCCAAGCCCTATAAAACCCGAGCCTAGAACCCCATTTTTTGGTAACTTTAGATCATTCTATGTTCTCCCACAATATATTCTTCTTTGATCTCTTCCCCCTCCTTATATTCTCCTTTGATCTGCAGAAGTATTTCTTGCCAATCAAACAAAAAGTTAGTCCTATGCTATAACAAAGAGCAATGTTTCTCGTGGCTTTATGACAACCCATTTGTTGCACTGATTTAATTAAGGCAAAGTATGAGAGAACTATCTGTCAAATTAGGAATGTATTCACGGAGGACGTTTTTAGAACAATTAGTTAATTTTCACATTACATATGGCGAAACAGTAACAGAAAAAAAAAAAAAAAATGCAACTAGTACTTTCGTCAGAAATGGAACATAGGATTAAGCCTCTGATCATTTTCGAACAGCATTGTACGGATACATAGCTCGCTACACATTAGAAAATTGAAACTGGAATGAAATACAAACACAAACAAAAGTACATATCATATCCACTACATAGCTAACTAGAAGGACACCCCTACATTTCAAGAAATGTAATAAAGCCCTCTTCTCTTTCAAAACAAAATTATTCTGCATAGTACACTTGAATTTTTATATGTGAATTATTCAATGTACTCACCTGTTACTTGGAGTTTACAAGAAGTAGTTGCTGTGCCCATAGAACTGCTGGCCTTACACACATATTGCCCTGCGTCCTCTGGGTAGACTTCTTCTATAGTAAGGGTGGCAACACCTGATTTGTATTTTAAGTTAATTTCTTTAGATGAATGAAGGACCTGTTAGATAGATTCACGGGTGAGATTACTTTGATAAAAATAAAAGGATCTTATAGCAAATCATCTTTTTCTTAGCTTTATTTTAATTAACATTTACTTGCTCGTCATGTTTTAATATAAAAAATTTGTACTCACTTCACCATTCTTTAACCACTCTACTTGGGGTTCTGGATCGCCGGCTACTGTGCATTTGAGGGAGACCATTTCACCATCTTTCACTGTTCGATCGTTCAAAGTTTGAGTAAATTTCGGTGGCGTCATTGGTTTATCTTCGGGAACTGAAAAATCAAAGAATGATTTTTTTTAAACTCAAGAAAATAATTATTTTTAAAAAAATCAAAGAATGATTTTTAAATTGCTTAAATTTCTTTATTTTCATCAATATTTTGTTTTGAAATATATTAAAAGTATTCCAGAATTGTTTAGCGAATAGTATGAATGTTGTATTTTTACAATGAAGTAGCAACATTGTAAAACAGCTGAGCGCATTCAAATTTGACTATTTTAATATTCCATAAAAAAAATAAAAGATAAAGGTGTGAATAATTTTGTAACTTAAGCAATCAAACAATATTTTTTGTTAATTTCAGACCACTATCTAAATGTTTTTATTGCTAGAAAATGTTGATAATAATAATAATAATAATAATAATAAATCCTTAGATTAAAAAAATTGCTTCAATTTAAACTTTCTCTTATCTAATACAATCTTAATAATATTAAACGATGAACTATAAAATAAATTATTAGCCTTTTTTGGTGTTTGCGTGTGTATGTCTGCGTTAACATGTTCATTGCAATCTACGAGAATAGTTTTAATTGGCAAAACTCAGCATTTACTTGCTAGCTATGATATAAATCGTTTATTGATCACGTTACCTAAATCCCGACTACGAGTATTGCCGTAGCAAACGAATGCAATATTTAAGTGTTTGGTGTACAAAAATGGACTAAATAATACACTTGAGTACTAAAATGGATCATTTATTTCTCAAAATCTTAATATAATATCTTATATGGTTAGAGCGCAAAATTTCTTTTGTAGAGGGGGTGGTGGTATTCACTTATGAAATATTATTAAGGGACAACTCAGATTCTTGACTCGTGTAATACCAGTTAAAATTTATATACCGCACATGCAGGACTTTTGTGTGAATGCACAAAACGGGCGAGTATTTTTATTTAGTTCCGACTTACCTTATAGTTGGCACAGGAAGCGAAAATATTATTTCATATGCTAACTACGAGTATACTCTTGTGAATGTATTTACTTCTAAAAGTAATCTACTTAAAGTTGGAGGTGTCTGATTTGTATGATATACTTATTTTTATATTTTGAGATGTAGATACCTGAGATGATAATAGTGCCCTTATTTTTATCTTATCGAAATTTGGAATATCATCAAGAGGAAAATTATTCTACATGGGCCGCTAAAAATTTAATGGAATAGCCATCACTATATTTAAATAACAAAGCAATAGATAATAATTTAAAAGCATAAAAATACAAATAGGACCGTAGTGCATGTAAACAGATGCACCATGTGAGCTTTCCAAGAGAACGTGTTAAGCAACATCGGGAGATATATATTGTTACTTTTTTCTTCGTTATGTATGTACGGGTTCGTGGATTTGGAGTGAATAACAACGACACTTGATGAAGTATCGAAACACAATTTATTAACCAGTATTATTCAAGACAGCTCCGAAAACACTTTTACAGTCGTCGAAGAACTGCTGAAACAATCAGCGACACAGCCTTATTAGGCTATAACAATGAAGACAGCTTCCCGGTAAAGGACCAGAGTACAGCTCCCGACTGCTCGGTTGTTCTCGGAACTCTACGTACTCTCAAAACTCTCTATGCTACAATTCGCGATGCACTTGACAATACACTAGAGTACAATTCTCGACTCGGTTCGGTCGTTCTCAGAGCTCAACGCACTCTAAGATAAAACTCGACGATGCATTAACTCGCGATATACTAAGAGACTCTTGACGACTAGCTCGGCACTAAACTTTGAGACACTCACTCACTGACTCAACTAGGTACTCGCTGACTATCAACTCAATAGACGAGACACTAATTGACTCTTCGCATACCAGGAGGGTTTATATGTCTTTTGGCTTGTGTTCGAGAACATTCTGGGCCAAACCAGTAAGAATTCATTCCAGAAAGTTCTCCATCCGTCTATGGAACATTGCCAATTTTGTCGCCAAATGGGCGATTTCTCACCAAATGTGGCAACCCTGCCTTCCCTTGTCATTTTCTGGAAACCCTAAACCTGCTTTGCAGGAAAGCTATCTTACCGTGCCTGGACATTTCGTAACAATATCTTACGTAATGATTCACGGACTGTTTTTCAGTCACTAGAAACCTATGAATACTGCGTCAAACCTTCGACAAGTACAAACAACAAATGCTCAAGTCCAAGCAAAATCTGATGGATCGAGATTATAACATCCTTGATTACTAGATACCCACACATTAACAGATATTGATCTAAATCACTCGTTAGGATGGCAAACTAGTGGGATGTCTTCGTAGAGGTCTGGAAGCTTATCAAGAGGAGAGTCTTAAAAATAAATGGTAGATGTCCTCATTTGAGTAATGAACTGATTAGCATTAAAATGAAAGTTCAGCAGTGTTCAAACAGGAAGAGTTAAAAAAAATTAACTCGCCTTTTAGATCTGCTATACACTTGCCCATCAGCTGTGATGTTTGCGATAGTTTTATTAGTTTAAAACATTTTAAGTACTTCTCCTGGTTTTAGTTTTTTAATAGATTATAGTGCTGAATGCATACAAATGTATCTTTAAAAGACTTAGATAGAAACTACATATTAATACCTTTTACTTTCTTAAAGATATGAAAATTTATTATCAGTTGTAAGCTTCGTAGATTTCAATATATACAGTAAAATGTTATCTCCTGTCATTTCATAGTCTTTTTAGTCATCAATGATTTTAACTATCTGCCTCTCTATCTCTTTCCTTTTTTTCTCTGTCATGTAAATCGGCGTTTTTCTTTCACGATTTTAGCTTTTATATACATTTTAATATTTTAGACACTTTTTTGGGCTGTGGTATGAAATACTATGTATATTATTATTATTATTTTTTAAGTGATTGGTATTTAGAATCTATGTTCGACGCAATATAGCAATATGACTTTTGCCCCAGCCAAACGTTTCTTTTCTTTCTTCTTCTTCTGTCTCTTTTTTTTTTTTTAAAGGCCTAATGTTAAATTTCATTTTAGCAGGTAGTTTGAGTCTTTTTTTTCGTTTCTCTTTTTATGTTTTAGGGCAGAAAGAAGATTAATCTATTTTAAGCTTGTTTGCTTTAGCAGCTTTTTGAATGTTGTTAACTGAGCACATCATTGAAATGTTAAATATTCAAATGATTATTTCAAATAATATACGATAGGATTTAACTTTCATTTCATGGATTAAATAACGAAGAACTTGATGCTATTTGCAAAAAAGGAAACACTACCTTACATCAATGAGAAAGTGTTTCTGCTTGATTGGAAAAGCAGAGAACGGCGTGTATGCAAAGTAAATAGAATAATTTCAAATATACCTGACGGTATCGCAGCATTTGTAATTTTTGTTAAGTAATTTATTCTGAAGATTTAAAAACCTGTAAAATTATTAAATTATAACATTTCTTCGATTATAAGACCCTTAATCTCATTGTACCTAACAACAGGTGGGAAAAAAAAAGGAGATACTTATTCTAAGAAAAAAAAATAATGAAATAAAATACTAAATCAAGTTTAAAAAGTATCCTTTTAACAGTTGTTTTTAATTTCTTAACTACAAAAGCATTTCTGTTTAAATTAGTAATTTAGAAACATTAATTTCTCAAAATATTTCGTAAAAATTTGAAATTCAAAGAAGTAAAAGTGGTGATCAAATGAAAAGGTACGAAACGACGTAAAAACGTAACAGTTAAATATTTGCATATTCCGCCATGGGAGAACGTAGCGATACATCTCGGGATGCGATTGGAGTCTCTGACTGGGATCGGAGCATGCGCGGGTGTCCGCATCCGCAGGAGAGAGCAGAGGCTCTTATCAAAAGCGGCGTCCAAATGATGCGGCAGTCCGTATGAGGACAGGATGGCGTTCGCGTTGCAAAATTTGACGACCCGAGCAGCGATGTGTTATCCGATTTCTGACAGCGGAAGGTGAGAAACCAGCAGCTATTCATCGCCGGATGGAGACAGTTTATGGGGAGAAATGTGTCTCTGACAAGTCTGTCAGAAAATGGAGTGCCCATTTTCGTGCAGGTCGTGAGAGTGTGGGTGATGACCCGAGACCAGGCCAGGCAAACACTGTCATCACGAGCGATCTCATCGACAAGGTGGACGATCTAGTGAGAAGTGATCGGCGTGTCACATTGTGAATGTTGGTGGTGAAGGTGGATGTCAGCTATGGAATCGTGTGGACAATTGTTCACGACAGGTTGCGATATCGGAAGGTGTGTACTGCTTGGGTTTCGAAGCAGCTCACCGACCAGCAAAAGGAACTGCATATGGGCCTAGCACTGCAACATCTATCTCGGTATCAGGAAGACTCCGCTTTCATGAAGCGGATCGTGACAGGTGATGAGACCTGGTGCCATCACTGCGAGCCAGAGACAAAGCGGGACAGCATGCAGTGGAAGCATGCGTCGTAACCTCCCCCTAAAAAGTTCAAAGCCGTGCCGTCAGCAGGCAAGTTGTTGCTGCCTGTTCGACGTTCAAGGTCCGCTACTTGTGGAATTCCTCGAGCACAGAAAAATCATTAACTCCGATGTGTACTGTGAGACACTTTGACGCCTACGCAGGTCCATCAAGAACAAAAGACCGGGGCTGCTCATGAGGATGGGGTTCTGCTCCATGATAACGCGCGTCCACACGTCTCCAGAGTCACACACATGGAACTGGCCAAGTTCAAGTGGGAGACGTTGGACCATTCGCCCTACAGTCCGGACATGTCGTCCTACGATTTCCATGTGTTTGGTCCACTGAAGAAACACCTGAAAGGGGAGTGCTTCAACTCGGACGACGTACTCAAGGATGCTGTGAAGGACTGGGTCTCGTCACGGCCACAGGAATTTTGGCAACATGTATGTTATTATTATTTTTTAAGTGATTGGTATTTAGAATCTATGTTCGACGCAATATAGCCAATATGACTTTTGCCCCAGCCAAACGTTTCTTTTCTTTCTTCTTCTTCTGTCTTTTTTTTTTTTTTTTTTTTTAAAGGCCTAATGTTAAATTTCATTTTAGCAGGTAGTTTGAGTCTTTTTTTTCGTTTCTCTTTTTATGTTTTAGGGGAGAAAGAAGATTAATCTATTTTAAGCTTGTTTGCTTTAGCAGCTTTTTGAATGTTGTTAACTGAGCACATCATTGAAATGTTAAATATTCAAATGATTATTTCAAATAATATACGATAGGATTTAACTTTCATTTCATGGATTAAATAACGAAGAACTTGATGCTATTTGCAAAAAAGGAAACACTACCTTACATCAATGAGAAAGTGTTTCTGCTTGATTGGAAAAGCAGAGAACGGCGTGTATGCAAAGTAAATAGAATAATTTCAAATATACCTGACGGTATCGCAGCATTGTAATTTTTATTAAGTAATTTATTCTGAAGATTTAAAAACCTGTAAAATTATTAAATTATAACATTTCTTCGATTATAAGACCCTTAATCTCATTGTACCTAACAACAGGTGGGAAAAAAAAGGAGATACTTATTCTAAGAAAAAAAATAATGAAATAAAATACTAAATCAAGTTTAAAAAGTATCCTTTTAACAGTTGTTTTTAATTTCTTAACTACAAGAGCATTTCTGTTTAAATTAGTAATTTAGAAACATTGATCTCTCAAAATATTTCGTAAAAATTTGAAATTTAAAGAAGTACATGGGGTGATCAAATGAAAAGGTACGAAACGACGTAAAAACGTAACAGTTAAATATTTGCATATTCCGCCATGGGAGAACGTAGCGATACATCTCGGAATGCGATTGGAGTCTCTGACTGGGATCGGAGCATACGCGGGTGTCCGCATGCGCAGGAGAGAGCAGAGGCTCTTATCAAAAGCGGCGTCCAAATGATGCGGCAGTCCATATGAGGACAGGATGGCGTTCGCATTGCAAAATTCGACGATCCGAGCAGCGATGTGTTATCCGATTTCTGACAGCGGAAGGTGAGAAACCAGCAGCTATTCATCGCCGGATGGAGACAGTTTACGGGGAGAAATGTGTCTCTGACAAGTCTGTCAGAAAATGGAGTGTCCATTTTCGTGCAGGTTGTGAGAGTTTGGGTGATGACCCGAGACCAGGCCAGGCAAACACTGTCATCACGAGCGATCTCATCGACAAGGTGGACGACCTAGTGAGAAGTGATCGGCGTGTCACATTGCGAATGTTGGTGGTGAAGGTGGATGTCAGCTATGGAACCGTGTGGACAATTGTTCATGACAGATTGCAATATCGGAAGGTGTGTACCGCTTGAGTTTCGAAACTCACCGACCAGCAAAAGGAACTGCGAATGGGGCTAGCACTGCAACATCTGTCTCGGTATCAGGAAGACCCTGCTTTCATGGAGCGGATCGTCACAGGTGATGAGACCTGGTGCCATCACTGCGAGCCAGAGACAAGCGGGACAGCATGCAGTGGAAGCATGCGTCGTGACCTCCCCCTAAAATGTTCAAAGCTGTGCCGTCAGCAGGCAAGTCGTTTCCGCCCGTTCGACGTTCAAGGTCTGCTACTTGTGGAATTCCTCGAGCACAGAAAAACCATTAACTCCGATGTGTACTGCGAGACACTCCGACGCCTACGCAGGTCCATCAAGAACAAAAGACCGGGGCTGCTCATGGAGGGTGGGGTTCTGCTCCATGATAACGCGCGTCCACACGTCTCCAGAGTCACACACATGGAACTGGCCAAGTTCATGTGGGAGACGTTGGACCATTCGCCCTACAGTCCGACATGTCGCCCTACGATTTCCATGTGTTTGGTCCACTGAAGAAACACCTGAAAGGGAACCGCTTCAACTCGGACGACGTACTCAAGGACGCTGTGAAGGACTGGGTCTCGTCACGGCCACAAGAATTTTGGGAACAAGGAATTCTGCGGCTTGTTCATCAGTGGGATCGTTGTGCTCAGGCCCATGGTGTATATTTTGAATAAAGTCTACATTTGTACCCACAGTGTCATTTCGTACCTTTTCATTTGATCACCCCTTGTACTTTGATACTTAAACGGGAAAAAATGATGTATTTTAAAGATGAAGAAATACAGTAGACATTATAATCTTAAAAACTGTTCAAAAGATTTACTGCCCTGAAAGATAAAATATTATAAAATGAATAATATAAAAATAAAGAAAGAAGTCTCTCATTGCAGTTTCTTTGATGTTAAAGTAAAAAATTTTGTTTATATGTTTACCAACTTCACAGCAGTCTTGCATAACTGGAACATTACTTTTTAAATTAAAATTTTGAACAAAGTAAAAAATTTTGTTTATATGTTTACCAACTTCACAGCAGTCTTGCATAACTGGAACATTACTTTTTAAATTAAAATTTTGAACTAAAATAAAAAATTCACTTTCGAAACTTACCGTATAAAATAGTAAAAAATATTAAATTAATTACAAAATTAATAAACTGCTTTATCTGCTTTATAGAAAAAAATATAATACTACAAAAATTACAGCTAACTCAGTTAAACAAAAGTTTTAGACAGCAGCAAGACAAAAATTATGAATTTTACCTCGTTACTTGTTTAATTTAATTTATATGTGCATGTTTAGAACGTGAGCAATTAAATTAAAAATTCATAAACTGAAACTATCAGATTCGCTTTACAATATTTGCAGGTCAGAAATTAAATTTTCTGCCATTCCTCGTCTAGAGATAAGTTTGTTAAGGATGAAGTTATATTCATTATCCGCTAAAATAAAATACTTGCCAGTACTTTTGAAAATTTGTTTAGTTTCATCATAATTTCACAATTTCTACGAAAACCAGAAAACTAATAGTTCCTGGCCATGAATATAGAAACAGCCTTATCCGGGTGAAAATCGGCTTCAGCTTGCCTAACTACTATTTCAGTTCACGTAGTTACACAATATTTTGTCTTTAGCGATTTTTTTGGGTATTAGATGCCAATTCAAATTAGCTGTTTAAAATTACTGAAAAACGTACCTTTAAGCATTCGTCAAGATGAAACTTCATTCAAGAGAAAGTTTTTAAGGGAAAAGTTATGCTTTTGAATTTAATAAATCATTTGGAATAAATATGCGAGTATAATTTGCATGAAACAACAATTGGGCAAAATCTTTACTTTGGAGTTCTTTTGTTGCTGTTCGCGACCTAGTCGGTTGTCCTTCCCCTTTGTCTTTCTTGCCATATGGTTTCTGCGTCCTCTTGGTAGTATCCGGAGCGGATAGACGCGAAGCTGCTGCAGAAAGGGTTGCCGAGGTGGTGTCCTTGGTTGGTCGAGCAGATGTCAATGGAGTAGGACGGCCAGCGTGCTGTGATTTAACAGAATCTACTCTGTACAAAGATGTAGGTGTTGCTACTCGAGGCGTAAGACTCAAGGGAGATTGTACTCTGGAAGGAACTCTTCGATCTGCAAATTCAAGAAAAGTGTTCCATGTAAGAAAAGAAATAAAAAGACAAAGACTTGAATGAAAAATTCAAAATAGCGTTGCCGAACATTTATGAAAATGTGGCTTTCAATACTGCTGTAATTTGGAATTCAGTGATACATAATCAACCATCGTCAAATTCATTTATGTAATTTTTTAAGTGCAGAGAATAGTACAGTTCTTATCTACCTTCCGAAATAAAAAATTAAGAAACACAACATGTCATAATGATAGTTGCATTTGGTGCGGTTACGTTGTGTTTATGTCAGAAATCTCAGGATCAGGAGATTTGGAGAAAGTCATAGAAATTTAAGGCACATTCAGAAGCATCTGATTTAAGTAAGGGAAAAGAGAAGACGATGTGAGGTCGCTGCCACGAAAAACACGGTTCCGGAAATACCTATTTGTGGAGTGATCGGTAAGACTGTCATGCTACACAGCAGAAGATTTCACATTCTGTCCTTGTCGGGCAGCATCGGCAGATGAACATGCACTTCGCAGGCGTTCTTTGTTGTTAATTACCGCCATTATAATACCGAATGGAGCTATTAAAATATCGAATTAAAATATCAGGAGCTATTGGTTCACTATAACAATCATATAGGGCGCCATGAGACCGGCTAGCTCTTAACATTAACAAGCAGTGGCAACAGCAAACGACCTCCGCCTCAAGGTTCATGACAGTAAAAGAACATTTTATAAATACAAAATAGCGTATCAAATTAAAAAGATTTATTAATACACAATACATAAGAAAGATGACTTTTGTTAGTTAACTGATTACGGCGAAACTGCAATATCTGTGTACTGTAAAAGAGATGTCTTTGTATTTAATTTTTTAACTGTAACCGGCTCTTCCGTTGCCCACGAAGGAAAGCATGAAGACCTTTAGCGGGTGCAACAAAAGACATCTGTCTACTTTGTCTGTCTGAAGACCTACGCAGCTGGCCCGCTTGCCAAATCAGTGGTTTTATCCACTTCATCGCTGAAGGACTCTTTGATACTGCAGAGACAAGACATCTGGTCTATCACCTCCTATTCAGTTTTCATCTCAACATAGAATTCAACTTCTTCTCGACTTCCCATGCTGTCAGGAACCACAAGGGATTGGCTTAGATATCTGACAAGAGGGAACAATATTTTCATTGAAAGCCAAAATAATAGCGAAGTATTGAAGGTTTAAAGTTCTGTCGGCAGAGGGAAGGCCAGTGCCAGAATGTGTGCAGTCCATGAGGCCACACCAGGCTGCAGAAGAGCAGCAGAATTTTTAGAATTTAGAAAGGAACCAAGCGACAGAATTTTGGAGCCGCAGAGTTTGCAACGTGTAGCAAAATCTCTAGCGCCAGCCCTGGATGAGGGTAAAGCATATGAAGAAGATTTTATAAAATATTATCGATAATCTTACACAATGGTCGATTGATATATTTTCTGTTGTGTGGCACCAGATGTGTATGCAGAGCTAGCGATATAATGTGATATGAGAGGGAGATATAATCAGAGGCAGACCTACAGCTAACGAGGTCTGGGACGGAAATCTCCAGAGGCCACCAATGGTTTATCTCATTGTTTTGGGTCCAACCCCAAAAAATATGGTAAGCTTAGTAATTTCAAAGATATCTCCTGTATCCAACCGAGGACACATTTTTAAAATTACTTAAGAGTCTTAATAATTTACCGAAACATTAAACTTTATTTATTCATTTGTACTTTTCACTAGCCATGACGTTTTTTAAGAAATGGAATTTGTTTTAATTACATCATAAAATTCACAATAAGAAAGTTCTCAATTAATTTTAATATTTAGTAGATGTTTAACAGTACATACTGAAAGTCTACCCCTTTCTGAAGGATAAACGTACCCCATGATTGAAAAAAAAAAACTCTCTAAATTGGAGGAGATGTCTCAGGCGAAGACATCGCAAACTCACTTCTTTTAGAAACATTGCAACATGAAATATCAGTCTTTTGAAACGCCTTAAAAATTGCTTTCCATTTCTAGTAGTATCTGGTACTTTAGAACTTGAACCACAACATACCCTTTGATTTTGAATTAGCTGGTTCAACAATTTACGTTCATCAAATAAGTCATCAATATTTATGAAATCTTTCTATAATTCCATTAACAACTTGTGAACTCCCTTTTAAATCAGAGCAAGCAATTACAATTCCTAAATTTATCCATAAATCGTACTAAGTTTATCCAAACTGGTTCTCCACACTTCTAAGAATTGCGTACTAGAATTATAAAAATTGTTTACGCTTGAGAAGAATTTTCGTTCCCGAACAACATTATCTTCTTTGAGTGCATAACAATAAATTTGGGGTTTTTCTTTCCTGAAATTGACATATTAATTCAGAATATGTCTGAAATTCTTCTATTAGAATTAGCCTCCTGTTTCAGAATTACGTTAGTAAATAACTGTAGAGTACCATATAAAATTTTTAGAATCAGTTTCTTTCTTGATTTCAAAATTTAACTTTCTTGATTTTCAAAAAAATCAAATAATAATTTTGGGCACCTTCACAATAGAAGAAGTATGATTTTAGGCTATCAAAAAAGGAAAGAATTCTTTCTGTTGCAGGTAACAGACTAAGGAACCTTGTGCTGCTATGTGATAATATTTTTTGTTTTGGTAATATGATTCCAAAAATTCACAGAACTCTTAAGTTTCATTACTCTTGCTGTATGTGTGTGAAAATAAATATAAATTTTTGTAACAGTTACTTCTATGTCCAGGGGTAGGTAATCTCATGCTTTACTGAATTGTGTACAATATAGGCTGGACGACCAATGCCTAAAGTAGGTCTATTTAAATCATTTTGAACACATTTTCATACCCTTTCTCTTCAAAGCACCAAAATTACTGTTCTTGTTATTAGCAATATAACAAACCAGCTTTTCTTCAAGTTTATTATTTCGCACACTTCAAAAGATACTCGCACAAAATCTGAGCAGTTTTGCCTGACACTACCGAAATTTAAAAGTTTAACTTGGATTCGCTCCTCCAGACTGAAATATCGGAACAAGTTTTACTTCACTTTTATTTGAGCTTTCATCGTTACTCTTATATAAATAATACTTTCCTAAAAACGCAAAACATTATCAGCTATACATGGCGAAATAACGTTAACAATAATTACCTTGGTTTTTAGTTCTAGCAGATGCAAATTTTGGGCCATATAACTTTTTAACCAGTTTAGATTTGCAGTCTGATGTTTTGAAACTGAGTTCATGTCTGGGACTTTGGTATGAAAATGTAGCTTCTTTAGCAGCAAACTCCAGACCACTCTTATTGTTATTCCCTTCTTAAAAAAAAAAAAAATCTCTTGTTTACTGAAGCAGTAGCATTAATAGCACTCTTGTGTTTAGCTCTGTTCACGTGGTCACCCTTGCCTTTATGTGCGATAAGAAATTCTTCACAATTTCAAAAATTTGTATTCCTGTGTAGGTCAATATGAAACATACATTTTCTTTCGCCCATTGCTAAACTATGAGACAGAAAACGAATAGAACTAAAATGATCAAAAACGTGTAGACCACCTGGGGGAAAAAAAAATCCCACATTGCCCCTGTTATATTGCCAAATGCTTAGTAAAAACTTGGGGCGAGACCAGTGGCCACTTTACGTCAAAACTGATGTTACTGCTTGCTCCAAGGTCGACTGAGAGATGCACAGCTGTAAGAGAATGCGTGGTTAAAATTTAAACAAAATCCTCTCCAGTTATAAAGTTCTTAAACCTGCGACACATTACCCCGTGCAGCACAAATAAACCAAGTCTGGTCGGGCGAATCTCCGGACATACAGTAAGCCTACCAATTATTGGAATCATCACCACACAAAATGTCAAGAGAACAAAAACCAAAATTACTTGGTTTAAATTAAATAAAAAAAAAAAAAAAAAAAAAAAACGAACTTAATAGCAGTCATGTATATATTTTAAAAAGGGCCATTAATCTGCTTTTAGATTATTTTAAAAATGCCTCTTATTCTGTTATCAAAAAAAAGTAGCTAAAAACTTTTTACTTTTGCGAGCTTTTAAAATTTTTATTTTTAAAAAAAATTAATATTTTAGACATGGTTTAAATGACTTGGAAAAAAAAAAAAACCTACGACTAAAGAAAAAAAACTTAATCTAGCAGTCATGTATATATTTTAAAAAGGCCTATTAATCTGCCTTTTAGATTATTTTAAAAATGCCTTTAATTCTTTTATCAATAAAAAAGTAGCTAAAACTCTCTTTTGCGAGCTTTTAAAATATTTTTATAGCTTTGTAAAAATTAATATTTTTAGACATTGCATTTTCAATGGAAAGGATTGCTAAACCGTTAAATCTTATCCAGCTCATTTTGATCAAAGATCAGCTTCAACTCTAAAAAATTTCTTTTGCAAGAAGCAACTGAAATATACACTGTCACAAAGTCTTTAGTACTAAAAATGCACACCACTTTTTAGCTTCGTTCTTTTATATATGCCTAGGTATATATGAAACATAGGTACATAAACTTAAAGACATAAGGTTCTTCAGAGCCCCCCTGTTTAGAGGTTCAATGTGGTCCATCCATCCCTACATATAATGTGTTAAGTTCTTTACTTTAAGTTTACAATTTTTTCATTGCATTTTGTCGGATCTTATATCAAAACATTCAGATTCGAGCTAATTTAGAGTTAATTGGGATTAGCCTTTTTATCAACGTTTTTCGCAAAAGAATTTTATGTGTTTCATCTTATACCTATGTATGTAAAGTAGTCTTAAATTTTCACTCGTGATTATGCACTGAATGATGCATGTGTTTTTTATCTTTATTATCTGAAGTTTTTAAAACACACAACCTTTTGTTTGGCGCAACATGAGCTCCCATGGGTTTTTTGTGCCAAAAAATTCCAACCAACCTTCTTATCAACATCATTCACATTCAGTTAATTAGATAAAATTATTTTCATTACGTTTCTGCATCCACTGTAAAATAAAAATGAAATAGGATATCATTCTGATTTTTGCATATTTTCTAAAAGCATTTAATAAGAATAGAAACGCAAAATGTGGCATTTAAGAGCTTATACTTTCTTCATTGTCTCAAGCCAATTCACCACAGTAATGAATGAAATTAAGTTTAAAAGAAAGAAATACGACTTGAAACGTTTAAAAAGTTCCTTTAAAATTGTTCCTTCGTTTCCTTCTATTTCTATCCTTCTTACCTTCTACGCGGACTGTGCAGGAAGTTTTGTCCTCTCCTAAGTCGTTAGTTGCTACACAAACGAAAGTTCCAGAGTCTTCCAGCGTGCAAGATGGAATCTCAAGAGCGACGACGCCGTCATTATACGTCACATTATACACGTTCTTTCCAACTTCCCGACCGTCTTTAAACCAGCGTATCTATGCAAAAAAATTAAAAAATAAGTAAAAATTAGTGAATTTGAAAGAAGAAATAGTTAAATTAAATTCGCTTCATAGGAACAAAAGATATTTTGATGGAAAACATTTCAGAAATAATCTTTTAATATTTTTCCCTTTCTTTCTTACTTTATTATTATTACTTTTTATTTGAATTAAACAGTTGCTTGCTATTTACTTAAAACACTATTTAAATTCGCAAAATAATTTTTTTAACAGAAATTAGGCAAGCAAAAATATTTTTAAATATTTACTTCCTTGTATGAAGTAAACGAAGTACTGTAATCCCGAAAACCTTCGGGTCTCATATTTCGACGGAAATACCAATTTTGACCGTTCCTGAAGCCATTCGGACGTCTTTTTTGCTTCACATCTGTACGTACGAACAGAATAAAAGATTATTATTATTATTTTTTTTTTTCCCGAAACGGATTGTAAAATGCATTGTTACGTTCTACGGGTTCGTGGATTTGGAGTGATTGATGACAACACTTGATCAAGAATCAAAACACAATTTATTTGTCAGTATTACACGAGACATTTCCAAAGACATGTTACAATCATCCAAAAACTCGGATAAACACGCTGAAACAATCAGCAACACAGCCATCAGGCTATAACGTTAAAGACAGCTTCACGGAAAAACACTAAATACAGCTCCCAACTCGGTCAATCGCTCTCGGAACTCAACACACTCAAGCTATTCTTCATAATAAAACTCACGATATACATTCGACGATGCACTCAAGATAGACTACTGCTTCGCTTACAAGCAGGGTTTATATAGCTTTTGGCCTGCCTTCGAGAACATTCTGGATAAAACCGGTAAGAATTCGTCCAGAATGCTGTCGCTCCGTCTATATCTATGGCCAATTTTGTCGCCAAATGGGCGATTTCGCTAAAAATCTGGCAACCCTGCCTTCCGTTGCATTATCTGGTAACCCTGAACCTGCTCTGAGGAGAAGCTATCTCACCGCGGTCGGGTATTTCATAAGAATACTCAAAAGGGACTTTTTCGTGACGTCTTAAGTATGTATTTATGTCGCATAGGTCAAAAACGATTACCCGCAGAAAATTGAAATTTTGTATATGGGGCTGCAGTTGCGCACCTCCCTTTTTTACTGCAATCTGCAATACCAAACATATATATACCCACCCCCTTAGCCAGCTTAAAGACCTTACCGGGCCTTTATTTTTACAATCGTTATTCGTAGTCATATATATTTTCAATTACAAAAGTGTTTTAAATGTCAAAAACATTAATATTTTGCCAATGCCAAATCTTAAAGAAAAATTAATTTTCGATAAATAACGAAGCCTAACTTTGAATGCGATCTCTCAGCTCCTATATTTATATTTGGGAACATTTTAATACTCATTATGGGAAAAAAAATAAATAAATAAATAAATAATAAATAAAAATATAGGGAGTTTTAACTCTCGTACAACAAAAATTGATCGAGATATTAATTTCAAATTTTGCAGTTTTCGATATCATTTTCAACTTGATTCGAAGTACAGTCAAAAGTCGTTAATCCGGACTCGTCGGGACTTCGGCGATTCCAGGATTATCGATTTTCCGGATTATAGATCATCAGTTTAAATCTGGTAAGATGGCATGCAGAAATTATAAAATTAAAAATATGAAACCGTAATTTATGAAATAAAGAACAATTATGATCTAAAGGGTATCAAAATTTACAAAAAAAAAAAAAGCTTATATTTTATTGTTTACTTTATTAAACATTTCTTTCAATGTAAGTTGTTTAAGTTGCTTCGTTTTTTAGTGATAATACTTTCTCTTTAATTCTATTAAACAGACATAATTTCTTGTTTCAGTTACAAAGTTCCGCTGTTCAAGTCCTATAATTGCTGTGTCGAGAATACCGACTAATTTGTCAATCGAAATTTTTTCGTTTTCAATAACCTCTGTCACTTTCTTCGCTATCGGAAGCGAATCATAATGACGAGGCATTTGATTTAAATCATATCAAAGACTGGAGTACATCGAGATGAAATACTACATTTAGTAAGGAATTATAAGCCAAATAAAATAAAAACATCTGCCCTGAAGATAAGGATAGTGCTGACAGATCAACAACTTCCAATTCATTGCGCGCCGCTGCGGCGTTAAAGATAAACAAAGTTTAGATAAACAAACGTTAAAGTTTATATCAACAAAGGAATATGCCTTTATCCATTTTTTGCAGCAATTCCATTTTTTGTTTAATGGATTCCGAAAGATACTTTCGCTTTGTATATCCTTTACATATTAGTAAATATATATCGGAAATTCTATTTGACATAATCGAAAGTTCAAGCTTACTTTTATAAAATTGCTCTAACAGTCTGCAAAAAATAATAAGCCGGATCCAATTCGAAGATTAAGGAACAACGCAATCTACAACATTAACTGAAATAGATAATTAGATAATTTTAGCTTAGCTTATCCCGTCCGTTATACATTAAACGCGCATTCGTAAACGTATTTTGCGCACGCGCACACGCTAATTCGCAGCGGTAAAGGTCTTACGCGCATGCGTCAACGAGACGCATGCGCAGAAAGATTGTAGCTTTTAGGTCCGGATTATAGATCATTCCGGATTATGGGTGTCCGAATTAACGACTTTTGACTGTATGTTGTAATTAAGTTATAATAATTCGAGGAAATGAATTTAAATGAAGTGCAGCAAAAAGTGTGAATAATTTAATATGCCGCACAAGGAAGTCACGTGGGTCCACATCAGATTTTTTTTTCTAATACAGTTCTATTCTTTAGCTAATTAACTAAACAGAAAAAAGGGAAATATTATTGTCCGTTTTAAACTCTAATTTAACGATAGTACTATTATGACAAATAAAGACAGACTAACTTTCTACTTTCACTGTCACTTTAAAATTCAGAATGTTTGATAAAATGTGGTATGTTGTTTTAATAACTAAACAGCTTTTGGTGAGTTAGCGATTTGAATGCAAGAAGGCATACAGAACTTGGGGGGGGGTGTTACAGCAAAATTATATTATCTAAGAAGTGGTAAATAATTCGTAATTTTTATGGAAATTTACACATATAATGTTTCTTTTCTTATACTTTCAATTTTAATCGAAACCCGAGGAGAAATTATATATTTTGAAAGATAAGATTTATTTTTGTAATTTCGCAACAAACGACGATAAGTTTTTACATAGTTATACTGTTTATTTTCATTGGTGAATCTACGGGGTCTTCCAAAAGTAAAGATTTAAATATTTGCATTTCATTGCTTCACGATGTATGGGAAGAGAATTATGGAGTGAAAGGCAAAAATTTACGCATTTTTGTAAAAATTATTTGCAGGTTTTTGATTACATTTACATCTATTATTCACGACCAGAGCTAAATGTTGAGTTCTAGTTTCAGTCTGTGATAGATAACATTAGTAGAAAGCAATAAGCATTGCTATTCTTATAAATAATTTTTAATATTATCTTCTGAAGAGAAAGAAATAATAAGCTATCATTTTAAATATGAAAGTAATACAGTGAAAAGTCGTTAATTCGGACACCCATAATTCGGAATGATCTATAATCCGGACCTCAAAGCTAAAAACTTTCTGCGCATGCGCCGCGTTGACACATGCGCATAGGCGTTTACGCGTGCGCGTAAGACCTCTTACGACTGCGCATTTGCGTGTGCGCAAGCGCAGAATAGGTTTTCGCATGCGCATTTTATGTATAACGGACGGTGTAAGCTAAAATTATCTAATTATCTATTTCAGTTAATGTTGATGATTGCGTTGTTCCTTAATGTTCGAACTGGATCCGGCTTATTTTTTGCAGACTGTAAGAGCAATACTATAAAAGTAAACTTGAACTTTCGATTATGTCAAATAGAATTTTTGATTCTGGAGCTCCCAAAGGATCGTACAAAACGAAAGTATGTTTCGATGTCCATCAAACAAAAAAGTGGAATTGCTGCAAAAAATGGATAAAGACATGAAGAATGTGACAGAGAGGTTAGTGAAAACGAAAAAATTTCGATTGACAAGTTAGTCGGTATTCTCGGCACAGCAATTAACGGGACTTGGACAGCGGAACTTTGTAAGTGAACAAAAAATTATGTCTGTTTATAGAATTAAAGAGAAAGTATTATCACATAAAACAAAGCAACTTAAACAACTTACATTGAAAGAAATGTTTAATAAAGTAAACAAATAAATATTAAGCTTTTTTTTGTAAATTTTGATACCCTTTAGATCATAATTGTTCTTTATTTCATAAATTACGGTTTCATATTTTTAATTTTAGATTTTATGCATGCCATCTTACGCGATTTAAACTGATGATCTATAATCCGGAAAAATCGATAATCCGGAATCGCCGAAGTCCCGACGAGTCCGGATTAACGACTTTTGGCTGTATAGACTTTTAGATCTAAAACGTAGTGATATTTAATTGCCGGATGCTTCAAAGCAGGTTTTTAGATACCTTCAGACTTCAACAGCAACATTAAAACTCTCTGGCCGGCAGCATGTATCAGTGACTTTCGCCGAGAGCTACTGTTTCCTGTTGTGCATAACATCTGTACTCCTCTTTCGGCGGTGATGAATTAGGAAAACAGTAATGTTCGATATTTAAAAAAGGTATTTATGATCTACATAAAATGGAATGCTGTCTGATGGACATAATCGTATATAAAAAAACAGTAAAGGAGAAACCTGACAGCTTTTCAGATTTTATATTACGCCCAAAGGGGCGTATTTTAAAGTTTTGTATGTTACCTTTTTGCTTATTAAATATCATGTTCTTCGCACTTAAACTATAAAACTCAATTCAACAGCAATATCATAAAATTTTTAAAACAGCATGTCTTTAGAATTTCCGATACACAGTCTCGCGTGCTGGAGATTTCCCGCCCCCCTGTACAGTGTTGCCAGTGTTCACTTTGAAATCGTTAAATCTGTTAATAAAAAATATTCTTTAATGTGTGACAAAATATAAAATCTGGCTTCCAGATGCCCATATTCGAATGGAGGATTGTGTTATTCAAAATTTGATGTGTCTAGGCACCGTTATTTTTCCACAGTGCAAGAAACATACATACATTCATGCTGATTCTTCATTATTTAATTTCTTTAAATATAATGCAGGGCTCTAATGTTTGGTGGCAACAGTTTGAAAAGTGAGCCGACATTTATGCTGACGCAAAATGCTAAAACGAAATTAATAGCCCTTCTGGGAAAATTTTACCTTTGGGCTAAAAAACTTTCGTAATAAAAGTACATTCTCTGAGTTTATGTAATTCTTCACTAATTGCTATATTATACATAATAAAGATACTGAAATACACTATATGTAGCAAAGATACTGAAGTACGCTATACATAGTAATCATATTGAAACACAATTTTAGCTGCAAATAAGTGTTTACGAATCTCTGGATAGCTATGTGTACGCTCAGTTAGGCGCGTCATGGGCATATGTCATATGTTTTTAAGAGACTCACCAAAGGTAAGGGCTTTCCAGACAAACAGCAGAGCAGTTTGACTCCTATGCCCACTTGGATGACACGTGGTCGCAACAGGAAAGTGAACAGTGGTGCCGAGTCTTTGGGTTCTTCATATAGAACGGGAGGAGCCAATTCTTGTCTCTTCCTGTAATAAATACAGTTTCATGTGACAGAGGTATATACTTTGGACTTTTTCGTTTTTTTAATTTATGTTATATATACACCATTATCTCTTAGGTGAAGAGAGGAAGAAGGGGAAGAAAGTGATTTAAGGGGAAACTTACTTAAATCTCCTCTTGGCAAACGAGTTTTACTTAATGAATTCTGTAAAAACAAGTTTACCTCCCCTTGATAATTTAATTGCATTAACTTTACTCCAGTTAACTTACGACATCTTTAAGGATCTTATGACCTCCTAACAATACTAAAATACAATTAATTCTGCTTTTAATTGATATATAGCCTTTTGGAGGGAAAAATGGGGTTTAGTGTACAGTGAAAAAAATATAAATAATAGAGTGAAAACCAGTATTTTGCTATTATTTATTTTTCAAATAAATCATAGAAATCTTAAATAAATTTATGATTTTTATCCATTTAAATGCTCTCTGAAATTGAGATAATTTTATACATTAATACTATTAAACGCCTTTAAAAATTTTTCAGATTGCTAATAAGTAAATGTTATTGCGAAGTGACAGTTTTTTTTTTTTTTTTTTTTTAGAACGGAGATTTATGAAAACGTTAAGAAGGCACATTTGGTCTCAAAATTTACTTACGAAATCTTAAGTAAATACAACAAACAATCAAACAAAAACCCTCATTCTTTTGCAGGTGTAAAACTGGAATCACAATGCACACTGCTTTCATTTTTAAAAATTTTTGTTGTTTGTTTTTGTTTTATCCCCTCCAAAGAAATGAAACAGAAGCAAAACAAATCATCCATAAAATCTAAGAGCAAAGCATTGTATCCGCTGATATTTGTAAGAAAAGATTTAAATGGTTTAAAAATGGTCATTGGGAAATTATGTTCAGAAATACCGAACAATTTTGATAATAATCAAGTACAAGAATTTCTTGACGAAGACTGCCTCAGAAGTCACTGGAAAGCTTGCAAATTGAACATGTATGTATGGTTTTTTTTATTTAACTATTAGTTAAATTTATTTAAAAATATAAAAAGGCCACCCTGTGGACAAGGTAGTAGAAGACCTGGCTGTCATAGCCTTGGACACGAATTCGAATCTTGGAGATGGCAAGAATGTTTAAGTGTATAGCGTCTTTTTGACATGGAAACACTTAAAATACTATCTAGACGAAAGTCCTATCTAGAGATTGATGGAAGGGGAAGAGAATTCGTTCTGCCACTTATAAACTGCGCAAAGCCTAAGCCAACAACAGTCAAATTAGGTTCCGAAAACTGTAAATTACTCTTTCTCATAAGTAACTGCAAATTACACTTCCCATTTAATAAATTAATATCATAATCACATTAAACTTATTAAAAAATTCCCGGTTTATTCAATGAAACATTTAAAAACATTAAATGAGAGAGGATAAAAAATTGAAATACAATGTATGAAGAGGAAATTGAGAAAGGTCATATAATTCGAGTATTGAGAGGAATTCTCTGAAATTGACTTTTCTGATTTATAATTTATTTGAAGTAAAAATTACGACTGTAGGGTAATATTTCGTGCTTCAAAAAATGTCATCAAAATGTTGTATCTTGTTATAAAATGCACATTTTAAGAATTTTCCTTTGATTCGGAATATTTTTTTTTAAATTAAATTAAAATAGAGGTTTTTAAAAAACCTTCATGTTCATGATAAAGTATTTTTCATGCTAGATAAAAAAATTACATAAAACGAGAACTGAATTTCTCCCCCTGTGCTGTATTAAAAAGAACTTGTATAAAGAGATGACAAAGCAGCATTATACAATATCATTAATTACCTTCAAAAAACGAAGTTCACAAGTTCTTAAGTAGACTTACCTGACAGGTTCCTCTAGGGTAATCTTTGGAATGTCAATTGGAACAGCTGTAAAAGAAGCAAATTGAACAGAATTATTCACTGATATTTTCACAACATAGAAATAAAAAATAACTATTTCCAAAATCGGAAAACAATATTTTTACGCGAATATGGGAACGTTATTCTCATATTCGCGTAGTACCCATATCTTTTGTATATTTAAAAAGCGGAAAAATATATAACGTAATTCGGTAATGATGGAGTACGAAATCTACCACTTTCAGTTCTTTAATTATTTCTCAGAGGGGGCTTCTAAAATTGGTTGTTTTCATCATTTCTTTTTCCCGCCATTTTATCGAACGCTCGAATATGAAAGCTATTAATTTTTTTTTTTTTTAAATTTTATGAAGCCACTAAAATTTAAGTTTATTGGAATTAAAATTTAATAGATTGTTAAATTAATTAATGGAATTGTTTTTATTTATACATTCATAATTATTTGCATTTATTTTCGTTCTTAAATATGACAAACTCCGTATTAAAAATGACAAACTAAACATGTTTATTTTTTAGGAATTTAAATTTAATGGAAGTAGAAATTTAAAGGGTTATTAAATTAATTAATGGAATCATTTTAATTCTTATTGGCAATTATATGTACTTGTTTTCATACTTAAAAATATCGTTTTAGGGGCAGGCTCAAAAACTGTCAATTATTTGTACTTATTTTTAGACTAAAAAACAGCGATTCAGTCGTAGCATCAAAAAATAAATACGAATAAATAACTAAAAGCGGTAGATCGCATATTATATCACTACCCATAATTCTGTATAAATAGTTAATGCTTTTAATCAGATATATCACGAATTTTATTTAAATTAATCAGAATTTAAAATGTAAAAAAATAATATTCTAAAGAATTGCATGTTGCTTTTAAAAGTTTGTTTTTTAAATGTTTTGTTGCTTAAAAGGCTTAGTTTATTTATCAATAAGAAATTTATTTTGAAAGATAAATAGCTTACATTTTACCGAATGGCAACGGACTGAAATGAAAAGTGAAACAACGCATTTATCAGCCCTGAGGAAAGAAAGGAGAGGAAAGATCTGTGCCTATGTTTATCTAGACCAGTTTTTACTATGATGGCAAATTTTAAACATCGGCACGAGAAACGCATTCAAGAGTGGGAAAAATCAAATCCCACAAGATCGGGTACTTATAAAGGAAAAGGTCTCTTATCTCCAACCAAGTGAGGCAAAGTAAAGAACCAAAATTTATAGGCACCCGTCTGTTCGAACACTTGAGCGATTCATGATGCAAAGGTAGATCAAAGAAGTTTCCCATGCAGCGATTAAAGTTCATCACTTTCGAACTACTAATAGTTTTCGAACCATAAAGTTGTAATACTTAACACTTTTATTATTTACACTTAAATTCTACCACTTTGCAAGCACTTTGAAGTTTTCTAACAGACTAAAATAAATATTTGGAAGGATTTTTTTTCAACTTGAGGACAACTCTAGCAATCAATTTAAAATCAAATGGAATTTACCACTCACTGATAAAAGACGTAATTAAACCCACCTTACGACTTGTTATTATGAAAGTCTTAAGCTGGAACCGAGACAACAATGCAGTGACAGCCATAATAGCTCAACAACAGAGTCGTGTCTCGTGAACTGCTATTCTCTGTTTGTGAAATCACATATCGAATTTGAATTAGTCAGGCACAGTACTCGACTGCAAACTTTTCATACGAGCAGTAACCTGCTCGTAAGAAAAGTTTGTCAGTCGCTGAAAGCAGAACGAGAGTACAGCAATAAAGATTTTAAACGCGAAAAATTCCTTCCGAAATGGCTGCTTCATTACAAAGAGGATCATCGTAGTTTCGAAAGAACTGCTGTCATCAACATTCCGTAGCGAAAATTATGCTACAACTTAATTTCTCTTTAATATGGTTCTGAAGCATTTTGTCTATTATTTCTGAAAGAATTCTTACACGTTTACTAAATCCTGTTGTTTTTCTAGCGTTCTTAGTAAAGCAAAACAGGAAATAATTCTGTTTATTGGAATTCAACCAATTTGGGCCTATTTCGTCCCATACTGCAAATGTATTACATTATATTCAGCTCTGAAATTAGAATAACTAAATATCATTTCTGCGGAGTAATTTTCATTTGGAACTTTTGACAATCCAAAGCGATTTAATAACCACCAGATCTTATCCATTCAATATCTACTAAAAATTTGGTGTGTAAAAGCAATTTTGTTCGTATAAAATTTCGGGTTCTCACCTTGAGGGGAATTTCACAAATTCAGGAGAATACGGTCAACCTTTTATTTATTCATTAAGTATTTAGTTTTAGTTTATGAATATAAAAAAAACTACTTTTATTCACGTTTTGATATTTATTAACATTTTCTATGCTTCTTCTTGTTTAATTTATAAAACATGTAAAAACAATCTAAATTTAAGTAAATATATATGTATTTTCCGAGTTCTGGAATGATCGTCTAGAGAAAATGAAAGAAGTGCATGGATCAAAAAACGTTGAGAATCGTTTAAATTCGCTGTTGGATGGCGCGCGATTACTCGCCAGTGTTACGACAGTATAAGAATTTGCGATTTTTCGGTAACTGTATGGAGCATAGAAAATATATAGAGAATAATAAAAAATAATTACGGTGAACATTAAGGAAGACCGGCTCTTCCCTCCAGCCGTAGTAGTTCTCTGCCTTGATGATATACTCTCCACGATCATCCAGCTTGCATCGGTTAATGACGAAGTAGTAGTCGTTGCCTTCGTACCGCTTCATGTGCTTCACGCTCTGCCGAAGCTCGATATTGTCACGATACCTAAATAGGAAGAAGTTTATAGTAATGCGATTACAGTTGAACACACGAAAATTGCTCTAGCGCTGAAAAAGCAACTATGTTTAATGAATAATGTAAATTCGCTGAAAAAGTTATTAATAATTGAAATTTATCTTTGAATACTGTTATCAAGAAAGCAACAAGAAATTGAAAATTATAAAAAAATAACTAAGCAAGAAGTGTAAATTCTGTGTAGAACATAATTATATAGGATCTTTCACTCTAAGGTCCGTTGTTTCAGTCAGTTTTAGTTCAAGTTAACAATTATGGAGATGACATTGGACACTATGATAAAAAATACTACATGATTTTCTTACTTGCTTTCCTTCTTTCCCCATTATCAACTTTGCGATACTTATTAGCTCAAGATCGCTGTTTCGCTGGAACGTACTTTTGGTTGCGGTCTGTCAGACGGCAGATTTCTGCCCGAGATAGGTAAATAGAGCTGATAGCTCTCAGTACCAGCTGCCTATCTTCTGGTGTACTGTACTGTATTTCGCAATGTTGTACTTTCCTTTCCGTTTCTTCGCGTAAAAGGGGTCCTTCTTAAATTCTCATAAAATGAGATTATTTCTGTCAATCTTATTTTTCAAAATTACTGTATTCATTATGGTCTTAACAATACTATATTTTCGAATTCTACAAATAAAGCTTAAATGCAAAATAAAGCAATCAGCAAACAATGAAACAACATTTTATAATAAACAGTTTCGCTTTTGAACTGTGAATTTATTTTGCAAATTTTTCTTGAAGAGATGATATCTTAAAAATCTCTTATCTTGAATATATATATATATTTTCCTCCAAACACGTAAATAAACGTAAAATTCTTTCAAAAAATTTGGTTAATGGTTAGCAATAGTGATTTATGCTATAGCGAACTCTCTGAATATTTGAAAACAAGATTACATTTTAGTAGTGTAGTATAAAAAATCATCTGATATCATCCTAATGAGCGAAACGAACAACACTATTACATTAGTTAGCATAAAGTTATATTCTAATTGATAGAACAATATTTTCCCATTAGCCAGCTTAGCTGTGCTAACTGGGAAGCTCACGTTTGTAAGGGATATAATTCATAATCGCTGTTATTTAGCTCTTTAATTGAGCCCACAAATGGAAAGTGTGTTATGCAAATAATCCACAAATATTGTAATGACGACCGGTGTGTTAAACATTAGTCGATAATTTAAAGGACAAGAAGAGAGAGGACGAGGCTATGCAGTAATTTTTACTTAACAAGCTGTCGTTACATTCATTAAAATAAAAAAATACTTGAAAACTTGACTAAGTAGAGGGAAAGGATTATCGGAATAAAATTTCAACTTTAAGTCAGACCACCATTTCTCTTTTCTAAATTTCCAATGCATTAAAAAGCTTTGGGAAACTTGTCTTCTGGCGATAAAATACAGATAAGTTAAAGCTACGGAAACAGAATTTAGTAACAGAAAAGAAAGAAACTAAAAACTTTAAATATACTCTTCATACTAAAAGCTTATAAATGTAGGATTAGATAACTGCTGTGACATAAAATTTAGAAAGTATAAAATTACTTCTCATAAGCGAAAATTTACAGAAGTCTTTGCATCTGTGTGAGAACTCTAGTTTTTGCTCGAATTCTCATACTATTACCCAGAAGACTCAAGTTCATTGCTTCTTCCTTTTGTTTTATAATTAAAGGTACAAGAAAGAAAAACCTCTCAGTTTACGGCATTATTGATCGAGATTGTTAGAAAAAGTAAAATGGTGTATTCGTGCGATTAAGAATCACTATAAAATATTATATTAACTGTCAAGAATTTCAAGATATCTTGGTTCAAAAAACACTAATTCAATCACACATAACATCAAGATACATAAACACTACGAATCAGGTTTCTAAACTGCCAAGTTTATTCAAGTCTAACACACATTCAACTGGTGGTGCCAAATTCAAGAACAAGAAGTATAACATCATGAAAGATTTACGCCCTCTTTGGCGATTAAAATATATTTCCACATAAAATTTCTTACAAGCACCTCTCAAAACTTCAAAAGATCAGAAACGGTCTAAATATTGAACACTGATTTTGTTACCATTCTTGATATAAAACAGTTTCTAGCGACAAAAAGAACTACAGAGTTGAAAGTGCTTCACTTCCGAATTTAAAATAGATTGACATATAAGTGTGCTTACAAAATACTTTTTGACCAAAGATTATGAAAACTTCCTTCGGTTTTCAGGAAAAAAACAGATCGTGCGGAAAAGCAGCAAAATGAATTTCCTAACCAACATGCGGGAAGATGGAAATTTCGATGTCTTAAGTATAGCCAATTACAATGGTAAACTTGTTGAAAAGTTCAGAAAAATGGACGCAAGAAATGAACCTCTTCCTCATTCTAGAAGATTAATAAACCTTGAACTCAAGATTAGTTTGAAAAAAAAATGCAGCTGATTCTGTATATTTAAAAAAGAATGATACCATTCAAAATTAACTGCTAGATATGTACCCAACAAAATATTATTAAATCTGAAGCTTTTAATCGCTACAGTACTGTACACTAATTGTACCTTATTTGTACTATGCATTTAACATACAATCGGTGTACTGATTATCGTATGAAACTTATTTCATTCGCATAGTGCATACCTGCAGTACGAAGAATCTTACTACATTAAGTTGGTTTACAGAATTTTACTGAATTCTGGCCGCAGTTTTCAAAGCTTATTTCTTCCGTGCTTTAGCCTACATAAGTTTGTTCGTATTGATCAAAAGAATAAATGTATTCTTGTATGAACTCTTATAAAAGTGTGAACGAAAACTGACTGAAAAATAATATGCTTCTGCATATAAATATAAACGAATGAAACTTATATATGAACAAAAGCATGCAAATTAAGATTCTACATATATCTACTCGTTTATTACTTATTGCAAATCGGTCATTTGCGTACTCAAAAAGTAGCATTTTGAAATTCTGGAAAACCGCCAAATAATGCTGCATGTCCAAATATCGTTATAACTTCCATATTTCTATTTGCTTATGGACAAAATTTTGCTGGCAATTTTTCACCACCTACTTTTAGATGTGCCAACATGTATTTTTTCACACACGTATGAGAATTCAGTGTTATCAAACCTATCTTAAAGATCGAAACTTGTTACGTGGAACTGTAGCAATTCTCGTTAGGAACAATTTCGAAGAAATCTTACCAAGATACAGTAGGCGGTGCTGGTGCTGTAACACGACATAAGAATTTTGCACTTTGTCCTTCGTAACAGAATGTACTTTGAGGGCGAATTACAAACCTCGGAGCGGCCTGTAAGCGATCTGAAATGAAAAATTAGTTTGAGATGAAGCGCATATTCTTTATTTTAGAATTGTTTCAATGAAATTTTAAATAAATAAGAAACTGCGTATAAAAATTCTTTATTATTGAAGAGCTCCAAAGAAATCTTATATAAAGACTTGATAATTACGTAATTCGCAAGCTGAGGGGTTTTTTATGCTTTGCTATTTATTAGATGGATCATTTTATTTTAATGCATTCCCAACCACTATGGTATTTATGGGAATGAAAAAGTTAATAAACTGTTAAAAGCGGAAAGCAAAATAAATCATTCAGATAATAAAACAGCACAAAACCTGTTTACACTACTACTGAGAGAACATTATCTCATTGTTTTAACTTTTAAATAAAAGTGAGGAAACAAAAAACGTGGCCAACTCTGCTTACGACTTCTACATCGAGAGATATTTTAAGACAAAGTCTTTGGTAATTGTTCTAGACTTTTAACTCAGTATGATTCAAACGCGTATGCTTCGAGCTTTATGTACGAACTTCACGTTGTGCCCACTGTCTTAATAGATTTCGATGACTTCTGGACAGACAAGACGAGAACTCCCACAAGATTATGTGTTTGGCAAGCGTCATTTGTACTGGGTTGTGCGGAGTCGAAAGGTCACGAATGGCTGTTAGTTGTTAAATGTTTTATGAATTCATATGAGGCTTACTTTGCTACCTTAAAAGATAACTTTTAAAACGAAAGTAAAAGCTGCAATGAAAGTAGCCATCTGAATCGGTATGATCTTAGCGAAAGGGCTCCTATGCTAGCCTTGAACTTCAAATCAATTTAGGGTATGGAATAGTTTAGGTTTTGTGCAGAGTACAGAACTCTTGAAATCCATCACATCGAAAGCCCTCTGGATGGGTTAGTGTGAAGAGAATAAGAGAATTATGAGATTACTAGATTCCATTCTCTGATTAACTTTTTTGCTACAGTTTTGGACAAAAGTAACACTGTCATGACTGAATTTTATGACCAACAATAGATGCAGTTCCTATTTCAACATAATTACTCGTAGGCCTGTCCGCACTGGTGGGCTCTGGATGATACCAATTGTAAAAACCTTCAGATATTTACAAAAAGCAGCACAAACTGCTGGAGAAGGTACTTACCAAAGTAAAAGTCTTGAATTTTGTACTTGTCCTGGTGTAGTTTCCGAAGGGAGCTGTAATTGGCGATGTGTCCAATAGGTAGCAAGCAGTTGTTCCAGGAATCCGCCTGAAAAGAAATAGCATTTAAGTAACAGGAATGCAGAAATATTGATAGCAAATGCAATTAAGGAATAAAATGATGCGAAATAATTGAAAGAATTACTTACATATTTGTCCCGAATGCTGTCTCTGAACTTGACATATCTCTTGTTTGGAATGCGAATTTTTGTATCGTGGCTGATATCTCCCTGCAAGATAGAAAGCAAAAAAATTGTCATGTATGTGTAATTTCAAATACAGGCAGTCTTCATAATCAAATAAATTTTAAACGAAAAGTAAGCTGTCACAGTTTTTATTTTGTTATGAATACTAGTTTGTAAGAGAAAAATGTCTTTTATTAATGAGTTAATTCTAAAAGTAAAAACATATACAGTAAGACCCCGCTTAACGCGGGGGATACGTTCCATCAAAGTAGAGCGTAATGCGAAACAGCGCTAAACGAGGCTATCTTTACATGTAAATATTGGGGTTAGGGGAAGATGGCTAGGAAATTGGTTAGGTATTAAATTTAAAAAGTATGTTTTTATAATAAAAATAAAACCAAACATTTATTTCTTAAAGCCCAAATTAATACCACATTATTATTATTTCTTGCAAAAATAAAAACAAAATATAAATAACAAAACAAATATTCTTTAAAAAAAAAAAAAAAAAAAAAAAAAAAAAAAAAATTCTCAGTCAGTCATATTTAGTTAGCCTTCCGCGTTTTCAGTGTTCTGCCTTTTTGTGACAAAAGCATCTAATGTTGTTTGCCTTTTTCTTTTGCGTTGTTCTCTTAAAAGTTCTTCATAAACGGATAGAGCGTCTTTAACACCCGCCTTACTTTTGAGCTCCTGTCAAAATTCGGATCATTTTCAATGAATTGATCCATTATTTCAGTTATGGTAGACAACTCCTTTTTACAAATCCTTTTACAAACGCCCATCGAAAGTTTCTTTTGCTCTTCTGAATCACTGCTGTCAACATTTTTGTTTTCTTTCTTGTTCAGTTAATTCCTTGAGCTCATCATTAGAAAGACTAGCCGCTGCTTCTTGAATTATTTCTTCGACATCTTTCACATTGACCCCTTCAAAATATGTCTGTACAATACCGCACCAAACAAGAAATACAAGTACACTCTTTCGGATATGTATTTGAAACCTATCGCTGCATAATATTTCGGGGAATCCCCGTATGCTGCGAGCGATTTCGTGGAATCCCCGGGTTGAAATAAAAGAGCGCTAAACCGAAACAGCGCTAAACGAAACAGCGTTAAGCGGGGTCTTACTGTATATTATAATGTTTCTCTAACTACAAGCATAAAAGACACATGTTTTGGTATGATGATCATTACATTTTGTGCCTAAATGGAGAAAGTATTCACAAACTGTAACAGCAGTTTCCTCAAAAAGCAAACTTTGCAGCAAGAAATGATTTAAGAAATTTCGACAATTTAGAAAAAGATTTAGTTAAGCAGTTTACAATTATATTTAATTCAGTACTTAGTATTTCTAAGAAAGGAGAGTTATTTCTTCGAATTAAATTGGAAATACCGAAAGAAATTCTAACTATAGTGAATTTTCTAACATAATTTAGAGCAAAAATAAAATTGAAGCTATGCTGATATTCTTGAAATGAATATATAATATTCTTGAAATAAATTTATGAAATTTATAATCGTACCGTAATTTTTCAAAGAAATAAAATCAATTGAACTAATACATTGCAATTTTAAAAATATGTTGAAGCTAGAGAGCATTTATTAAAACAAACTGGAATTATATTAAAGTTATTTAATGCCATAAGGATTATATTGGAATTCTTAAGATCAATTCGAATCATACTTTTCATAGTTGAAAAATAATTCATTGTACTTAAAATTAAAACCTTTTGGATCCATTAACGCGAAGAGAAACTGCGACTTTCTGAGGCTTGTGCCAGACAGGAATAATGAGGCAAGTTATAGCCGTAGCTCAGATGAAATTAATAAATATTTCACGCTGAAAGTACGGCAGTATTTACTGTTTTCAATTCATTTTTTAAAATAAGTTTCTTTCTATCTTACCTTCAGCCAGGGATGTTCCAAGCATTCGTGAGCCGTCATTCGTTTTCTGAAAGATTTTTGTTTAATAAATATTTGTTAAAATGAAAACAGACAAGAAAATATGAGCTCGTATTTGAAATGCGTATCTGGAAATGGATCGAATACAAATGAAGGACATAAAATATAAATTATTGAAGTATTGAACTGTATATTTGTTAAGAATAAAATTGCTGCAAAACATGCAGCATGATGAAAAAAGTGCAAAGGAAATTCAAAACTAAAATCAAATAGAAATAAAGTATCACAATGTTATAATTAAATATGGAAAAAGTAATTAATGATTTACATAATAATCATATAAATTATTTATTGTCATAAACATGTTGTAAGATTTATTTTAAGAGGCTTTTAAGAGAAATATATTTTGAATTGTCTAAATACCTTTATTAGGACCATAGGGCAATTTAATATTTCAGTTAAATTTTTCGCATTTATTGTATCACATAACCAGTCATCATTAGCTCAGAGAACTACTGACTGTTAATGACAGAAAAACAGAAAATGGTTTAGTAAAATAAAGAACTCATGAATATAATTCTGAATGTATAAGACAGATACTAGTTACAATCTAGTTTCAATTCAGTATATTTAATTTCTATGTAAAATAACTACAGAAATAGAATTATGTTAACTTGTCGCATCAGTAATAATTCAAATCCTTTGAGAGAAAACTTTCCTTTAAATTTCATAAAATTATTTAAAATATTTCCCAATTCCTTTTTTTTTTTTTTCATTTTCCCCGTCCACTTTCAAAGTTTTCGCATTTCTTAAAAAATTAAAATTTCGTTAAAAAATGTCCTAAGCAGTCCCTTATTAAAATACCAAACTATTATATAGGTAGGTGGCAATATTATCTTTCAAAGGTATATGAAACCTAATTTTTATAAAAAGGTATATAAAATCAAATTTTACATTCTAAACACTTAACCTAGAAAGAATTATAAATCATAGACATATGACAGTAGACATCACTTCAGCAAAAAGGAAACCATAAATTTCAAACAGCAAAATATAAAATTCAAAAATGAAATTAAGGTAAATGTAATAATTCGAAAAATCAAACTAGTCTGAAAAAAATTAAAAACGATATCAACTCCTTTCATGTACTAGCTGTAATCCGATAATGAAAGCGGAAATTAATCAACTTTAGAAATTAATTAATAGATACGCAAATGTATTGCTATATAACGAAATCTCACTTTCCGAGAATAAAAATTAATCTCCGCCTTAGATGTTGTCCCTTCTCAATTCAATACTAAGCCGAAAAATCCTGCTGTTGGTTCCTTGAACGAAATAACGTCGAGTGAGTAAACATTCAACTTTTCATGAGACAGATTGTCAAAACTAAGACTCGTACTATTATCAAAGTGAAAGCAATAGAAATAATACCCATACTTTCGTCAAAGTTTCATCAGCGCGGAATCCAAGCCAAAATACTTGACATTTATCAGTTTGTAACAATGTTAAATGAATTGTCACTTACTCTTTCAACGAAGTCGACTTCGAACAATTCCTTCTCCGAGTTGAAATGGATCACCAGGAAGTAGGTAAAAAATGATGTCGAGAATAATACTTCTCCCACTCCATTTGACCTTCAGACTAAGTAAAAACGAATGCCAACACCAAGAATCTGATTCAGTTTCTTCTCTACAACGGGAAGCTTGTTAAAAAATGATGGCAGCGATACGTAATAAAGACTGAACGCATAAACAAAGGTATATTGGGGCAAACAAAAATAACCTGTGAAACCTTACTAGGTTTCCCTCAATGCTTAGCTTCGCTCTAACTTTGGTCTGGAAGCAATGAGCTGTATAGTTGATTCATAAAACTCATAGTAAGAGTGTCTCGACACGCCAACAAACAATGCGCACATTAAAATTGATGACTATTTCACATGAAAAAAAAATGTGTTTTTACCATTTCGCTAAGAAAATTGTGTCATGGTAAAATACGAAGCTATTGCTAATACACTTAATATAAAACTTTACATTTATTATCTGAACTACAATAACATATCGCTTATCAGTGTATCAAAATGAGGGCAATAAAATAAGCCTCTTTTCTCAATATTTTAATACACTTCGATGACATATTATTAATATCATTAATTGTAATTAATTAAAAATGCTCGAGATTTCAACCAAAAAATATCTCTTGAATTCTTCTGCTTGTATAGTATCGTCTGCATCTCAAATTGCATCACCAATTTGATGATAAAAATGAAAATCTGAAGTAACGTACAAATCGCTGTTGCCTGTATGTTCGTTCTAAGTTTTATTTAAATGTTAAAGAATTAGTTTTATCGACGAAAGCGATAGATAATTTTGGGTAAAATGTTAGATTAAATATATTTATTTCTACTTAGCGAAATACATTGTAGATAAATACATACAAAAGTAAAGTATAGGGAAACTTCATAATAGTGAATATATTAATTGCTTCAAAACTTGAAATTTAACAATGTTACGATGTTTTCAAGTAAATTTAGTTTAGAATAATCTAGGCATATATACATGATAGAAACACATTATGAGTTGCATATACAGGCTTTATTTATGTAAATGTTCTGCATAGCGCACTTTGGATGCTTGGCGTGCTTTAAGTGACATGTTCCTAGACATCTGAGATCAGTAAAGCTTGGCCAACTGCTTGACCACCTTTTTCATCAAATCTATTTCGGCTGGAGTATTTTTCACTTGGCCACACGAAAATTCTAACTACATACGAAAACTGTTTTTACATAGTAAAGTACCTTTTAACATACAAGATCAAAGATGTGTTTGAAATCAGCCTGCAATGGCACAGTCCTATATTTTGGAAAAAAAAAAAAAAGGTTTTCATGATGTGCCGCAAAAGGTAGTGGTTATGTTTAATATAAGCTCTATTTCGGCAAAACATAAAAAATCTTTATTTAGTTTACGGACTATCTGTCATACGCATGGTAGAAGTCGTTAACATTTAAAGTCTAGATGGACTTAATACATTTCAAAATTTATGGCAAAAGACACACTCTATGTTCAAAATATAAAAGTGAAAAGCACTTAATCTTTTCGGTTTCTGCAATTGAAAATAAGGAGCGAGAGAACAGCAAAATGAAACTCTAAACGTTCCTTCGCCTTTTCGGAAGAATGCCTATTACTATCGGTACCTAAATTACATCAACAATGAAAATAATAAAAAATGAAAATTTAAGAGTGAAAAAATGAAAAACAACAACAACGAAACTTGATTTTCTGTTGAGAAGAATACGAAAGAGAACTTGTCTGATTGAAATTTAGATTCCAGTACAGAACTCAGAAATAGAACTTATCCGAGATCTCAGCCTCTCATTTCCGAGGTCACGTAAAAAAACATCACCGGCAACATAAGTTGGAATAAGTATTTAAAGACACTAACTCTCTTAGTAGAAGCAAAGAAAAGCTGGAAAAGTAGGACTAGGAGTTTTAAGTCTCAGTTAACTTTGAACTTGATTTTCCAAAAACAGCAGTTCATCTAACTTTTCACTCCTGAAAACAACTTTGCCAATTACATAGTTGCGAACTATTAGCTTGCATGTCATATCGATGTGCCATGAACTGAGAAACTTTTTATTTTATTCAATAAGTGAATAGACCTCTATTTAATATACAAATTGTTGGTTGCCAAAATACAAGCGATTTATAAATTAATAATGATAAAAAAAAACAAATTACACACACACATATATATGTATATAAAAGTAAATATTTTAATTAATCGTAATAACTTGCTCAATACTTGCGCAAAAGCTGTAAGATTCCTTTTTTAAGTTACAGCTAAAGTTGAGGAACCTTAAGAACTGGTAAACGAATTATCGCTTTAGTTCAGTAGACAGAGAACAGATACTCGAGAAGGTTTAAATACCCCTTATTATTCCAAATAAAGTTTAACAGTCGACTCCTTCTTGGAGTTTACAATAAAGCCTCCACTCGGGCTTGAATACAGGAAACTAAGGAATAAAGCTGAACTAAGCTAAAAAAGATATAGCCGAAGCTATCAAAATGCTAACAGAGTTGGCCCCTTAACGCTAACTAACGGCGAAGCTATCAAGGGCCTAATATACGGCCGGCCGATCCTAAAAATAGCTTTAGAGAGAGTATAGCCAAAAGGCTAATGCGCACTGCATAGAATCCCTGGCTCTCTCTAACGAAGTCAATAGAACTTCGCAGTTAAATACACTTTCTCTTTCTCATTTGCATTTGATCGCGATTCTGAAAACACGTTCTGGCCGGAAATTGTAATTTGAAATTCAGAGAGGACAGGAAAGTAACTTTTAACTAAACATTAACTGTTAGAGAAATTAAGATAAACCTTACAAAGTGATAAAATAATAATTTATTTATTAATGTATTATTTAGTATATTATCTCCTTTGATAAACGTAGGTAGAATTCTATTGAAATGAAGCAACTGATAAGCATATATAAAAAATGAATTTTGAATGAACGTTGCAGATGGTCTCAGCAATAATTCTTCTCGTACTTAAAAGGCCTTTGTACCAAAATGCTATATTATAGCAATTAGGAAAACCTCCGAAATGCTCTAAAAATTTAACAAATTCCTTAAACGAAGAATATACTAAAAAAGTGCATATATCATCAAACTCCGGACTTCGTTAATTAGTATACAATCAAACATACAGACTATTTCAGAAATACATATTTCTGCTTTATTCTTGAATCTTCGATACTATATCTACACTTCTAGTTACTTCAAAAATATTGCAAAAGGTGTAAAGAATTAAGTTACGGTAGACTGCTATTCGTGAAAATTATTTGCATAAAAATGGAAATTAAAATTTTTATTTTACTTTTCATCAACAAAATATTTAATTAAAACGAACTACTAAGCTTCTAATATTCAATTATAATAAACTTCGATTTGTATGTAAGCTGATAGTTCTTTCATCCATGAAAACAATGACGTAGCCATGAAAAGAATTCCCTGTATCATACCGCTGTCTCTGTTTTCCACGGGATAAATTTTGGTTGATATGGCATGTAAAAATTACATTCCAAATTCTTTATTAATCGAAAAAATGGCCTTATTTTAGATGAAAAAGGAGAATATTTTTTAATTTAATAAAGAAAAAACAAAATTGGGATTTTTTTTTTGTTGCTGTGTATTTCAGTACAACTCGGCTGGTAGAGCTCTAAATCTTTACAATCTCAATTAAGTTTTACACGTCATACATGCCGTATGGGTAAATATGTTTCATTATAAATAAAGTATTTTATCCCTCCTTTCATTTCAATAAAGTATTTTATCCCTCCTTTCCGCGTACCGCTTGACGCGTATTCGGGAGGTCCACAGTTCGAAGCCGGCACTGTACATTTTTCATGATTCTGCATCGATATAACCTAATGACGCTACAGATTCATATTATAAACCTATATTACAAGTAAGGATTTCTATTATTAAAAAACAATTTGCGTTTTTGTGAGAATTGCATATCGAATCGCATGCAAAGACGCTAATTTATGACGCTGGATGTTAAAATGGAAAAGGAAAGATTAGGTTGCATTTTTTTTCGTAACATATTCATCTTGAGGCCTTTCGAGATTTTGAAAATTATTGCGATTATACTATACTATTCATAACATCTAATGTCCGTTTAAATAACACTGCTTTCTGGGCAAAGACATCTCTGACTAAGGCTGACTGTAAAAAAAAGGAAATCTGGTCCAGATTGAGATTTCTATCTAATTAAAACACTTACTCTTTTGCTCGAACAAGAAGCTTGGAAATGAAATCTTTCCCCTCGCTGGATACGTTGGCAAAAGCTTCGTCATCAAATTCCCAGTCACAAGCGCGTACATTCTTTAGGGTCTCCACGTCATTGTCACCAGCAAAAGGGGACAAACCACTCAACCTTTGAAAGACACATACATTTTAACACTGGAATTTATGCTACAAAACAGATACAAAAAGAAATTCATAAACGCAAACTGCTATCAATGTAAATTGATGTAAGAATTTCTATGAATCTTAATTCTGTATGTTATTTCGACTTTAATAATATTTGTGATGGCACTTTTTTCCTTTCTTTCAAGTTTTTTTAATTATATGATACAATCACGAAAATAAATGCATAATTTCTTCGAAATAACTTGAGGTGCGAGAGTTGATCAAAATGTTTCTGTTCAAAACATGCATTGTCCGTTTGGTAGATTCGAAGAAATTGTTAGCGGCGTGAAGGCAGCTGTTTAATAATGAATCAGGTTAAAGATTTACTCGTACGTATTGTTGTCTGCTTCATAAAGCATTCGAGTCAGCCCATTTTATTCACTCTATCCTCTGAATGAAACTGCCATTCTGTAAGAAATTTTATTCAACGAAACAAGGAAAATAAAATCGTACAGTGAAAGCTCTTGACCACAGAAAGAAACTTTAGGCTTTCTAATTTAATGTATCTGTTTTCTCATGGCACTGTTGCCAGTGTTCAAGGAGAAAATAGACGAAGTGAAGCGCCTTAAGAACGAAGAAATGAAACATAACATGGGAAAGACCTACTTACAAGTGCTGTTAGGCATTAGAGGGTTTTGCTTAATTGGGCATCGCAACTTGATCCCAGAACTATAAAACAGAAATATTTTGATCCCTTTCCATATAGTTAGACATATTAAATGTTCTGTTATTAAATATACTCGTATGTTTACAGATTTTATATGCTCCCGTAGGTTTTTGGGCTTTTTCATCCTTTGCAAGAGAAGTCTACCCCGTTTTATTTCTTACTGATAGCTTAATCTACTTATAAAAACAGTTATAAAGTTTATACTTTGCTCTAGTTAGCTTTTATTATAATATTAAAATTTTACATTTGGTGTTTACATTTCTCCATATTCATGTCAGAAGATAAATTGCAAGGTAAAAATTAACCAAATTAGTTTCTGTAAACAATTTTTTTTTTCTGTACATAGTTCTGAATGTTGAACTTTACTAGGACAGAATAAAATACTCTTTTCCTTCAAAAAAATTATAAAACTGCTTTAAAATTAATTCTGAAGAGAATTTTTCATGGCGTCTGTACGAACGTATGTACGTACGTGCGTACGTACGTATCTCGCATAACTCTAAAACGAGTAGCCTCAGAACGTTGAAATTTTGTATATAGGACTACTATAACATGTAGATGTGCACCTAGTGTTCTGGTTACAATAGGCCGCACCAAACGTATATAAATATATTTATATATATACCCACTCTGTTACCCGGCTCAGTGATCTCAGTTTCTTTACTCTTATATGTTTGTAAATTGTACATTTTTTGCTTTAAAAATGATTGAATTATGTTGTTTTTATCTTCCGGTTAAGGATTTTATGCCTTTAGTAAATCTGTGTGCAATATTTTTAGAATTATCAGTAATTTTAAAGTTGTTTAATTGCCGCTAAGCCTGTTTTTTTTTAATGGCGGCCATTGATGTTTACATTTGAAACAGGAGACTAGTGGATTTGTTGCCAATCTAGAGAAACTTAGCTTCGCAACAACAAAGATAACGCATTCATTTATTATTGCGAATTAAATCATGCTTAATTCTTTCTGGAATATTTCGAGGAAATAAGCGTTTGAGATTTACTTCGTAATTTTTAATATAGATATTTTGAGTTTTTATGTATTTTTGCCTTCTCGCGAAGTAAGAACTGAATTGATTAAATGAGAAATACTCAATCGTTTGTGAAAAACTGTTTCTTTTTTGTTTTGTTTGCTTAATTTCTTTTATACATAGTTCTAGCTTTATTATAGTATTTGAATAGAACATGTGGCAACGATTAGATAATTCTTTAAATGATATACATTTTGTGCATACTGAGTTATAATATGAACGAAATATAATACTGTTAAGTAAACCTAGCGCCAGAGTGTCGCTATGGTAAACAAAGTGAATTTTAAAGAATGCATTTATTCTATTGTGGTTTATGCGCTGTCGGCGAAGTAGGTTTAATTCAATCCAATAAGTTTAAATAAAATACAAGAAAAAATGCGTATAATTTAATATTCCGTACAAGGAAGTCATGTGGTGTACACATCAGATTTTTTGTGATCATTTTACTCATAGCTTTTGGTAATTAAAGAAGTTTGGTTATAACTGATACTTACAGAACATAGGCAAGCACTCCAACAGCCCACATATCTGTGTAGAAACCAACTGGTTCTCTGTCTACAATTTCAGGAGCAGCGAACTCAGCCGTTCCTGTTGATATTTTCACCACCTCGTTGGGATCCAACTTAGTAGCAAGACCAAAGTCAATCAGCTTGATTGCATTACCTGTTTTTGTTTGGCACATTATGTTTTCGGGCTGGAAGAAAATTTGAATTACTTTAGCTTCAAAATAGACAACTTGTACTCTTTTCTCTACTATTTCTAAGCAATTTTATTATAAAAATTGAAGATAATGGCTTTTAAGGTAAATTGTTTGCTTCTTTTAGATTACAGCAATTAATAAAATACATACGAATAGGATTTAAATTTCCATTTTAGCAATTAATAAGGAAATTCAAAAGCTCATTGAATTGCAAATAGAGTTAATGGGAATTGAGAGCATTACTTAATGGAGCTTTATAAATTTAAAAAGATTAGATTAGGTTAGGTTATTTGAATATGACAAAGCTACCAAGGTTATCTACCCAAGAGGCGGGATGCCATCTGGAGGACTTTCTAATGGAAGCTATCTCACATTCACGTTACACATGGAGAAAACACGAAAACCAACCACACAGCAAGTCCGTTTGCTTGGCTTCGTTCAACCTGGTAGGGATTCGCTTGGCTTCGAACCCCAACCAGGTTGAAGTACCAACATTCAGTTGTTTTAACTACTAAGCCACTGGCGAGGGCCAAACGTTTTTAGAAAAAAGGGTATTTACTTCAGATTTTAAAATTTACCTACGCTGTCTTCAGCAATAAACAAACCTCACTTTTATTACACGTAAAATAGAATCCAGTAAAATGCATTATGCCACTCTACCCTTTTTGTTTTATTCCTACTGTAATGGGGAAAAAAAGAGAGAAAGCTGATACGTTAGAGGTGTCCAACCTTTTAGTTTTCCCTGGGCCACACACTGGAAGAAGACGAGATATTTTGGGCTATATAAATTAGTTCTAACACCAGTGGGAACTCGTCAGCTTAAAAACTGTGAGTTACGCAAGCGTAGGTTTCACTGAAAACTTTCGAGTTTGCTCAGGTTTGACTACTGAAAGAAGTTTTTGAATTTTACCTCTAGCAGAGAAATGTGCGAAATGGACCGCGTTAGTTCAAATTTCCTCAGTGTGTACTTATACATATTAAAGCGCATATATAGGAATATTTTAAGTTATAAAGTTTGGTCTTATTGGCTATCATAAACTGGATCCAAACTCTAGCTATGCTGACAGCAACATATGGCTAAGTAGCAACTGAGACTGGGACTTGTTAAAAACCTTTCATTATAATAGAACAGAACGCACACCTGGTGCTCACGCATTCGACCAATACTTAGCCGAGATAACGTAAAATAACAGTCATATATAACTTAAATTTAATAGTAGTCAGAGACCACACAATTCAGTTTAACGCGAACCTAACTAGCATAGACATTCAAACATCGGCAGCAAATATTGCAAAGCCAAGAAATTCAGGCTAAGGCAAAAACCCGCTGTATCTTAAAATCTAACAACCTCAGTTTAAATACTCAGTCAAATTTACGTTCTTGCCAGGAAACGGTAGAAAAAAGTGACAGTAAAGATCCAAAACATAAAATAACTGGTTAATGAGGAATAATAGTAACCTTACATCGTGAATCAGTGATTTAACTTGATTCATATGGCGAGCCTCCATTGCTTAACAGTAATGATAGCTGAAGACCGGGGGGGGGAAGTAAAAACACATTTAATTAATGTAAACTAAAATACGTTTTTTATATAAATTTATGATTTTTTTCAATATAACGACACCAACATGGAAGTATTTTGAGATTGTATTTGACATTTTATTACAAATTTAATTTATAATTATATAGATAACAAGAAATCATGAAATTAATGGGATATTTGGCTTTGAATTTGAGAAACTAACGCTTCAGTGTCTGGTTCCATTGAAGTGGTTTCAATTCTGAGGGAGTTATCAAGATGTTCACTCGATATTCTGGTTCTAATTTTACTTTTAGTGTGCTTCACTCTTGAAAATTGTTCACAAATGTACGTGCTGCCAAATAATGATGATATAAATAACAAATGGCTGTGCATGTGCAGCAAGGCATATTTGCCACACGATTTTTAGAAGTCCAAAAAAGATGTGGTCAAATTTTGCCTTAAGTTAAATACCAGATTGCAACATTGTGCATTATATTTGAAAATTTGCTGGCAGCATGTTTATATCAACTTGTAAGTGCAATCGCAAAAACGCAAAAATTTTGACTGTTTTTCCGAAAATCTTAAAATTTATTTTCAAATTTTTGTATCAAATAGAAAAGTAAAGCTGCGTATTTTTTCCCAGTTTGGTATGGTTAATTTCTTGGCACAAGTTTTGATTTCGATAGCATAAATGATTTGATTTCACTAAGTACGTTATAAAATTTTTCTTTTGCGTTTCGCGCTTACTTTTTGGGCCACACTGATTACTTTGAGACGCAGGTTGGACACCCAGTTTAACGTTAACAAAAACAAAACACAAAGACACCCACACCAAAAAAGTATGTGAAACCTGTGACAATGTTGCGTTCATTGAGTTTTGTGAAAATAATTTTAAATGTTTAGAAGTGACGAAATTGGCATTTATAACGCACCACCTTCACGGAGACTTAAAGAATTTGAGAGCGACGAATTGCAAAAATATTTTAGCAAAGTTCAAGCTCAATAATTGGTTAATTACATGCTTTTTAACGTTAATTTTTGAAACTAATGTATTTAAAAGTCCTATCAGCTTTTGGGAAAGACTGATATCTTAAAATATACTTAAATTTTTATCAAGCCTAACTTGTAAAAGGGTTGCGCCATTTGAATCAACCTTTCTTTAAGAAATGCTTAAACAGAGATCGGCAAGAATGGAAAAATGGATGTTGCATCATTTAAAGGTATTTTTATGGCCCAGTTTCATTGCACTTTACTAGTACTTAATTTTTTTTGTGTATTGCTGGCTTTCGGGTTAGTTTTCTTTCGGTGAATTTGCTGATTTTAGCACATTCATAAAGTGCTATCTTTAAACTTTGGTTTGACACTTTTCATTATCACAGAACCACTAAATGAAAATATCAAAATGGGAAAAAAGGGAGCATTTAGTGATGAGCTTCAAATATAATTCAGATTCACAAAATTCACAAAAAGTATGAAAGGAAAAAAGTAATCTCAATGTTTCAACTTTTCATGGACACTTAAATCGCATCGGATATATAATTAAGTACAGATGTAAAAATGCAGAGACAGTTGAGCTTAATTACCAATCCAATTTAAATACTCTCAGTGATAGAGAAATTTTTTTTTGAAAGAGATAACATATTTTCATAAATAAGTTCCACTAAAAAATACACACGGTAGAAGCAAAGAGATATACATTTGCTTTCTACACCAACATAAAAATTTCTATATGATTTTTATGATAACTTATTTAAAATTCAATAATGCAATGAAATATTTTTCCTGTTTGGCTTTTGTCCGAAGAAGTAAAGTGCAAAATACTTCTAACAGAAAGCACCCATATGACACTGAATTTATAAATATTAAAAACTTGCCTGTCGAAGAAAGGAAATGGCCTTTTCGCTTTCTCGAAGAAAAAGTATTTGGTTTTTATATTCTATACTAAGTTCTTCACGGAAGAACCGTAAAAACCTTTTTTACAGTAATTTCCATTTTTATATTTTTACAAGTTAATCTATTTGCAAATTTAAACATTTTAAAACTTATTTTGTTAGTATTTTAATTTCATACAAATTTCATAGAATTTAGGTAAAATAACAAGCGGAACAAATATTAATTTTAAGTCAAAAAATATAAATCAGCGTTATATTTACAGGATTCCTTACCAGTGTGGTTTAATTTACATACTTCAAACTAAGGCAGCCTTAAAATTTCGCGTTAAGGAACATGAGGCATATGTTAGGAAAAAGGAAACTCAGAAGTCCTCTGTTGCCCGGCATTGTTGGTCAGAAAAATCCCACTTTCCATTTTTCTGCAGCCAAAATTATTAAAAAAAACATCTTCAGTTGCTGAATTAGATTTTCTTAGAGGCGTTCACATTCAAAAAAATCTTTCTAGTTAACGACCCTAATTCCAATCCATCTTTACCTTCAGCCTTTAAGGAAATTATGTTTTAGTTTTCTTGTTTCATCAATAGGTGGCTTCAGTATCTTAACTTCTGTCCAGCCATACTTATTTTATCTTATCACTATACCTTATCTCGTTCATTTTCACTTTGGCAGCTGAGGATGATGGTTTGGTAAAACCATAGTAACTAGACCTGTGAAAATTTGCAAATATAACTCTGATTTTTTGCTGTTTGACTTCTAAATTCATGGAATTTGTTTTTATTTACCAATGTTCAGTATAGGAAGAGCCATAGTTTAGGTGCTAGGGTATAAGTTCTATTTTGGCAAAGTATTCTTTTGTCATAAATCTCAAAATTCAATATATATCAATTCATATTTTATGAGATTTTAAAAATCGAGAACTTAAGAGGCAAAAAGAAAAAAAAGGAATATAATACCTTGATATCGAGGTGGATGATACTCTTCTCATGCATATGTTTTATGCCTTCGCAGATCTGTCTCATATAATTAATGACCTCAGCTTCACACATGAAATAGTTGTCGTCAGTGATCTTCTCGAACAGTTCACCCCCAGACAAGCTAAAGAAAGTGAAGGAAGATTTCCTCCATTATTAACATATAGGATAAAAAAAGTCCTGATATGGATAAAAACAGTCATATTTTAGTTCCCTGACAAAAGAAGAAATGGGACTATTTTAGAAGAATTTACTTTAAATTTGATAATGCAAAAATAAAAATTATTCTTTTCACATCATTAGCTATTTTTAAAACTATGAGAATTTTATTCCATTGTAGGAAGTTTCAAATCTTATTTCGATTCAAATCTTATCAACAACCATTTGTTCAACTAGGGAAAGAAACTTCACCATGTATAAATTAAGGATTACAGACAAGCATTAAGTAGCAAGGAAAATTCATATTTTAAAATTTTTGCAGCTTTTTTTTTTTTTTTCTTTTTTCTTAAAATTCATGTTTGCTAATATATGTAAGAAACTTCACCATGTATAAATTAAGGATTACAGACAAGCATTAAGTAGCAAGGAAAATTCATATTTTAAAATTTTTTGCAGCTTTTTTTTCTTTTCTTTTTTCTTAAAATTCATGTTTGCTAATTTACTTTGCGATCAAATATGTGCAAATGGATTCGCTGGCTGATAACATTACTTACAGTTTCTCATCCTTTGGAATAAATGTGAAATTGTATTTAAAGAATAAATATTTCTGCAAGGGAATTTTAATTTTAAGAACTCTTATAAATTCAAGTGCAGAAACAACTCGTTTAATGCAATACTATTTTTAGTTAAATATCTAAAAATTATTTAGAATTTTGAGTTCGTAATTGTGACAAATCTGCTCGATATTTTTGTTGGATACATCCATTGCAAATGCATCTAAACAAAATCTTAATGCTTAAATTACGATATTTTTACAGGAAATTTATTTAAGAATTATTTTTAATCTTCTAATATGTTAGTAAGTTATTTCTTTACTTCAAAATTTTTGTTGGAAATCTAAGGTCGTGGTAACTGATATTAACTTGATAATCTTCAACCGCATTAATTGAGTATTAAGAAAGATTTCTGGCAGTGTGAGGAAAATAATATTACTGTGAATAAATCATATTTCAAAAACAGCCTTTTTAAAAAATTTACGAAATTTGATACGCAATAACTATTAGAAATTCATATTATAGATGCAAGATGTTTCATTTATGGTCAGTAAATTATGAAGAAATTTGTTTTTATGATTGTTTATGGTATCAAAAGTACGTTTCTCTCTTGTAATGAAAGAAACAATAATTTAATATTAATGATGATGATGATAATGATACTGTTGTTTTGTTATTTTAACACAAAGCTGTATCTGTCAAGAAGCACGGACTAGTTTTGTATACTCTTTTACAAACTTTTTTGATGATTTCAAATATTTCCGATCATTACAAAAGTTTACGGTATTATCATATTTTTGGGCAGTTAGATCTTCACTTACAATTCATAAACAAGAACCATTTCGTCATCGTCTTCGAAGGCGTCGTGAAGATGGACCAATTTAGGATGATGCAGATGATTCATGACGTCAATTTCCTTCTTTATGAGCGATTTTTCGAGTGGATGAGCAACGGGGATGAATTTGGCAGCAAAGATGTTGCCCGTCTTTCTCTCTCTACAACGATGGACCACCCCGAAGGCTCCCCTGCGCGTAAAAAATAGTTATTGATTAAAAGATTATGTTGAATAAACTTTTATCATTAAGATAACGAGCAAAACTGCACTTCAGAAATATAGTTTATAATTGATGACGTTAAAAATGCTTCAAACTAGAAAATTAAAAGTTTTGTATTATTAAACTGTAAGGATTCATCACCAAAATTCAAAAATATATGCAGAGATTCGGAAAGCTGAAAATTTCACACAATTAATTGCTAATTACTTTTCTTTGAAAGCTTAATCACCCAACATTTTTCAATATAATCACTGTTAATGTCCAAGTATTTCTTCTCAAGACCAATACATTGTTTGCAACAATTACGGATTAAATGAGCCATTAGTGCCCCAAGGGCAAGTCTATGCTTTGTTCGTATACAACTGATATTAGGTTTTTCCTGAAAATAAAGACCACTATTATTTTGTAAAAAGCAATGAGAATGTCTTATGAACAGTCAAGGGACAACTTGATAAACAAGGGCCGATACATATGTTACAAGTCTGAAGGCAGAGTTTCAAGAAATGCAATGATACGCGTTTTCACGCTGAAATGTGCTGAATGACTAAGCTTTCGAAATATTGTTATCTGGGTAATTAAATTTATGTGAAATTCTGTATTGAACAAAATACAAAAATGTTGTCACTTAAAAATTCAGGCCAAATATTTTAATTAAATATTATTGTACTAATAAGTGTTTTAAAAAATTTAGCGTAAATTATGAGAAAGCAAATATTAAAATTATAAGTTATTAATTAATATAAAATATTCTGAAAATTAAGCAAAAATATTTATTTCTGGTCAGCTATAAACAGGGCTGGATTAAACGTTAAGTAATATAAGCACATGCTTAGGGCATCAAGAAAAGGCATCAATCACAAAAAAGTCCTTAGATATTCAGGAAAGGGTCATAAAAAATTTTCTATTGCCGTTTTTAACATGAAATACATAGTGTAGCTAAACCAAAACCGAGAAAGAAAAGGAATGAAGAAAAAACTGCCATAAACATATGTAGGGGGCATTAGAATTGTTTAAGTGCTTAGGGCCTCTGAAAGTCTTAATCTGGCCTTGGTTAAAAGTGTACTTCTTCGGCACTAATACTATACAAAAAGCAGAAATTTTCACAAAAAATCTTTAATTTAACTTATTAGAGTACTTAATTGTTAATTTAATTGCAATCTTGAATCTTAATGAATACAGGTGAGTCTATAGTTGATAATAGCTGAAAAAAATTAAAAACAAATAAATGCATCAGGTTTATACAACTATCTATCGGCTTTTGGAAATTAATTTTTTCCAAAGTAAAACATCTTTAAGATAAATAAATATTTAAGTATTAAAATTGTTAGAAAAGTAAAAAATATTTCATTCTGTAAAACCTTTCTTAACATGACTTCATCATGCTATACTTCATACTACAGAATTTTAAAGTGTCATAATGTGGAATATCAAACGTATCCTCTCTTGAAAATATAGTTTAGGTTTATCATCAATAACACATTAGAGGATGTTCTAAATAATGGTGGGAATTGTAGTAAATTTATGTAGAATATATATTGCGCAACACGATTCGAAATATTATTACAGCAATTAATGTTTTAGATCCTTAATCACATTATAATAGTTCTATATTATTGTCTAAATCAGCATACGAGATTCAACGAAAAATATTCAACTGTATGTTAAATATTATCCTGGAAAACCAGTGCCTCGTATTTTGTGCAGAGAACGTGCGATGGCGTACAGTCGCAGTGAAAAGATGACGCGATCACAGCATTTTTGCGTTAGGGAGATAAAAGTACTCCAAACTTTCAGATACATGCGGCAATTAATAGTGTTTGTTTTCTTGACTTCCCAGCCCTTTTCCCCATTTATAATCAAATGTGCGATTTGGAGCTTAAGATAAGACTCACACGATAAGCATTTCTGCATAGTTAAGGGGGCTCATACACCTTAAACCCCTGATGATCTTCAAATATGTGACTGTTGGAAGAATTGGGATATTTTATTTATTTTAAAAGCACTTAATTCTAATCTTTTACAGCTGACTACATAATATAGCTGCTTTGGAAACTAGTAATCAGAAAGTTTGTGTTGCCACAAATATTTTTGTAATTTAATCCTCTTTGTGACAAAATATTTCGCCATGTTTCCACCTTGTGCGCATGATATTTTAAAAATGGCTAACGGTACATACTTGAAATTGAATGGAATTCTTTATATGGGCACTATTTTCTAACTGAAACAAAAATATGATAGATATTTTAATACTGAAAAATTTTATGGACGAAAACATTACAAATTTTTTTAATAAAATACATTTTATAACCTCAACTCCAAATAAAATAAAAAATTAACAAGAAATTTTTAGAATTTTATGTTCACAGTAGTTTCCAAATGTTATAAAAGCTATATATTAAATATGGAATTAAATGAAACGAAATATTTTAAACTGTGCGCGCAAGTTGGAAACATGACGAAAAATGCTGTCACAAAGCGGATTAAATTATACAAATATTTGTGGCAACACAAACTTTCTGATGACTATTTCAGAACGCAGCTATATTATGTAGTCAGCTGTAAAATGTTGGAAGTAATTGCTTTTCAAATAAATAAGTTACCCTAATTCTTGCAACAGTCACCTATTTGAAGATCTTATGGGTTTTAAGGTGTATGAGTCCCCTTAAGACTAACAAACTTGATAGTTTTATTGAGAATCAAATGCATTTCTCCCATGTGTTCTTATTGCGCACGCTCCCACATATAACGAGTAATTATATGATCTCTGGGCTCCTTGATAGGCAATCAGAAAAACCTAATGATTCAAAAATTTCAGTGAACACAGTTACATAGGCAAAAGTACATTTATAGCTAAGTAACCATTAGTAACATAGTAACTGGTAAATTTAACTTACGTTCCTATTTCTTCCAGTATATCATATTTATCGTAGATACTGGAAGTTTTGATATCAACGGGAGTAGGGATGTATTTATCAAAAACATCGAATACTGGAAAGAAAAAAAAAATGTTAGTGTTCAGATATACAATAGCTGTTTGGGAACTTAATAAGGTTAAAAGTATTCATACCAAATTGGTCGTAATTCCTGACTTTTCCTTCAGATTTACCGCGCACACGTCGACCTTGAGCGTCCACTGTTTAAAAAAAAGCATTCTATTTGTTTTTGCAGAAATGAAAGAAAGTATCTATAGCATGATTCTTTAATTTTCTGCCTAAAATAAAATAAGCTAAAAGTCTGAAGAATAAGTTCGTAGATTTAATTCTTAAAAATCATTAATGTTGGTAAACAATTAAATGAAAGATACATAATGTAGCCGAAAATACTCTTGCTGTTCGTGACTGTCAGAAATACCGCGCATAATACCCAGTGCCGTCTTAACAGCATAATGGCTCTCTAAGCAAACAACTGCTGTGGTCGACAGCTTAATACGACTACTTCTCACAGAACGAAACGTAAATGGATTGGTATGAGGCCAGTGGACCCATGCTTTAAGATGATCTTAATGGTACTCAGCATTAGGTCTCGAAGTAGTCTCCATCAACATCCAACCAACGTACCTACAGCTTTGTTAATGCCTGCCTTTGTAATGCGCGCATTTTAAAGCATCGCCTGACGAGAATACCAAAACCGAAATTTTACATTTAAACAGAGCTGGCGAAAATTACTATAAGCAGGCGCGATTGCCAGAAGTTCTCTCTCTCTCTAAAAGATTCAAAATCCTCACCTTAAATACACACAAAGTTTATTTGTATTCTGGTGAGGAATACGGAAAGAAGAAATTGTAGTAAACATCAAAATAATAATAACTGGTTAATTAACATAAAATATCTCATACACAACTGATGGATTTCATTTTTGCATTCTTCATGTGTAGTAAATGTAAGAACAGTGCATTTTCTCCCAAAATACTTCTCCGTACGTTTTAAACGCTCTCCGTTGCTTCATTATTCGAATATAATAATGTATGAATTCAAACTTCCATTTATAATTCCCCAAAACAGCTTAGATAATAGGTCGTTTTTCCGTTTTGAAAACTAGCTAGTTCTTCAAAGTTTAGGAAATGAATTGCGATTAATGAGGCATTTGTTCAGAAGATGGGTTAATATTTTCTAAAATTCACGACCATAAAGATCCTCTGAAATCAGACTGGTTCAAGTTACATAATGTTCAAAGGATGAGGTCTGAAAGTAAAATAAGCACCCGCATCATTTCTGAGAAATTAGCGGTACTATTAGAACTTTTCACGCATTGATTACGCACTTCTCAACACAGAGAGAAGTTCTTTCATTAGAGAAGATATAAGAAACATGAATGAAAATCAAATCTGGGAAACAGGTTTTATTTCATAAAATACCCCAGAACAAAACTGTGAAAATGTAGTACTTACTATACGATATTATGTTTTCAAACAGTTGAACTACAACGAAATAAAACAAGAATACCTATTTCTCTGTTTAAAGCTGAAATTCTAGTATTCATCAGATATATGACGATTTAAATTTCATCAGTATTGCACATAAATCCGTTTCTTACTACTATATTTCTTTTTAGTTCAGAATTTTTAAGAATTTAGAAGTGACTGAATGACAGTTAATACTTACACATAATGTGCTTCTTCCTGGCAAGGTCTTTTTCCTTCACTATAAATAAAAATATATGTATTTCAAGAAAATAGTTTCATATTTAAGTAAAAGAAATGCATACCAAATGAATGTGATCTTACGTTTCGTTGTAACTAATTGCGTTGGTTCGCTGGGATCACTTCTTCCGTAAACATTCTCTGCATATATTCGGAAAACGTAATCTTTGCCAGGATTCAAACCAGAAATCGTATGGTAGGTGAACCTGAAGCAAAAATGTTGATAGAAGATAAACAACTAAAACAACATTTTAAAAGGCAGTCCAGAACTGAAAAACAGCATGGCGTATTTTTCTTAACCTTCCTTAATTTTAATTAATCAGTGATGAGAGGTCGGACATTAACTGACTCTTTAACTTTTATATAACCTTGTACATATTGCTAAACAGGTGGAAATGTACACAAGGAGATTTTGTGATCTAATCTATTAAGACAACCAAATGCAACTCGAATTGTTGGATTTTTAGCGCAGTAATTACAGGGACACAATAAGTAACTCGGATATTATGATCATCCCGTGGTTTTAATCATGCTGCATACCACGCAGGGACGCTCGATCTTGTCGCATATAAAAGTGTGAAAACTTTGTGTGAAGGTGAGCTAAATACAATTGAACTTGTAAAAGGTCTATCTCTTGTGATATGATGTAGTGCTTGTGTAAACAATGAATAAGCAAAAAGGTCTTCGAATCACAGAGCAAAGTATTAAACCTTTGAAGTTATCACTCAAAATTTCATATCATGGCCAGGCTTCAAGGATAATATGAAAAAAAAAAATGTTTGCTAAGTACATGTAAGAATGTGAGACATATTACCATATCTCCGTCGTAATCCAAATTTAATGTTTTCAATCAAGTGAAAAACGCCGTTGCAGGAGTATGAGAGGGGATATACAACCCATGGAACATTTTTACTTTTAAGTGAGAATAGGATTTGGATTTTGAGATTATTCAGTTATGGCAAAGCACACGAGGGCTATCTGCCTAAAGGGAGGGATGCCTTTCGTGGAGGACTTTCTAAGGGAAACTGGCTCGTATACACGTTACACATGGGGAAAACCACGAAAACGCCCATGCAGCCAGCCCGTTCGCGGGATTCGAACCTCAGACCGAACTACCAGTGTTCAGCGTCTTGACCGCTCGGCCGCTGGTGGGCCTTTAAGTGAGAATAAAACAGCTTAATGAACCCTGGAGGAAATATATTGGAAAGGAAATAAATAATCTCAAATAATGACATATTTTACAAACATGTAATCACTCCATTAGTTCGGATCATATTTGAATGGCTTACTATTTTAGAAGAGTTTTTGAGAGTTATAACTTGCACTACACATGTTAAAAGTGCTTCCTGCTGTCTCTTACATTCTGCAATTCTCAAGTGTTAGGAAGTGATTACTCAGATATGGCCTCTTATAATATATGTGGACCTTATAGGATTATTCAAGAATGATACAGGACAAAACTTTACCTGGTATTTCCGCATCGTATCCAGCTGGTCATGGGGCATTCTTGTTTTTCTATCAAGTAGTTGCTAATATGGCTGCCACCGTCCCATAGAGGAGGCTTCCATGATAGAGTGACGAAATCATCGCAAATACTTTCCACTACTGGGAAACGAGGCGGGTCCGGTTTGTCTGTAAAAATAGTTATAGAGAAGAATTTAGACACCCAAGAAAATGAACCCGAATGTTAGTTTCATTCAGGCATGCTAGACAAAATTGAGTGGTAACTTTAATACTACTTAATCTAGTTAATATGTGGGCTATATGAAATAATGCACAGACCATAATTTCTTCATGGCAAAACACTGCATATTAGAATTATATTAGATGAAAATACTGATATATTCAGGTTCTTATTTTTGTGAAATTTTTTCGAATTGTTTCTTGCTTGAAATTCGCAGACTTCGCGTCCTGGCGAAACTGGGAGAACAGAATGTTTAGCCTCTCGAAAGAAATTTTTGTTGGAAGTACTCGTGCTGCACACGTGAGCAAATAATTGAATGGAAACAATGCGCAAGTACATCTTGAAAAATTAAATTCCTTTATTAAATAAGTGCACAGATCTTCATAATGTACAAGGCGCTAAAATACAATGAAATAATATCAAAGCTATTTTTTTCTGCCATTCGTCTTTACTATTTTGAACAGCTTACTTTAAATGCCAGATATTGTGTTCTGTATCTTAAACTTCTGGGGGCCTGATTTGTAAACTAGTAAATATAACGTAATTGCTTAAAATTGTTTCAAGTGTCAAACTGAAATCTATATACCAAGATCAGATAATAACTTTTTTTAATCTTATGACTTATGACTTTATCTTATGACTTTTATACTTTTTATATATTTTTGTTGTATTTTTGAAAACATTATTCAAACTCTTCGAAGTGTTAATACATAATTTGATTTCACTGCACATTTTTTTAATCTTCGGCTAATTTTTTTCCTCAGTTACACTGGCCTTCGAAAACTAAACAAATCAGTTCAAACGAACACTTTATTAATTGGTAAACATTATTAATCAATGATCGTGTAGTTCAATGAATATTTTTGTCTGCAGGCAATTCGTCAGTGGCACTGTTTTCTGCTCCATTTTCGGCAGCTATTCAATGATATAGTAATAGAAGCCAATGAGGTATTGCTAGCAGATATAAAGATTAACAGATTATAAGGTATTTTCTCTCTCCTTTCCACGTGCCTTCGTAGTGTAACTGGATAGCACGTCCGACGAGTAATCGGGAGATCCGGAAATCGAATCCCGGCGAGGGCATTGCGCATATATTCAGTTTCTTGGCATAGAAAAATTCTAAAAGTCTCTACGATATATAATGGATTCATGTAAACTCAGATAAGGGCATATACATTGTTAATATTCTTACATGCAATTAAGTAACAAGATAAATAAATTTTTCATATATGAATTAAGATAAACGTGAGAATTATACAAGACGATTTTATCTTGTGGAAAGCCTTAATATTGCTGCGTTTTTTCCTGACACCAGTTGTTGCGTTATTTTCTTCCTTCGCGTTCGTACGGGGTTTGTAGATTTGGAGTGAATAACGACGACACTTCATGAAGTATCAAAGCACACTTTTTTATTTACCAATATTAATCAGGACAGCTCCGAAACACTTTTACAGTCGTCGAATATCTACTATAAACACGCTGTGACAATCAGCGACACAGCCTTCACATTGTCAGGCAATAACGGCAGAGACAGCTTCACAGCAAAGCACCAGAGTACAGCTCCCGACTCTGCTCGGTCGTTCTCGGAGCTTCACGTACTCTCGAGACTCTCCACGCTACAACTCGCGATGCACTCGACGACACACAGAGCACACACAGAGCTTAACACACTCTCTCGACGATGCACTAACCACGATACACTAAGAGACTCTTCGATGCACTCGTTGACCAACTCGGCGCTAGACTTCAAGACACTTGCTCAATGACTATCAGCTCGCTAGACAAGGCACGTACACTCTGACTGCGGACCAGCAGGGTTTTTATAGCTTTCGGCTTGTGTTCGAGAACATTCTGTGCTAAACCGGTAAGAATTCGTTCCAGAAGGTTCTCCATCCGTCCATGGCATATCGCCAATTTTGTCGCCAAATGGACGATTTCTCGTCAAATATGGCAACCCTAAAACTGCTTTGCGGGGAAGCTATCCCACCGCGCCTGTACATTTCGTAACAATATTGCTAACGGAATAACGGAACCACTGTCTGTTCGCTAAATTATTAGCTCTCAAACGTAGCATTGAATGCGAATATATTTCTTTAGAAATCATAAAAGATGGCTACAAAACTTTCATGTTCTTCCAAAGTTAACGATACCTTTTCTACATGTGTGACATGTGATATTTACAGTTTTTTTATACCTGGTAAAACAATATCAGATATCAAGAGATATGTCAGTGAGTTAGAATAAAACTTAACTTACTTATTTTGCATGGAATTCACTTCAGTAATTTTGTGAAACCAAATCTTTTATTTAATCGCCGAGACAAAAGATGTGACTACACATTCTAAAAATTAGACTCAACTTCTAGAACATCAAAGTGATATTTTGATATGCCTTATGTCTGTTTCTTCGTATTCAACTGTTTTTATTCATAGAAATAACTCAGTTGATCAGATTTAATTAGCCAAAAGAAAGATATGCTGTTTTGATTGAAGAAAAGAATTGTCTATGCAGCTAATTATGGCTGCACTATTTCTACTTTCCAAAAAAAGCTCTTTATGCTATAATTAATATTTTTCAATTTAAATTATTAAATTACTCTCTATCCATATAGAATCTTAATTTCATCTTTAACTAGCATCTAAAAGTAATATTATGCGTCATTTTAAATTCTCCTATACATTCGTTTGTTTATTTATACAATAATATATAGAAATAATGCAAGTTCTTTGTTAATAATATTAAAAAATATAAAATTCTGTGTTGCATTTGTATGATTATTTGAAATTTATTAATTATGAATTCCAAAAATTTTCGTCTTTGTGAAACATTAGTTCTAAATTTCTTACTTTATGTCTTTAATAATATATAGGTAACTAAGATAATTCTCCTTTCCTTTATTACATACTTAGATGTAACCAATCTACTGGAACATCCAGCAACTTAAAAAGCTTATAGTGAATTTTTAGTTTATAATTAATTAGCAAATGAAAAATTCACTCTATTGAAGTAAAAAAAAAGGGCAGATATCAAAAACCTACCATTGATTTGGACTTTGATGATAGCAGAATCCACACCAAGTTCATTTTCGGCAACAATTCTGTAAGGTCCATTATCATATTTTTGAACATCTCTTATTGTGAGGAGTGCATGCCGCTCACCAACAGAAACATCGTAGTGCATTCCACTCTCGATCTCTTCTCCTTCTTTCGACCACTTGATTTTCGGTTTGGGGAAGCCAGTGAATGGAATTTTCAAGGTTACATTTTCACCCTTCTCGAAAGATGCCACCTCTCTGAATCGAGGAGGAACATAAATATGTGGCGCAGCTGTAAGAGAAAGTTTCATGTTACCAACAAGGAACATTTTCTGGAAGACACTAACAAATCTACGTTCATTTTCCTTCAGATAAGTTGAAATTAATGCTTTACAAGTAAACAGCCGCTACTTAAACACGATGTTACTTCTACAATATACATTTTTATTGCACAAACATGAATAAAACTAGTTTTGTCGTCGCTGTTTGTAAAACTGCTTATTTAGAACAGGGGTAGACAGATCGAATATCAGTGTTTGGAATCAAGAAGACACCGTATTGTGAGTTTTAATGAGTTCAAATTGAGCCTAGTTCGAAGTATAGAGCTCTAAGCTTAGCTCAAAAAATTCTAAACGACCAGTTCTTTTCAAAATATCATTAAACGTTAATTTTACTGATTAATATGACAGCAGATATGTCCCAAGTAGCACATAACGTAGCAAAGACGTTACCGTGACCATTTTGCAACCTCTCGGACCAGTTTGCAACGTCTTTGCTACGTCATGTGCTACTTGGGGTACTATGTATATTAGTTAGGCCTTATTCATGCTTTCATATTTAAGTGCAAAAATGAAGTGAAACTTTAATTAAACTATTTATTGGATTAAAATTAGTATCCAGAACAAAAGCACTAGGAAGTGAAAAACTGATGTTGAAGCAATTTAAAGAAACAAACTCATAAGGCATGGAACAAATTACAGACATTTAATGATATATCATATAATTTACACCCCACGTTTTCGTAAAAGTTTTCAGCAATGAAAATGCTCGCTTGGCTATTATCAGTGCACATTCAAATGTTGATTTAGTAAAGAAAGTGTTTACACCTTTTTAAAACAATTTCAATGAAAATTTTAAAAAAGTCTAAAAACTTAATTAAGTATAATCCATTATCATATACAGTACAGTCTCCCAAACTTGACCTAATGCGAACTGAGTTGATGTCGATTTACCGATAATGTTGCGTTTTGTAGAAGAGGCGATGGGTTATTCATATCTTTTATATATCATTCAACAGATAAATCTATGGTAATTTTACTAATACCTTCATCTTTGTCCAGTATCTTAAGTCATCTATTTTGATTTCTATTGTCAAGTTGATTTGTTTTCTTTTCTTCTTGTTCAGCATTTTCACTTCATATATAATACTTGTAAACCTGGACATAAACTGAGATATTCTGTCTAGAATAATCTGAAAGTTTAGCTTGTAATAGAGCATAAAGGAATGCGAGTTTTAATCGGCAGCGGCTACCTGACTTTATTCAGCCATTTTGTTTCTAGTATAGGTAGATGGAATGGGGTAGATCGAAATTTCCACAAAAAGATTAAAATTTGACGCTGCCGACGATGATGCTGATGAACGCTGATGAACTCAAGGATGCAATCCATGGCAAACTATGTCAGGCAATTCCCTACTGGCCCTGAAATTATGTTCAAAAGCGACTGCTTTCAAGTATTCGCAAATGAATAAATAAAACTGAGAAATTTAGTCAGCGTATTTGCCACAAATGCCGGCAGCTACTGTGAAAACAGCGTATTACTCTGACTGATTTGCATCGGCGAAGACAAAGTGTACACCGCCGTTCTTCTATTTGTGCAATAAAAGTTTATATGGCTATTATATTTGTTAGTTTAATTTAATGTTGAGTTGCTTTTCTGTTGGAACCTATATATTTTATTTATAAAACGGAAGAAATTTAATAAATACAGAAACAAGAAAAGAGACTAACTCTTGATGAAGAGCTCCGCTCTTGACGTGCGGGATCCTCCCTTGTTGGTGGCCCGACAAGCGTACTCGTCTGCATCTTCACCATATACCTCGCTCACGACCAATGAATACGAATCCCCATCTTTCAGCATGGTGTATTTGCCGCCATCCATTAGCTCACGGGTGCCCTTAAACCTGGAAAAAAATATGATATAAATACTTATGTAGAAATGTTAGTGTTCTCTCTTCTACTGATAAACAAAATCCATTCATGATTAGCGACATTGCAGTGGGAGCAAGTTATTCGTTACTCATTTCGGATTCCCAAGTCATTACGAACAGGAAATTTTATCATATTATACTTCCATGATAAAATGAAAACTTGACTGACAAATGTGCTACACCGTAACTTGAATCGAAGTTTCGATTAATGCAGACGTTTCGCAGTCATTCATACAATTTATTTAAAATGACTGGAATATCTGATAATTTCTTATGAGGACAATATCTTAAGTTATCAGCTACTTAGTATAAAATATTCATCTGTTAATCAAAGATGGCTATGAAAAAGGAAAAGTAAGACTTAAAAAGTTTCCGGAAAAAAGTTATATACAAGAAAGCATAAAAAATTGCGCTTAGTTTGTGTTTAGAAATACTACTGCCAATAAAATACACTGATGGAAAATCAAATTTCAACACCAAGAAGGGGTTGTGCTAGATAAGCGAAATTTGGGTGATGTGTTTGCACATTTGAATTGCTTTAGCCTCCGAGATCATCCGATCTTTCTCACATCACGTCTGGGACATGATAATACAACAGATCTAGTGTTATTCATAACCAGTATAGATCGTTGCCAATTTGAATGACTAAATGCAACAAACATGTAACTCCATCCAACAAAATGACATGCGGCACCTGTACGATATAATGCATGCTCGTTTGCATACTTGCATTCAACACCATGGCGACTACAGCAGTTATTAAGGTACCACTGTTTCATATTTCAAATGACTCTTCGCGAACATACTTGTAATCTTGACACATTAACCTAGAGTAGGTACCTAGAAAAATATTTGCGTACAGTTTTATTTATCTACACTGATTTATTTTTGATGTTAGGATTTCATATCGCTTCAGTGTTGTTTACACTATATTTCATAAAAGTGCCATTTCAATATTGCTGTTACGTCTGGTTAGAACAAACTGGCTTTACGCCAATACATAGCTGACAATTCAGATGAACGTCTTCATGTGTAGTGGATACAGAGGACAGTAGTATCATCACGCATGTAAGATTTGATAATTTATTTCATCTGCCCCCTTCTACACGGGTATAAAATCAATCTACTCCCTGTGATGCACTATGGGCAACGTTCTTGATAAATACATGAAATGAGCGGTGAGTTCGTCTACCTTTTAGCGACCGATATAGGAAATAATTCTTACAAGCCATTTGTCTACTACATATCTTTGCCCATGCTTAAAGCTGAAGCTTGAATCTGCTCAAAATATCTTAAAGCCCATTCTTATATAGTTCTTTTCAGAAAATTATCTAGTGTTCCTTAGACATTTCCTTTTAATCTAAATTTTTATCGAGGAAAAAAATGAGTCGAATGTAGAAATAAATCGAAATCCAAATGTTTCATTCTAAATTCTATCACTGTCGCATTTACTTTGCTAGGTACTGTTTAAAAGAGCCTCTCTACTTATGCCATATCGAATTTCGGTAATACTGGAAAGGTATAAAAGAAAAAAAATCTGCTTTTTTACTTTTACAGACGGTAATTAATTTAAATAATTTGTTGTATTACATGATAATACAACAAATCTAGTGTTATTCATAACCAGTATAGATCGTTGCCAATTTGAATGACTAAATGCAACAAACATGTAACTCCATCCAACAAAATGACATGCGGCACCTGCACGATACAATGCATGCTCGTTTGCATACTTGCATTCAACACCATGCATGCTCGTATAAATGTACCACCGTTTCATATTTCAAATGACTCTTCGCGAACATACTTGTAATCTTGACACATTAACCTAGAGTAGGTACCTAGAGAAATATTTGCGTACAATTTTATTTATCTACACATATAATCACATGGTTTGGTTTCGTTTGCTTTATTATGATACACCATGCGAGGGCTATTTGGAAAAGAAGAGAGATATCTTCGTGGAAGACTTTCTAAGGAAAGTGACTCGTATCTACGTTACGCATGGAAAAAACCACGACCCATGCACAAACCCATGCACCAGTCGATTCGCCTGGATTTGAATCCTGGTCGAATAACTAGTATTCAGCCATTGTACCACTCGGACGCTGGTGAGCCGGCCTGGTGAACTAGGTATCATGGTATTTCTGTTATGATATTAAAGGCACTCAAAATTAATACAGTGCAACCTTTTGCCTAATTTCCCTGCTTCTTAGGGGAAAAGATAATGATGAAAACATTGGAACTGCTTTGCAAAAAATAATGAATGAATAATTGCTTATTGAAAATAAATTAAAGACAAAAGCTCTGAATTGCTTTTCGTACCATGTGATAGTTGGTTTAGGATTTCCTGAGACTTTGCATGTAAACTGAGCACTCTTATTTTCTACTGCCATAACATTTCGAAGAGGAATTACGAATTCTGGCGGGACAGGAGCTGAAAACAAAAAAATTCATAATGTTAGCACAAGTGGGAAAGAAAAAACACAAAGTTCGTTTATTAAAATTAGCCAAGAATTGCAAGAAACACCATCTTACCGTTGGGATCGGTTATCTTCACCGATGTTGAGTTCATAGATGGAGGGCTCATGCCTGCCTCATTGACGGCGAAGACTCGGAACTCGTATTGTCTGTCTTCAATTAAGTTTGAAATATTCACCTGTGTCGTAATGGACAGGTTAGGTCCAACTCTTTGCCAAGCAAGAGTACCAATTTCCCTCTTCTCGACCCAGTAACCTTGGATTCGGCTACCTCCATCGCTCTCTGGCTTCTCCCAAGATAGATTGACGAAATCTCCACCGACCTCAGTTACCACAGGAACTCCAGGAGCGCTCGGCTTATCTGAAAGAAAGAATCGTCATCAGGACAAAAGTTTGTTTATATTCATAATTTTAACATGAATATCCCTTGAAAAAAGGAAGCATTTAGGAAGTGAAATTTTTTAAAAATATCATAAAAATTTATGATTATGCATAGTATGCTTTCTTAAAATCCTCTGCGTACTCCGCGCTTTTAATTACATTCGTTGTGTTTCCAAGATAAATGTAGATAAATGACTAGGATAAATGTAGGTTTACATCCGGTTTTTCTAAAAAGACTTTTCAATAACTAATTACATTTAATACTGACAATTTACAATTTTATTCATTTTACTTTTTTATATGTAATGCGTATTACTTATCTTTTACATACATGTGTTCTTAGATGGTATATAATACAGTATTTACATATTTCAGCGCTAAAATACGCCTCCAAGTTTTTTTTTTTAAACTTGGTTTTATTTAGATGATATTTGCATATAACAATGCTTCAGCCCATAATCTCTCGAGTAACCTGAAGATATGTATGCATTGGAAATGTATGTTTCAAAATAGAAAAAAAACATTTTAGACAAATAAAACATCTTACCAAATGGAAGTTTAGCAATTATTGGATTAGTTCCTTCCAGAGGTTGACTTTGGCCATTCTCGTTGACAGCCATCACCCGGAACAGGTATTCACCCCCTTCTGTTAACCCTTGCACTGTAAATACCAGTTCCTGAAAGAAAAATAAAATTCTAGGTATTCTCTCATACAATAATTAAACGATTTCTCTAGTTAAAAAAAGTAGAGATTACTTACCCTACAGTAACTGGAAGCAACAATCCATTGACTGTGACTTGTTTCTTTTCTTTCTACAATATAATGAGTAATCTTGCTACCTCCGTCATACAGCGGTGGCCGCCAGCTTATAGTTGCTGTATGTTGCGTGATATCAGACACTTCTAGTGGACCTTGCGGAGGTCCAGGAAGACCTAACAACACACACAACAAATTTAATAACAGGAGAAGACAGCGAAATAAATACTGATTGGAGCATTATTCAGTACTAAGAATTTTCATAACAGTATTTCAAGAATGCAGCTACGAAAAAATATAGTTTCTTACTCTTAAGAGAATATACTTTTTTTCATGTACTCTGAATTAAAGCCAGACAATACTTGAGATCCTTTAGCAAGAAATATGCGCATAAAGGGGTTAGATGTGTTAAATGTGAAACCCTAGAGAAATTTTGAGTAGGAATGATTTGAGAAGAAACAGAATTCCTTGATATGTTAGTTGACTAAGTACCGTTAAATTAAGAAATTAGAGGCTGAAGAGTTCTGTACAGGAACAACTTTGAAACTGTTAAACATTATATTTATAAAAAGAAAATGATAGTATTTCTGTAACAAGAACCTTGTGGATTAAATGCAAGCCAATTTAATCTTACGAAATACTTGTATTTTGTGCCGTACATATTACAAAGTTTTCCTCTCTTTTCTAAACTAATTTTTTCCTCCGAGTAGCCTTGAAATAGTTTTAAAGTCCTTGCAAAGATGTATTATTCGCTTGTGAATTGATTACTGAACGAGCAAACACTGATCCGTCAGAAAAGAGTAGTAACTCTGCTAGATTTCAACCTTGAGAGCTCTTGTTGGAAATGCTCAAGGGCAATTAGATTTCCATTTTAGAAGAGAAACAAATGTTTATCCTCTTAAATTAAAAATATTAAAAGCGAGTTTAATTTTTATCATTTCCGAACATTTTTGAAAATTTTTTCAAGTCTGGAATTTTATTATGTTATGTGCAGAAACGAGGTTTTATGAAATCTAAAAATTGAGCTTGAAAGAAATCAGTCCAGCAGTTCAAAAAGTGGCTTGACTAAATTGATACTTTCTATCCCACTGCTCTCTTTGCTTCATTCATGCTTGTCATTCATGATTTACTACCCATTCACGATCTTATTCATCATCAAGGTTAGTGAGTGGTGAATCGTAAGAAATTGCTAATTCATTTGAATGAGAGAATGATTCTGAATTGATCCTATTAAAAAAAAAACGTTTTGTCCATTTTAATCCTTGAGCAACATTAGTCGATTTTGTCAAAGCATATAAAGGCTATCTGCTTAACCTCCATCTCTGCTTTGAATAATTCCCCAGGAAAGGAATCTAATTAAACTTGAGGAACAATATGCATGAAAACTGTTATATGTACAATCTAACATAGTGATAAGCAAATTGAAGATATAATTATCCAATAATTATTGTTTGTGTTATTTATAGTTGGGAACTTTTCTCTGTATGTTTACGTCAAAGTTATTTGCTGATAATATTATGTGGCTTTAATTCTGTCTAAAAAAGGGAATCAAGTTTCAAGCAAATTTGTACACACATGTTAAAAAATTTGACTTTTTTCCACTTTGTACCTCTTGATTTTTTTTTTATCATTATTTATTCAAGAAGGTTATAAGACTTATAAGATTATAAGGTTTCTATAAGAGATTATAGTCAAGTGTGAAGCATGCAAGAATATTTATTTTTTTCTACTTGAAAAAAAAGTTTATTTTCTATTTTTTTTTTCGGGGCAAGGGAAGGTGTGATTAGTACAGTTTAAAAAAAGTTCTTGAAATCATATTTTTTTCCCATTATTTTTTTTAATAAATTAAAAATATCCAAGCTAAGAAAACCTTTAGGTGGATGAATTTTCATTTCCCATAATTCTCTAACATATCATTTCAAAATGCTTTAAAACTTTGATTCTATCATTTAATAATTTTAGTTTAAAATAATTTGTATCAAATAATATATACTTAATTAAAAAATAAGACAACGATATTCAATGATATCGTTATCTTATTTTTTAATTAAGTATATATTATTCGATAGATTGTATCAAATAATATATACTTAATTAAAAAATAAGACAACGAACAATTAACTAACGTTTGTTTCTACAGAAAGAAAAAAACCAGTTACTTTTACATGCCTTACAGTTCCAGTATTAGTTTAGCCATCACTATTTAATCACGAAAAGAGAGAAATTCATCGACATTTAAATCCACAAAGTAAGACTTTCAGAACAAAAGAAGAGTGGAATCATATACTTCCATTTAAAAGCTGATTTAGTTGAAAGCTTTCATTATACTTTTTATATCAGCTAAAATTTATTATTTTATTCCTTTGCTTCTTAATAACTACGTTAAAAGGTCTTATAAGGTATTTCTTCTGCCTTCCTAGCGTGCCTTCGTGGTGTAGTGGTTCTGCACGCGGGACGGTATTCCAGAGGTCCGTGGTTCGATTCCCGGCGAAAGCGATTGCTAATTTTCAATTATCCTTCTTCTAAAAAAATTCTAATGTCTCTACAGTGTCGCCCGAACTAAAAGGGTTGTGGATGAGGATTCTTCACACCCAGGATTTGGCGATTGGGTCCCCTAAAAACACCAGTCGCCCTTTAAAAGCGGGAGTATATAAGGTATTTCTCCCGCCTTCCTAGCGTGCCTTCGTGGTGTAGTGGTTTTGCACGCTGGGCCGGTATTATTCCAGAGGTCCGTGGTTCAATTCCCTGCGAAGGCGATTGCTCATTTTTCATCTCTCCGGCTTTTCCAATTAACCTAATGTCTTTACAGTCTAAAACGCAATTTGTCACATAAGGGACAATATTAATATATACTTTAAACTAAAATTGTTTGCTAAAATGTTTACGAAACTTGCTAAAGTTGTTTACTAAACTGTTTGCTAAAATGGTAATATTACCTGTTACTTTAAGGGCAAAAGTGGCATCCGCTTGACCGCTATCATTTTTCACAATAAACTTGTATTTTCCTTCATCTGTCTTCAGCGCTTCCCGTAAGTAGATAATGACATAGTCATCGAAAACCGTGAACTTGAGATGTTTATCTTCTTTCACTTCTAAACCGTCCTTGAAAAGCTGTACTTCGAATGGACCCGTTCCCGAATAGAATATTTTGATTTTTCCATTGTCGTGCTCTGGGAATGTCACCTCGTTCGGGCATCGCTCAATTTTAGGAGCGGCTGAAATGAAACGAACAGAATTATGAATCCTATGAAATTAGTTAATAAAGCTCCATGTATATCATAAATTGCTATTCAGTGGCTGCATACATATCAAAGGTATTATGGACACCAAAATTGTAAGTACTTTGTATATTAAATATTAGAAAAATTTAAGAAGATTTGTAATGGGTATCGTATATTTAGTTATTAAATACGTCACAGTGTATAAGAAATAGGACAAGTGAATGAATTATAACGCATGCGATGTCTGCTCAAGGATATTTACGAGATATTCTTACGAAAACACATAAAAAATCTTAGAAAAAAACGATAAAGCATGGTTTAAACTTACAGGCAATACTGAGACTAGCGGAGCACTTGACGGATCCAAGACTGTTGCTGAGCTCGCAGGTGTATTCTCCTTCATCGGTATCCCAGAGCTCTGAGAAAACAAGCTTGAAAACACCAGTATCCAAATCTTTTTGCACGATCCGCCCAGCCGGATGGATCTCTCGGGCATTTTTAAACCTGAGAAGGGAAGGCATAAACTCATATTGCCATTTTTAGAAAAGAAAACTGCTGACAATTTAAACAACTGAACGAATATTGGCCAGGAAAACTGCTTCTATTTATGTGTTTACATACACGCTGACGGAAGTAAATTGCATTTACTTAAAGCATGCAGTTATTTAGCCGCATCGAATATTTTTGTATTGTAATTGTATATTAATGGCACATTTATACAGGATGTTTATAAAGTCCCGGAGTCATTTTGATGCTTAATAACTCATAAAATAATGAAGATATAAACAAACTCATAAAATAATGAAAGTTTGAATATCTTTACTTTTGTAAATATCGTCTGCGCGTGTGGTTAATTTCAGATAATTTCATTTCTGAAATTAATTTTTTCATTTAAATATCTGTACTTTTCTAAATATTGTGTGCTGATTAATTGCATTTTTCTCTCTTTTGTTTTTGGTTACCTGATATAACGCCGCTGGACGTTTTTCCTTTGGGGATTTGTAAAGGAGAACGTTTACAGGAGGAGAGTGTCGAACCTTGATAAAGCCAGAATTACAACCGCAATAGCTTCTGTGGATGCCGACGTGCTTGCCGGTACCAGGCGTGAAATTAAATATCGACTTTATATTCTCCGTGCGACGGAACGTGGAAGTTCATTGACAAGGTTTCATGACAAGGGTCATTGACAAAAGTTTCAGGACAAAGGTCATGAAACGTTTTTAGTCTATCTAATCATCTATTTATTAATTTTAATCTATCTTTATTATTTTATGAGTTATTAAACATCAAAATGGGTCCGGGACTTTATAAACACCCTGTATAATTATTATTCATGTGATATGTATTGTTAACTATCTTAGAAAACATAAGATGGATTAAAAATAATATATATAGCTTATAGAGTATTCTCAATTTAAGATTGTTACTAACAGTTGAGAGCAATGCAAAGAATCCATAAATTTTACTAGCAGTTTAATAACGCACAATAAATTTTCAAGCACGTCGATTAATGCAAACTAGAATTCCTAAAGAACGAATAGCAAGCCATCGCAATATATTGAACTTACCATCTGGCAGTAGGGAAAGGCTTTCCAACGCCTTCGCATTCGAGGGTAACGCTTTTATTGAGGTTGCAGCTTTTGTTTGAGAGGGTTCGAATAAACTCGGGTTTCATGCCATCTGTGAAAGAAAAGAACATTTTTAATACACATGTTACCCGCAAAGTATGAAACCCGGCATTCTATAGAATGTCTAGGCATTGTATATAATACCTAAAACTATCCGGCAATGTATGAAACGATTCATATTTCACACGTTTCCTAGGCATTCTATAGAATGCCAAATGGCAAACCGGCAAAGTAGGAAATACATTTTCGATTCGTTTCGAAGAACCGAAACTATTTACCAGAAGTTAATAAATGACGTAAAAAGGCCAAAATGACTACTAAGCAGGAGCCAAGGGACTACTGGCCGCCGAATCTTTATAAACACTATATATTATTTAATATATATATATATTATTTTATAAATATATATAGGTTGTGATGTTTGTGAAAAACAAAAGTACATTCATTTATCCTAAGAAAGACGACGTGACAGAATGTCGAAAGAACTTTCAACCCATTAGAAAAACGTTACACGTAATGATATTGAACTGTAACAACCACCTTTGTGAGTCTTGCCCCCCCCCCCCGAAAAAAAGGGTATTAAAAAGGGCACTGATGTGAAACTTATGATTGTTTCTGAATTTAACTTCCGTTGTCAGGTAGATCTTACCGATTCCCAGTCTAAGCCAGATAGAAAATACAAATTTATTACGCTGTATCAAGATCACCTCACAATTTTTTTTCTGTTTTACATATTTCGAAGAACAGTTTTTTAATGGCACTCTTTCATTAATTTTTCCAAATAACATTTTTATTTTAGAGGAATGAACGTCTTTTAAATAGCCTTGTAATAGCCGTATCATAACTTTTTTTCCATACTTTGCCTAAAGAGCATTTGTCATTCTATAGAATGCCTAGGCACCAGAACATGGCAGCAGCCGCCATGATCTGGTGCGGCACCATACCGAACGAAGTTTTAAATGTCGGGATGGTAAAGGCAGACCTCTTAAAGTATGAGATCGTAACCCTAAATCAGCCAAGAATCGTGAAATGGTGAAAAGTACTACAGATGACATGGAATAAATTATAATACAATGTCTAGGTAAATGTAATAATTCTCTTATTTCATAATTTGCCTAAAATCTTCCGGCATTATATACAGTGTCTAGGCATTCTACAGAATGCCGGCGTTTCATACTTTGCCGGTAACACATAAAATAAAATGAAATTAATTTTAACAGAAATTTGGTAGGAAGACACTGTATTCTTTTACAATAAAATTAGCTTATGCAAAAAGTAATATCTCGTTTTACATGACAAATTCACAAAAGTTAAAGTTACAAAATAATTTAGTTTGTCCTTCTCAAGAAAAAAAAAATATAGTTACTTTTTATTAAAGTTATGTATTACGTGAAGGGTCTAATGGCTCAGTCACTTGCATAAACGTGATTTAGATAACCAGCTGAATTGTTTATCACCAATAATCTCGGAGCATTTCTTCGGATTATGTGCCCATTGTTCGTAACATTTTAAAATTAATTTTACATCGCTTGATGAATTATTATGAGGACATCTCTATTTTTGTAGTTCTCTTCCACTCATAAGAGTCTTTAATTTTAGAAAAACCCAGAAATCAGCTGATGCCAAGTCAGGAGAACAGAACGAAATTTGAAAGAAAATGATCCCTTAGGTTCCTACAGACAGGATTACCTTTGGATTGCTTACGAATAATCTATTCATTTTTTGAAAAAACATGTACCGATATTGTTACATGTTTCCGAAACATGGTTCCGTTACATGGTTCCGATAGTAAATTACTGAAAAGTTTTGAAAAAAATACAATTTTAAGACCTCAGGACAACATAATGGATAGCAGAAGCTATAGCTTAAATATTATAATTAGTGATTTGAGAAATCTCTTCCGTTACGAAGAATGTCGCCATATGTAAAGAATGATGCAGATTACCAGTGCCATTCTGAGAGAGACTTTATGACTCGTCCTTCAGTTGTTTTTCCAGAACTTCGATAATCTGCGGTGCCCTTATTTCACAGCATAGCCTTTTTCCATGAATGCTCAACTGGCGAAATGTCTGGGGACCTTGATGCTTATTGCTGGCCAAGAAAGTGTTAAAAAGGACTGAGTCATTTCAGAAGTATTTAAGCCATATGGGCTCGAGCAGTATCTTGTTAGAAACGGCCCCCAGAGGGGCATGCAATGAAGGATACCACATTTATTCACAGTATGTTCTCATCAAATCACTGTGCTGTCTGAATGACTAGCAATGGCAATCTGCTTTCATAAGAGATAGCAGCCACAACTTCAGGAGCATTGCCGCGAACCTTAAGACAATAAGTTCTGTTTAAGAACGCTAGCCCAGCCTTTAACATACGTGGATACATAAATCATCTGCTTGAAGATTGTAGCGGGATTCCTCATTAAGAACAATGCAAAGCCAAAGGCCAGCCGCCATGTTATGGTACGGCACCATAGCGAATGAAGTTTTAAATGTCGAGATGGTAAAGGCAGACATCTTAAAGGATGAGATCGTAACCCTAAATCGGCCAAGCATCGTGAAATGGTGAAAAGTGCTACAGATGACATGGAATAAATTATAATACTATATATCCTAGATAGTGATGAATTTTATCGCAGTTCAAGTTTGTCGGACAATCAGCCTATCTTGCCTTGCAGTTTTGCACATTGGCTTTCCATAACCTTCATGGCGATGAGCATTTTGCAGTAACATTGCAGTGGAAACATTTGTAGCCGCGTTCGCACGACCCGAATGGCTGTATATTACTAGACGTGACGGTTTCACACAACTCGAAATTTCGGCCCCTCTCCAGTTAGTTGTATACGAGGTTTTTCTAGCCCATCGTAATAACATTACAAATAATCTGTAAAGGAAACTCCGAAGTGGCGATAAGAAAATTTATCACAGCCTGTAGCTGATAGGTGTTTTTTTAAGGTGCCAGGTGTTCACTAGAAACATACGCTGTGACTGAAATTAGCATTAATTAGCCACGAAACTTAAATCACTTGAACTCCAGAAAGAGATATTTCTCTGCCATATTTCGACATAATCTGGTTATTTTTTTCTGGATGCTTCCTTTCCCTTCCCCAAAAGAGTGTAAATAGATTTAATTTTTCCTTTCCGCTTTTTTGTTAATTGATTTCAATTTCCTCAGGTCTGATCTAAGAATTCAATATAAAGTCGGAATATAATGCTTTGACTAAGGATGATGTAAGGACTGAATGTTTGATTTGATGTAAGGATGATAATATAGCAAATTGCTTTTCTTTATGACATATGCACGTTTGTAAAGCGCCAGAATATAGATAAATCCACTTACCGGCAACTTCCGTGACTCTGACAGGCATAGTGGTAGCGCTAGGGTCACTCTTGCCAGCAGCATTCACCGCCATTACCCTAAACTCGTACTCGTGGTTCTCCATAAGGTTGAGTACTGTATACTCACAGTCTGGTGACATGTAATCATTTGCCCGGATCCATACATTGCTGTTCTTTTCCCTCCGTTCCACAATGTAACCTATGCAAGTATTGATTCATATTTCAGTCATTTTATACCGCGAACATGGAAGACTTAAATTAAGTTATAAAAATAACTTATCACTGCTAAGTCAGTTACTTGGTCACATTTCTACTCAATATGCATTAGTCATATATCATAATTGAAATCTTTAAAGTAATCACTACTGGACATATAAAATAATAAGACTTAACATATAAAATAATAAGTAAGATTTTATTGATAACTACAAACCTGCCAATCACAGAAGCGAAACATACTTATCAGTTTAACTTTTGCAACTTGGAAGCGGACAACCATAATAGTCCTCTTAGAAGAGGACAATCACAGCAGTTTAATTAAAAATTCAATGACAACTAATTTATATAATCTTGTAATTCTTGTACTCTGTATTCCCAAATATAGGAATAAGTTGTGTGTTTAGTAAGGCATACTGAGATAACAAATTAATATCTGAAAGCTTTATAAACACTGCGTTGAAATATTTTGAAGATGTTACTGTGATATTTAATGATAGAATATATATTTAGTCCTTAAATATACGTTTGAATAAAATTTATGGCTGATGTGTAACTATCAACCAATCGATCCACCATTCCTAAGCATAAGAACTGTATTAGCAAGGACGCGATGATACTTTCCATATACCCGATGGTATTATTGATATAAAAAAATCATTGCTTAATGGACATTCTTAAGACCTTAACATATTCGAACAGAGTTTTAAATGCAAAATGTAACCTAAAATAAAGAGGAAGATTGCTCGAATAAAAGGATAAGATGGTACTGATAACGCATGTTTATATAGATATATTATAAATACAATAAGGTATTTTTCCCGCCTTCTCAGCATGCCTTCGTGGTGTAGTGGTCAGCACGCTCGACGCGTATTCAAGAGGTCCGTGGTTCGAGTTCCGCTGAGTGCATTGCTCATTTTTGAAGTGTCCTGCTTCCAAATAACTTAATGACTCTACAATATAATACAGCAATCATCTTCGTGTAAGCTATCATTGATTTTAATAAATGTTCTTAAGATCAGAGTAAAACCTTTAAATGAAACCTTTTAAATTCAAATAATTCTTAACTCAAAAGTTTCGATGAAAATGAGTAAAGTTGGATTGATGCAATCAGTACTTCTCTTGCAAACGTGCTTTACGTATATAACTATCCCCCTATTTTTAAGAAGTCTCAGCTCATGTGGACGTTATCAGAACAGGGGCTCCACATTCGAATGAACCTCGTTTAAAATTTATGTTTAGAGTTAAATATATATGGATTCCTCGAAAATTGGTAATATGTTTCCATCTGTAAGTGAAACAATTCACAGCTAGTTTACATTTCATAATATTGCAAAGCATTTAAACAACATATTTATTAGTAATTTGAATTAAGTAGCATTTTTCTGTCTTTGGTTATACCATGATATACAAAAGCCTACCTGTAATTTTGCTTCCACCATCTGATCGAGGTTTATCCCATTTCAGGTCGACATAACTCTTGCCAACTTTACCAATTCTTACGTTCTGAGGAGGTGAAGGAACACCTGCAAATTTAGAAAATAACAAATTTATATGATCTGCGTCTAATTATTGCAATATTTAAATTTTTTATAATGTGAGGAAAATACTCACTTGATTTGGTTTTGATTTTGAAAGTAGCAGTCGGTTTGCTAGGTAGACTGAAACCAGCTGCATTTTTAGCTTTAACACGGAATTCATATTCTTCATTTTCAGATAAATTAGGAACTGCAAAAGATGAGCAGGAATAAATTAATAATTCATTTCTAAATACACTTTTACCATATGGTCTATAATATTTTCCTCTTAAAAATATTCCACATGTATCTGATCTATAAATTAATTTAAAAATGCTTAAAAAGAGAGAAGAAAAAAAAATGTTATGAATCTCGTTTCAGTTTAATCAATTATATAATAACCATGACGAATAAAATAGCGCAAAACCATAAAACGCATTGACCATTTGCATTAAAAACAAATTATATGTGTGTAATGAAATTTACAAGAAGAATTAAACAGCCAAATTATCTTGGTGAGTGATAAAATCCATAAAAAATAGTGTTCAATTATTTTAGCACATTGATAATGAATACTTTAATGATACAGACCTCTAGGTGACTACACAAAGATTAATTGGAGTTTGTTCTGAAAGACTGAAAGAAATGATCATTTGTAGGTCAGTTAGTTAATGTCGAAAACTGAGAAAAACATCTGAACTATTGTGGATTCGGCTAATTCATGATTAAATAATTTTCATCCAGCAACTTTATTGATAGGATGATCACTAAGCTAATTTATTATTAATGTTTTCTCCATGGCAATATACAAAAACGCTGAACTCGTGAGAATTTGCGAGAACAACAATAAAATACGCAAAATTTATAGCCTCACCAATATGTGACTTATACCAACAGTGTTTGCTCAAGGGTAGATAGCGACTGTACTAAAAAACAAGAAACTGGACTTAATGTTCATAATGATTTCACATTTAGATACTTTAGCATAATAATTCATCGTAGAAATATTACCCGAATCGACAGTGACTTAAAAAGGCAACTGCAGGGGAAAAAATCAGTCAGTACAAAATAGTCTACTTAAGAGATAATTACGATTTTCAAGATAAATTATTAATTTCAGTTTAATTATTATTCCTTTGCAGGAAAAATATTGAGAAATTACTCACCTCTAAATGACGTATCCTTTACTAACTGATCAGAAGCCGGCTTCCACCGTCCATCTCTAGGATCCCGATATTCAACTTGGTACCCGTGAATTTTGGACCCGCCATCACTTTTTGGTCTCTCCCATATCAGATTCACACTTGTCTCATCGGAGTCCGTGATTTGAGGCGTGCCAGGAGGACTAGGAACATCTGAAGAAAAAAGGAATGTCTCATTACATTTTATAATTATATGTCCCTAATTTCTTACACCAAAATTAAAATACGAAAGCGAATATTTTCTGTAAGAAGAACATTTTTAAATCTTAGATTTTCAATAACTCTAGGTGAAATCAAAATTTATGTGGAAATTCTTTTAAGTTTCAGCTCGTTTTGCTTTCGAAATATTCAGGTACAATACAAAAACCTAACAATGATTTCTGAGCAACAACTGAAACAGTATTTATTAAGCGCGTTTAGTATTGTAGAAGTTTCATTTTAACGTATTATATGCATAAAAAGCTACACCTTTTTGGATAAAATATAGCATTCAGTAAACTGGAAACCTAGTCATCAGCTCACTACTTAGATCATTGCCTCACAGGATGTGGTTCAGATTCTATTTATTCGACTTACAGGGGGCTGGACAAAAATATGGAAACACCTTTAAAAAACATGTTTCTTTGCTTAATATGGTGTAGGAAACCCGTTGGCATCCGAAACAGCTTGCAGTCTTCTCTAAATGGATAAATATAGTTCCTGTATGTTTGCCAAGGGAATATTATACCATTCTTCCTGCAAAACGGTGGCAAGTTCAGATAACGATGTTGGCGGTGGATAACGAGAACGCACTTTCCGTTCCAATGTAGACCACAAAGGTTCGATAATATTCAGGTCTGGTGACTGTGGTGGCCAGGGGAGATGGGACATTTCATCCTCGTGCTCAGAAAACCAGTCCTGGACAATGTGAGCTGTGTGAACAGGGGCTTGTCGTCTTGGAAGACACCGTCACCATCGGGGAACAAAGTTTGTACCATGGGATGAACTTGATCGGCCAAAATGTTCACGTGCTCTGACACAGTTATCACGGGGCTAGCAGAGAGCCATGATATGGCTGCCCAAACCATAACAGAACCCCCGCCATGTTTCACTCTTGGCAACAAGCAGTCTGTATTATAGGCTTGAGATGGCGTTCTCCAGACGTAAACTCGGCCAGAAGTGGGAAACAATGTGAAAGAAGACTCGTCAGACCATATTACTCGCTTCCACTGCTCTATAATCCAGGCTTTATGACTTAAACACCACCTTTTCCTGTTACGGGCATTAGCATCACTGATGAGTGGCTTCTCAATTGCAGCACGGCCAGAAATTCCCTGTTTATGAAGCTTCCTTCTAATTGTTTTGATACTCACAGGGTTCGGTAACACAACATTCATTTCAGCAGTAACTTTTGCAGCTGTGGTCTTCTTATTTTTCGTCACAATTGCCCTTAATGATCGTCTGTCACGATCACTCAGGACACACTTTCGTCCGCGCTGTGATTTAGCAGAGATGATATTTTTCCGCTTTTCAAATATGCGGAATAAATCTTCGATACAGTACCTCTTGAAACACCAAACACCTCGACTACCTTGCTTACGGAAGCACCTACCATACGTGCTCCAATAATTTGCCCACGTTCGAAGTCTGTTAACTCTGACATAATGCAATGACAACCTCACATAACAGTACTCCGACAACAACTGAACTGTTTAGCACATTTACGAAGTTGTATAGGTGGCGTCAGTAGTCAAAAACGTCAGCGCCACCTACATATTTCATTAAAAGCAATCTTTCTTTTCAAATATGCATTTCACAAGGTGTTTCCATATTTTTGTCCATCCACTGTATGTGTTTTACGGTATCATTCCTAACACTGTTTATTTTGAACAGTGATATTTAGATAAGTTTCTGGTATTTCAACGTATTTTCAATTGTGTAAGTTTCTGAAAACTGCAAAGATATAAGTTTGTACTTGTATATTATAATACCTCTGTGTTCACAGATGTGTAGTATATAACACAGCGTGAAAAGAAAATTTATAAATGCAGGCAAAACCTCAAATGCGGATATGAAGAACAGATTTAATAAAAGTTTAGTCAAACCGGTGAAACCAAAATTCCACTCCAAAAAGTTCTACCTTATTTGCCTTTTACTCCTTCCCTTTTAGGGTGAGTCAATAAATAACATAAATGTATAAAATTATTAACTGACCGAAAGGAAATTTGGCGATGATAGGCTTCTCTGAGGTCAAAGGTGGTCCAATGCCATACTGATTTTCCGCACTGACCCTAAAGCTGTATTTCTTGTTGGGCTCCAATCCAATGACGTCATAATGGCAGCCACGGACGTAACTACTGACTTTTATCCAAGCCTGCAAATATATTAAAATCGCACATTAATGATGTTATAATGCATTTCAGCAAAAAAGGGGGAAAAGTAATTTTGTAGGCATCTGGTTTACAGAAAGCATTGTTTCTAGTTAAAGATATTATGAAAAAAAATAATTTAAGCAACTGATATCTATTTAGAAAGAATGATGTGTCATAGGAAAAATCAGTAGCGTAGCTAGGGTGGGGCAAGAGGGGGACATCTGTTTCCGGGCGCAGCATTCAGGGGGAGCCAAACTGATGTTACGAAATTTTAGAATGAAATGTTTTCCATTCTTTTCCCACAGAAAAGGGCGCATAATCTTTAGTTGTCCCCGGGCGCTGAAAACCCTAACTACGCCTCTGGGAAAAATAATAGCTTTTGGTGACTGGAACTTGTTAATTTCGATCAGTTGTCATCTGTACAAATTGTAAAGAAAACTGTCTAAGCCTTGGAAACCTGTGAATTTCTTCTGTCATGAAAACAAACCTTCTTAGATTCTTACTTTAGATTAAACTAATCAATTAAACGTTTATGCTATGCTGTCCTTTCTGTTCCCACTTGTGTTTCGAAATGATTTCCTTAATTCCAGAAGCATGTAAATCCAATGGCTATAGCACATAAAGCACCTTATAGTTGGATTATGCCTCGGATTTACGGATCCGATTATTCTGCACTGTGTGATGTCGAAGCTGAACCTTACAACAAACATATATACTACGCATGTAAGTCATAGATTCATTTTGCTAAGAATTTTTAATTTAGATTTCTATCCTTCAAAGATAAGGAATTAAAGATTTTACTAAATTTTTGCATAGGAGATTAATATTTATTAGACTGTGCAAGTAACGTCCTTCTGCAAGCTGAAAAAATAACTCTCAACTATTTTTAGTTGTACTGCCATAAATTTAAGCCTAACACAGATGCTAAATCTTACATTTAACATTGTGCTGGAAAAAGCTATTATGTTAGCAGAACAATTAGGAAGCATTTTATTTTGGTTCAACAGACGTGAAAAATGCGCAATGGCCTCGTCGGGACTCGAATTCCAAACATTCCGATTGCTAGACAGACGTGCTTTCCCATTACATGTTCGCAGGCATACGGTAATGAGTGAAAAAAAAATCTTACAACAGGAACAAGACTTAAATCTCCCGGAACTGGCTATTATGCGTACGAAAGCAGAAGAATAAGAAAGAAAATTAAAAATGACTGCTTAGAATAAACATTAACGAGTTACCAATAGATATTTCATGTGTAATTATGTGTTTAACATTTTCTTTGACAATTAAAATTTAACTGATAGATTGCGAAGCTAAGTGCACAAAAACAAGACAAATGCTAGACTATAAAGGATGGACTAAGAATATTTAATCATTACTCCCCCTAACAATTTACTTACATTCAATGAAGGGTCTAATTTCTCAACGACATAGTTTGTAACGGGACTGCCTCCATCATCCGCTGGTGGTTTCCATGACAAAGAGCAGTTCTCTGGAGAAATGTCAGTAATCTCTAAAGGTCCTTGAGGAGGTCCTGGCTTATCTAAAATAAAAGTCATTAGAAATTAATTTTTAATTGCAAATTTGAGGTCTTTATTCATCTTTTTTAATGATTAATAAACTTGAAACAGATGAAATTTTAGTGCTAAAGCACTGAGAATTAATGTTCTAATATATTCATAGACATTATGTGACTTACCCCCAAACTGAAGTATTATTCCATTTCTGATTATAAAATTTTTGCAATGCTCAGTTAAGAAGATTAATGTTACATTCAGTTATATATTCAGATTTCTATACATTACTAACACTCTTATCATCATAAGACTTAAAGAATTTTCTTGATATTTTTTCTAAATTTTTTCCTCTGTAATCAAAGATGGAGATATATTAAAACAGATATTATGAAATAGATATAAATATAACACGTATAAAGAATTTTAAACGAATAATCATAATAATACCAATTTCAAATAGTTATTTGATTAAAAAATTTAAATGAGTCTACGTTAAAAAGCTACGTGTTTATAAATTCAACTTGCTAAATATTTTTCATGAAATTATAACAAAATATTTAAAAATAATCTGTAAGTTATAGTGGAGCAGAAAACCTGTCTGCTTCAAAAAGATGCCATATGGTGGACACAAAGGGAAAATCGGTTTGCATTATATGACATGTGTGAAAAATCGTTCTAACAATAATGGAAGCTAATCTCTGTGGTAAGAATTGAATTTCATATAAACGCTGCTAGTGTTCAGTGGTATTAAGCTCTTGACCTCTGTTGGGTTAATTTTTCAAAAGATCTAATTATCATTTTAATATTCTATTTTGTATTATTTCGAAGTGAACAGTAGTTAAACGATGTTGAATCTGCAATGCAAAGTACCCAAAAAACAATGGTGAGATTTTTTCATACAAGCAAACACAGCTTGCTTTATATACGCTGGAAATATTTCTTTAAATGAGAGCATGAAAGAACTGGATTAGCAGCAGCTTTTTCCAGAAGTGAGTCCTAATGTAGCTGTGAAGATTAAGAGAAATCCTTTAAATATTAATTTCCGAGAACAACTAAGTGGGAATCGACTCAGGCCACAGTCATTGCAAAGTCGATTTGAGTTTTGAATATATGTGAAAACACCTACTAACAGTAAAAAGGTTAAAGATTCATAATCTTGTACATATGAAGCAAGAAATCCTTTCAGCAGCCACAAGTTTCAATTCTGGTTGTTCTCGTCTGAATGTGGCATTGCTCATTTTTCAAGTGTCCTACTTCCAAATAGCTTAAAGACTCTATAATATAATACAGCAATCATCTTCGTGTACGCTATCTTTGATTTTAATAAATGTTCTTAAGATCAGAGTAAAACCTTTAAAGAAACCTTTTAAATTCAAATAATTCTTAACTCAAAAGTTTCGATGAAAATGAGTAAAGATGGATTGATGCAATCAGTACTTCTCTTGCAAACGTGCTTTACGTATATAACTATCCCCCTATTTTTAAGAAGTCTCAACTCATGTGGACGGCTGGATATCGTATTGATATGTGTAATATTGTTCGTTAATGACCGTACATACAGAACCATTGCAGAGGTTTATAAAATCTGTGTTAACTATTGACTTCACCAACAATTATTTTATACTACATTAGATAAAATATTGTACAACACAATCTAATACTTAATTTCCAAATATTTTTAACAAAGCTCTTGCATTTTTAATAATAAGCATATTATATTAATATTAATAGCATAAATTGCTGCTGTTGTGGCTTCTGCAGAAACTAATATGAATTGGCAAAAGAGGAAACATAACTCACCAACAACCGTTACTTTGCAAGAAGCAGAATCGGAACCTTGCGAATTAGTCAGCTTGAGAGTATATCGTCCAGAATCTTCTCGTTTACTCTTCTTATTCATTAAAACTACGAAATCTTCACCCACTTCGCTTGTCACACGATCATCGGGCTTGATTTCGTTTTGATTCTGTAAAGAAAAAGAAAATAGGTTAAGAAATCATTCCACGTTCGAATTATTTCCTGAGTTACTCTTTATGCACCTTACGCTCTCATTCTTCTAGCTATGCATTTTCATACAGGCTAGACATAATACCATTTGCTTGTATCATCTGCGTAACACTTCTTTTTTTAATACCACCTGGTGGTCATAATAAGCTGAAAGACAAAGACAATGATATAAAAATCCAGCTTTCATTCAAAAGTTTTGTCTTGAAAGGGAAGTGAAGGCAAGACAAAACACGTAGGAAGTTTAAAACTAAACAAAAGGCAAAAATTAAGGCGACAAAAAACTGCAGTCGAAGTACCAATGTATACATTGTTATTTAAAGAAAAACTTGTAATGATAAAAAAATAAAGCATTGCTAAAATAGAATTAAAATTCATTTATGAAGTATAACGTTATTTGCCATGCTAATGAGGCAGAACTGGGCATTGGGGATATAAGAAAAATATTTTGATGTATTACTTGTATGATATTAAAAATAATCTCTCTTTGCCTTTGTCACTTTTTTAAACGCACTTTTCTAAAATAAATTGTACTTCATAAAACTAAGCTGAAGAATTCAATCTTACCGGTGATAACTGCTTTTATAGCATTGTTCATTTCATAAACTGCCTTCACTGTATGTTAAAGCTCATATAATGTTTCACCATTTGAAAACAAAAGTTCCGCATTTAGAGTTTTATTTGATAATTTGTAAAAGTTTTATTATGGAGCGGAACGAGGTTTTACCTCATTTCAATTCTGCCCCAAAATTAGCGCTTACATTACATGTTTACTGAAATCATTACGACATAGATAACAGATAAGGTAATCTTATTAAAACTAAATAAGCATATTTCAAACATCTATTCTGTCAATGCATATTAGCAAAATAATGATTTACATCATCAGATATTATAATAAATTGATTAAAAAGTAGATGGTCAAGATCTAATAATTATATAAACACCTTGAAAAAAAGTACTCAAAATGATGGCATAAAGAAACAAGTAAATAATATTTCCCGATCTTTTAGCAAGGTAACAGCACCTTAAAAGTGGCAAACGGGGAAAGTACCCCTATTGTACCTTCCTACCCCCGTCCCACTGTAAATTATGTTTCTTTTCTGTACAAAAGAAATTCGGTAAATAATATTTTTTATTCGTCGTGAATCTCCAAATACGCCAATCCGTGATAAGATGAGAGGTATGATTTTGTTGTAAAATATCAGCCAAAATTGAAAATTTATGTATAAACCGAATCGTCGTATAAAGCCAGCTATATACTGGCCGAGCTCGAAAAACGGTCGTCTAAGTTAGCTAGACATATCAGATGAGCTAAAGGGAAGTACAACGTCCTCATCAGTTCGAAAAATAGGCCAGAAAATATATTGTTCGATCTTTAAAAAGAATGCTTAATTAGTAATGCGACGGACGGAATTGAATATGATATCTACAGTGCAGATGAAGACAAAGTTAATTAGGGAATGGAGGACATCTGTCCCAGAAAGGAGAGATATTGAAAAATTAGAGTAACGTATATTAAGATTAAATACAATAAAATAAAATAAAATTAATTGAATTAATTAATTATTTTATTTTTGTGATTGAATTAATTAATTATTTTATTTTTGTGATTGAATTAATTAATCGTAACTAGGTATATAAGCCGAACCCCAAACTTCAGAAACAAAACATTCGAACTTCTCGGCTAATGCGTGAAAAATATACAATCGTTAAAACTTAAAAATCCAGCAAGAAAATGTATGAATAAATGAAAAACTTTGAAAAGTTTTCAAAGTTTATTTGGCTTATTTTCATTTATTTCATCAATCAAAATGCAATTTTCAATTTTTATTATTATATTGTTCTAAAACATAAATACAAATATCAGGTACAATTTGAACCATGCAATAGGAATAACATTTTTGCGCTCTTCGCATTCGCACAAATTATAATCACAACTATAGCAAAAGCCTTTTCTGAAACCTCAGCCAGATGTGAGATTTCTAAATTTACATTCCTATTACACCGATCAAATTTTCTTGGCAGAGTACGGATGAAAATTATCCTATCCGTGAAATAACAATAAATGAAAAGAACAACGCTTTAATTAAAGACTAAGTGAGCGGACAAATAAAATTGACATGATTTTAAAATTTGTTCAAGAATTATGGTAGACAGGTGTGAAAAGTCTTTCCTCTCTCGCTCCCTTTAAAATCAATCTTGTTTCAAACTTGATACAAGACGATTAGCTATCGCCAAGAGACCAATGGGAGACTTATTTAAAAAAATGAGATATATTATAAAGAATGGGAAGAAAACAACTAGAAGACTCACCACAGTCCAGGTAGCTGTAGGTGGAGGACTGCCAATGTATGGCACTCGAATATTGAAAGGCTCTCCGGCCGGTATCGTCAAGTCTCTCATAGCAAAACTAGTATCCAGTTTCGGAGGACCTGCAAAAGAAAAGAAATAAATCAGAAACTTGTAAATTGTATCCTTCAACTATGCCGTCCTTTTTCAGCTGGAAGCTTGTGAAAAATCCATATTTCAATTAGTTTTGCTGAATATTTAAGAAATTAAGAAAAACGCAATTAGACATTTGATATATAACATAAAGCAGTATATATAAGAAAGGTAAAATAAAAGGAAGATATTCTTAAGCAAATGAGAAAGATAAAAAAAAATTCTGCCTTATTTCTGATATGAATGGATATAAATATGCCATATCAACTTTTGCACATTTTGTTGAATAAATTCCATTTATTAATTTTTAATAATAATCAATATCGCATTAATTCGATTTTTATAAGTTACGATTCAGGAATGATATATTAAACTTTTTTTTCTACGCATAGCATTGCTAAAATTCTCTGTTTTTTAGACCTACTTCACTAAACATGTACTAGCCAGTTATCATGATTTATCGACTCATTCTAATGCATTCGTTTCGGTTATTTACATATTCCTTTATAGAAATATATCGAAAGCACTTACATGGCGGCATCCTGGCTACAATGCCATCTGAATTCGAACTCCAAGGTCCTTGGCCAGCAGCGTTACAAGCCGCGACTCGGAATTCGTATTCGGCATTCTCTTGCAATCCATTTACGCGGTATGTAAGTCCTGGAATGGTAACATTTGTTGCTCTGGCCCATTTGTTGTCTCCTATCTTTCGCTTCTCCAGAACATATCCAGTGACAGGACTTCCGCCATCCGTTCTTGGTTTGGTCCACGATAACGTGATGGAATCGGTACCGGTTTCCACAGAGTGAGGAATGCCTGGAGGGCCAGGTAGATCTTAAAAATAAAGAAAAATACTTAAAATATATCTTTTTCTCAAAATTCTAGTCAGATATCAAATTAACATATCCTTAAATGAAGAATGAATAAAAAGGATGGTTTGATTAGTCGTTTACAAATTATATTTTTAAAGAATGGCCTGCAGTAGATTAAATAATTCTGACACAACAAGTAAACTACCAATCCCATTATCCCATTAAATAAAAAAAATTAAGTGGGACGAATTACTTTGAAGTGGTCTAGAAATACTCACTGTAAGGAAGTTTGGCGAAGATTGGCTCCATACTGCATGGATCACTGGTACCGTACATGTTCTCTGCCATCACCCTGAATTCATACTGTTTGCCGACAGTTAGATTCCGAACTCGAGTTGCAGTACCTGTCACAAAACTGCTTACCCTAGACCAAATAGTGGTGCCTTTCTCCCTCTTTTCTACAATATAATTGCTGACTTCTGCTCCTCCATCGTCCTTTGGAGGATTCCATTTCAACGTTAGAGAATCTCCCTCCAGATCTTCTGCTCGAAGGTTCTCTGGAGGTCCAGGACGATCTAATGAGAATAAAGAGGAATATTATAAACTCGCAAAATAATTGAAAATTTTCTTTTAGTGTAGAACATCACATATAACTGAATCTTATCAAATGTCATCAATATATACAAAGTTGCCACTTACCTAACACAGTCACTTTGCAGGAACAGGTATCAAAACCAGAAATATTTTTGAGGAAAAGCTTGTATTGCCCAGTGTCTGATCTTTTCGCACTTGATACACCCAAAACTGCATAATCGTCTCCTACCTATGAGAAACGAAACTCGCATAAATAATTCAAATTGCGGTCACTGCTAGCATATCGTTTTGGCAATATATCGAAAACAGAATACAATAATCAACAACATAAAACCTTAAATATTTAGATTTTTCTTTTATAATTTAATTTCAATTGTAGTAGAGCTGTAAGAGCATAAATGAAGAAGCGTACCTTGAAGAAATATCTAGGATCCTTCTCATCCAAGTCAATTTCATTTCTAGACCAAATGGCGTTAGGTTTCGGGAAACCAGTAAAAGGAGCAGTTAGGCTGAACTCTTGTCCCGCCTTTACTGTTATGTCCTTTAATGCCCCAGCATCGATTCGCGGTTTATCTACGCAAAATGTAACAAAAAACAGTAAAAGTACAGAAAAATAAAGTTTTGCACATATTCATGTACAATTTATATACGAATGCACGAATACTAAATTCATATATTCATATATTTCATAGAGATTTTGCGAAACCAGGACTCTGAAATGTAATATAAACGCCCAAAGAAATGTTCTGGAAGATGGATTCAATTAAACATCGTCAAAAATATATAAAACACAAAAATTGTTTTAGCGCTTTAAGAGAGTGAAAGAACTTCCGAGCAACATGGGTGCAAGATAAGCCTATCCGGCAACTTTACGCATAATGAGGACTTTAAATCCATGAATCGTTTAGCCCAAAGGAGCGTTAGCCCAGAAAGGCTATTAGTCTCGAAACGGTATATTGTGTCGAATCACTAAAAACGGCCGTATCACTTTTTATTGTTGCCACCAAATATTATCGCCTTGTATTATATTAAAAAAATTAAATAATGAAGAATCTGCATGAATAAATGTATGTTTCTTCCATTGTGAAAAAAACAACGGTATCTTAGAGACATCAAGTTTTGAATAAGGTGCCCTCCACTCGAGTATGGGCATCCGGGAGTCAAATCTTAATATTCGAATTTGGTTTATTATCTATTTCATATATTTTAAACTTTGGACGAATTTTTGATTAAGAAACTCAACGATTAACGATTTCAAAGCGATCACTGGCAACACACTCTACGGAATAAAATATTTTTATCTCCAGCATACAAGAATTGGAAATTCTAAAGATATGCTGTTTTTACATATTTTTAGCCGAAAGGGGCTTTAGTCCTTATATGTGTAAATTAAGAAAACTCTCCTTTGGGTGTAATATAAAATTTGAAAGCGTTCAGTTTTTTTCCATTGTTGAGAATAGGAGGAAATCTAAAATGTGGAGCTGTTGGCTATTGATTCTTACCCCTTTTTCAGGAACCTGGGACATATATGCGCCGCACGTTCACTACTATAAATGTGTCTCAAGAAATTTCAGTAAATTATGGAGATTTAAAAAGACCCTGTTGATTTATTTTCCCGCTCCTTCCTGGAAAATCGTTTCTTGCCTAACGCATAAAAATTAGTCCTTATAGCTCGAAAGAAAAGCTTTTAAATGAAGAAGTGAAGTCTAACGTCCAGTATACTGGAAAAAATTAACACTATAATATTTTTCAAACCTAATTAACTTAATTTTAATGACTTCTTTACTTTTATTCTGAATGTCTGTATTTTGGTAAATATCATATACTTTCGTATGCTTTCAAAGTATGTCACATTAGTATTGCTGTTACAAATATGCAAATACCTAAAATTTTCGATACGAAGCATAAGAATTCTGGTAGAATAGTTTAACAGACATACAAATGCATATTAATGTTATATATAAAAAACACCAGTATACTGCAAAGTGTTCCAGTTGCAAAAAGATATTTCATACCAGGTTGATCTTCCACTTTGACCAAGGCACATGGTTTACTCGGTGGACTATCTCCAATATCATTAACTGCAATAACCCTGAATTCATATTCTTCTCCTTCAGTTAAATTTGGAACCTGAAAGCAAATCAATTTATTATATGTTATTATTTAGATTTCCACTGAGCATTTGTATTTGTTAGACTAAATAATCGTAAATGGAAGACTGTTTCTCACAAAAATACAGATTGAATCATGGATATTTGATGCGTCGAAGTTTTCTAAATACTTGAGAATTTTATTGACATTATAATGCTTTGTGGCCATTGTAAATTAAAATGCCAGGGCTGTCCAATTTGCAAAGGAAGATAACTTAGGCTCAGAAAAGCAAAAACAAGCTATTAGTTCACTATATTTTGTGAGTTCTGAATCGGAATTTTCAGAAAAATACTTAACGCTTAACCTAGTATATACGAATAAGAATAAATGTTTTTCTTTAAGAAGCTTTAAAATAATAACAAATAAATGTTCTATCAAGAAATTTGAATTTTTCTCAACAAAATTATTCAAATATTGCTACGCTCTGAGAGAAAATATGGCGTAAAGCTAATGTAACCATAGCAAAGAATTTAAGTAAGATAACATTTGCCTCTTTTAGTAACTTCTCAGTTAACAAAGCAAATTAATTTATTCATTAAATAGTAATTATTTTTACTCATAAAAAACACATAGTGCCTGCGCCTTTAAACAGTACTTCATACAGACTATGTAGGCAGACAGATCACAAAATATAACATTTTGCAATAAAATTTCAAATGAAAATACGAAATATATGAAATCATAAAATATAATATTTTCAATTTCTTTTACAGTATTGGTACAGAGGAGCGGCATTCGAAGTTTTTGTGATATAGTGGTTATCACTTTCGCTGATACCCAACGGGGATCCGGAGATCCAAGGGAGGGATAGGTAATACTTTTGTAAAAGTTAGTGCCAATCACTCGCTGCTAAGTGGCCAGTAAATGATTACCTCTTAGCCGATGCATGTAATATATGATGTTATAACGACCTTTAATTGCATTAAATTTGTAACTGTTTAAAAGTTGTATCATTAAAATATGCTATAAATTTTATTAATTGTATATTATCAGCACCTCACCAAAAGTATTTTCTACTGTTTAAACGTAAATCCGTTTTCTAGGTAGTTTTATATATGTAAAACTATTAAGCTTCATAACTCAGAGTCTCCCGAAGCATCTTGAGGAAAATGCACTTAAAATGTGTCATAATATGATAATTCGAAAACTAATAACTTTCTAATTTTAAAGAGTATATTCAACACTTGGGTAGCCTGATATAGCTAATGTTCCTAAATGTAAAACAGGAATACATAACCCATTTTTAATCGCAAAGAATGCCACTCAAGCATGAAAGGAATCACTTTTATGTTTTCCCTAATTCTAAAGCAAAAAGTCTAGAACACTTTGACAGTTTGGCAGTTCTAACCTTATAACTGAGCAACAAAATTTCGCAGCTATAATTGTTATAATACGAAGAACTGGTAAAACTGCAGAGGAATAATTCGGTATTAATCAGAAACAAAATAATTTAAGATTTTTTTTTTGAGGGAGTGGAAGTATCCTTTATGTTGATAGCAGTAGGTTTATTAAAACAGTCTAATATTTTTAAACAATATGACCACACTGAATCCAGATACGTAAAATAGACCCTCAAAATAATGATTAATTTAATTACTGTATTATTATTGGTCGTAAAGCATATAATGAGAAGACAAGATATCTTTGGAAATTGTGTAATTTCCTTCGGATCCATAAAGTGAGATTTTGTTTTTCGAATTAATAAACTTCAGTCATTTTCTGGCATTAAATATAACACGTTTTATGCGAGAAGCAAAACACTTTTCATGAGTAGCTTATATTAAAACACTCAGATACACTAATTCCAGATATGAAAAGCTAAGCAGAGGGACTGCATTTTTCACTTAAACTGATGAAAAGTGTAGGAACAATTCTGTAATTTACTGAAACTAGTTAGGCTTTCCAACATTTGATTCTGATCATATTATTATTATGGTGCATATGAAAGACGGATATTTTCGTCATGTGATATTTTTACTTCAACAGATGTTATACATCATTTAAGCAAAAATAAACTCAATAGCTTCATTATAACTAAGGCCCACCATCGGCCGAGCGGTAAAGTCGCTGAACACTGGTAGTTCGGTCCGAGGTTCGAATCCCGCGAACGGGCTGGCTGCATGGGCGTTTTCGTGGTTTTACCCATGTGTAACGTGTATACGAGCCAGTTTCCCTTAGAAAGTCCTCCACGAAGGCATCCCTCCCTTTAGGCTGATAGCCCTCGAGGCTTTGCCATAATCACACACACACACACACATTATAACTAACCCAATTACACTCTCGCAAAATTTAAAATAAAACTAGTCTCCATATCTTCATAAATATAATAATTGAATACGTTCTGAATGCTTTTCCTGAAATATTTCTGCCATATTTTTAGATATCTAGCAGTAATAAAGGATACCTCAAACAATAACCCATTAAATAAGTGAAGCAATATTGTAAGAACAGCGAATTTTAATGTGTCCTACACGCATGTGGGCAGTTAAAGGTTTCACATGGCTAAAGCAAGACCAAGTGGCAGACTTTCGGAAAAGTTCCTATAGAAAGCCGGCTCTCCTGGGAACTCACATAGACAAATCAACGCGTGTAATGAAATCTCATGAGCTCAGCACGTGCGCGTCCCATTCTGCTGTAAGTATAAAACGGGCAAGCGCACCGAACATCAGAAATTCTTTCCCCTCTTCTTGAGAAAGCTGTCTTCTCGTGGAAACTAGGTCCTGGAAGCTGGGTGTAAAAGCAAGAATCGGATAGAGTGATAATGTTTCTTAGATGATTCATCGTAAATTTTTTTTCCTATGTGCATTAGTCCGAAAACAAAGATTTCATGTCTTTAACTTCGCAGTTCTCGTTTGATAATAATCTGTGATATTACAACACCATTGATATCAAAGATTGGCCTCCAGACTCTTCAATATTTTTAGCCAAATAAAGCAATTAAAATACTATATTTAAAAGAACTTACTATTCTATAAAACACATAAACACGTATAAAGAGCTATGAAGCGAAATTAACTCTTTACCAACAAACAATTTTATCAACTTACCGTAAATGTTGTATCCGGATGTGGAATGTTGTTGATAATATCCCATTGTTTAGCTCCTTTGGGCTTTTTCTCTATAAGATATCCCTGAATCTTGCTTCCTCCATCATGCAAAGGCTTACCCCAAGACAGGGTAACGGAGTTCTTGGTGACTTTATCCACTCGTGGCATGTCTGGAGCGCTCGGTGCAACTACAGGGATGGAAGAAAATAATGATAATTTCAAATACATACGCAAGATTTAGCACGAACATTGATGCAATTTTTTATCCTATAGGTAAGCAAGACTATCCATTTATGTACCATAAAAGTTCTAAAGAAAAAAAGATTGTAAGGAATAAAGACTTAAATAATACAAAGGCAAATTTAAAACATCTAAAATAAATTTGAAAGATATAGAAATACGGACGAAATAACACAATACAAAGTATATGAAGACTTTGGGAGGAATAACTTCACGCATAATTTTTAACTTGATACACAGTTGCATTGAAAATTAAAAAACAAATAACCAAACAGCTAGCTTGTTCCTTTCGACTGATTTAGAAAAACGGAGAATTAGAAATATGTAGACAATAAACTGAAGATAAAATTTATCTGAGTACAATAACATACCAGATGTTTTTACAAATAACAAATATGATAAATATAAATACATAAGTACAAATTCATTCATCAACACTAAATTCTAAGTTTAACACATTCGCTGCTAATGGCTACTGTAAAAGATATTATGGGTCTTCATCTCATTGCCATTGGCTATCCATAGAGTTGAGAGTTTTGATTAAGTTGACTGATTAAGTCAAAACACACAAGGGATATTTGCCTAGGGAAGGAATGCTTTCATGGAGGATGTTCTAGCAGTATTAATAGGACTTGAATAAATATACTTCTTTGTAAGCTTCTTAAAAAGTTGAGTATGCTTCTTAATGCTACGGTAACTACTGAAGAAAACACGCTAAACAATGTAATTTTCTTAACAAAAGCTGGTGAGAGGGATGATATTCTGAAAACATGCATTGTAAACTAGTAAGCAAGTATAAGATTACAAGTCAAACTATGACCTAACATTACGACAGAACAGAGTGATTAGAGTAGTTACGAGAGTTTTAAGCATCTTTATTGATCATAATAAGTAATTATTTTTGCATATTTTGAGAGACGGAAATTGAAAGCCAGAGTCATAAAGTTGTCTTAAGTCATAAGTTGCTACAGCCTGTTACGTTAAAACAGAAACTCATTAATTTTTATTATTATTTAAAATAGGAAGGTCATTTTCCGCTTTCCGATTTGACTCGTAACCATAGAAACAACAGTCTCGACGAAAAAGGCGACTCGCTTATTTTCTTTTCTCTACTTCATTTTCGTTAAGCGTGTCTTCATGAAAAAAGCAAGCGAATGAAGGCTGAAATGAAGTTCAGTCTCAAACAACATGGAGAAAATAAATGCTGTGTGATACTGACGACACGGATTAGCATCGCAAATGGGAGGGGGTGGCTGGCAGTGGCCTTGAGGTGCTTGTTTTAAAGTAACAGACTACAATAGTGTCCAAACTGTATTCTAATTACAGAGTTCGATGGTAAATGAGAAATGTGATCTGATAAACCGTTAGAAAAAATAAGCAACTTACATTTCTGTTCCTTTGCTGTGATAGGATTAGATGGCTTGCTGGCCTTTCCTGGACCTCCCTCATTCACCGCCATGACGCGGAACTCGTACGTTTTTCCTTCCGTCAAATTCGGTACATTGAATTCCGTGTGGGGAGTGGGGAAGGAGTTCACTTTTACCCAGTCTGGATTACCTCTCTCACGTTTTTCGATAATGTAACCTGTAAAAAGATGCATTCCGTTTTAAAAAACGATTTTAATTATTTTCATATCGATGGCAAGAACTTTGAGCTCGTTTGCTTCTGTTAAATAATAATAGTCGTTCTTTCTGAACGATCGACTAATTTCAGAGTCATCATTAGAATCAAGGCACTGTGTGAAGAATTTCCATAAAATGACGTGTCTACGTTATATATTACTGTGGCATATATTATGCACAGCAAAATATTCTTTTGTTGGGATACTCTTTACATAAACATTTTGCTGAATGTAATAACGCCCTTATTAAAAACAAAAATGCCTGTACAGCCTTGACAATTTAAAAAATGGTCCGCATACATTATTGATTTTAAAAGACCATTTTATTTGAGGATTTCAGAGTCATTAAGGTTTTGGCTCATCTAACTGTTTTCCGTTATTCGAAAGCTTCCTCTAACTAACAGGTAAACAAATAATCACGTTAATACATTGGTCGTTAAGGAGAAAAATGACAGCCGAATGGATAACATTTCCTTCGCAAGCTTGTTTTAGAAAGCACCCGTACAAAGAACTTGAGTTAGAAGATAAACTGGAGATTTTCCGGTATTTAATAGCCACATCCTCAAGTACAGTCAAAAGTCGTTAATTCGGACACCCATAATCCGGAATGATCTATAATCCGGACCTCAAAGCTACAAACTTTCTGCGCATGCGTCGCGTCCACGCATGCGCACGGGCGTTTACGAGAGCGCGTAAGACCCTTACGGCTGCGAATATGTTTGTGCGCATGCGCGTTTAAATTGTAACGGAGTTATACGCTAAGCTAAAGTTATCTAATTCAGTTAATGTCGCCGATTGCGTTGTTCCTTAATCTTCGAATTGGATCCGGCTTATTATTTTTTGCAGACTGTCAGAGCAATTTTATAAAAGTAAGCTTGAACGTTCGATTATGTCAAATATAATTTCCGATATATATTTACTACAAAGCGAAAGTATGTTTTGAAATCCGAAATCTGTTTATCAATTTCACGCTGCTCTGCGGCAGAGGGGGGGGGCAGAAACGTCATTATTAGATTATGATAGATTAGAAAGATTATGTCAAATAGAATTTCCGATATATATTTACTAATATGTAATTTGTATCTACAAAGCGAAAGTATGTTTTGAGATCCGAAATCTGTTTATCAATTTCACGCGGCGGATTGGGAGTTGATCTGTCAACACTATCCTTATCTTCAGAGCAGATGTTTTTATTTTATTTGGTTTATAATTCCATACTAAGTGTAGTATTTCATTCTGTCTTTGATATGATTTAAATCAAGTTCCTCGTCATTATAATTCGCTTCCGATAGTGAAGAAAGTGACCCAGAGGTTATTGAAAACGAAAACATTTCGATTGACAAATTAGTCGGTATTCTCAACACAGCAATTATAGGACTTGAACAGCGGAACTTTGTAACTAAACAAGAAATTATGTCTGTTTAATAGAATTAAAGAGAAAGTATTATCACATGAAACGAAGCAACTTACATTGAAGGAAATGTTTAATAAAGTAAACAAATAAATATTAAGCTTTTTCTTTTTGTAAATTTTGATACCCTTTAGATCATAATTGTTCTTTATTTCATAAATTACGGTTTCATATTTTTAATTTTGTAATTTCTGCATGCCATCTTACCAGATTTAAACTGATGATCTATAATCCGGAAAAATCGATAATCCGGAATCGCCGAAGTCCCGACGAGTCCGGATTAACGACTTTTGACTGTATACCGTTTCATTACCAAGTAACACAAAACTCTTCCCCACTTTTAAATTAAAAAAAAAATATATTTTTTCCAATGGGCGGAAGCTTCCTAGCTAAGCATTTCCAGAAAATGGCTAACCCCATCCGTCATTTAGCCTTGTTATCACAGAGAACATTGCTAGACTGCACTACAAAGCATGACAAAACGCTACAACTTTGCCAACGAATTGCATCAACTTAAAAGGGAAAGCTCCACCTCAATTTTGATGGTAAACACTCTAGAAAGGATGATCTGAGGGTCTTCCATCGCCCTTCATCTAATACTGGCTTCTCAAGATGACCTTCAGCTGCAAAATATTTTAAGCGCCCCTATGCAGCAAAGATATTATACACTTATTATACACTATCACTACACTTATTATGCAGCAAAGATATTATACACTATCAATGCCTTCATCTGATTCGAATCCAGATCCAGGACTATGACAGCTGGCTCTTCTTCTAACATCACGGTGGCAAATTTCTGAATATAATAGCCAATATTTTATATTTTTATTTATGAGTTGTTATTACATATGCAAGTGATTTGGTTCCTATGCCTTTAAATAAGTGTATTAGAATTTAAGGAAGATATAGGCTAAGTTTAACTCAAATTTTCTGCTATCTTAAGGCATATGTACAGCTATTGCTCAAATATATAAATTCCCATTACAAATCCTTCTGTATCAAAGAAAAAACTGTTAATTTAAAAATAGGAGCAATTTGATTCTATGCAACCATATCAGTGAAAAAATTTAATCCAATATTAATAAAAATAATATAAAGGAAAGTTAGTTTTTAGAATTATCCTTGCAATTTAGATAACATTATTAGTAAACAAAACAAAGATTTGAAATCAGTATGTCGAAATAATAAAACAATAAACCTGTTCAATGAATTTTCACATTATGTTACATAGCAGTGGTCGAAAATACCACACATTTCTTAATTTGTCAAAAAATATAGTCATAATTACACACAGCCATTGCAGTTTATTCACCGATAAAAACATTTTTCTTATTTTCATCTCTGTTCATAAAAAACACAAAGAAAAATAAATACATAAATTCTTATTTTGCTTTCTTGCACACGGTCAATGGAAGCGAAAATGCTGGATGGAAGTTTCATCTTGTCTTAGTAAACTTCAGTATTTGTTTCAACTCTAGCATTGCAAATTTAAAAACTGCATTCGCAATCTCGTGCCAGATCTGGTAAATAGGAGAAACAGTTGCGATCCTTTGCTATAAGAAGGGGATATCATGAATATTTTCACCACATATATCTTCTTGGTGTTTTCTCGTAAAAAAATCATCCAGTTGTCTTGAAGTTTTTTTACAAGATTGCTATGTTTTACCATTTCGATAATTTTAATTGAAACCTAAGACAACTAGTGAAATAATGTAATCAACTTTTGCACATTTTACTTGCTATATTAGACAAAATTTATTGTATGCATATTTCAATCATAGCATTGGTACGTACTAAATAAAAGTTCTGCTCTCCAAAGCCCTCAAAAGAATTAACATTTGATGATGTATCCAAGGCCAGCGCCAAAGTCGGTGGCAAAACTTTTAGACTTTAGAAAAGCAACAAAGGTGAGCGATGACAAAATTTTCAGAATTTAGGGCATACAGTGGGCAGCAGAATTTATGGAAGTCCCGGGTAACAGAATTTATATACTCACAAATTGGGCCGGGCGGCATAATATCTAGTGCTGGCCCAGGGTTCTAATTGCATATTTTTTACATTTATACATTCGCTGCAGAAACAAAGCTTTGCTGCTCTGAACTTAAATATTCCAGTGATCCTGAATAAATTTGACGCCTACGGCAGGACTATTTATTGGTTCATTCTGCGTATCCCTATATTAGTACATCTGGATTTACACATTTGTGGTTCAGAAAAGAATTTGGAAGCATAGAAGCCTGGAAAAAATCAGCATGCCTTTATTCAATGTCTTAGATTAACCTACTGGATAATCAATTAGTTACACAATTAGAATGCATGGAAGAATCTTAATACTTTACCCCCCTCCCCCTCCGGACAAAAGATAATCCGGGACGACTGCAGTCGATCAGTCCAATTTGACTGCGAAATATCGTTTAACCATTTTTAGTAAGAACTCTTTATGTGGAGAAGAAAGACATTCGGAATCAAAGAACACTGAAAAATTCATTGTGAGCTTATCAAAAGCATATGAGAGGAAAGTCGTTAAATAATTTTATACTACTTTAGAGGACGCTTACGTTAGAAATAAGCATTGCTGTGTACTAACATTTACTGCTTATAGTGGCATTCTTTTCCGATGACCGTGTGCTTGTTTTCAACTTTTTGTCAACTGTAACTTTTGAAGATCTATTATAATGCAAAATACATGTTACCTGTGATAGGTTTGCCACCATCGCTTGCTGGAGGTGTCCATGCAATATTTGCAAAATTAGGACCGAAGTCTTTCACTTTAGGTTGTCCTGGTGCGTCAGGAGTATCTGCAATAAAAGGATAAATATTGTAATGAACAAAAGGATAACATTTTAGTTAAATTTATTCACTTATTATTCTAAGCGAATTTCACAGTTCAGGAATGAAACCAACCTTTCTTTACCTTCATGAAATAATAGATTCTACTCGTTTTTTTACTTACTCTTCATCTCTGTGTAAGAAATGTAGTGGCTCATGCTCGCTACTGAGAACGTTTGCAAAGAAAAGTTATCTAAAGCAAGTATTTTATAAATGTTGATTAAGTTTTTTATTTTAATGACTGCCTGTGCAAAACTGCTTTTTAAAACAATATGTTGAATAAAAGAATAATATATTACTATTTATATTAGCAAGAAAAATCTAATTATTTGTTATATCATATTGGTAACTTGTACTAGTAACTTCGAGTAACACGTTATTCATAATAGTAATATGCTATTTTTTTTTAAATATATGTATGTAAGCAGATCTAATTTTTTTTTTAAATTTCTACATGCTGAAAGACACCCTGAAGTAGGCGGTTTGGAGGTGATACCAAAAATCATGCCACTTGAGACCTTTTCATTGTCGTCTGCAAATGCTCCGGATAAGAACACCAAAACTGTATTATTTCAGACATTCTTTTACATCATGAAAGAATGGTTTTTAAAACAAATGATTGCGAAAGAACAAAAACATGTTATAGAATGAAGTTGTAATGCACAAAACTAAAGTTTTACTCTAAATTTACTTTAAATTATCGGAAATAAATATACGTGAAACAAGGAAAATTGAGAAAAGGATGGCTTTTTAAGATGGACGGAGCGTATTTATTTTCAGTAGGAAAATGTTGATATATCATTTGTTTGAAAACCCTGTAGTAATACATCCTATAGTAATTCTATTTGATACATGATCATAAAAAATAGTATATTCTCCTCCACGATGAAACGAACATTTTAAAATATTAGTCAGTGAAATAATCTATTTTATTAAAAATTGTAATAGCAGTATCATTTACGATTTTGATAAGATTCTGGAGCATTTTATTCTAAAATTAGATTTAATGGTAGTTCAGTCCTAAGGATTTTAATGATATATACTTTAGTCCTTTTTCGCGCTTATGAAAGATGTAGATCCTGAAAATATTTTAATCTGGATTATTTATTAGAAATTGATGTGGCCATACTTTATAATAAAAGCACAGAATCATAATCAAATAAAAAATTTTCTTATAAAATTTATTTTCTGATTAATTTCAAAATATTACTTTCGAATTTAAAATAAAATTTTTAAGTGAATATATAAATTGTGGAGATGAAAAATGAATCCTATTTTGTTTCCAATATATTATGTTGACACAGACCGCAGTTTTTTTTTTTTACATGTCACTATATTAGCGAGAAAAGAATTTAAAAGTATTGTTGCGTTCTACGGGTTCGTGGATTTGGAGTAATTGAAAATAATACTTGATGAAGAATCAAAACACAATTTAATCTCCAGTATTACACGAGAGATTTCCAAAGATATGTTTACAGTCATCGAAAAACTGCGATAAACACGCTGAAACAATCGACAACACAGTCTTCAGGCTATAACGGTGAAGACAGCTTCACGGCAAAGCATTAAAGTACAGCTGCTGCCTCGGTTCGGTCGCTTTCAGGCTAATTCATATCTGAACTCAAAACACTACTACTGAATTCAACATACTCTCTCGCAAGACAGGCAGAGTATATATAGCTTTAGCCTATCTTCAAGAACATTCTTGAGAAAACCGCTAAGAATGCACTTTAGAATATTCTTGCTCCGCCTATGGCATATTGCCAGTTTTGTCGCCAAATGGGGGATTTCGTGCCAAATCTTGCAACCCTACTTTTCCCGACCACTTTCTATCAACCCTAACCCTGGTTTGCGGAGAAGCTATCTTATCGCAACTGGGCATTTCGCAACAATATTTAATTTTACTAATAGCACTTAAAGCTCAAAATCAAATTCTAAATCAGATCGGTTTTGAAGATCTTTCCTTCAGAATCTGGACCTGTGTTAAAATCTTCGTAAAAGTATTACTTATTCAGGATAATATTATAAATACCGTTTTTCCTCTTTTTTATATTAAATGCCGCTAACTGTAGTTTGAAATTTTATGATTTTAAATATGAAGTGTTTTAACTTTTTTTAAATGAAAATTGTACTTTAAAGAAAGTAAATGTAGGACGGCAGAATTTAATAAAATTAAAATGAATTTGCACAATAGCAGACATGTAACTTTAGCATTAACAAAAGTATATGAATATCACATTTTAAAATACAACTTCTATTATACATCTTCCTCATTATATGTACGGTGTAAGAAGACCACTTACACCATACATATTCCTTATTAAACGATTATGTGAAAGGTACAAAAACGGTGCTTTACCGAATTATTAACATAATTAAATAACTTACTTTTCAATAATGTAGATTAATATTTTCTGTTTTATATAACTTAATATTTAAAAAGGAAATAATTAGGTTATAATAAGATTGACCCGTATGGCCTTGATTTACTTTTACTGAAGGTGACTGTACTTAACTGGCACAGACGAATTTATTAAAATTAGCCCAACAAGGCATTTCAAATGTAAAATTCTCCTGAACTAAGTAAAAAAAAAATTCTTCTCAATTATAACTCTTAAACATGTTTTCTCTTCTAATTGTTGGATAGGAAAGCACTAAAAAAAGAAAGAAAAAAAAAAAAAAAAAAGAATAGGAATCAGATCTAATAGCAGGAACTTACCGAAAGGATTCTTAGCATAGACAGGCTTTCCTTCCAGAGGATCGCTTACACCGTACATATTTTCTGCTCGAACCCGGAAACGGTATTGTTTCCCTTCATCCAGATTCCTCACGACGCACGTCGGCGTAGGACAGAAAGCAGTCACAGGAGTCCATCGCTCTACGCCCACTTCACACTTCTCCACCTGGTAGCCTATACGAAATCAAAAGTGTTTCAGCTTACGTCCATAGGTTTTAATCTTATTACATGTACAATGAAAATCAGTTCTAATAATTGTTAACAAAATTTAAAATATAGAAGACTTTTATGATAATTGTGACACACAAATTTATCATCATGTTAATTTCTAATACTGATATTAATACACAGATATCTAAACGAATATTTTGTAATTATGTAGAAAATCTAGACATATTTTGACCTGATACAGACATTGTTAATAATATGAAATTATATCATTAACAATATCACGGCTGCTTGCTTTCGGAGCTCTACAAACATCAAAGCGGTGTTTAGATTTCTTTGAAGAAAGTTGAACCATGCCATCTGCAATTGCCATCACAGCTATGGTAACCCACTTTTATAAACCAATTAATTTCATGACTTCTAATCTTCAACTTATCTATTTTTACATACTTTTCGAAATTTTATATATGTATTATACTCAAATAACAAACTGGACATTGTGGAACCCGTTCTAATGTCTGGTTTTGCTAACAATGATTTAGAAAGAAACCATCTCGTTCAAAAGAACGATAGAACTTATGAAGTGATGGTTATCCATTCTGAATCTGCAATAAGATTCATTATTTTCGGTGATCGTGTATTTCAACAGTGAACGAAGTGATGTTGAACACAAGACACAGTGTTTCATCAGACTTTTGTTTCGGATGAATAAGTATTACTTTTATAATTTATTTACATCATTATGAAATCCTGCAGTTATTCGAGATATTATTCGAGATATATATGTTTTTAAAGATGAATGTTAATTCTAATGATGTCACTATTCTTAATTGTACAATAAACGATTTGGTTTCTAAAGGTATTATGATGGTCTAAGCTAAAATTAATTTAATTATATGAAAATAATTAAATATATTTAAAAAGTAAAAGTTTCGTGTGCTTTTTGTTACTTTTAAATACTGTGATTAGAAACTTCCGTTTCCTATAGTTACTTCCATTTTATTATTTCCCCTTAATGACCGGACATTTACTGTTCAAGCATTGGTCAAGAATGGCCATGCCCATCAGTCATTTAATAGTGTCGTCATTGAGAACGTTGCCCAGGATATACCGCGCAGGGTAGATCGACATTACACCACGGAGAGATTATCGCTAGTACCCATACCTTTTTTAGGATTGAAGCCTGGGTCCAGGCTACGGCTGTCGTATCACCTACCAGCACGTCAAGAGGGCAGCTTCTTTCCATTAAAATTAAATTAATTTTATTCATAAGATGCAGGATATTCAGATTTTCACAAAAGAAAACTTTACACTTACAATTTCATTCCCTATTTGGAAAAATCCAACGAAACACTTCGACATATGTCTAGAAGTGTATGAATGCATGTTGAAACTTGATTTATAAACGTATTATTATGCTTTAAGACACCTGAAGAATTGCATTGAAAGAAGTTAAAAATATATTGCTAATTTTCCCAAGAGCCCTAACCTAGATATATTTTATAATGGTTTTCAAGAGAAATACATCAGGTTGTAGAGACATTAGGTAATTTTTTGAAGCAGGAAAGGTAAAAAATTAACAACGCCTTCGCCGGGAATTGAACCGCGAACTCTGGAATACCGGCCCAGTGTGCAGACCACCACACCACAAAGGCATGCCAAGAAGGTGGGAGAAATACCTTACAAGGTTTCTTTAAATAAAAATTGATTCTATAAATAAAGAAAGCTTACCACTCAGTCACACAGGAATCCAGAAAAGCAGCAGAAGAAAAGATTTTGATTAATAAAAATCCTTTTATTTCTATCGCTAAATATTTTATTTCACAAATACGTAAAAATTTCTTGTACTGTTGCGTTAATTTTAAAAGTATAACAAAAGAATAAAAGAATTATTTAAGGCTATTAAAAGAATTCATTTTCATTCATTGCATTCAGATTTCAAGCTTTTTAAAAATTTTCCATAATTATTATTAATATGAGGTAGCGGTTCCATAACCGGTCTCTTCTTTGTCATCGTCTCTCCTGCCCTCGAGCTACCTCTTAAGTGGTACTCTTCTCAGCCTAGAGGATACGAGACCTCAGGCGGAGTTTCACATCAGATACGACCAAGTAGGAGCAAGCTCCTTCGGCTAGTTTCGTCCGACCCTCACACAGGCGCATTTGCACAGCATTGGTATAAATGACAGTCCCATGTGCACTTTGTGCAACCAGAATTTTGAAATGGACAAAGATTATTTTCTAAAATGTTTCTCGTTGAAGGAAGAAAATCTATACAGTCGATATTGGAGGACTAGAGAGTTGATGCATTTGACATCCAGAGAACTATTTGTCTTTAAAATGGTTAATGTAGTCATAAGTTATTTTCTTTCCAGTTGCGATGTACTTATTGTTATTGTATTGAAAAATAATAAATATGTAATAATAATAAAATAAAAATAAATAAAAAACTTTTTAAAAATTTTAGAGTAATAGCATTTTATAGAAATTTATATAATCTGAAATTCAAGTTTCTTGAAGCCTAGTTCAAAGAGGGGCTTCAAAACCATTCATGTTTCAATTTTCCATGTGAATAAAAAAAGGATAGCACATTATGCAGCGTTAAATTTTGTTGTAACATTTCTGACTGAAAACGCAATTGATAGTAGTCGCTAGTTGATATTTGGTAAAGGTAACTGGTAAAGGATTTTTAGTTTTCTGGTAAGAATACTGAGAGTAGTTAATTCTTTTATCCAGTTTCATTAGTTTCTTCACAAGTGTGGTTTCTCTCATTTAAAAAAGTGGAAGTTTAAGTGACCTGCTAGAGCGTTTTAAATTAAAATGCATTATTTCTGCCATGAATATTAACCACTATATGTGATCAACAAAATTCAAGAACAAATCATGACCATCTCGTTAACAAGCTTTATGAGAAAGATGGAAATTGCTCGATTCTTCATCGATGCTAATTCACTATTTATATAACTCATATTAAATAAATAATACTTTCATATGTTATTGATCAATTTATGTTAAATGACTCGCTTATGGTTATCTGGTGGATCAGACCTTGGATTACTGAGTTGCTTGTGATATTTTTAGTGGGAACTTGGGAAAAATAAAGTCAACCAAACACCCCCTAAGCTCATCTAGACATCGAAACTACCATGCAAAAAGCAGTTTACACAATTACACGTAAAACTATGATAATATTTTGAGTCCATGTGGCAATGTCATCATACGTGGATGGCAAGTGCTTTGAGAACTTTATCATTTGATTATATTTCATACGCTCTTTCCAGTATAGCTTCAATTACCTAGTTTTACCAATTAGTTTAGTTACTCAAATTACAAAGTTGGTCACGGAGATCATGCATTTGGGAACACTCGGTATTGCTTCATTCTTACTGAAATATGTCTGAATACTTACATAAAGCTCTATCGATTTGAGAGGTGATGAAACTACAAAATTCTTATTCTACAAAGAGTTTTATGACTAACTTTTTAAAAAGGAAACTAGAATAACTTATTAAGTTAAAATGTATTGAAGAAAATATAATTAATGAAATAATCTTTTATTTATGATTTTAAACACATCTAACTGGAATAAGAAACTTACCGGTGATGTCGGATCCGCCATCGTCATCTGGTTTTTTCCACTTCAGAGTAATCGAATTGGCAGTGATTTCTGGATATTCCATATTTTTCGGAGGGCCCGGTTTATCTATAAGAAATTCAAATAGTTATTTTACTCCAAAAACCATAGCATAAAATAAAATTTTGTAAAATATTCATTTGTAAAAATTGTTCAAATTCTTAAAAATACAGTGGTATGATATGGAAGAAAGAAATAACAGGAATTTGATTCAACGTCTAAAAAATTCTAAGATATTTACAGATAATGCAAGCACCAAAATTGTAAAAACTGAAGCATGCATACACACATATTTAATTTTGATGAATTCTTTTTGCACTGATCTTAAGGCGTTTGACTCAGGAAACAAGTTGGTCAAGGGTCCTTTAGACATTTTGAAATCAGCTAATTTGTTTAATACTTTAGGAAGATTTTACTGGAGCTAAAGTTAGTAAGAATGTAGGGAGTAAAATTCTTTCTCTTGATCGTACCTAGGAAGAATTTTACAGTTTTTTGATACATTATATGGATGAAAGGAAACCATATTTATTTATGAGAACGCTCAGCATCAGGTTAAATCCCTCAAATTATTCGGTGGATTAATAATCGTCCTGCAGTATCCCAAGTGCCTGAATGCAGAAACTCTCCTTTATTATTTGAATTTTTGCACTAATCTTTATCCTCGTATTACAATATTTGATCGTCGTATGGTAGTAGATCTGTGCATTATGACTTCTTCTAACTGTGGCTAGAACATGAGGTATTCGTAAAATTAACAGAAAACAGGATATAAAAATCAGATCACAAAACGTCAGAAACAGGATATGAAACCATACATCATGCTAGAGATCTGTTAATCTAGAGTTTCTGCAATCCTTTTCCTTTATACACGAACAGAACGGGAAAGAAAAGGAAAAGATTTTTATTTTTACTCTATTGCGGTTCCACGTAAGTACTTACCATACACCAGCACAGTCATATCTGCCGAATCTTCTCCGTGAGCATTTTTAGCCGTTATAGTATATTTCCCGCTGTCTGACCTCTGTGTGCGAGGAATGTTGAGTCCCACACTGTCCGGTGTCGATTCAGTTTGAATGCGATTGCTAACCGGTAAAGGCTTGTCATTTACGGTCCACGTTGTTGTTGGAGTTGGTGCTCCTGTCAGAGGGACGTTAATGCGCAAGGGGTCACCCGCTTTCACGCGGATCACTTTTCCGTACAAACCGTCCAGATGGAGCTTTGGTTTTTCTGAAAAAAGTTTATAATCATCAGCACTATTTAAGAGCTGTAATAATAAAAAAATCATTCGATGCATAGTAATATAAAAGAATTCCTTTTTATTATCATAAATAATAAAGAAAAAAGACACTCGAATATTATTTAAACAATTGTAGTGATAATTTTCTTAAATAACAGTACAGAACGTTGCCTATTGGATCAAGTTCATATGAAAAACTATATCAACACATAAGGAACTGATTAAACAGATCTCTAAATTTTGCGCAATAGTATCCAAACAGGAAATCTAGTAGTAAATGGTATAAATATTCTTGAATTAATTAGAATTACCCTTTACATATGGTATCCAAGATTTAATTATTTTGTTTTTTACATTAACTAAGATTGGATTCACAAAGATTAATTGTTTAAGTAATATAGATATTACATTTGTTAATACTGAACTATCGTCTCCTTGTTATGCCTTTATAATATCCTTTTCTATTCTTATTATGAAAGCTTTTTTATTTTTACGACGTCAAACAAAACCATTTTCTCTTCTTCAGAGGAGGAAATAATATTTTACAGTGAAAATAATACTGTTTTGAAAACAAATATTTGAGCTTTAGTCCTATTTGGAGCTATGTAGAGCCCCATAAATTGTGCTTTAGGTGTTTCATTTTTGGAAATAACGGTCGTCATATCAACTTTTAACAGAAATATATTTTATTTAAGCAAAATCGATACATGAAAATTGTTAATCAAAACTGCAGATAACTCGTATATGCAACAAAAAATTGTAAATTAAGAGCTTAGAATTAACTTCTGAAGAGTAAAAAAGTTCGTTGTATAGCAAAGTTAATTAAATATTGAAAATTTTAATTAAATATCAGAAAAACCTCATTCATAGAAAATTTTTTGAAAGTTTAACGAACACCTCCATCTAAACAAAGCTTTTGTCCGGAAGGATGATTTTTCAGATTATCTAGAAATAATAGCTAAGACACTGGACAAAATCACATTATTGGACATTTAGGTTTTCAGATGTGGTTAATGATGTCGACGTCTAAGCGATCATTTTACTGAAGACACAAAGGTTCATAACTGAAAATACTTTGTAAAAACATGAATGAAACTTTAAAGAAGACGCTTTCAATACAAAATATATAGCAATAGGAAAAGGTAGTAACAAAAACTAAAAAAATATCTAAAATTTCAACAAAAATAAAGGAATTTTACACAAAAATTCTATAAAAATACAAAGTTCTTTGAAGTTTAAAACTCAGATTTGGATATTACCTTTCATTGGCTTGGCTGTGATGGGCAAGGAAGCCTCACTGGGCTGCCCAGCACCTGCTGCATTCCTGGCACTTACTCTGTATTCATACTCATGTCCGTCCGTCACAGTATCGTCAGTAAACATGCAGCTCTGTGAAATTAAATCTATTGATCAAAATTTACTTGTATAAAATAAGAGGACAACGTGATTAAAAAACTGGATTTTCTACATAAAGCTTAAACTAATCATCCAGTTTTGAAATTTTCATATTTATTTTACTTGAAGAATTCTAAATCTACGATTTTTAGATTATAGCAGTATTATGCCACTTCAAATTTTTAATTTATAACAAATGTCAAGGATATGAATCTTTACTACTATCCTGCAGCTGAAACAACACTCATGTCCATAAATTAAGGATAATTCGGAGTCACGCATAAATCGAACTCTAAAATAAATATATCACCTGTAAAATCACTACATCTTCAAGAATCATATGCAAATTTCAGGAAGTAACCAGATGACACTGGTACGTCACAATGACGAGAGTGTAAGAGAGTGATGTATAAGGAATACAGGCAAAGAAGTAAAATTGTTCGCAGGCGCTTTATAAGCATTTCAGTGCAATAACCGAATAGTTATGAGACAAAGGACGCATTTGGATGATTTTTTACGTGGTAGAATTATCGGCCGTCTGGAATGTGGGCGTATCCAACTGGAAGTATCAGACGAACTTGGAATTGCCCAGAGTGTCATCTCCAGGCTTTGGCAACGATTCCAAGATGATGTTAATGTGAGTAGACGTTACAGCACAGGTCGCCCCAGAGTTACAACGCCGAATGATGACCGGTATTTGGCAGTTACTGCCAAAAGAAACAGGCGGAGCACAGCCTCAGACCTGTCTCGTCGGCTCTCTTCAGCCACTGGTACGACAATTTCAAGGCAGACCGTGTACAGACGCTTAGGGCAGATTTGTCTATATGCTCGTAGCTCTGTCAGATGCATTCCACTTAATGCAACTCACTGTCACCTGCGGTTAGCCTGGAGTAGAGAGCATGCATTGTGGACACCGCAACCGTGGGCTTGTGTGATGTTTTCCGACGAGTCCAGGTTTAGCTTGCAGCCTGATTCTCGCCGGACTTTCATATGGAGAGCTCCAGGTACCCGTTACCAACAAGAAAACATCATTGAACGACACCGTTACGGTGATGCAGGAGTGCTCGTTTGGGGTGGAATTATTCTGGGTTCCAGAACTGACCTGCATGTTCAAATTGGAACCATGACAAGCCAAATCTATCGGGACGTCATTCTGGAATAACATGTACGTTTGTTTCGGGATGCCATGGGCGCACAATTTGTGTTTATGGGTGACAACGCCCGTCCTCACCGTGCAAACATCGTAAGCGAATGCCTTCAGTCGGAGGATATCACCCGTATGGACTGGCCAGCAATCTCACCGGATTTGAATCCAGTAGAGCACGTGTGGGACATGCTTGGCCGACGAGTTGCAGCCCGTCAAACCTCTTTCTACATGTCTACCGGAACTTCGGAGAGCATTGCGTTTTGAGTGGTGTAATATTCCCCAAGATCAGATCGATAATTTGGTACTCATCATGTCTAGGCGTTGTATGGACTGTATTGCATCGTCTGGGAGACATACAATGTATTAACAATCATACCAACCATGTAATATTGGTTTTTTGTAAGTAGGTTTTTTTTTTTTTTTGTAATTTGCTCCAGGGAGAAAAAAATCGCTAATTTTTTTAATAATATCAAACATATAGCATCTTTTTTTGCTCTTTACCTTTTGTTTAATAAATAAGCTTTACAAATAAGTAAAATTTGTTTTGCTTCTAACTCTTCCTTTGCCTGATTTTGCATTATCCTTAACTTATGGACATGAGTGTACTTCCTTTATACACATTGTTTGGCAACATAAACTAACGAGTGCAGGAAAGACTGTAGAGGAACTATCCTCAGGTCTCAGGATACAGACAAAGTCAAAAGAACGGTGTAAATTACCCTTTATCCAATCATAAAGATTTTCACTTGGGCTTAAATAAGTCAACATTTCTGGCTGAACTTAAACAAGTAATGTTGAACTTAAAATGTAATTAAAATAACCTAACGGCTGACAGGATAATTTACTCGCGCAAGAAGGCTCTGACTCGTAGAAGCCGTTGAAAATACGCGTAATGGCTAGAAGCACTCAACGCCACAAAATCAAATCGCAAACAAGTCAAAGTAACAACTTGGTCTTCAAGCAGGCATAACACACATGCTCTAAAATCCCCGTCCGATACCTTCGCTTAAATAGTACTTCTTTTTCCCTTAATTTGAATAAACACGCGCTAACTGATTAATATTCTGGCAGGAAAGCGTGGGTAAAAAGAAGATTGAAAAGGATTGTTTCTTTAACTAAATATTAACTATTAGTCAAAATAAATGAATCTCCACACATTATTGTGCTCAAGATGAGTATTCGGGGAAAGCTTATTTCGAAATCGAAAAGTTTCTCTTCTCTATTATGTAAAGAAGTTATAATGCTAACAACTGTTTGATAAAACTACATAAAATATTGGGGAATTTTATTTACTTTACTATCATGCTGAAATACTAGAAAAATACATTGCTTTTCATGTGATACTTTATGTAAGTGCTCACCATGCTTTAAATACTATAATTTTGATGTAGTTAACTTGATGCACAATGGATTAAAAAAGTGTTGTTTAGGAGAATGGGAAAGTAGGCATTTAAGCTACAGCGATCAGCATTTCATATACAGTGTACTTTCGATTACCGGATGCGGATTATCCATGCATGGCAGTGCTCTCGCATTGGACACTTGTGATAGAAAAGAAAAACAAAATTTATTCATATTTAACAGCTAGTAGAATCTTCACGAGCAGCCTTCACCCTCCGGGGCATGCTTTCTACAAGTCCTTGTATGATGGATATTGGTATTTTCTTCCACTTGGCTTGGAGAAGACATGTAAATCCCTTCACTGATGTTGGACAAATGACCTCTTAATCCAGCGATATATTTCGCTCCAAGAAGTTCTCTATAGAGTTCAAGTCTGGTTTCTGGGCAGGCCAGTACATTCGAATAATCCGATTATCACCCTACCAATACATGATGGACCTCACAGCATGACAGGTGGCATTGTTGTAATAAAAGTAATATGGGTCCAACTCGTAAAACTACCACTACGTATGAAACACATTATCGTCCGAAGTAATGCAGTAGGCATCGGCAATGAGCTTACCATGACTTTGGACCAAGGGTCTTAGGTCATACCAGGAGAAACACTCCTAGAACCTAATGCCACCTTCGCTGAACTTTACGGAGGGAACAATGTGTTCTGGCAGGAGGCGTTCTCCAGGCAGATGCCAGACTCACACCCTGCCATCCGAATGTTAGAGGATGAATCTTGATTCGTCGCTCCAGAAAATCCATTTCCATTGATTCTGTGGTCCACTGTTGACTTGTTTTTCACCACATTAATCGAGCAGTACAGTTGGACTCTGTGATCAAAGGCTTATGAGCGGCAGCACGACCATGAACACCAAGCAGATGTGTTTCTTTACAAATTTATTATTTTACCAATTTATCAGGTTCAATGTTCCTTCTTACCTTCTTCGGGAACATGCAAGGACCTGACTCGGAACAGAGAGCTTACTAAAGCTATGTTCACTAATTGTGGGAAGTAGACAGGATACACAAGAAGGGTATACAAAACCCTTTATTTTTCTCTATTTACAATAACTTCCGTACTTCGGAATACACAGACCCGCTACTTGGGTCAAAACAAAAGTAAAAATATAAAAATAAAACTAAACTCTAATTTAACTTTAGAATAATAAACGTGGAAGATTGGCCTTATAATAACAGGGAAGCGTATGTAGTACAGAGAACTGTGAACACTACAATACGTTTAAATTTTATCAAGAGGATTAAAAAACCTCTGGCCTGGAAGGCAACAAGCAACTGCGTAACTTCTAAGGTAAGCGGCCTGCTTCGACTCACTGCTTCCTCTCTCTTGCTTGGCAAAAAGCCACAACTTAAATACTTGGCGTTCGCCAGACAAACTTTGCATAAAAACCTTAACGCTTATAATTCTGGCCGGAAGTAGAAAATAAGAAGTGATAGTAAAGATTTAAAATAAAATAAACGTTAGTAAAACTTAAGATCCTTACAAATTTACCATAGACTCTGACACAAGAATTCGTCACTAGAACTCTGAAGACTTTTCACATCGCAATCGAGTATTTTAGTTCATAATCCTATTAATTTCTTATATTCAAGTTCATTATATTGTTTTGGAAGATGAGCAAAGATATCGAGAACAGCTGAAAATAGTGCCAGCGATGATAAACGCCAAAATATAAGTAAATCATCATTTAAGCTTGTAAAAAAGAAATTACTTAAATGGAACTAAAACGACGGAGTGATACCACAGAAAAATTGCATGCAGATTAAGTCTGTAAGTTTGGGGGTCGTGCTTATGTTTTCTGATACGCACGCAATTTCTTTACAGTGAACGGTGGTCTTCTAGTACAGTTTTCCGATCATTTTTCGTTTTCTGCAGCGGCCAGACAAATAAGATGATAACTTAAAGAATGATAACTTAAGAAAATAAGAATATTTACCGGAACTGGTGCTTTATTGACTTTGACCCATCGATTCGACTTTTTGTCTTTCCTTTCAATATCATACCCAATGATAGGCGATCCGCCATTGGACCGTGGAGGTTCCCACTTTAATTTTACAAAGTCTCTGTCATAATCTACGGGCTCCGGTTGACCAGGACGTCCCGGTACACCTGGAAAAGCCAAGGGTACATACTTATACATAATAAAATAACGACACATATAATAAATTAATACTTGTTTTAACATTACATGTGCATTGTGAAAAAGCTACTAAATTTCAACTTGAATCGCATTCTTTAACTGTAGATTTTGAAGAAACCCTTATGCAGGAAGATTTTCCTCAGATTTCAAAGAACTGCTACTCAAGACACTTTCTAAATTTCAGGTGATTGATTTTTAATACCGTTCTCATACATAAGTTCTGCAGTGCACTTTGTTGCATTTCAGTGTATATTTCTGCAGACCCCGATGAAAGAGTTTTCAGAGAACAACCTAAAGGCAAAATAAGGTCTTAAAACAAGTCTTAAACTAAAAACGAAGTTATCGTGGTTTTCTTGATATTTTAAGCAATTGCAATTAAGAGAGTATAAAGATAAGATTAAGAGATTGAGAGTATAAAAGACTGAGGCATTTAAACTGCTTGATGCCTTATGAGATCACAGAAAGTACAACGTGTGTCAAACAACTGGGCATATTCAATTTGCTGAGGTACTTTTAATATAAAAAAATGAATTTTTTAACATTTCAGTTCTGAATTGCCAATGTATCACCAATCACCTGAATTTGTACCTTTCGATTCTGAATTACAGATACCAGCTGGCGGAGAAATGATAAGTAAGAAATCTGTTACATCAAAGCTCTCGAATATGGTATGCCTAAAGACAAGTACCTTGTTGATTAGTTCCTTAAAAGAACTAGCAGGTGTTGAGGTTGTGTTTACAAGGCAAAAACCCAAAAATGATCAGTACTAAACCAGCGAAATCGCTTAACTATCAGAAATAGAACCAGGATCTACAGATGATAATAATAATTAATAATAGTCTTATCCACACGATTACTGGTAGGCTTCTGCAGTCGTGGAAAAATTTAGCTTCATATTTAATTTGAAAATCTTTAAAAAAACTCACCGTAAGGGCTCTTGGCAACCACTGGTTTTTCTGTCGTCAGTGGATCAGATGTGCCATTGGCATTCTGTGCCATTACACGGAATTCGTATTCCGTACCTTCTGTCAGCTTTGGAACATAACAGTTTCGACTCGTGGGGCTTACAAATGAAACGGCGGGCAACCAGCTGCCACCTCTTGTCTTGTCTCGTTTCTCAATCACGTAGCCGCTAATAAAAAAATGAAGGAAAACGATTGAAGCATGTAAAACATATACTCGTGAACAGAGTGTTTTCTTCTTGTTTATTTCAAGCATAAATATATTTATGGGCATTAAGTCTCTCGCTAATAATCTCAGACATATAATACTTTCAGTTAAAAAGTTTCTTAAAATAAATTAAAGAATTTGCTGGAAATAGTTTCAGTATTATGAATGGGAAGGTTTCTATAAAATAAGATAAATTGCATTGTGGTAATAAAAGTAAAATAAAGGTACGCAGGCTCTGAATTGAGCGTCATTGTTTTGTTTGAAGGTTGTTCGCATTGCTCAGTTTTTGCTATGATTCCGATTAACTGAGCTTTTCAATTGTAAAAATTCATTAAAGAAACAGGGAGTGTTACGCAGAGATAGTCCTTAAACTCCGCATTGCTTCTGAATGCAACACTGCCCCCCCCCGAATGGCTGTTATGCGGTTGATAAAGAAATTCGAGGAGTACGGGTCACTTGCAACTATACAATTTCTGGGGTGAAATATTGGGAGGTCTAGGATTATCTTGTATCATCAGACAATCATACTAAATAACTGGGAGGAGAAGACGTATTCACAGGTGTATCATCATGTGCTTAATATGATATAAATTTAAAGCTGTAACATTACGAGAACTAACGAATAACCTACCTCAATATCAGTTAATTTCGGAACAACCTTTGTTTGTAGGTGGTGTAGATTACATGGTCTTGTTTGTTTACTATTAAATTCAATAAATGTTGCAATTCTAAAAATAATGAAGGGCTATCTCTTGTTTGCTAATCAACTAACACAGTGCATTCGGAAGTTCAGAGGTGAGTTTTTATAGCTACACTTAGACGCTTAATCTCATACCCACAGTGAACCATGGTATATTTATAACAACACACAGTTTATGGAAACATGCATAAAATTGAATGATTTGAACCAGTTTTTATTACTTTTTGAATGCAGCTTAATCTGTATCAAAACAACTGGAACAGTCATGAGTAGTGGAACGGCATTTAATACTACCAGCTTCAACACACTTCAGCGGAATATGCAAAGCTGGCATTTGCTCAAGAAAATTCCATTTGAAAAAAAAATATTGAGAGCAAGTGTTATGACCTTCAAAGAGCTATCAATGCTACTTGCCCTAACTGAAGCCATCTTCATTTCACGCGTTCAGCTACATGAATGCTTCTGATAATGACTCTATAAATATTTAAACACTATCTTATTTCATTGTATGTTGTTCTTTCAATGTTTCAGGTGTACTTCTTGATACTCACACACTTAAGTCCAAATAGGAATCAATTCAAAGTGTCAAAGCGGATTCAGCAATCATTGACATAAGAACTGCTAGAATTTCCTATAACGAATAAGACCAAAGCGGGAACATCCTAAGATCGAACGAAGACATCATATATTGTAGAAGATGGAATTCCTCATTTAACTTGGTCGATTACAAATGGATCATTTGAAAATTCCTCAATAAAACTTTTATTTCAGAACTGAAGCCGCGATACAATAAGAATACGTTCACATTCACCACCAGAGGGCGTTTCTTTTTTTCATTTGTCCAACGGTAGCAATTAAATTATGTTATATTTGTGGTAGTCTTTAATTAAATGCTTCGCTTTTGCATTGCATAGCATTATCTTGTATTACTTCTATTTACCGCTTGCAGAACGAAGCTCCAGTTTGTTATATCATTTGTAAATACTTCATTAAAATATATTTCGTAAACAGAATTGCTCTTGTTTGCACAAGGTGCCCCTATAAGATAACCGAACAAGTTAAAATATCAAACGATGAAATAAAAAAAAAATGAATGAATAAATGTATATTTAAAAAGAGCCATATCTTGACTGGTTCTAAAGCCAGTTTAAATTGGTTCTTTTGTCGTCTACATATCAAAACGCTGGACCCATTTTCATTTACTGAGAAAACATTGTACAAAAAAAAAATTGCTACGAGATGGAACAATGTTATGGCATTAAATTGTGTTACAAATTTGGAAAATCTGCTACAGACACGTTAGAGATGATTCGAATAATATATGGTAATGCACCGTTATCAAATGCACAAATATATGAGTGGTATAACTGCTTAAAATTTAGGCGCGAAAGCGTTGAATATACCGAAAGATAGGAAACTCTTCATCTTCAAAGATGTGGGAAAAGTGGAGAAAATCCGTTATTTGGAAAATGATAATAGACAAGCTTAGTAACTTTCAGACATGCTTGGGATAATTAAAGAAAGCTGTAGGTTAATTTTAATTGAAAATCTGAAAATGAGAGGAGTTTGTGCTCAATTTGTGGCTTGGAATTTGCAAGAATAGCAAAAGGATGACACAAAAGCTTGCTGGGAATATTTCTGACTATTACGGGACAGGAAACCAATTTCTTAAAGCGCATGATTGAGGGAGATGAGACCTCATGTCCACAATACGACACATAAACAAAAAGCCCATTAAAAACCGTCTTCTCCCATACAAAAGAAAGGATGTCGAAAATTAAAGATTAAGGTGATGCTGGTTACCTTTTCTTCATTACAAAGGACTTAGTCACTATGAACTGATTCCTGAAAACCAATCAATTACTCAGTTTTTTTTAAAAGATGCTTTTTCGATTAAGAAACACGATAAGGTGAATTAGGAATAAATTTTTTGACTTTGGCAATGTGTTGTTTTTCTACACGATAAATGTAGCATTGTCTGTGCAACAATATCTTGTCAAGCATTCAGTTGCAGTGATTAATCACCCACCATATTCTCCCAACTTATTGCCAGCTGATTTTTTTTCCTTTTTCCAAAGTTTAAGATAACAATAAAAGGACAGAGATTTGAAAATGACTCAGATATTAAGTCAAATATTACGCGTATTTTTTGAATGGTTAGTTCCAACGCCTAGAAATAATGATTCGATGATCTGAAGAAATGTTGTAAAAGTTGCGTAGCCTCTTCTTGCGATTACTTTGAAGAAGATAAGGTTATCTGATTAAGAGTAATATTTTTCTTATTTATAAGAAATTGTTTGTTTACTTTATGGGAGTACTTTGTACATCTTCGCACATCAGTAATGAAGGTGTTCAGATTTTTTAACAGAATCGAAAAGTATTAGACCCAGGTCGAAAAACATGCACAAAGGAAAATGGTACTTACGTCAAAGGACTCCCTCCATCATCTTTAGGTGGTCTCCACGAAAGTTTCACGCGATCTTTGTCCACTTCATCAATATTCAATGGGCCTTCTGGAGGTCCGGGTTTGTCTAAAAGAAATCAGAATTTTCAAATAGTGTGCAGACAGTATTTTGAGCAAAAGCAAGAAAATTATCAGTAAAATATCATAAAAACGGCATTTTAATTTTACTCCCAAAATAAAACGAATTAGTTGTACAATAAGAATAGTGAATGATAAGTTTAATTATCGTGAAAAATAATGGTAGTTTATGTATATAATGACAAGAATCGTTAATAGTTTATCATAACAAAAGAATAAATAGACTTTTCAATTTATTATTGAATGCATTCATACACAGGTGGCTTAGAAATAAACTATTTTGTAAACAACATTCATGAAACAAATTTAGGGAGCTAAATTAAATTTTCATAGCGTTAACATACATTTAAGCTATTAACCTTTTGACGCCGGGGCTTTGGTAGCAGTAAAAGCTACCAAAGGACGGGGAATCTTGAACCTAATGCTTTCCCCCCTTTAAGAAATCACCTCCTATTTGCAACAAAGATACTTGTGTGTAGTTTAATGGATTCTCAGAGGGGTGCATCTATGTCGCAAAAGGAAGACCTTTGAAAGAGATAAGTGGTTAAACCCTAGGGACGTCAAATTTGACATTTCACCCCACTTTTCAGCCTGGAAAATGGGGGGAAAAGACATGGCCACTAAAGTGGACAACCCCCGTCTTTTCAAAGAGAGGACTCTATGGCCACTATAATGGCCCTCCCGTCTTCAAAAGGTTAAATTTACTATACAGAATATAAGTTAACGTAATATTTTTGCAATGGAAAAATAAATGTAATTATTATTTGTAGAAATAAGACCGTAAAACCTACGCTATAAAATTCAAATTAAAAACATTATTCGAGGGAGAGATAATGACTTTATTCAAATTTATTACGAAAATACCCATAAATGTTACAAGTGTAAATAAATCTTACGAATATACATCTAAATAAAGTTTAGCTACATCTAAGGATATAGAAATTAATCATGGCATCACATTTCCACTCAAAGCTGACATTCCATGAAATTAAAAGAAAGTTCCTTAAAAATTTTCTATAATGCAAGTCTTCAAATCCCGAAGGGCAGAGAAACCCATTCTATAGGTGAGACCTTAATGCTTCCAATTATAAAAGGTATAGTTAACACAATATTTAACGAAAAATGTACCTAAGGACATTAATTTAATACCACTTTCAAACGATACAGTTACACGCGATTCAGTGACATAGTTGATAAAGTAAATTAATATCCTAAATGAATATATGTATGAGCAGGAAATAGATTTAAAAAAATTTATAGGATTTTTTTTCCGAATAGGGCTCGTGCGCTTGCCGGTAGGCAAAGTGGCTTTAAAGTAGAGCTGTAGCACCTAATGTTACTTGGACGCATAACTCTGACTCACAGAGCATCTAAATTCAAAAGCGTTTAGAAGACCGTGTTAAAATAATCAGCTTATTAATCCAAAGCCTCTGAACAGCAAAAGATTTTCATTACTTTGTGACGACACGGGTGGCAAGCACAAACAGCTTCTTCATTCTGAAGTTCGTCGGCTTTCAGGGATAAGGTATTCACAAGGTTCTTTGAATAGGGAATTCTGTACTATGAAAGGAATTAACTGGGATTTTACATTATTTCTTGTTGATGACATGTGGTTTGAATGACATGAAGTTCAAGGTCTATCTTAATGAGGTCTCGATCTTGACGACCCTAAAGGACAACATATTGTATTTAGCATTCTTCGTGATATGTTATATTCGGCCTTCTAGACTGTTGTGTACAGGATGCAGTGTGTGATCTACGAGAAGGGTGATCACGCTGTAAGAAGAGGTCTCTGCACTTGCTGAGGAACTACTTTTATTGAATTAATTGCTATGGTGCGCTGAAATATTATCTCTTTAATAATTTGAGGCTATTCATTTGCTGCCTTTGAAATTTCTCTTTTGCTATTGATTCGCATAAATTATACATACAAAATAATAAATATAATAAACTTCCAATTTATATACATATATGTATATACATATATATTTTTTCAGCATACTAAAATATTTTCAGTACATCAATATTTTAAGTTCCATTATTTGAAATGAATAACTGAAATAAAAAATATTAATACAGGGGAGATAACATTCTAACTCACAGTAGGAAAGGTTGGAATGGGATAAAAGGTGTGGAGAAGTACTAATTCTATAAAAACTCTATGTGCATTAGTTTCTCAATCAAAAAATGAAATAAAATTGAATTAATGTAAAATTAAAATTTAGTGTCTCTTTTGCAGTGTATTATCAGTGTAAGTATTTTGCAGTGTAAAATAAAAATCAGTTTAATAATTGTTAATGTTGTAGGGTTTATATTTATTTTAACTAACATTTATTTTAAGTTTAAACTATCTTTCCTGTCAAGCCTTACTTTCCCCTGGAACTGCCAATGCCAGAGTATGTAAATTTTAGTAGAACGCGCAAGGATTCAAATTATCAGCGGAAGTATTCTGATTTAAATAGAAAGGAAACGAGTTCGAGGTGTGATATTCTTACTTCACGAGCGCGGAGGTAGTTGGCCAGAAATTGAAGAACCCCGCGTTTCGGCCTGTGTGCTTGCCTGGAAGTAGTGTTAATCGTTCAAGTGATCTTCAAGTTTGCTGAATTAGCAGCGGTATTGTAAAACGCGGTGAGGTTAGTTACTTTTAGAGAGCCTCGTAGTTAGAGTCTTGTCTTTAGTTTCTTTTCAGGTTATTATTTTTATTTGACCGCCGAGTTGGCGCAGTTTGTGAGCGTCAAGAGCACGCACTTGTAATTTATTACGTTGAATAAAAAGGGACTTAAACCCTTAACAAGACTCTGTCTTTTATCCAGTTTTCACAGTCACCTCTTGGTTGCGTGCAAGTTGGAGGCGCGCAACGCTACAATGTAATAATCAATGGTCTGTTGTTCTGTGTCCGTATATCTTGAAATTGTTTCGTTTTTTAAAAAAAAATGTGCGGCAAGAAAAAATATATATAGTTTTGTAATAAGAACTATAAAAATTAGAAAACTGGTAGGGGAAAAAAGGCGTTCATGATAGAACATACAATTACATTACATGGTGTTTCAGTGAATAACAGGAAAAAAAAAAGTAAACAGGTTTTAAGCAAGAGTTTCAAGGTCCACAGGATTAATAATGTGGTGTTAAGACTTACTATAAGCTCACAAACGTTTTTATTTTATTTAAAAAAAGTTTCGGAAGAAGAAGCATAGTTACCTAATATATTAACATCCAGAATGCCGCTATCTTTGCCGTGAGCGTTCTTCACCGTAAGCGTGTATGGTCCACTGTCAGATCTCCTGGTATCAATGATATTGAGTATGGTATGATCGTTGAAGTTCGATAATGTCACTCTGTCTCCCGTCTTAACGGTTTTTCCGTTCAATGTCCATTCTACTTCGGGCGCTGGCTCGCCGATGAACTTGATGTCCGCCGTAAGAGCCAAGCCACTTCGCACTTTCATTTCTCTCATGGGCGTTATTATTTTAGGAGCCACTGAAATGAATAGTTGGATATTAAGTATAAAGAAGCTAGAAACTTCTATTTCCGTTGTTATTTGTAAGCTAAAACGAAAAGTCCATTAAAATATCTGCTGTAAAAATTGGGCTAACTTTTATTTAGGATTCTACTAGCGAGATTTCTAAGAAGCAACAGATGTCTTGGTAAGGAAAACGTAGTTTTCTTAATAGGGTTAGGATTCAAGATGTATTAGAAATGTTATGATGCTAAGAAAAGGTATATCATCATCAGATAGACCAACTGAATATAAAGAAAATTTCAGGAGCGGATGCATTATGGAACGCAAATGAGATGTATTTATCGTATGTAGTTACAAGTTCTGGAATTTCTTCAAGGTTTCGCAACGAATCTTGGAGAAAAATTACTAAATTTGTCAGTTCAAAGAGACCAAATCAGTAATAAATATATCGAAATTTAAAGTTACTCCGTGTTCTTAGATAAAATTCAATTTTTATATTAATATATTAATTATTACAGAGTTAATTTTTTCCATAGAAATATCACGATATTTTAAAATGATTAAACACTCAGTGTGTAAAATTAGACGCTGTACTTTCCATAAGAATATGCGTCTCTTAATTATCTACAGCAGATTGAAAAAGAGAATTAAATCTTTAGAAAAAGTGCGTATCAGGCGAAACATACAAGGACAATTTTTTAACAATACAGGACAATTCTGTAAGACAATTTTTTGAACGCATTCCGTTTTTATCCCAAAGGGGCAATTTTACGTTGGTTCACTGTAAACTACTTTTTTCCTGGAAACCACAATCCTTTCCTGAATGAAGACTAAACAATTATCCCTTATCCTACAGCTTTTACGTTAAAAGGAAATATATTTACTTAGCTTAACTTCAAGTAGTATTTGATAAGAGCCATTTAGTTACCTTTCTTGTGTGACACTAACAGCATATGAAACTCATATTTGAAAGAGCAAGAGTGTTTGCAGGTGCAGGTATAAGTGACGGGGAGATACTAGAATTTCAGCATTGGTCGTGCAGATGTAATCCCACCTCATTAGCTATTTCCACTCCCAGTTTTGATGAACAGCACTACAGAACACGGTTCAAGGATCTCTTACCTCTTTTCTCCTGCCATCAAACCACTCGGCCTTTCGGCTCGCCAACTATTTTGAGCACTCCCATACCACGCAGACATTCCATGATTAAAAGCATTCATGTCTTCTCCTAGATTCTCACGCAAACGCAATAAAACAGTATGAAGGAGCACTACCCATCATATCGATCAGGACAGCAAAAGTGTTTGTAGCGAGGCAAACATTCCTTAGACAGTGTTTAATGACTTCAATGATAATATGCCAAGTCTTGACAGGTGTGTATTTTCGTTCTTGGCATTCATATTCTACAGTGAATAAATTGAAATGATTTTAATATTTTTCCTAACTCGTGAACATTTGCATATGATTAATGTCTACAGATCCTTCAAATTTCGACGATTTTTCCTTCTTAGTCTTACGGTTTCAAATCAAACAGTGTACATTACAGCAAATATGGGATTGAGAAAATTTAAAACTCGGGTATTTTGATGCCTCCCGTGTGGTGACCGGGTGTGAAAGAATAGCCCTAAATATAGCTCATGTATGTTGTAAAAGGCGACTAAAATGGGTACCTAGTATCCGGGGGTATAGCTGGGCGCCTCTGCCTCTAGGGGGGTTATGAATTTGGAGGCCTGGACCTCCAGGTTGGGGGTTGAGCGCAAGGCCAATCCCCTTGCCTCGTAAAAACTTTGATTGAGAAATCTCAAAAGGAATCTTCCGGACTTGGCTATTGCACCGAATAGGGTCAGGTGGGGAAACTTGGAGAGACAGCCTTGGCTGTGGAGTTTATGAAGAAGAAATATCTTGATGTCCATCTTTCGGCTGAAATTTCACAGAGTTTTGCAATAATACTTACAGAATTTAGGCTTGGCTGTCACAAAATCTGATGGATCGCTAGGTTCGCTTTCTCCGGCTTTATTGGTGGCGATAACTCGGAACTCGTAATCGTTTCCTTCTGTTAATCCGGGTACAGAACACTTAGTCTGCGAGGCAGGCACCTCTGCTGCTTTGGTCCACACTGGTGATCCACGCTCCTTCTTCTGAATGATATAACCAGTGAGAGGGGCACCACCTGTATCTTTGGGCGCTGTCCAAGCCAGATCTACTCGATCCTTATCGTAGTCTGTTACTTCTGGTTTGCTAGGTGACTGAGGAGGTTCTGGAAAAAAGAGCAAGAATTTCTCAAGAACTAATGAATGCTGTTTGAAATTTAATGTACTGACTACAGGCATATTCTTCATTTTAAATTATGTAATTATAAAAATCATCTATATATTTTTTGATATTCCTATTACCTAAAAATGCGTATTGAAACATTAACTTATACTCAGTTTCCATTATCTCTGCTGTTTATTAATTTTATTTTTTTTGTTTACTATTTATATTAACGTACTTCGGAACATATTATTACCAGTTACCTATCGATGTAATCTATAAACTGATCCTTTATACAGCAGAGACTTGTCTATCCAATAATAGCAAAGAACATATCTTATTATGCTAGCTTTAGATAATAGTTGACAGACTGCAGTTTTTTACGTTTGACATAGACATGGAATGCCTCTTGCGGTTTATCACCGTTATTAGTACTAATAATATGCCTCTCATAGATTACACGTTTTATGCTGAGTAAAAATGTGTTGAAGTACGTTTTATGCTGTCTAAAAATATGTTTAAGGACCTTTTATGCTGCATAAAAAAATGCTTAAGGATAAATCTATACAATACATCTGATAAAGATGGGACTATTTGACACATCAGTAGGAGGCCTAGAATTGTTTAAATTTATGAAATACTTTCTAAAGCAAACGAGGATAAATAAGAGGAAAAACAATAAGAGGATAAAAAAGATGAAAATGTATCAAATAATTAATCAATCAACGTAATCAAATTTTGAATGAAACCAATGTCTTTCAAACACTGTGTAGAGTTTAATGTGTTTAGTTGTCATCCAAAGTACACTAGTTATCATAAATTAAGGAAAAATCTCAAAAATCACGATTACTGAACAAGTTGCATGTAGAATTTTATGAAACTTACCCACAATATCAACACATAGTAAGGTATCAAATAACATAAAAAGAAATTACCAAACAATTATGGTAGTATAACAATTAGCACATGTATAAAATGAACAAATCGAAGGTGTCAGTTTGCTATAGGAAAAGTACCTTCAATATGGAATATGATCGCCTCTAGAAGCAATATAGCACATACAGCGATGCGTGATGCTTTCAATATGCGGTCTATCATTTCCATAGGAAGCGAGAGCCATTGCTCTTGTAAAGCAGTTGCAAGCGCGGCAAGAGTCTGAGGGGGCGGATTGAGAGCAGCTAGACGTCTCCCTAAAGCATTCCAAACGTGCTCGATAGGATTCAAGTCCGGGGATCGAGCTGGCCACTCCATGCACATAATTGTTTCCTGTTGAAGATAATCATTTACAATGCGAGCCCTGTGGGGTCTTGCGTGGTCGTCCTGTAACAGGAAAGCATCACCTATTGCTCCGGCATATGGGCGCACATAAACATCAAAGATGTCATCTCTATATACCTCAGCATTCACAGTTCCCCTTGAAAAGACATGGAGGTCTGTGCGTCCACCCAAAGAGATGCCACCTCAAACAGACACTGCCTCTTCCGTATGGATCTCTTTCACGGATGTTTGACGGATGATAACGGGTTCCAGATTCTCTCTAAACGCCTACTAACGCTTTCTAGACTAAACCTGGACTCATCCGTAAAGAGAACAGTCCTCCATTGATCAGGCGTCCAGTGGACATGTTGTTGTGCCCACTACAAACGGTCCCTCCTATGGCGTGACGTAAGCGGCACGCAAATGGCTGGCCGCCTCGCATACAGAACACCTTTGTGAAGCCTTCTACGCACAGTTGACGTTGACACCAACCTTCCGGTGGCTGCAGTAAGTGAGTATCTAAGAAGAATCGGAGTAGCAGTTCTATTGCTGCGTGCACATAATGTCAAATATCGGTCATCGGCGCTCGTTGTAGCAACTGGTCGTCCTTGGCGGAACCTCCTAGATGCCGAATGTGTGGTTTGAAATTGCCTCCAATGTCTATGAAACACAGAAGGACTCACATTTAGCGATCTGGTCATTTCTGTTGGACTGTACTGCGTCTACTCTCTCAATGGCTCTCCATCGTAGTTCTGCAGGCAAATGATGCCTGGAGGTCATTGCTATGAATTGGCTATCTCAGATTCTGATGTCGCTATCACAGTGAAATATGTGGGCTTGTTCTCCAACATGGACTTTTATGCTCCTCGCAGATGACGTATTGCGAGTGTAGAGCCACTAATTTGCATATTGCAGTTTTACTCAGCTACTCTTACTTGGCAACATATTCAAATTTTATACGATTTGGCTCATTTTTGAGGGAGTTATCGCTATTTTTGTGATTTTTCCTCAATTTATTCTTAAAGATTTCCGACTTCAGGCTGTATATAAACTCCTACTAGACCTTAAGCGAATTATTGCAAAGTAATGACTGAAACTTGAGAAGGGTGTAAAAAGGCCTTTGTTAAAACTAAATAAGAATTGAAGCCACACTTTGTTCTTACATCTCGCCCAACCACATGTGGAGAGATACCTTAAGAGTAACAGTAAGTAAAATATAAAATTTTAATTCAAATAAACTAGTAGCCTAGGGCTACACATTCAATTTAACGCGAAAATTTGGCTCAAAACTTAACCGGTATGGAATTCAACAATCGGCAATTATAAGGCAAGACCGAGGACAAGAATTCTTATCTAAGGTAAGAACCTATTAACGTAATGTAGAGAGGCAGAACACGCTCTGTCTTACAATCTCAAAACTCTAACCTTAAACACACGCGAATTAAATTCTGGCAGGAAAATGGAAAGGAGAAGTTACAGTACAGATCCAAAACATAAAATAACTAGTTAATTAACATAAAGGAAACTCACAGCTGGTAGACTGCTTATGAAAGCAGAGATATCTGCTGCTCTATGATAATCATAGAGAAAATTACTAAAACTTATTACAAAAGAATTTTAGAAAATAACTAGGAAAAATATGTAAATGCAGATGTAAGCTTCTTTCAAAAGCTCATATTTCGCAAATACTTAATTGATGACATTCCGGAAGAAATACAGTATTTTATAGTAAATCTTATACATTCAGGTAGTCAAGATCCCTACTGAATATGGAAAATGAAAACCATCAAATTTAACAGGGATCTACTTCACAAAAAAGGATGTAATTTTCTTAAAGATTTCAAGCTGTTTTCATATATATTTGTTTGTAGTTCATAAGTTCAGAAGCAAAATTATTCCAATACAAAAATTCATAGAGTTCAAAGAGTGAGACTATCTTATTAACAAAATAAAATTGCCCACCTCCCAGTATGTGGAATGAGATATGAGATCGTCGAGTGCTGAACGACAAATTTCGTTGAATTGGAAACTCCTCAAACATTTTTAAAATTGTAACGAATTGTCATGTATTACATAGTAAAATAATAAATCAATTTGATTAGTTTATTTAAAATTTGACGATCTGTGCGTACAAAACCTATTTTTAATCCTTAAAAACAGTTTATCGACAAGAATCAGAGCATTCGAACTCATGAAGTAAGTACTCACCATAAGCATCTTTGGCAATGATAGCTTCTTTCGTTTCTAGAGGATCAGATTCTCCAACTTCATTAACTGCTTTCACTCTGAACTGATATTTTTTCTTATACAGAAGTTTCGGTACTTTGAATTTTAAGTCGGGCGTAGTTCCAACTTCAGACCAAGCACCACGAGAGGTGTCCATTTTTTCCACTAAATAATGCTTGATAGGAGTACCACCATCATCTTTAGATGGTTTCCAGCTCAGTGTCGCAGAGTCTTTGCATACGTCTGTTACTCCGAGAGGACCTTCGGGAGGTGAAGGCCGGTCTGAAAAAAAAAAAGCAGTAAATAATTAATTGGGAAGATGAGGACAAGTCTCTAAAGGAAGCATTTATTCTATTCAATACTCGAGAAACTGAATGATACTGCAACACCATTGCTTCAAAAGCAATATCACAAATTGCTTGTACAGTTTTATATTATAACAGTTCATATCACGCAGGAAAATCTTTCTGATGCTATAATCTGAAACTTTATGCATCAGTCAAAGAGAGTTTTCAAACTACTTGGATAATAACCTCCGAATATCTGCGGAAATAGATAAATCCGAATATCTTCGGAAATATCTGTAGAGAAATAATAGTGTAGGGTCTCTAATATACTGTAAACGAGTCTGTAATATTCTGTAAATTTCCATATATATAATATGGAAATTTATTTCTGCCTTAAATTATTTAATTACATGTGACGTTGAGAAAAATTTTAATTACTCATTTTCTCTCTTACACTTAATTCAAAGTTAGTTTTCGTTCTGCTGAGCAATCTCTACCTTTAAGCATTTAAAAAGGTAACAACAGAAGGAAAGTGAATGATATAAGTTGATACAGATACGACTGCTTCTACTCAGAAAATTCTGATATAAATTTTAAAAAATTAAAAGGAAACATTTAATATAACCGAGGAGTTGTATAATGGCTACAATTAGAAATTAAATAGGTTAAATTTTTCATAAAAAATTATATTTCAAAGTTTTGTTTGTTATCGGCTAAAACAACTTTCCTTTGTTTGATTTTCTTTATATTTTTTCAGCTATTGTTTTTAGATAAAATATTATTTGTTAAATATTTACCAACTTCCTTTAAAAGTAATACCTTAAAATTTTATAGTGGTTCTTTAAAAATAAAAATTACTTAGTTTTAATTGAAATTCTATGATCCATATTTATTTTAATGTAGCTTTTCTTCAGATTGCATAATGTTTGATAAAATGCATTTGCGCGTTATTAGAGATTTCGTGAGACAAACAAGATTTCATACTTTGGCATATTTAATACTATAAGCGTAGTATGAAAATGCTATAAAATCGAGCTCCAATTTTATTTTAGATTTTCGTTAAGAGTAGAAGAAACACTTCATTTTTATAAACCGCACTGAAGAAAAAAAGGAAATTTACTTACCCATAACAGTGACGTTTGCAGAAGCAGATACTGTGCCTGATGTATTCTGCAAAGTAAGAGTATATTTTCCTGAATCCGACCTTTCCGAATTTAAAATATCCAATGTGGTGATAGTGGCAGTAGAAGTGATTTCAATGCGTTTTGAAACTGCTGGTTTGTTGTTGATGGACCACGTTACCGTAGGCGTGGGTTCACCTTTGATGGGTATGGTGTAGTTGATGGGACGACCTACTCTCACTTTGATATCTTGCAGCAAAGATTTGTCGATGGTTGGTGCCACTAGAAAGAGTTTTACATTATTGGAAAAAGGATGCATTAAAAGCAACAGAAAGAGATACTAAATTTCTATTTTTTTAAAGTTTTCAATCATTAAATATTTCACAAAGAAACTGCTTCAGTCAAATATTGTAAAATGAGCTTAAAAATTAGATGGTATACAATATGTTAAAAAAGCAATGTAATGACATAAATGACAACAATATTATAATTAAATATATAAATTAAAATAATCATAAAATGCAGTGATACTACAGAGAAGCAAAACTACGATTGCTGGGAATTATGCAAGACAAAACATGAAGACAGCTGCAATATCTAAAAATTAAATTAAATTGTAACACTCAGGATCAAAAATTGTGCTACAATTTTTTTAAACGGAAAGGAATTATATATTACTATCATTCAGTGATTAGTTAAAATACAATGTTCAAAATAATTTTATATTAAACCAGTGGCGAATACAGAGTTTTGGTCTGAGGAAGGTCATAGAAATTTTGCAAATTTGTGACATCTCCTAATTTTACTGGAGTGCATGAAGGTGTTTACTTAATTACTATTATAAATTCTCTATAATCATAATTTTATATATGATGTGCTTCAGCAAACTGAAAGAAACTCTAAGTTATATTTTAAAGACCTGACAGTAGATACAGACCTGTAGATACAGAGAATAGTACTAATTTTGTTTATTATTGTTAATTTTGCTTAAATGTTAAAACACTGAAGTGAAAAAGTTAGAAATTGATAGCAAATTATAAGATAATATTTATACAACGACTCTTTTGGCTTAACTTATTGAAAACTTCATCGAGATTATATACTATATTATAAGGAGGACTGTATATATATTATAAGGAAATTTAATGACTGAGATTACTAAGTACCCAGAATTTAAAAAAAATAACTTATTCAAATTCTCAAATCGTGCTCAGTTATAATAAGCGTTATTTTCCACAATAATCTGTAATGGAAATTAAGAAATTTGTCAACATTAATCACTAAGGTCGAAGTGGCAACGCTATCGAATATCAAACCTCATGGCTTATGTAAATCAAAACAATTTAACTTTATACAATTTATTCATGGGACAAAAAGAATCACAAAGAACACTACAACACTTAATTTTATTTATTAAAAGCACAATGGAATAACTAGCTGAAAATTCTTTTCGACCGTGTCAACGCTACAAGTACAAATCGGGAAAGTCTTCGAGCCTGTCAAGCCAGAAAGCAAAGTTGTCACTTAAAAAAAGTGAAAAAAAAAAAAAAAGAGATTAAAAATAATACTAAGAATAAACAGGTGTAACGAATTTTAAAGAAAATCGCGATTACTGGTTTAGCTCTTGGAGAGGCTGCAACCCCATAGAAAACCTTTGGATTCGCTACTGTATGAAGCTCTTTCTTCAAAGGACAAAATATACGAGGCTTCTTAAACAGAGATGTTGATCACTGAAATAATTTTCATCCGGATATTGCTAAAGCTAATGGTTTAGAAAACGAAATTTAAATTATTTCTAATAATTTAAGAGCAAAAGGTGTTTTGAAGTAAAGACAAGCTCAACTGTTGGACGAATCTGCTTGCAGACGCATTTTTGTATTGAATTAAATAAAGATGTATTTTAAAAATGCAAACCAAGTTTGTTCTTTCATGTTTAGCTACCATATGTTTCAAAATATTCTAAGATCTATAAATCGACATCAATCACTTTTAAAATGCAACTTTTAATATGTACAATATTTACAGATCATAGATCAAAACATGGTGGTTCAGTTGACAAATAAATCTATATGCTTTCATAATCGAAAATCGAAATCTTTTAAATAGGAACCGAAGTGTCTCTAATCAAATAGTGTGCGAAGTATCAGACATCCATCTATCGAACTGCCGCTGGAGAGTCTATCGAAATTCAGAAGGCACGTCGCGTCGCGTTAACACGCAACGCTAGCGCCATCTATTAATTAATCAAAATAATTTCCACACCATAATCCTTAATTTTAAACTGACAGGAAGCAACTTACAGTATTTAGGCCTGACGAGGAATGGAGCACATGGTTCACTGGGTTCACTAGGGCCTGCCTTGTTGAGTGCGGTAACTCTAAATTCATACTGATCTCCATCCTTTAGGCCAGGTACAGTTGCTCTTGTGTCATTACCATCCACCCGGGCGGCTTCCTCCCACACAGGGCTATTCTTGGGTTTCTTTTCGATGATGTACCCAGTAATAGGAGCTCCTCCATCTCTTCGTGGAGGATTCCATGCAAGATCTACTTGATCGCTATCCCAGTCCACGACCTGTGGGGCTCCGGGTTTATCTGGCGTGTCTAAAATTATATATAAAAAATATTATGAAGCTAATGCTATTCTACATCGAAATCTTAAATACTGGCAATCTTTTATTGAAGAATTTAAAATAATACTATGAGTGCATTTTTGATAGTGTTTCTATATTTAAGATTCATTAATTCTTACCAAAAGGATTCTTGGCAGTGATGGGCTCTTTACCAAATAGCCATGGTGATTCTCCTTCTTTATTTACAGCCTTGACTCGGAAGTTATACTCGTGACCTTCAATTAGTCTGTCAGCTCTGATGTGTGGATTAATAGTCTCGCCGACCGGCAGCCACTTGCCAGTCTCAGCATCTTTCTTTTCAACGACATAATGTGTGATCTCAGACCCGCCATCATCTTTCGGAGGCTTCCAGGAAAGGGCACAACCATCCTTTGTGACGTTTGTGATGGCCAAAGATTCTGGCGCTGTAGGAGGTGCTGAAATAATCCAAAAGAAATTAGAACAGACTTAATGGTAAAATGAATATAAACTAGTCACAAATATTTATAAATATGCTAGCTGCTTAAAAAGATTTTACCTACCTTTAGTTACCTACTTAAAAATTATTGAATATGCTCATTTTGCATTGCACACGTTCTATATTAGACTGATTTAAGACATTCGAATCTTCATTACGTCTTTCGTTATAAAGTTTTACTCGTTTATTGCTTGCTTGCGTAAATCCGCACAAAAAATATTTATGATTTAATTTTCACGCAATAACTCATCTATTTCACCTGCTGTTTGAAGGGAACTGATTTGTTTTTAATAAAAAATAGTATATCTATTTTATTTTCATTATTTCAGTGTTTTAAAGGTCTTGATACTGAAACCACAGGAAATGCTCAAACAAATTGAAAATTAAAAATAAAAACTACTTGTTAATTGCTAAGATGTAAGCAGTATTGAGAAAGAGTGAAATGTGGGTGCTTTCAAATTAGAATATGCCAACTTTTTTATCTCAGACAGCTAATTTTCCCTTTAACTGCTTGGAAATGAACACAAAGTACCATAAATTATCACTGTTTTAAATGTAATTAAATACGGCTCATAAATGGCTAATTTATTAATCAATAAAAGCTGCATAAATACCTAAAACTGTGACTGTAATCGTGGCTGAATCATTCCCATGCATATTGCGGGCTGATAGTGTCAGCTGGCCGCTGTCTCCCCTTTCAGCATTGCGGACAGACAATTTCGTGCTATAATCGCTATGCACCACAGTCCACCGAGGTAGTGTCTCACAAGCCTTGGTGCCCAGATTCCATTTCTTGGTCGGCGGAGGTTCGCCGCTTACCGGAACATCCAGTTCAAAAGATTTGCCCACCTTTACCCGGATGTTGAAGAGCGCATTTCGGTCGATCTTGGGAGGCACTGTAAAAAGTAAATCATTTCATATTAACTCCAACAAGAACTGCATTAGTGAAGGACCTCAGTAATTTTTGACGCAAGCTTGATAAATAAACTTCCGCATTATCAAAGACTTTGGGGAGCGTTCACTGTAGAATAAACTTGAGCGTTCGTCAGCAAATTTACTATGCGTTCCGAATTCTAACATTCTGTTGTTTATTTCCGACTCCTGTTGTTGTTGATAATTAAAAATTTAACGATATCATAGTTTACAAACAAAAATCAAAATAAAATGTTAAACCTTTTGAAATTTATCCTTTAAACGCGGAACAAGTATTAAGTAGGGACGTCTATTTTATAATCCGAATGTGACATCATCTGTTTAGATGTGATAGGTCATTTTATATGGTAAAATATGCGTTTGAATTATTTTTTTATAAACAAAACAGTTTAACAGATAGATTCGTTCTAATTATTAATACATTATAGTTAAAGAGTTTGGGCATTTGATAACTTTGTTTTCATGTTGAAATGTAAAAATATTCAAGTTATAAAATATAACAGAAAACAATATCAGTAATCGGTTTCTTTGTATAATTTTAATGAAAGATTTAGCTATAGATATGCTTTCTGAAGGGTAAAGGAGAAGTCTTTTGAACAAAGGTAACAAACTGCATCTTTTGTGACCACGGGTTTCAAAAGGAAAGATCGCATTTACATGAACGAAATGCAATAGTGACTTCTGAAATGTTTTAGATTCATATTCTGGCCTGTCGTGGAATCCTCAGTATTATAAGCATTTTTCAACCTGAATTTATGCATGTTCTGAGTAAAACGTAGAAATTCAGATAAATAGATTACGAGAGGGGCAAAAATCCTCAATTAATTTTTTAAAATTATAGTTCATCAAATATTATTAAAAAATTTAAGATATTATCAAGTATTACGATTTCAACTAAAAATGTAAATCTTTTATAACATAATTAAGTAAAGCATGGATAATATTTTAATATCAGCATGTTAAGTACACTGAATACATAGTTCAAAAGCTAGCCGAAAATTATTCTTACACTTCTTTGGCTTTGCAGTATGTGGTGCAGTTGGATCACTAGGTTCACTTGTCCCAGCCTTATTTACAGCACGAACTCTGAATTCATACTGATTGCCTTCCACCAGATCAGGAATAGTAGCTCGTTCTTCATCACCAGGCACTTCCTGGATTGGAACCCATTCAGGACTATAATGATTTAAAAGCGGAATTAAATTTTAAAGTAATACACATCAGTGTTATCAGAATCATACATGATGCAAAATAATTGCTGTAGATTTATTTAGAAGTTTTGTAGTGTTGGAAGCAATGCCATTTTTATTTATTTATTTTTATTTATTTTGAAAGTAAACTTTATTTATTTATTTTGAAAGTTAATTAATAACAGTGAGTCATTTAGTGGAAGCTGCGTTCTGATTAATCTAAATCGTAATCTTCTAAGATCTTTCATTATCTGGTATTTTCAGCCTATCAGAAGAGCCACTGTAGAATCATTAGTTTATTTTTTATTTTGAAACAGAAGACATGAAAAATTAGCACTCGAACCTGGATCTCTCGAATACGCGTCGAGTGTGCCATCGTTGCACCACGAAGGCATGCTGGAAGGAGGGCGAAAATACCTTATAAAACTAAGGTGCTAATGAAGATAATATGCGCAACCGAATAATTTCAATTATTGGACTTAATGTCCTGGATGGCATTCGAACTCTGAATCTTTTACCTGTGCTAGTTGAGCGTATTACTAACCATTTACACAACAGCACCGTGTGAACGGGAATGTCTAATTTGATTATGGCAAAGCGCGCAGGGGTTCTCTGCGTTTGTTTAGCCATTTTATGCATAGGGAAAACCATGAAAACACTCCTGTCCTAGCATTTGAACCTGATAGTTCGTTGGGTCGAACAACCACTGTTAATCGGTCTCATCCGCGTGGCCCGTGGGGATGCGTAGGAATGAGATAATAGTACCACGATCTGATTTTACATGCTATGCATTTTGTGACTAGTGAACCATTTGTTTCCTTAACTTTTGGGAAACAGTTGAAAATGGGTCTTCAGATATGAAGCACGATTACAGATATGACACGTAAACAAATATTTACGCTATAGAACATACTTGTATTTGTCTTTCTTTTCAATGATGTACCCAGTCAAAGGAGCACCTCCATCATTTTTCGGCTTTTTCCACTTCATTGTGACAAAGTCTTTGTCATAGTCAACTATTTCCGGCTGACCAGGAGCAGAAGGAGGATCTAAAAAGAGCAAAAGTTTCATTTTGGAATATTGCAAAACATCAAAAATGAATAAATAAATCTCAAACTTTATGTTTTATTTATATAACTCAAAGATTTTAGGCAAATATTATAAATTAAAAAATTTTGAAAATTTGTAACAAACAAATTTTCAAACAGCGCTTTTTTAAAATTAACTAGTGTAATTAACCATAAAACTATATAACATTCTACCTATCATTTTGAGGTTAGACCTGTCGGAGGAACTTTGCTATCCTTCCCTTCAGTTTTGACTTTAATGTTTTCGCAATTGCAAATCAATCAAAAAGATACTTTCTTTTGAATTTGGATCTTAAATTATGGCTAGAAGCATTGAATGTAATGCATAGTCTAATACGTTAAGCACAATCGTCTTATTTTTAATTTGATATTACCTTTTGAACAACAGATGCAGAAATGTATTAAATGAAAACTTATTTCTTCTCATTTCTTCTTATTTCTACTTCTACATAGTATTCAGAAAACGTCACTAAAGCAATTGCGCATATTAAACCAAATGCTTAATTTATATCCTATTAATACTTAGTCACATTACGTACCATAAGGATTCTTCGCAAGAATGGGCTTAGAAGCATGCAAGGGCTCCGATTCTCCCAGCCTGTTTACAGCCTTCACCCTGAAATTATACTGTTTACCTGGCTGAAGACCTTTTACCTGAAGAAAAAAAGAGAGAAAGAAGACAGAGTGTGATTAAAAATCTCATCATGTTCGAAACTTAAATTATCACAAAATAATAAACGTACTTTTAGGTTCGTGTCTGGGCCTATCGTCTCACCCGCAGGAACCCATTGTCCAGTGTTGGGATCAAGTTTCTCAACTTCGTAATGGTCGATGGGAGCTCCTCCATCGTCCGAAGGTGGGAACCATTTGAGGTTACAACCCTCAGCATGCACATCTTCGACCTTCAATGGTCCATTCGGAGGAGATGGATGATCTGAAAAGAATATCCGTTTTTCACTGCGCATGTGATTTACATCATAATGACAATTTTCCATATTAACGAATGTGTCTTAAGATGCATGGGTTTTAATATATTTTTTATTATTTTATTGGGCTTCGGTAATACTTCATAGGTTTAAATAGAATGAAATAAATGTGTTCCACCGATTTTAATGATATTCTGCTGCATAACAGCTTCTTCTGAAACGAACTGAAACGATACAGTCTATTAACATTCAAGTGGATACTGAGAGACACAGAGTATCATCTAGTCGGAAGCCAAGAGGATTCTGGGTTTGTGTTCATTCAGAGTTGCATAATTTATGTGATCGGTTCATCAAATCAATATTTTATTTATTATCCTCAAGCGAAATGAGTACGAGTAATGTTTAATGCTGGATGTGATCACCTTTATCACCCAAAAAAGCGATCACATCAGTGACGACTAAAATAGCCCATATTATATCGAATGCTTATCAAAACAAGTAAGTAAGTAAATAATGACATAGGAAAGGTCTTTTGGAAGATGCTGATACTAAGACATAACTCAAACCCTTTGTGCTTTATTAATATTTACTCAACCAAAATTATCTTTGTTATTGCAGCGCCATGGATGATATGGATCATTATATTTAATTTCGAGACCCCAGTAATAAGCCTTCGTTTTAACTCCAGCAAAAACATGCATGTCACACTGGTGACGAAAGTTCATTATTACTGATTTGTCCCTTAGTCGGGCGATTGAAGAATTTATTTATGGACAATGAAAATGTGGAGAAAAGCATGTGCATCATATAAAATATGACAATAAAGTTTGATGAATGCGTTACAGGCTACACAAGCATGGTAGTTCTGTTTCAAGCTCGGTAAACTGTGGTAGAAAGACATGGTATGATCAATCAGGATTACGGAAATAAAGTTTCATCTTATAAGTGCGTCTATGAATGTTTAAATGTTTTCAAGATTGATGGAATTCCGTTAAAGACATTGCTCGAAGAGGTAAGCCTACGGCTTCTCGTAGTTAGTGACAAAAACTTGAAAAAAGGTGAAGATGTTAGTCAGAAAGAGCAAAAATGAATGTTAACACTTAGAAGAATATTCTGGCAGATTTAATGCAAAAGATCTGTCGTGCACATTCAGAAGCACTCAAGCAGGCTCTTGTTTCTTTCTCCATGATAATTCCTGACCACATTTGACCTTCGCCTGTAAAAGAGCTGTAAATCTCGATCTCACTATCTGAACTTGCTTCAGCAGGACGACGGGCTTCAAAGGAATATAAAACGATTTCCTGATTTAGATAAGAGATTTTGTTGTTGATATTCACTGATCTTTATTACCATGCCCTGTAGATTCGTAGATACATACATAGCAACGGGTTTGTAATGAGAACATCAAAAGAATCAAAAGAATTGATTTAACAATATACAACAAAACTTAATTGCAAATTACTAATCTAAACTATTAAAGGCTTATAGAATCACAATGAATAATTCTTACACAAGCGCAATTTTGCATCCAACAGGTAAAAATCTTTACTGTTAATAGTAAGACTTCTTGCATAACTGTTTTATTATATAGCTCTTCTCTGTCTCAAACTTCGGCCTATAATAAGCGCATTTACTATTTTTACATAACAAACTTAATCATCTTAATACAAGCATTGAAAAAATTCTGCGATTATAAAGAGACTGCTGAAATAAGTTTTCATATGGCTTTCTTTACAGATGGCAGCAAGATGAACAACAAGGTTGGCCTTGCATTTGTTCTTTTTGAAGGCCATTCCGAGGTTTGTTTTCTTAGACACCATATACGGAATGAATATACAGATTTTCAAGCAGAACTTCTGTGCATTTATCTTGCCGTCAAATGGATCCAGGATCATGTGACAACATCCTCAAAGTACCTTATTTGTTCTGATTCTCTTTCTTCTCTTCAACTTTTGAACAGTATTACCAGCTGCGATAAATTAGTTATCGAAACCCTAGTAACTGTTAGTTCACTTAGAATTAGAGGTATTGATATCTGCTTTGCTAATGTGCGTGCTCATCATGGTTAAATGAAAGAGCTGATTTCTTAGCTAAAGATGCCTTAAACTTAGCCATTGATATCAACATTAGCATTCCAAAGAGTTATTGGAAGGCCTTTCATTATAAAAAGCTTTTAGCTATGGGAATGAGGAATACATTTCATCTTGTAATGCTGAAGTCACCAAAAAGTTCCTTCCTTCTATTTACCATAGACTGAATTCCGAGTCTTTCCTCTCGTTAAATTTTAAAGTGTCTCAGTTTTTATCTGGTCACGGTAAATTTGCAAGTTATCTGTTTCGTTTTAATCTACGATCAAACAATTTATCTGAATGTTCAAAAAGAGTTCCTCAGGATGTGGAACATTTGATTTTCTCGTGCCCTACATTTGATGGCCCTAGATTATGCTTACAGAACGATTTGAAAATGTTCGGAGTGACTTGGCCAGTGAACTTATCTGTTTTCGTGAAGTCCAGACTGTTGTTCTCTGCTTTTGTTCGCTTTATTTATGCATGTAATTTTTAATGTTTATTTATACATGTAACCTTTAATGTTCTAGTTAACTTACTTCTGTAAGCCCCGTGTTGTACATATATGATGCACCGGGAGTCTGTATGTTCTCAAAGGAAAAAAAAAAAGGCACATTTTATTGATTAATAGTTTTGTTATTCCACGGCTTCTCTCTTTCAAAAAGCAGATATCGTTTGGACTCCTTGAATTTAAGTTAGAAGTTCTTTTAACTGATAAAGCACAAAAGCAAAATTAACAATAACGAAATCTGAAAAAATAAAATAATTAATTTTTTACATAACATTCGCACTAATATTGAAAACATATTTACCGAGAACAACGACTTCAACATCTGCTTCGTCTTTTCCGTGCTCGTTGCTGGCTATGACAGTGTATTTGCCACTGTCAGCTCGTCGCGCCTGCCTAACATTCAACTTAGTGTTGTAAGGAATATCTTCAATCTTCACTTTATCCGAGCTGAGAAACTTCTTTCCATCGTGTAGCCAAGCGGTAGTTGGAGCAGGTTCGCCAGTCACATTCACATCGAAATGGAAGGACTGGCCTGCTTTCACTCGTACCTTGTTTAGATTGGTGCGATCGATTTTTGGTGGTACTATGATAAAAATATACAATTATTAAAATACTTCATAAGTTTTAACAGTTAATTGCTTTAAACAGTATTCGTAATTTACACGAGATTTCCAGTATTCCTAGACAAGAAACAAAATTTTTCTGATAAAAAATTCTCAGCTTAAAATTTAAAATATTAATTTATATTTTGAACTAACAAAAGTAAAAGTATGCAACTGCACTAGTAGAAATAAACTGTGAAAATTTAAAAAAAAATGGCGACAACAATAATTAGCACGACAGCTACGTTTTAAACTTTAAGAGATAAGATTTATGCGATACAGATTTAAACTTAATCAGTCCCACAGATATTTAAAAAATTGTTGCAATTTTTTAAATATTTTGAGCAGAGAGCATTTATATAATGAGTTAAATCATATTATTAATTGATAAAATCTTAAGCAGATATACCATAATAAAGAAATAAGCTAGGTTTATTTGCTTTTGAAAAATCTTATACGGTGCAGAAAGAAAAAATTCACAGGGCAATTTAAACTTGTAAAATTTATAGTTCTAATGCATTTTTTTATATTTCTGGAAGTCGTGCACATTTACCATAATAAATGCAAAGCCAGAGAATCACAAATCTAAACACCAAATTATATTACTACTGGTCGGAATGAGCTACTAGCGACAATAAATATAAACATTATTTCGTCTGTATTCTCAGTTTAACTCTTCTTTCTTTCTATAAGAATAAAATTAAAGACATGAATTCGTTAAATATTTTGGATTTCAGCTAGCCCAAAAATTAACCTTCATAGAACATCTCAAGGATATAAAGATTCGCACCTACCAAACTGTATATCTATTTGTATTGTAGAATTCCATATGTACATGTTACCGACAAAGTATGAAACGTCAGCATTCTATAGAAACTAGGAATTTTATAGAATGCAGACCTTTTTAGGCAAAGTATTAAATATGGGAATTATTACATACTTTTCCTAGGCACTGTATAAAATACCTAGGTATTCTATAGAATGACAAATTCTCTTTAGGCAAAATATGAAAAACATATCAAGATATGGCTATTATTTAAAAAGACGTTCATTTTCCAAATATTATTTTGAAAGGATAATGAGAGTTTCATTAAAAATGTTTACTCAAAATACACAAGTAAAGTGTACATACATACAGAAACAAAATTTAGGCCTTCCTTATTAAGGAAAACAAAGTTTCCATATAAAAAATAAGAACTTAAAATTAACCTATTTAATGCAACGTGGTAAACTTGAATAACATTTTGAATTCACTTCATTATCTTTTTCACATAAAGATATTTAATATTTCGGCACTTTGTTTTACACATGCACTTAACGAATCCTTGGCTACTTCCACGGGACTGAGCAATTACAACTAACCAGAGAGGAATATCGTTGTCACGAATACCTTCAATTCTAAGCAAGTTCTTAGAACATAAAATGGACTATGATACCGTGGATAGTTGTTTTAAAATTCTTTCAGAAGTTTCAAGTCTCTAAAATGTATCATATCATATATTTTCCCTAGGCATTCCCTAGGCATAATATGGAGATGTACTTCATATTTTGCCGGTTTGCCATTTGGCATTCTACAGAATACCTAGGCAGTGTTTGATATGTTTAATCGCTTCATACATTACCGGCCAAATTTCGACATTCTATAAAATGCCTAGGTATTATATAGACTTAATACTTATAGCTGGATTTCATATTTTGCCAGTAACATATATAACCAACTTGTATAACGGCATATGTATATCTACTTATACAAAAGTGTAACAACTCCAGTGCAACAAAGTATCAACAAAATCTAATACTGTAATGAGTACACTCAGCAGTTTGTGTTATGTAACTTTGCCTAATTTAATATTAATATCTACTTATGTTTAAACGCAAGAAGACATATATATATATATATATAACTGCACTGTTTCTGAGGAGAAAGAGCATACAGTCGATTCAAATCTTTCGATCAAAAATTTTATCTTCTTTATTCCTTTTGTCCTTTGGGAGTAGCCACACGCCTTATCCAGCTAAGCAACAATCTAATAACAACCATCCCCACCGAACCTCATGAGACTTCAAAGGGGGGGGGGTTCAAACTCTAGCTGGTTAGTGTACTGGGACAATACCTGTTAGATTCTGTAATGAGGTCTCTGGAGCCCATGCAATTTTACCTTTTACCAGTATGAAGGATACTACTCACAGCTCATGCAAACTCTTTTTATTCTATTCTTATACTTAATACTTCAGAGGAATAAGAGCTAACCTGAATCAAAAGCAGTCGACCTTTGGTTATTATATGGAAATAAAAATAGCTTTTAGAAATAATTTAAAATTTCACAGCCGATAGTTGGAAAGTGATATTTAGCCGAAAATAATTAGCTGGAAAATGATAGAAAAACTTTTTTTGAAAAAGAATTTGGATAACAAAAAGAAAATCTTAAACGCTTATGAAAGCGCTTACCTTGTAAACATCGCAAACTATACCAAGTTACATAATACTTCTCTACTATAATAGTAAAACAATCACTAATTCCACTGCATTTGCTTTCTACAAGCTTCATTAAAATTAGTGTAACACATAAAATTAAGGTGACTTCTTGATTTCTAATATCCTTTTATTACCTCATTTTTACACTCATAACTACAGTGTAAGTTACACGCACAACTGTAGTTTAAGTTGCATGCATAACTGCAGTACAGTAACTACGGTCTATATATTATCAAAGTATCTTTGCTTGTATAACGACAAACGATACTCAGGAACATTCATTTCAGACTTAATGAAATTTTCATCTCATTAAAGTTTAATGTTTAACAAGTGACGCTTGGGATAGGAAAAACAAGGAAACAAACTCATAAAAGGCAGTCTGTGAGAGCAAAAGGAATTTGTATTTTAATATGCACACTTACCTTTTCGAGACTTGGCTATGACTGGATCTGTTGGTGCACTGGGTTCGCCCGGCCCTGCTTTATTCACGGCCCGCACTCTGAATTCATATGGCTGTCCCTGGATGAGGTTTGGAACGGTGGCAGTCGTCTCCTCAGCTGGCACTTCCACTGCCTTCTCCCAGTCTCCCCACTTATCCTTCTTTTCTACAATATATCCTGTTATTGGAGATCCACCGTCAGATGCTGGTGGAGTCCATTTTAAGTCCACGTGGTCTTTATCCCAGTCTGTTACCTCTGGTTTATTCGGTTTCCCAGGCTCATCTGGAAGCAAACGGAATCACTGTTACAGCGTACACGTTTAACACACGGGTTTTTCTGCTATACTTCAATTGGCAAATAGTTTAATTGTATCATAAAGTTTCAATATTTTATTTTAGCTTTAACGAGAGTTGGCTTCATGTTATGCTTTCCTTAATACCTCGTTTCGTCGCTCATTCTCTTTGTTGATGTTTGTCGGTCTTATGATGCAGATTTTATAGCAAGCAGCGTAGGTCAAAATGAGAAGAGAAAAGTAACCAGGATTAGATTCGTTTAGAATATTGGCTGTTGTCGCCGATATTGCTTACCTATAGAGAGTGAGAGAGAAATATTGTTCAAAGAAGACGTGAATGTCTAAGGTGGTCAGCCTCTTGGTAATCACGGTCTGCTAGTTAAACGGTGACAAATGAAGCCTTATGCTAAATTTTGCGTTTTGCGTTGTATCTTGAATCCACGTTAAGGATTAAAGAAAGATATATCATACCAATACATAGAGGTAACGTTTAATGCTGATCAGTAATTTAGTAGTTATTCAGTAGTTACTACCAGTTACTGTTATTTAGGTTAGGTACTTAGTTATTATAAAGTATAAAAGGAGATCAATAATTAAAGGTGATAGCAAATTGAAATAGGACGGCAAGGAGGAACGTATAGTAACTTGTTCACTTTAGGAATGTCAACACTTCATGCGATCACACTTGGATTCTTAAAGAGGTTTTACACATTTATATTGAAGAAAATCTTTTATAAATCGAAATTTGAGTATAATTTGAACTTTATACCTTAAATTTTATTCCTAATATTGGAGCTAGAGTTGAAAGAAATGAAGATAGAAATCTTTCTGAGAGTGTGGCATTTCGCTTGTAAGAACAATGATAACTATTTTCAAACAAAGCAATTTTCCGCTTTATACGAAAGGAAGAAGTGAGTTCAATAAACAGATTTTTCTTATAAGAATTCCTAAAAGTTTCGAAGTGAGTACTGAATTTATTGCATGAAAATGTTCTCATATAGATATTGTAAATAACATCAAAAGAACATACTTGTAGCTTTAACAATAAAAAGACGCTGCACTAGACTACAGAAAAGAAGCGAGGAATCACTAAAGAAAAAAAAACTTTTTGAAACATTTTAAAGCAAATTTAATACTATAATTATGCATTAAATGATGACTGATTTTTGTTCCATCGGTCATCGTTCTATTATTAATCCACATGTGAAACACCATTTACCTTAAAATGTAACTACAAAAGTACATATTTTACTATTATAGGTATTATGTGTGTAATAAAGGCTGTGGATATCAGGCGTATTATGAATGAGATACTACGAAAATACTGTGAATATGAAATTCAGTAAGCATAAAAATGGTCTTTGGTTTCTAAATTATTTAATTTTTTAGACCCATGCATTTTTTAATACAAAATATTTGCGTCTTTCTATTTTAATCGAGTTTTCAGTTTCCAAAGATGGCATCAGTCTGCATTACGTCGGATAATCGGATTTCTATTGCTTTAACGGAAGCCATCACCTTTACACATTCAAAAAATCGAATTTTATTTTTTCGCATATTTAGAAACTGCAAACATTTCTGAGTCTGTTAAAACAAACGACGTTACGATATTCGAGTTAGAACCTTAAAAATTGTGAAATAAAGGAAACGATTCTGAGGTAAATATTGACAGATAGGGCATTTAAATCATCATCTGACGTTTGTTTACAATTGTACGCCCAGCTGCTTACGAATGTTCACTCGTAGATTGCTTTAATTTTTACTGTTAAGATCGTGTATTTTCGTAAAACTGAATGTGTCTGACACATTAAAAAAAGAATGGCCACTAAATTACGAAAGAGAAAATAAGAAATCAAGGGAAGAAACTTAGTGACAGTAAAACTCTTAGTGGAAAAGGTCTCCTTACAGATGATACTATAAATCAATTGACAATTTATTATGGAAATGCTGTTAGAAAACATTTCAATTCTGTAAAAGATATGCAAAAAGCAGCATGGGCAATATTTTACCACAAATGTTCAACAGATGTGGAACGTACTCACAATTTTTCCCCAACAGGGAAGGGGTCGTGGTTCATGGTGGTCAAAGAGAGAGTGCGAGTAGAAATCTGAAATCGTACAAACATAAAAATTCAATTCCACCATCTGTAATGGATGCTATCAAAGATATATTTAAAGCTATTAGCATGCCATTATTACTAAAAAAGTGGTTAGGAGGATATCCAAATGAATCGTTGAATGCTTTGATTTGGAAACCGTATCTTAAAAATTCCAGGTGTGATTATAATATTGTTAAGACAGCAATGAATGACGCAGTTATTATATACAACAATGGTCAAGCTAAGCAATTACATACTATGAATGAACTTGGATACCGAATTGGTGATAAATACAGTCAAGTTTGCAGCAGGCACTGATCAACATCATATTCAGTCAGCCGAAATAAGGCAGAGATGTCTAACATTAGATGCTCACAGAGCAAGAAAAAGAGCCAAACCTGTTGCAATAACAGCTAATTGAAGAACAGGAGGGTATGGTGTATGCAGCTGGGCAGTTTTAAACTGTTTAGTGTTATTTGAGAGAAAATATATTGAAAATTTTGAAACTTTTAACTTTAAAACCATTTTTCTCAAAATAGTGATTTTCATACTTGCGCGCACTGTTTAAAAAAATCTATCATAGTTATTGATTTAAAAATTTCAGGGTACGTACATGATGATATTGCTGAAAAAATGCACCTACCTTTTCTTTCGAAAAATTATATTTTTAGTATTTATATAACTTTACTTAAAAAATTTTTAACGTTTTTTTTTTTTTTTTTTTTTTTTTTTTTTTTTTTTTTTTTTTAAGATCTTATTCTAATGGTGTTAATATTCTTTTATATTTTAAAATTTAAATAGGTGAAGAATCATACTTAATGATGTTCCATCACAAAATTGTAAAAATTATTACTGTAACTAAATTTGTATTACTGTCAGTTTGCGCGCAGTGCTTTAAAACAAATTTTAAATTTTCGAAAAATACAGTTTGTTTTTTTCTTTGTAAAATAAATTTACTGAAAATTCCATATATCTATGATCATAACAATTTGACTTATTAAAACTCGAAAATCAGCCAAAATTCTCACTTTTTGTGTTGCGCAAAAGTGATGATTTCCCTTAAATGCTACTGCAATTTATGTTTGCTGTTGATATTCAACAGATAAAATAAATTATTTCAAATTAACGATCGGATATTTGTTGATACACTGCTTACGTAAAAGTTTAGACATCTAATTGTATTTTTCTTACTAAGACTTGAACCTCTTTCGAACAAATTGTTCTGTATTATTTTAGTCCAAAAAGTACTATTACAAGATTATACTTCAACCTGTCTTAATTTCAGAAATTCGCAAAGCTTATTCTTTCCGATTTTCGCAATCCTTTCAAAACAGTTTGATCTGCCTGTTAAAAAAAAATTACATAAAAATTTAAAGAAACTGAAGTACTGCGCTAGACAAAGATTATAGACATCATAAATTTATTCAGTCCATTTCATATTTATCGGAATGGTAGATGCATTTACATGCTAAATTCCCCTCTTTAATGTTTTTAATGATGTTTTCAGAGCGTAATGTGAAAAGACATCACATGACAAACACAAAATTTTGCTTACCAAATGGATTCTTGGCTGTAATAGGCTTCGTAGTTTCCAGAGGTTCAGATTCTCCTTCTTTGTTTATGGCGCGAACGCGGAATTTATAATCTTTGCCCGGAGTTAGACCTGTCACTTCCATTCCTAAAAACCAAAACAAAACTTCATCAGAGGGCATTATTATTATTACAGGCAAGTAGCGAAGTTGAAAATTATTGCATAACAAATTACGATTCATTTAAACAAAGTTTCTAGGCAAATTAAAATTTCTGACATTATCATTAGCATAATAATGTAAAACTACTCTGTCTCGTTTGCACTGTAGTTACAATATGTTCAGCTGCAGAGTGATGATGCAACGCTATTATTAATATAGTACTTCCTTGTTAAAGTCGCCATCACATGAGCCTTTATTTGAAATTTTTATAATACAGATTGCGTGATTAAGTTTGTCAATTCTGGCGAATAAGCTCTGTGTACGTTTTAAAATTGTTGTATTACGGCAAAGAACAAGAAGGCCATCTGCCTAAGGAAAGGAGTGCCTTTGTGAAGGACTCTTTAAGGGAGACTGCCACATATTTACGTCCTACATGAGGAAAACTGATATGTAGCCGAACTGTTAGCGAAGATTTGAATAATCGAATTACCAGAGTTCAGCAATATTACAGCTCGGCTATTGGTAGGCGGTCGCTTTAAAATGAAAGTACCGTTTTTAATTTTACTTATTTGTGACAATATTTGCGTTAAAACGTTTTAGGTATTTTAGATATTTTAGGTTTTAGGCATTTAGGTCAGTAAAGCTGCCAAAATTAATTTTCTCAAATATCATAAAAAATTATTGATTGATTCAATGAAAATTTTATGATGATCGTGAAAGCTTCGTATGTCTGTCAGAAGGTTTTCCAAGTATAAGCTCTAATTCCTAATAGTCTCAGAACTAGCCAATGATTATGTGAAGGAAAACTGGAATTTTTTAATCCTGGCAAGATAAAGATAAGCCTTTGCTTAGTTATATACACCGGAAGAAAATAATCCTTCGTAGGGTGAGATAAAAATAAATTGAATACATTTTTGCAGCAATGCTGCACTCGGAATCTAAATCATACATGTGTAAATATATTTGTCAAAAATTTTATAATTGACAAAAAAACATTTTATACAAGTCAGTAAGGTTTATTGCTTATTTTATAATTAAAGTATCTTCAAAAGTAAAACGCTTTTATCTTACATTTTTGTTTACTAGCTAAAGAAAAACACACCGATTTTCACCGGTAAATTTTACGGTATTAGTGATTACGTGCAAAATACTAAAAAAGAAGGTTTTTTTTAATTGATAATTATATCTAAAACTAAGGAAACAAAAACTTAGTTTGGCATAAATTTTGAACAGAATTCAAAAAATTTAAACCAAACTAAATTTGTTTTTGACTTAATTTTAAATTTTACACTGGCTTGTTATTCTTCCAATTTGATCATTAAGTATATCGTAAATTATATTTTAATTAAACGCTATTGCAAATATATTTTTTTAATTTTGTGCTGTTGCAAACATAAACTTTATGCTAGTATATTTTACATATTACTTAATTTCGAGATAAAAAATTTACAGAAATATTTGGGTTTCTACACCATTAACATTTAAAGAAGTAAATTGTTACCTTATATTGTGCAAAATGACACATACACAACAAAATAAAGTAAATGCAGAGAACTATCTTGCCTCAAGTTGAGAAATTAAATTTGGGGAGGTAAATGTTTCCAAAGGTTAATACTTGATAGATTTTAGTTGAATGAATCACATTTGGAAATTTTGTTAAATTCCTGAAATTGCATGAGAAATACCTTATGGATATAAAAATCTAACATGCACTTGATTCTTCAGAAGTCTAAACTGGAAAAAACATAATAGCCCTAAACTTGATTCTAGATTTATAAGCATACCTGGTTCTTTTGTTTCTCCGACCGGTAGCCATGCTCCAGTATCCGGATCCATCTTCTCCACCTCATACCCTTTCAAGGGGATGCCACCGTCATCTTTGGGCTTCTTCCATTTCAATTTACAGCCATCCTTACGTACATCAGATACTTCCAATGGCCCTTCTGGTTTTGATGGTGAGTCTGTGAAAATTTTAAAACATTTAATAGAAAGTCTATAAAAAGCAACTACATCAGGAGGGAGGGGGAGAAAATGTTATGCAATTTCCATCTCTTCATACAGATTCTGAATTTTCCCTAATGTTTTCAGAATCATGCTAATACAAAGATATAATTATATTTAATTATTATATATTTAATATTATTATATATTTAATATGTTTTAGTTTTGAAATAACATTTCTGAATGTTATGGTATGTCTTTGCACAGAGTTCTTTAATAGCGTCCCTTTCTTGGGAAGCTTCTACTACAAATGCCAGCCATTCTTTAAGCTGGCTTGCTTAAAGAATCATCAAAGTTTGCTTAAAGAAAGAAGGTTTACTTAAGTCATCAAAGTAGGTAGAGTTTAAAAATCCTTCTGGAAAATCTTTTGGGATGAAGTCTGATAATAGCTTTAACAGCTGTGGCCTTTGCTGACATAAACATCTACGGAAAGATTTTTGATAAAGAAACTCACATACATTACACGAAATGTAGGAGAAATTCTTACTAAGAAAGAGGGAAGTCTTCAAATTCATGACTATTGTTGGGCTATTTTGAAAATCTGTTGCATTTTTATTTTTTCATAACTTTACAGCAAACTAATAAAATAGTTTCGCAGAAATGTCTTTTGTTCGGTTAAAAATCAAACAGCAATATTTTTCTCTGAGCCTCTAAATTTATAATCCTTTAAAATAAGTATTCAACGATTTCCTAGAGTATAAGCAACTCTTTATCTATCTTATTTATAAGAACTCTTTATATTCTAGCCTCAATGGGGATGACTTTGCCTTACAGTGGATCCCGGTTCACGCTGGAATTACTGGCAATGAATGGGCTGATGAACTAGCTGAAAGAGGTACTGAAAGTTTGCAATCAGATAATAATGGGATGCCACTTACATCAATGAAAAGAATAGTAAAAAATGCCCTGCGGAAAACTTTTGAGGCTAAATTACTTTAAGAAATTGAGGGATTCGACTTGTAATATTCCGGACTCTCTCAGGTCCATCGCAGTTGCGACTTTTCGTGTGAAAACCGGACATGATTGGCTCGTTAAATATCTGTACCGCATTGGTATATATGACAGTATTTTGTGCAACCAAGAATTTTTAGTTGGACAGAGATCATTTGCTAATATGTTCGTCGTTGATGGAAGAAAACCTATACAGTCGATATTGGCGGGCTAGAGTGTTGATGCAGTTGGCATGCAAAGACTAATTTATTATTATTATTAAAATTAATGCTTAATGTAGTCATTATTCCATTTTCTAGTTTTGATGTAGTTATTATTCTTATAATGAGGTTAATTACCGTTTTTTTTTTTTTTTTTTTTTTAATTTTTTCACGCTCCAATCTCATGCATCTTTGATGCATGCGGGTTATATATGAGAACTTCCCGTTTCTCTTGGAAACGAAACCCAGTGTCGGCCACAAAGGCCGGTGAAAGAATCAAGAAGAGACTCGTTAAGGACACTCTTCTTGGGGGGGGGGGGGCATCCATTACTGATCCGGTAAGAGGAATAAAAACGAGGCTTTTGTTTAAGAAATGCCTAGCGAGTAAGACGCATCACGCGTCGGAAAAACTGTTCTTTTTTCTATTCTGTAATAATGCTGTAATGTTATTTTTTAATTAACCACGAAAGCGTAAATTAAGTTTTAAAATAAATATAAAAAAAGGCAATTGGTCTAAGTTGTCTAACGGAAATTTGGCGACGTTACGTTGCCAATGATGCATAAAGTGACTTTGCAATAAAAAAAAAGATTATGACTAAGAGCTTCCTAATACTATTTCATTTGCTAAATATTTCGTTAAAAAAAGTGCTTCTCATTTTATTAAAGGAGTCGAGAATAACTACGCATATCATGATCAGTTTCATTACTTTAATTAAATATTTAAAAAAGTATACCTCTCGGAGATTAATTAGAAGTAAGTAACATCAAATAAATTCATTAAATAAATTAAGAAATTGCCTTTAAGCACTTTATATAAAGTACATATTAATAACTTTAAAGATAAAAATTACCAAATTGAAATTTTTAAAGCTATTAGAATTTTTACTATCAAAATAAAGCGTGAATGTGATTCTGTTTTGAAAAGTTATGCTACAGCTAGAGAGAGACAATAGTTAAGAAATCAGTTTGCCACTACAGATAGTGAACGACACTATCTAAGAAACCAATTTTCCAAGTAAAGATCAAGTTTCATAGTGAACAGAGTAGAAATTTAAACTAGTAGCAATGAATTAATCTCATTCATCTACATGCTCAGGCGTTAACGAGTAGGATATTTATTTATAGCAATTTCTGCGAAAAAAGGAAAAGGAGAAAGAAACTATTTGCCTAGTTTCAGAAGAAGAAATAAAAGCTTCCAGAGCTTAGGTAGAAGAAAGCTAAACCTTCCATCACTTACCAATAACTAACACATTGACCGATGCAGAATCCTTTCCACTTTCATTGACAGCGTTGATTGTGTATTTTCCACAGTCCGCTCTGGTGACTCGGCGAATGGTAAGTTTCGTATTATAGTCGGCATTCTCTAGAGTCGTCCTGGTCTCGCTTTTAAGGGGTTTGTCGTTCACCAACCATGTAATCTCTGGAGGAGGTTCTCCGGATACATTGACGTCGAATTTGATCGGCTGACCGGCCCGGATAGTCAAATCATCGAACATAGTCCGGTCAATGCATGGACGTACTGGAAGAATTGATTCAATAAATAAAATAAGGTTATAAAACTAGCCATATGTTTATTCGCTATTAAATGCGAATAAACACCTGGGAACACTAAAAGGCATCGTATACGTGAAGTCTGACATTAAAAAATATTTTAATATGAATCTGACATTAAAGGAAAATCCACTTAGGAAGTTTTATTTCATATTGCATTTAGATCATTGAAGTAAATTTCTTGTAAAACATCAACATATTAAGCTATGTGATTCTTTATGTCATTTTTATATGATAGCTATTTGCTCCCTTATTAAACAGATTTCAGTAACAGAAAGTCATTTTAATGTGAGGCAATCTCACATGCTGACCAATACGATAATTATTTGAGTTTAAGGGTTTTGCAGGTTGAGCTTCTGTGGCTACACCCGGCCACTAGTGATCCATGTAGTAAATAAAAATTCAAAATTTAAGGAACATTTAGCAATTTAATTAATGTTATTTGATTTGCATAGGGTACTTCAGTGAATCAAGGAAACAACTAAGTTGAGAAATTAACTTGAGAAATGGAGGCAGATCAGGCACGTAAAATTTAAATCATCATCTTTCAGGTTAACTATTTATTCATGTAAATAAGAAAAATACACAAAGCTACCTAAAGCGAAGATTGCCTTCGAAGAGGACTTACTGAAAGAGTCTGGCTCGTATTAACACTCTGCACGGAAAACACTATGAAAGCAACTACGCAGCCAGCCCTTTCACCGAGATTAGGAACACGAATCGAGCAATCTCCTAGTTATCTTAACCGCTCATACCTTTCGTAGGCTGTTGCCTACAAATTCAGAAAAAGTTACAATTAGTGATATTTGTCAAATTATTCCTTCAGGGCAATGGGCTGAAAGAATTATTTATTTATGGTTATTAGTTGTTCTTAAGTTTAAATAAGTATACGTTAATTAGCTGCAACGGCTGCAATTATTTTTAGTTCCCTGGGACTAATATATTAAGAGCGACTAAAACATAATTTTAGCTATTGTTCACTTAAAGTTCAAGTGTTTTAACTAATATAAAGTCGATAATTACTCTTCGCAGCTTAAAGATTGACAGTCTGTGATACAAGTATAACGATTAATTAAAAAAAAAAAAAAAAAAAAGGAAAAGAGAGGGACAAAAAAACTAAGCAAGTTATAATGACAAAATTGTTAGTTTACGGTAATCAATAAACAATGATAATATAGGTACTTACAAAATCGAGGTTTAGCAATTATGGCCTGAGAGGGGTCACTGGGTTCTCCTGGACCGGCTTTATTGACAGGCACTACTCTGAACTCATATTCTTTGCCCTCTTCTAGAAGTGGAACAGTTGCTTTTAGTTTGTCTCCAGGTACCTCAAGGGCCTTCTCCCAAGGTCCACCTTTCTTTCTTTTCTACCACGTAGCTAGTGATGGGAGCGCCACCATCGTTATCCGGTGGGGTCCATTTTAAGTCTGCGTGATCCTTATTCCAATCGGTCACTTCTGGTTTTCCAGGAGCACCTGATGCCTCTGAAAGGAAGTAGATAAGAAATCTTATTTTCCTTGCCCATACTCTTCCCTAACATTAAGAAAAATTAATATTTAGCTCTGGGCTTTGTACAACTGTTGCAAAAAAGTAACAAAAGGAGTATAAGAAAACAGTCTGCAAAGTCAAATTAACTGACGTCAAAATACGAAATTTTACTGATACACCAGTAATTTTAAGGTCTTTCTGTTTTCCCACTGGTTATTCATGCCAATATGTGGCTGGCATCAGTAACCAGTGGACAGCCTAGAAAGCGAACTCTCTTACTTCAAGTAAAAAACACTCTAGATTGCCTCTATCAGTACTCTACGGTATAGGAAAGCTGAACTACCGCAGAAGTTATTGCTTTCAAGCACAAAAACGAATTAGTTAAAATGAATTAAATAGCATTTTTACATTATTTTCTCTATGGCTTGTGAAATCAAAGATAAGGCAGCAACACAAAATTTATAAATTTTTTATTACAAACAGCATAAAGCTGATGATTTTGAAAATGCAAGCCAAAAGTGCCGTTCTGTCGGAAATATAATATTTATTAGAAAATTTTAAGCTCATAACTTCTCACGCTAAATCTTTCGCACAGTTTCTCAAAATATGTTTTAGACTTACCTGATTAATAAAAATATAGGACGATTTAACTTTGGTAACTTTCACGTGTGTTTAGAGACAATGTTTAAAACATTAATTCCTTGGTTAATTCTTCTTTTGTAGTCAAAAATGTTAGAAAAAGCACATAAGCAATAAACAAGGTATATAGCATTGTTTTCTATTTTGCGGACACTGAAATTTCAAAAAATGGTAAAAGAGAATTTGTAAAGATGTCAAGCTTATATGCAAGAATTTAAATTACGAAAATTTAAATTTTGTAAATTTATATTTGCATAAGCTGTCTGAGCTTTTTTAAACTTCTTGGAACATGTTATCGTACTGCAATAAATTGAAATTATTGTCAGTCTTATTCATCCTGAACAGAGAATTACCTGTCAGTATGTTTTTTACTTTCCCAAGGTCATCCAATTCCTTTCTAAATGTATAATTGCATTTGGATTACATAAAGCAAGCTAAAGCTAATTCCTGGAGTTATTTCCTTTAACATGAATACTAAGTACAGCACGAGAAGATATCCAGAAAAAGAACTGGACACGAGCATTTATTTCATAATACAGACTGCTCAATCACACTATAAAAAAGGGTTGACATGTGCAGGCAAAACTAATGGTTAGGTGCATAAATGCGAATACCGTGTTTACTAACGTAGTCGTCGCACTTTTTTTGTCAATTTTTGATTGTGAAAGTCCAAGTGCAACTATAATGCGGAGAAATCTAATACACAAGACTTTGATGATACACTTTTGATGATTTTTTTTCTGCTTCAAGACGGGGGTGCGACTATTACGCGAGTAAACACGGTAGTTAATTAAGAAACGTTGGTAAACTGCACAGTAGGAGAGGAATACGTAACCACGATATAGGATTCACATCCTGATTTATTCGAATTATCGAATTCTTTGTGATTTTTATTTTTTATTTTTTATTATTATTTTATTTATTTATTTATTTATTTTTTTTTTTTTTTTTTTTTTTTTTTTTTTTTTTTGTGAAAGGTTCGTCTGTAACGAGGACTTTCAATTATTTTCTCATCGATCCATTTTTAAAAAATATTTTCTTCTTAACCCCCTTATATATTTTTCAATTTAAAAATATATATTCCTTATATATTTTTCTTTCTAAGTTAAAAGAAAATTCTTAGTGCTTACGCTAAAAAGTAGCTTTTTAGTTTGTTCTCCTTTCTTTAATTTTTCTATGATATATATAGTAAGCAACATAATCATAATAGAAATAATTGCACCTGCGTAACTTAAAGATAACCATTGGGCCGACGAATATTAAGAAAAGTTTTGAAACAACATGGTTCATTAGCTTAAGTTTTATTACATTTTTCTTGTTATTTTTAATATTACAAATACAAGCAAGTTATCAGACATACAATCAAATACATCTAATTGCCCAAAGTTCGATTTTAATTAATGTGATGCCTGCGATTGGTTCATTGATACGATTTTTGAATATTTCGTATAAAATTGCTTAATTTTGTAGAAACATTAGGTTATTTTGAAGCAGAAGACATGAAAAATGAGCAATGCCCGCGCCAGGACTCGAACCACGGACTTCTCGAATACGCACCGAGTGTGCTAACCGTTATACCACGAAGGAATGCAGAATGGATGGAGAAAATACCGTATAACTTAATCCTTAAATCACTTTTGTTCAGAAGTATGAAATCTATTTCTGGTTTTCTGCAGTAAGTTATCGCCTTAAAGTTATCGCTTAGAAGATTAAATTAATGTTGGTCCCGTAACAATTTTAATTCAGAAATATTTCTCTCCAGTGACGTTTAAATTGCAAATCTTACCGTACATATGTATTTTGGAATAAGACTTGACCTGTTTGCATGATAAAGCTTTATAAAAATAAACAATTTATTATAAATTTTATTAATACATTTTTTGTAAACAATGGGTTGACTGTACTGATCAATTGTTGCTGCATATTCGGCTATCGACCCCCCAGTCGATACTTGGATTAAAGGAGCACATATCGACACCGTTTGGAACGCCTGGTCTGTAAAATTGACCACGTGGAAAGCGGAAACGAAAGAGAAATACTTCAACCAATCAGAATGAAAAATGTGCATTTGAGTGGGTTCACTGAATGCCTTGATAGAAAAAGGGCCGTCCATTACTTGGCGGTGTGACTGAAGTAAGACAAACTTTGATATGTGCTAGTTATTTACATTTGGTGCAAATCTGACCAGTTACATTTATGCAACTATTAAATTACGCTTTAATGATCGTATAATTGAGTATTACAAAATTGAAGCAGTTTCATATTTAATTTAAAGACTATGCTTCTACCTGTAGTACAGTATTTTTCAAAGCGATGAAATATTAGGTATTTACAAATATTTTAAAACATATCGCGATAGAATATTCATATTTTTTACGTTGTGTCCTATTTTTAGGTTACATTTTTTTACGTAATGTAACATTATTATTCCGTGTATGTTATTAATTTCAACGTGAATTTCGTTATTTATATTTTTCATTTTATGGTCAGATATAACGTTATTTTATCATATACTTTATTATTAACCTAATCGGTTAAAAAATAGTTTTCTGAAAAGTCTCGTGAAAATAACTTAACTGCAAAATAATATTAAGATATAGATTTATAAGATATTATCTTCCTCGTTTCCGCGTGCCTTCATGGCGTAACTGGAAGCATGCTCTATGCATATTCGAGAGGTCCGGAGTTCAAATGCCAGTGAGAGTAATGAGGAGTCTTTCAATTTCTCTGCATCGTTGTGGTGACGATAATTCGTCAAGGAGTTCGCGACTGGGTCTCCTCATTCCCAGTTGCCTTTTAAAAGGGGGAGTAAATGAAGTATTTTCTCTTTCCTTTTCCCGTGTCTTCCTGGAAGCACGCTCCACACGTATTCGGGAGGTCTGGAGTTGGCATTCCTGCGAGGCTATTTCTTTTGTTTCCCGACATCGAAAAATTCTAAAAGATCCTATAAATTTGATACATGATTTAGTAGGAAATCTGAAATTATCAGCACATTTTGTTGCTATTTATAAAGACAAAAATGAAACTCTACGACTTGCATTTACTACTGGACAAATATTTTTAACCATCATGTGATACGCTATGAACATTATGAAAACAATTTACATAAAAAAAGTGTATGATCATATTTAATTTTTTTTAATTTTTTTCTTTGCTTACTTACGTCAAATTCTTGAACAATACAATTTTAACGTTGCATTTATTTTAGCATTTATATTGTAAATTTACGTACAAAAAAGCAATAAGTTTTCTTTTACAGAAAATTTTGAGTTGTAGAATAAACTCAACAGAGTGCTCTTATTACGACTACATGCTCACCCATCCCAATCTGTTTCCAGCAGCAAGACCATTATATCCCTTTCATGTGAATGTAACTTTATCGCAAATAAAAATATTGCTCACAAAGTAGTCTGCTTAAACAGTAATTAGCACCGTGAAATGAAACGATAATTAAAACAGCCGACATATTCTCATAACTTGCCCTAAACTAACTCACATAACTAACTTAGAGTTACTGATTGGGATTAAAGAAAAGTATGAGTGAATCACGCAGTTAATATTTTCAAATTTGAAACCTTGGTTGAGAGATAATAATCGATATCGAGTTCACTGAATCCAGTGAATATATTATTTCTATAGCGGAAAGTTCTCTTTAATATAAAAAAGGTCCAAAAATTTCTTGCAAAAACTTATGAATAACCGTAAAAGCGTAACCTCGTTGAAGGAAATTATAGAGTAAATCATTTGATTCTTAATTTCTAAAATATTTCAAGAAACAGTTTGAAATCACCTTGTATTTTTCCTTGCTTTTATATCTGATGCAAGTTTAGACCCTAAATTTAATATATTTATAATTAATCATAACTTAAAGCCAATAACTGAGTAGCTTTCTCTATTTAAATTACCTTCTCTTTATTGCCAATTACCTTCTCTTTATTGCCAATTTAATTCATGTTATGAGAATACCAAAATATTTTACATAAGACATTAAAGAGAGGGCCCATGCATATCTCTAATCTTTAGAGACTGATAGATAAACTTACTGAAAGGATCTTTAGCCACAACGGGAGTATATGTCTCAAGAGGATCAGATTCTCCTTCTGGATTAAGAGCTTTTACTCGGAAATTATACGCCTTTCCTGGAGTCAGTCCAGTTACCTCCATTTCAGGACTATGAGTACGTCCGACGGGAACCCACGTACCACTCTCTGGATCTTGCTTTTCTACCAGATAACCCTCAAGAGGATGTCCACCATCATCTTTGGGCTTGTTCCATTTCAGTTTGCAGCCGTCTTTTTTCACGTCTGACACGTCCAGCGGACCTTCGGGTTTCGAAGCCTTCGCTACATAGGGTAAACCAAATGATTATATAAACTTGGAAAAGGCAGAAACATAGAATGGAATTAAGAAAAATGTAAAATATACGTCTGTTTGTTCTAAGACATCTAAAAATATTTAGAAATCCATGACCTTATAGTCATAAACTTGGTTCTAACAAGAGAAATATTTTTCAGACTTATAGTCTCAATTCGTCCTTTGCGAATTTTAAAATGAACTGTTCTTAATTGGGATTGCTACCAATGGAAAGATTTTTTTACATTACCTTCTCTTCAACTATTTCCGTTCTTTATTGGTTTTATAAAAAGGTGCAGTCTTATCTTTGAAACTAACTTGAAATGTAATGTTTTATAAAGTTTCTTTATTGAATTTTATTCAGTAAAACACTGTTCAAAATATTTCAGTGGCAAGCCTTTATGCAAATAATAATCACTTAACAAGTATAAAATGCTATTATAATATAGTGCAAAAGTTTTCTGCATATTATACATAAATACTTCTAAAACGTATGTAAAGTATTGGTAAATTATTGCTTTTAATACATAATCATAAAGTCATATCAGAGTATATGTGGAAATTGAAATTTCCTTACAGACTACAAAGTTTAAAGTTTAAGAATATAGTCCCACTTTACAAGAAAAAAATTTATAAATACAGCATTCGAGGAACTTTAACATCCAAACTATAAAAAATGCGGTCACGTTCATAACAACGGATGTGAAATCTGATCATCGCGAATTCTGATAGCTGTGAAAAAATAATATTCACTTACAGAGGACGGTAATTTCCACTTCAGCTTGGTCCTGACCGTGTGGATTGTTAGCGAAAATCTTATAAATTCCGCTGTCCTTCCTCTCTGCTTTTCCGCACTCTATCTTCGAATTATAGGGCACGTTTTTAATCTGAAAGTCGAAACGCTCATCGACTGGGGCGTCCTTAAGCATCCAACGGACGGTCGGTGGTGGTTCTCCAGCAATTTTCACGTCCAGTGTGAAAGGTTGGCCAGCTCGAACAGTTATTGGCTTCAAAGTACGTCTATCTATCCTCGGAGGTACTGGAAGGATTTAAAGAAAATGAATTAATTTAACTTCATTAATGTTTATTACAAAACAAACAAAATAATTTGCGAAGATAAAAAATGCATTTCTGAGGTAAATACTTCAATAAAACTACACTCTAGAAACAGCCGTCGAACTAGCTTCCAAAACGTTTGAACGTTTCTTCTTTCTACAAGAAACTATAATGGACATTTTGTTGAACATAGCTTTCCCAGTCGAATGAATCGCAGAACATGGTGGAAATCACGAGCGACTGTCTAAACAACTTAAAATTATAGGTTGGATTTTGGTAAAGCTGCTTAAAAGTATAGGTTGGTTTAGTCAAAAAATTAAATGGAACAACAACAAAAAAAAAAAAAAAAAAAAAAAAAAAGAATATTTGAACTTTGCAATAAATATACATGCAGGTGAATTAATCTGAAATAGACACAGGAAGGTTATAACCGATGTTATGAAAATTTTTACTGTTTGAACCATTTTTATCGATATATTTTTCTAACATCGGTAGCAAGTTCGCTTAATTTTCTGAAAATTTAATATGCTTGAAAAGTATTGTCAAAGGGACAAAAGTGGGATATGACAAAACCAGTATTATGATAGTTCTCTTGCGGAAAAATGTTTGCATATATATTACATACACAGGACTGTAACGAATTTTCACGCACATTACAAAACTGCAACCATTTCAATCTAAACCAACTTAAAATGGGGATCTCTTTCAAATTCATAGATAATAATTGAATTTCAAGATAGATTTCATAAAAACGTTTAATTTTTATCGTGTGAAAGCAGTGGCGTAGCTAGGGTGGGGCAAGAGGGGACATCTGTCCCCGGGTGCAGCATTCATGGAGGTAGGAAGTAAGATGGAGTCGCCCTAAACAAGTTTCTCCGTACCCTGCTCTGAAGCACCGGCGATCCCTATGTGGTGACCAAAACATTGGGTCATTTACCATTGAGTTCTATGGGATTTGACGCGTCCGGGTGTAAATATTTTGTAATTACGTCGCAAATATACATATAAATATATATTTTCTTTTTCTACAACACTTCAGAGTCCTAAGTATGTGAAACAACATATTTTTAAACAACATTTCATTCTGAACGGAATTAAATGCTATACTTTTCACAGGACAGAATGGTTTAATTTGAATGAAATATTTTTCACAATTTTCGTTAATTACATTAGAAAAAAAAATTAAGGTAATTATTTATTCGGTTAAGGTACAAAAATCAAATCAAAGTTTTATTGTATTAATTAATATTAAAATTATGCATTATTTCTTTTCTACTTATAGAGCTTCTTCCTAAAATACTTTCTTAATATGACATGATTTTTGGCTTCTTTTAAATCGAAAAATGTCAAGTCAGTTTATAATTAATGCTCTATTCGGTTCATTTTAAATAGAGAATTATTAGGAATAGCGAAATACTTTTTAAAGTATTTCGCTAATTCCTAATAATTAAATAGTATAAATAGTATTTGACTTTCTCTAAAATTTCTGAAAGGGCATAAATAAGTTTTTTTAAGTATTATTTAAAACTTGTAACTGAGTTATTATAAAATGTAAAGGGATTAATTCTTTTAATTATACTATCAGATTTTTTTTTTTTTTTTTTTACCCTTCATTTCACAATACATTCCAAAACTCTTTATTACCGTTCTTAAGTGCGCATCTCATAGCATTTGCTTTACAATACCTTTTAACAGATTGCTTTCCAATACGAACAATTCTTGCTTAAATAGTTTTTATAACCTATTTGTCAACAGGATTCAATTTATGTTTACATTCAATATTAAGGTTATATATTTAGATAACATTTATAATCATTATAAATTAATATTTAATCATTATTTCTTCACAGTACTTTTCACAGTTGTTTATAAGTGAATAAATTCTTCATTTCAAATACATTTATAAAAATTTAATGAATATTTAAGTATTTGTCAAAGCAGATACATGCTTTTTGCAAGCTGCAAATACCCATACATATTCCTATTTAATCATTTTGCATGTGCAAATCTTTATTTCTGTGCATCACTATATTTTTCGTGTAAAGTAATTAACACTAAATTTAGCATACACCCGAAAGTTTTAAATAAAAAATATATTCAATATAATTGAATGAAAATTATAAGTATTATATTAATACCCACTCAAAGGTCTTTTTTCTTCAAAATTCCTCACGATGCAATCTCTCTCTTTAGGCAGATAGCCCTTGCATGCGTTACTCTATCTAATAAAAACTTAATCTTCCTATTTGCCTAATTACAAATATTTAAAATACATAATTTTATATTTATTTAGCCATCAAGTTTAAACTTTTCAAATCTCTAGAAAATAAATTTTGGCAGATCTCTTTTAGCAATTTTCTAAAATCTATATTTTTGTAGTTCAACAGCTTAGAATTTATAAAACAAATTCATAATCAAAATCGCTGTTGTTAGTTATCGAAATAACCAGATGTGATTTTGGTAAAGGCCTTAACTATACAATTGCTATTATCCATCACACTATGATGTTTCTTTCTTTCATGCGAGAGTGTCCCCCTTTTTCGATTTGTATGGAACTGTCGTGTGTCGAAATACTATCAGAATCTTGTCAAGCGAGCTTCTGAATGTAAACAAAGAACACCCCGTCTGGTGACCCAAGCTTCAAAGCAGTGCTTCACTTCTAGCGCGGAATGGCCTCTCCTCCCTTTCCTACCTCCATGGCAGCATTCAGGGGGCATCAAATTGATGTTACGAAATTTTAGAATGAAATGTTTTCCATTCTTTGCCCACAGAAAGGGGCGCAAATCTTCAGTTGTCCCCGGGGCTGGAAACCCTAGCTACACCTCTGTGTGAAAGTAACCTTAAACAAGGTAACTGAGACAGAATCCTTCGGCAAGTATTACATGAATGTAAAACGAAAATATCTTAGTATATAAATTATAAAATGTCATTTAAGTTTCTAACCCGTTATTTTATTTTAATTTCCTTTTCTATCAGCCTCGTTTCCTTTTTCCTACCAGAATGAAAATTTTTAGGTCGTGCGCTATTCAAATTAAGTAAAAAGAAGAAGGTATTTAAAGGGAAGGTTTTGGAAAATGAAATCAGAGAATATTCTGCCTACTTGAAGGCCACATTGCTAACGCTGATGCCGACTTTGGTCATAGCCACCTTGCCCGCGATTTATACTGTGAAGCCGTTAGGGCTAAACTTAAATTTTATTAGTTTTAGTTCAACCATTATCTTGGATTTAAAACCAAAGCTATTAACTTCTGTAAGTACGAGTTAGTGGAGTCTAAGCTTTATTTGGATTAATAAAGGGTCATTTACACCCTTTTCCTGTCTCTATAATACTTACAAGACACAGTGAAAATTCACCAGTTGTCTTTTAGAGTTCTGGTCTAATTGCAGGCTATTTAAGAAGGCAAGATCCTATAAAATAATAAAAAGTGCTAGTTTGTCAGTTAAAATGTTATTTTTGACAGTATGCACAATATCAGTCTGATATGGGGCTTTAAATGAACTGTTTTATAAACAGGTACCAATGACCCATTGGAACGTATTTGGTTAGAAAATGTCATATCGCCTTAATATATAACTATTTACCCTGTATAATGCGATTCAAGTGTTGACACAGGATACTTAAATTTTATTGTACATGGTAGTATTCAAAACTGAAGCATTATATGTTCGAAGTCAGAACATTTCAAAACAGACACTTACGTTTTCTGGGTTTCGCAACGATAGGTTTTGTAGCATCGCTTGGTTCTCCCGGTCCAGCTGCATTGATGGCTCTTACTCTGTACTGGTATGTCTCTCCAGGAATAAGATCTTGAACCCTGCCTTCCAAAACAGGCTTGTCAATCTGTATTGCCTTCGACCAGACGGTAGAATCTTTTTCTTTCTTTTCAATTAAGTAACCTGTGATAGGGGCACCGCCATCTTTCAAGGGTTTGGTCCATTTGAGATCGACCCATTCCTTATCCCAGTCAGTAGCTTCAGGAACTCCTGGCTTTCCAGGTGGATCTATGATAAAAAGCGCAGTATTTTAAATTACCATCATTCGGAATGTCTCTGTGTATATTCTAAAGATTTGTAAGATTTATGTTATTATTTCAAAAAAAAAAAAATGTATGAAGCTAAAAATTAAAAGGAGCTCAAAACGATGTTGACAAATTAACAGCATAAAACGCAAATTCTTCTGTGAAAAGGCACTCTAAAAGAAAAAAAGAAGGTAAGAAATTAGCATTTTATCGGAATTATAACCGTGATATTAAACTTTTATCTCTAAATTTATCAAGAAACATCTTCAATTGGAAAACCGGTTTTCTATTTTTTGGCTTGTTCGCTGACAAGTATACTAACAATAAATGACAACTCGCCAAAAAATACAATCAGGGCAGAAAACATAATATAAGAAAAATACAATTAGGTGAATGAAATTAAGTATGACTTCATCAATTTAGTATTTTCAAAAGCGATAGTATATTTTGAAAGGAGAAAATAAACAAATAATTCTCAAATTATGCTGAAATGGAACTGGATTCTAACAAACATACTCACATAAAGAAACTGTTGAAATAAATGAAAGCTCAAAAGTAAATAATACAATATTATTTAAACAGATGAAACAGCAAAGTTTTGCACAAATTTTCTGTAATTGAAGAACTTAAGCTATTATTAAGAAGAGTGCCATATTAAGCATTCAAAATGTGTATTTTCACGACTGCACTAAATCCGACGTTATGATTTGGTTTGAGTTATTTGATTACGGCAAAGCACGCCAGAGTTATTTATCTGCTTAAGAATAGGGATGCCTTCTTGAAGGACTTTTTAATGGAAACTAGCTCGTATCCATGTTATACGTGTGTAAAATGATAACACGCCCATCCTATGGCTATAGGATGAGGTTTTTAACTAAACGTGTATTGGAGTTTGATTAGACATCTATAACATAAAGATGCAAAATGTGTATTTGAACAGTTGTTTTCGAAGCAGAGAGTCTCGCGTCTTACATAACAGCGGAAAATATTGCTTAAAGCAGACTGCAAATATTTTTCGAAACGTTTTCTAATCCACTTTTGTTGTAAAATAAATTAGTTCTATAATAATTGTTTAAATAAAAGAGATCCATATATATGTTTCATCAAAGCAATTAATACTTAGAATCTTTGATTTTTAGTGTGAGGATTATTTGAGTATGGTTCGCCAAAGTGTATTTAGATTGTATTAAGGAGATGTACAGTTCATGAGATTTCAGAATCTCGCAATATTTGATACTGTAAATCATGGAGTTAAACATTTTATACTTATTCACGGACGTAAAGGCTTGATATCTTGTATTTTTTTCTCAATATCAGAAGACAGATTTCTAAAAATATCCTGACAGTGAAGAAGTACATTAGAATGCTTCGTTGCAATTGTTTTTAAAGTTCACTATATGAAAAAAGCACAAGAAGAAGGTTGGCTAGAAGAAAATAAGAATGGTTAAGGCTATAAGACATCTTAAAGATCAAAATACCATAGCTACATTTAAGCAAGAAAAGATGACAGGAATAGGTATAACAAACTGTCCCAAAAACAAAATTTCAATATTTGACAGCGAGTATTTTTTGAGTTGTGCGACATACGTACGTATAGACGTCATAACGAAATTAGTCAAAATGTATTAGGAAACTGTCAAAATGAATATTTCCGTTGAAATCTGGAACTGAAAATTTTCGGGTTTACAATACTTCATTCACTTCGTGCAAGGAAGTAAAAAAGAAAATAAACTTTTTCCGGGGGGGGGGGAGAGAAGGAATTATGAATTTGTACAAATGTCATTATTATTTTAATTAAATTCAAAATTTTAATAGTATAATAGATGTCATGCATTAAATCTATCGAAGAGTTCATTTCTTACTGTATCGGCGCATTAAATGCAATTTTACAGCGTCATTTGTAAATTATCTGTAACTTATGTTTATCTGCTCATTAATTAGATAATTGAGATTTCGATAGACGTAATTGTCAGAAATCAAAGAACAATCACTGAGCTACGAGCAGAACAAAATCTGAATATAGCTAAAGCATTAATAAAGAATAAAATGCCAATCTCATCCATAATATATCAAGCTGTAACTTTCACATTTCTCTTAAGAATGTAACATTTCTTATGAGGTATAGTTGCAGCGTTAGTTCTTCAAACGTAATAAATTTTCAAAGTATGTGGCCTTTACTTTATTGCAAAGAAACTCCACAATGATTTGTTGAATCGTAGAAAAATTTAAACCTTTCTTACCGTATGGATTTTTGGCAATAATGGATTTTTCTCCTTCAAGGGGTGTTGATTCTCCTTCAGGATTGATAGCCACTACACGGAATTTGTATTCTTGACCTATAATACATATATATAAATAATCAGAAATTGTTTAATGTTAAAAAATATATTCAGAAATTAAAAAATATTATACATTCCAATGTTAATCTTTCATTCAACTCTTTGAAAATATAGCTGCTGTTGATGTTCAATATGAGTTTCTGGGAAACAAAATGTTAAGTGAAGCAATGTTAATGCTTAAGCATCATTTGAAAACATAAAATACAGAAAAAGAGAAAACTCGACCAAAAATTAAGGTTTAATTATTCCTTGTTTCATATATTATCTTGAGTAATCAAATATGTACACCTTTCATAAAAAAGGGACAGTTCTGTATCTCTCGTTCTACTCGACCGATTGACGAAATTGTACTTGCATTTTTCATTTCTCGAAAGCGCGACGTAGGATATATATTAGATTTATATTTAACAGTGTTCTAATATAGGTATCTATAGATTATGGACTATAAACAAAAGAGATCCATTTTATATTATAGATTATAGACTTTGTTTTAACTGTGGATTTTGAATATATATTTTGAACTATATATTTCGTACTATATTACATATGAACATCATATCATATCGATATGTTTCGTAAAATGCTCTTCATTACTATTATTTCTTTTTGTCACATATTATGTTCAAAATTCCGTACTTAAATTAAGGAGTTACGTCATATATCATGTTTAAAATTTTTCTATTATATTCAAAATTCTGTAAATTTATTATTATGTTATTTTACACGTTATGCTCCAAATTTTTGTATTACATTCCAAACTATGTAAAATTCCAAATTATGCATCTATTTTGTTAATATCAATAAACGGCTGGGGTCATGTAGTGGGGAGACGGCGCTAAACCAATTAACCAAATGGTAAAGGTGTGGTGCCCGTCTTCCCCGTTCCTAATCCTAATATAGGTGTTCTGACAAAAACAAATCGGACTTTTTCTGAAATAGCATACCGATTTCTTTCCATATTTCAATTTTATGACTCAGATTACGTCAAAGAGCTAAGTTTTGTAAAATTCGCACGAGTAGTTTGTAAAAAATTAGCTTTCAAACCTTTAGCTCCTCAATGTTACCTGCATTTGCCATGTATACTATATTAATAAGCCAAATGTGCTTTACGCGCTGAGTTAAAATATTTGAAAGAACAAATGATGCACCTTTTTTTTTCTGCTCTTGCACAATGAGAAAAAGAAAACGAAAATAGGTTACTATAAATTAAGGATTTCGCCAAGTGACTTATTCTCAAACTGAAAAATGTGCCTCAAGATAAATTCTTCAATTTTTCAATACGTTACTCACCACATTTTACAAAAATTAATATTTGGGCATCATTTGAGTCCTAGAATCGAAATATGGAAGAAAATCGGTACCGGTTTTGTGTCAAAATACATATGTTCGAACAATGTTTAAATATATAAATCTAATATATATCCCATGTCGCGCTTTCGAGACATGAAAAGTTAAATTTCGTGAATCGGCCGAGAAGAAAAGGAGCTATAGAACTGTCCATTTTTTTTTGTGCGCAGAGTATACATACTTATTTTTCTTCATAATTTTTCGAAAGTTCTAGTTCTTCTGAAATCCTTTATATTTTAATGAAGTAATTAGTGCAACCTGGTACTTTCTTTTTCATTTAAGAAGCAGTTTTTTGTAACAGAGCGTAAGAAATATAATGCTTCACTATACTTCTATCAAAATATCATATGTTTGATATAAAGAGACCTATAATATTCGTTACTTCACAGCGAATTCTTTGTGGCAAATATACGAACTAAGGAAAGAGAACTTTGAGCTAAATTTACTGAAACAAACTATCGTTATAAAAATATTCAGTTTACTAACTATTCTGTTTATTAATTTTTGTAACAAATCACAGGATATTTAACTTTATTTCAAGGTTTCAGAACAATCGCGTTATATCGAATCATCGATAAGTTTAAAATTTTTTTGGATTTCCAAAAACAGTCGAGACATTTGAATCAGCGTCAGTAGGGGTAGCATTAAGCAAAGCAAGGTCTTGCAGTATCCACAAGGACCTCGCACCATACTACTTTTTGCCTCAAGAGCAAGAGCGAGGCACAAACGAAAAGTTAAAAAGAACTTACCTGGAGCAAGGTTTGTCAGTTCGATTTCAGGTTTTGTGCTTCGGCCAGCTGGTACCCAGCGGCCAGTTCCCAGATCCATTTTCTCAATTGCATAGTGTTCGATAGGTACACCTCCATCATCTTCAGGTTCTTTCCATTTCAATTTGCAACCCTCTGCTGTTACATTTGAAATATCCAGTGGCCCTCCAGGTTTTCCTGGTTTGTCTGAAAATTCGAAAAAACACTGAAGTCTGTTTATGAATCGTCAAAACATAAAAGTATACAGTTTTTGGACACACATTGTCTTTTATCAAGGGATTAAGTTTGGTTACTTGAATATCGTAAAGCACACGTGGGTTACCTACCTAAGTGAAGGGATCCCTTCTTAGAGGATCTTCTAAGAGAAACTAGCTTTTAATTAAATTATACATGGAGAAAATCACGAAAACAAACCATACAGCCACCCGTTTTATCCCGAGTTCGAACCCGGCCTGAACTACCAATATTAAGCCGTCTTAACCATTTAATTGGGACTGTATCAAAAGGGAGAAGTACGGTGAATGAATAAACATTTATAATACGGGAAAGACGGAAATCGTAAAACATTTACTGCCATTAAAAGTGGTGAAGGGGCGAAAAAATGCATTTTTTTTTTTTTTTTTTTTAGTATTTATACTTTAAATGGTATAGTTCTTTGTTATCTGCCTTTTTGGTGCTCATGCCTCTTTCCGAGTTTCCAGTTTCTTCCATATGAGATTTTCCTTCTTGACTTAGCTTGAAGTTTTCTTTATTGTTTGTTTTGTTTCATTTATTTCCCGACATTAACTCGTGAGGCTGATTTTGTTGGCTTGCTTTGCTACGTTTCCATTATCAAAAATTTGAGAGCTCCTACCCTGTGATAAATGTTCCTTTCATTTTTCTGCTTTAGATACAATAGTCTCTGTAGTGTCGAAGGAAATAGAATATCGAAGTAACAAAACACGAATTAAAGGCAAGGTACAATGAGACTAAACTGAACTAACGAAAATGATAATTTACTTTCAAAGCCTATAAAACAGGTAAATAGGTAATTTACTGTCATAATTAATTATATTTTATATAGAAGCACAGTATAGTCATCTGCTTTCGTGAGAGACTTCCTAGGGGAAAGAGGATGTATTAATGTAAAGAAAATGACGAAATTAAAATAACAGTAAGAAAGGAATTGATTTCGGACTGAAATGAATAACGTCATTTGGTTTTGGTCATTGGCTGTTGTGCATCGTATTTAGAATAGAAGACACACTTGTTACCATAGCGCCACTCATATTATACTGTTACCAGAATTGCGTTAGTAAATCAAAGTAAGCTATAACTACTGCAATAGTTGCTCCTTACTATCTATCACGTATTATCGCATTTTTTTAATAACTGCGTAAAGAAATACAGCGTCTAAACACAATGATTTGATAAGCGTGGACAGAGTTCAGTAGAAACAGCAATTATCTTGAAGTTTTAGTTAATATTATTATATATGAATTTGTGCTAAATATGTATGGAACAAAACGTAAAATTTTCAAAGCCTTTTTTTTTTTCTCATTTTGTTGCGAAATTTATTTAATTGCGTTGCTCAATAGTAATATTTCAATAAAGGAACATGTATGTTAAGGAAATTTTTATTGCACTCTCATTTAAGCAGATTTTTCTAATATTAATTATCTCACTCTCTATATTTTGTTACTTTACATAGCTCGATGACGATGTTAATATATTATATGACAGAAACCGTTAAATACTGCATTCAGTACGAATCAATCCGAACAATTATATCTTAACTACTATTAGAAACCAATAGACTAGAAGCTTCAGCGCCAACATCTTCATTATAAAGTGGATATAAGAGATAATAAAATGTCTAACGCTTCTTTTGCAATAAAGGCGATACATTTTGCTAAACTCGCTGAAACTGAGATTTCTAACCAATTATTATTGATTAGAAGCTTCAACTCTAACATAGTCAATGAAAAAAAGGAGTTAGATGCATTAAAACTCCTTGTATTTACTTTGCGAGAACGTAGTTACGCATTCTCTTGTGTCCACTCGCAATCTAGATTCGAAACCAACTCTTATTGACTTGAAGTAGGAATATCATTATAAATAGACAATACAGAGGATTGGGATATGATATTTAATTTCAAAAGTTAGGTTAGTTAATTGTTTAGATAAAGTAATTCATTCATCCTACTTACCGAGAACGTTTAGCGTGACAACAGCTTCATCTTTTCCTGAAGAATTTTCTACGCATAAGCGATATTCACCGCAGTCTCTTCTCTCAACACTGTTGATGATCAGTTTGGTTCGGTAATCCTCTGTTTCAAGAGTGGTTCGCCCTCCACTTTTCACTTGATCTTTGCCCATAAACCAAGTCTTCTTTGGTGGGGGTTCGCCTATCACTTTTGCATCGAATCGAACTATTTGCCCAGCTCGGACAGTTACATCTTTCAAACCGGATATCTGGGGTGCCACTGGAAGTAAAATATACCCATTAAAAATTTCTTTGATAAGAAATTTTGAGAATTTTGTACACATGTTTCTTAGAATTTGGAAAGATTCCATACATTATTAACCTATACCGTGCATTAAATTTCTTTTATTATAATAATTTCGGTTATTGAATAATGATATCAACGAAACTAGAAAAATGTATTATTGGGGGGAGGAAGAATTACAAATATGAGCAAACAATAAATAAGTAAAATCTAATTAATATAAATTAATAAATAAGTAATCTTTAAAAACACTTATATTGTACATTAAAAGCGAAAGTAAAATCTCTTACCAATTAAATAATTCATTACTATGCAATTAAGGAAATTTTAATCAGAAATTATTAAGGAAATGTCTTATTAAGGATGTTGTCATTCTATTTTTTTTTTCAAATAAAGAAATTAAAGAACTAATAATATAAACAAAAAAGAAAATATTCTCTGTTGCATTATTTTTCATTTTTAAATAACAGTACATAAATCATAACGTTCACTTGATTTCACATTTCCAGCAATCATATTGTCATTACTTATAACAACATCATAACACAGAGAAGACCGGAGCGGTGTTTTGATCTAACTTTCAGTACAGTTTGAGGCAGTGTCTTATACATTTGAATTGGTTTGACCGATTATTGTAAAGTAAGCGAGAGCTACCTGCCTAAGAGGGATGTCTCCGTGGACAACATTTTAGAATATCTAAAAAGTAGCTCCAAAGTGTTACCAAACTTACAGAAACGTCGTTGGAGTAAGTCATTGTCCTGGCGATAACAGTACAAGGATGTCTACTAACGCGGCAGACGTATTCTGTATCTTGCGCCAGTTACATTAGAAAGTTAGAAGCACATTACATGAAAATCAGAAGAGTAGACGGTACACACATACACACACATATAAATATTATATACATATTTAGATCCACAAGCAGTTCAAGAATGCAATTGTTTGCCACATAATTGCAGCCGTTTCTGTGCAGTTGTATCTTTATGGATATTTTGCTTTGATTAATGCTAGGAAAACAAAAATATCACTTCTATTTCCAAATTTAGTATGTGGTTGCACGAGATGTTAATTTACAAGGAAGATCTTTCGACTTTCAATGGAGCTACATTTTGCGATTTTCCAAAAATTCAAATTGCTGTTTCCCAAGTCTGTGGGGGATCTGGTCTCAGTAAAAAGGTACAAAATAATAAATAAATAGATGCCTGAGAAATCTTTATTTGTATGAACCAATGGCACACATGCTGCCTTGTGGCTCTATAGTAAGTAATATTTCAATTAATATAACAGAATAAATCATTTTACTCTTTTTCAAAGTATGAGAACGTTTTTCGAACTATGTAGTAAAATTTCAGTTGCAAACGGCAGGTAGTTATTAGTTTTATAGTACTAGTTTCACCACTCATAAACAATAAAAATGACAGCTTCTCGTTTCAAGTAAATTTGTTTCAATGCAAAAGTGAAATAGGTTTGTTTAAAACGAATGAGAGTGTGACAAGACATTGACTGTTAAGAATAAAAATTCTCAATGGCTGATGTGTATTGGTGTGGCGCATTTAATTATGGCAAAGCACACTAGGGCTATCTGCCTAAGGGAGGGATGCCTTCGTGGAGGACTTTCTAAGGGAAACTGGCTCGTATACACGTTACACATGGGGAAAACCACGAAAACACCCATGCAGCCAGCCCGTTCGCGGGATTCGAACCTCGGACCGAACTACCAGTGTTCAGCGACTTTACCGCTCGGCCGCTGGTGGGCTCTCAATGGCTGAAGAAACCTTCATTCTTATATTTATCTAATTCAACATGAATGTGGCTAAGAATGCTTAGAACGCTAAAATTTTGTTAGCCACATTTCACTTATATTAACCGATAACAATTACATCTGAAATATCCACTATACTTACAGAATCTGGGTTTGGCGATAACGTATGAGCTAGGATCGCTTGGCTCACTGGGTCCAGCCTTATTTACGGCTTTAACTCGGAATTGGTACTCCATTCCTTCGATGAGATCAGATACACGGGCTTCACATTTGTCTCCAATCGTTTCTCCAGCTCGTTGCCATTTGGTACTGTATTTGTCTTTCTTTTCGATAATGTAGTTGGTAATAGGAGCACCCCCATCACTCTCGGGAGGCGTCCATATGAGATCTGCATAATGCTTACCCCAATCGTGCGCAGATGGCTTGCCGGGTTTGCCTGGTTCATCTAGAAGGCAAAAATTTAATCAGTATAGGTTAAATTCATCAAGCTATATAAAATTCTTTTCAATGATCTGGAAAAGTTTTTTTCTCCCAGTAGTGTGTGTATTTTGATAGTAATTAAATACCTACAAATCATATTTAATAAATTCATATTTTTATTTGATAACTATATAAAAGGTAAGGTAAGTGTGATCAAATACTTCAGTACTATTAGTTTCATGCTGAAGAATTACAGTGATCACGTTTCAAAGATATAATTTAATTTATTACTTAAAATTTTTTTTAGGGGTTTCTCTTAAGGATTCTCGTTGGTACTTGTCTTACTGACGAGGAATTATGAGAAACATAAAGAAAATAGTCCGAGTTTTTAGGAAGAGAACCAAAGAAAAAATTAAGTCGTTCTCTCATTCCAGAGTCAGAATTACATGGTTTCATTTCCTTACATTAAATTTTTTTAATTTAAATTTATCATACTTATCAAAATCCTGACTTTTGTAGCTTTCATAATTTTAAGTACCTTTCTCTCATTCACGTTTTTTATAACATAACTGGCAGCTATAACAGCAAGAATACGTTATATGCCAATATGTTGATCGTACTTTTATGACATGCGACTGGAATTGATAAATCTTTTAAAGAATTGAAAACCAACTCTGAGCAGTTTAAATAATTCAAATTTAGTTCTAAATAAAAGTTAACTGAACTTCTTAACAAAGTTCTAATAAAAACTTTGTTAAGATTTAATCTTTGTTCTTAATAAATGCCACATGCATAACAATATCTAAAAATTAATCTTCACGTCCTTAGTGTTGCTTATTTCACATAACAAAGCTATAGAAGGTTATCTGTCCAGGAATAGAAACTTCGTCAACGTCTTCAAAGAAAAACTGGCCCGCAGGGAAGAGCGCGAAAATACCATACGGTCAGCACATTAGCCAGCAGATAACAAACTCAGATGAAATTTAGCAGAACATTATAAGTAACGTATTAGATTTTGATGGGATCAATCTGTGGGCAAGATATTCGGGTTTTAATAGACTTACCGAAAGGATTTTTGGCTACTGTGCCGGTCGAAGTCTCTAGTGGTTCGGACTCTCCCTCAGGATTCACAGCTTTGACCCTGAACTTATATTCCTTTCCAGGAATGAGACCTTTGATTTCAGCTTCCGGTTCTCGAGTTGTCGTTACTGGAATCCATCTTCCTGTTTCTGTGTCCATCTTCTCAACAATATATTCCTTAACTGGTTGACCGCCATCGTCTTCTGGTTTATCCCATTTTAATTTGCAGCCTTCGGCTGTGACATCAGATACTTCCAGAGGGCCTTTAGGCTTACTGGGCTTACCTGGAAAAGTCGAAAACGTTATTTTAAAAGATTCATTCTAGTAGTCGATGCTTAAAAAGAAAAATGAGTTATATAGATTTAGGAAAAGGAACCAAAATATCTAATAATTAAACTATTCTGGTGGATCTAACAAAAGGCTATTATGTCACTGGGATTTGTATTTTGAACTTTTTAAAAGAATAGCAGTGTTTTATTCTCTTATATCTGCCACTTCCGTGTATTCATCGATTTTTAGATAGTTTTATGCACTTCTTCTTGCACGGTAATTGTACCAAGACTCATAATTCTTTAACATATTTTCAGTCCTCTGTATTTTGCCTTTTATGAGGTTTTCAATTAGCACTTCATAAGAAGTTTAAGCTCTTACTCGTTTTAAATCATTTGGTTCTATCGTTGTACTTAAGCAAGAACAACCTTCCTTCGAAAAAGTAATAATTGAAATTCTTAGTTTAAGAAATATGACCGAAAGGATATATTTATTATTATAAAAACACATTTTACACATTTTATTATTATAAAAACTAGAATAAATTATTAAATTACTTATTAATTAATGTTTGAAATACACGTAAATATTTCATGCTTTTAAGAAGCCTTGTCTTAGTACTGTTTAACAACATTAATGCACCAAATAGGTTTAAAAATTAAACGGTCTTAATATACTTGTTTTTCACTTTGCCACTAAATTATTTTTACTTATTCAGATATCCGTACACCATCCGATACGATATTTGCACCATAAATGTACCCTAATTTATACTTAATAATTAATTGAAACATAAAAGATAGGTAAACATAAAAAAAATAAACTTTTGTTATCATTTTTATTTTTTAGCATAAAAAATATGGAAATAATACCACAAGATTTATTGATACGCCAAACACAATAACTCAAAAATAATAATTTGTAATTAGAGAGCAATTATCTTAGAGAGCAATCTTTAGGATAAAAGTCTATTCTTATCCTTCTAACATTATTATCTTAGAAGTTACAGCAGCTAGAATACAATTCTGTGAAGAATTTCCTAAAAAACATACTTATCAGGACAAAACCTCCATAAGTAATTTAATACAAATAAATTAGAAGGTAATGAATGTCTTAGCATGAAATCTATTCTCTTTATGTATGTATATATACGTATATACATATGTAAAATATAAAATATCTATATTTCAGAATCTTTCAAATACACTCATGTCCATAAATTAAGGATAATTCGGAGTCACGCGGAAATCGAACTCTAAAATAAATATATCACCTGTAAAATCACTACACACATCTTCAATAATCATATGCAAATTTCAGGAAGTAACCAGATGACACCGATGGTACGTCACAATGACGAGAGTGTAAGAGAGTGATATATAAGGAATACAGGCAAAGAAGTAAAATTTTTCGCAGCACTTTATAAGCATTTCAGTGCAATAACCGAATAGTTATGACACAAAGGACGCATTTGGATGATTTTTTAAGTGTGGTAGAATTATCGGCCGTCTGGAATGTGGGCGTACCCAACTGGAAGTATCAGACAAACTTGGAATTGCCCAGAGTGTCATCTCCAGGCTTTGCAACGATTCCAAGATGATGGTAATGTGAGTAGACGTTACAGCACAGGTCGCCCCAGAGCAACAACGCCGAATGAGGACCGGTATTTGGCAGTTACTGCCAAAAGAAACAGGCGGAGCACAGCCTCAGACCTGTCTCGTCAGCTCTCTTCAGCCACTGGTACGACAATTTCAAGGCAGACCATGTACAGACGCTTAGGGCAGATTGGTCTATATGCTCGTAGACCTGTCAGATGCGTTCCACTTACTGCAACTCACTGTCGCCTGCGGTTAGCCTGGAGTAGAGAGCATGCATTGTGGACACCGCAACAGTGGGCTTGTGTGATGTTTTCCGACGAGTCCAGGTTTAGCTTGCAGTCTGATTCTCGCCGGACTTTCATATGGAGAGCTCCAGGTACCCGTTACCACCAAGAAAACATCATTGAACGACACCGTTACGGTGGTGCAGGAGTGCTCGTTTGGGGTGGAATTATTCTGGGTTCCAGAACTGACCTGCATGTTCAAATTGGAACCATGACAAGCCAAATCTATCGGGACGTCATTCTGGAACAACATGTACATTTGTTTTCGGGGCGCCATGGGCCGCACAATTTGTGTTTATGGATGACAACGCCCATCCTCACCGTGCAAACATCGTAAGCGAATGCCTTCAATCGGAGGATATCACCCGTATGGACTGGCCAGCATTCTCTCACCGGACTTGAATCCAGTAGAGCACGTGTGGGACATGCTTGGCCGACGAGTTGCAGCCCGTCAACCTCCTCCTACATGTCTACCGGAACTTCGGAGAGCATTGCTTTTCGAGTGGTGTTATATCCCCCAAGATCAGATCGATAATTTGATACTCAGCATGCCTAGGCGTTGTACGGACTGTATTGCATCGTCTGTGAGACATACAATGTATTAACAATCATACCAACCATGTAATATTGGTTTTTTGTAAATAGTTTTTTTTTTTTTTTTTTTTTTTTTTTTTTTTTATTTGCTCCAGGGAGAACAAATCGCTAATTTTTTTAATAATATCTAACATATAGCATCTTTCTTTGCTCTTTACCTTTTGTTTAATAAATAAGCTTTACAAATAAGTCACATTTGTTTTGCTTTTAACTTTTCCTTTGCCTTATTTTGCATTATCCTTAATTTATTGACATGAATGTAATAAATAAATAATAGACTTTCAACTCCTCTCTTCATTCTAAAAATAACAGAGCAATAAAATTTTTAACTAAACAAAAATGTCATCTAATCTGTATTGCGCACTTATCCATGAAATCTGAACCCTACATCTGGACATTAAACTGTCATGTGATCTGAAACGGTATAAGAGGTTAATTGCGTCGCAACACCCTCTACTTCTGCCTTCCCTTCTGCTTCCCAGACGCTTGTGTCGCCTTGCCTAAGAGATTACTTTTTAAATTTTTATCCTTTAAGAAGATGTAATCTGTACAACGTTGGGGGAGAGGTGTTGCATAGCGCACCCACAGTGTTAATGTGCATTATTCAAGAGAAAATTATGTGGAATTTATTCCATGTCTGAACGATTTTGGTTTATGCATCCATCGTTCTAACTACGCATCAAAGTCTTCAAGTCATGATGCAGTAGAGAACCGCCGCCAAATCCGTGCAACTTTCTTTCACCAAGTCATCTTATTATAATTATAACACAATCTCATCACAGACCATCATTCATGCAAAAGGCATGCGGCCTGTTGAGGCCTTTACCAGTCTATATTTCTTTAAGTTCCTAATGGCATAAAGATGAGAAAAAAAAAAAAATTCCGAACAAGCGGAAAGTCTTAAAGCACTGGGCGCGGATCTCATAAGAGAAAGAAGTATGACGCCGTCTGTTGACTTCAATAATGGCATATCTTCAATAGTGACGTTCATGTGGCGCCATCTGATGCCACGGAATAAAGCAACGGCATAACTTTGAAGAAGTAGATTTTCCTTGAGATAGTTTCTAAAGACAAATTCTATTTGGCATAAATACAGTGCAGAGCATAAAAATAAGTTGCAAAATAAGAAACAATTTTGTACAGGTACATGTGCGTAAAGAATTCTATCGGGACTCGAACCGGTCATGGAAAGTTTCCAATTGTTTGTTTTATTTACTACGCCATAGAGCTGTCGCATACAGAATATAATACGATATATTCAAATTCAGTCCACAAAACCTGGTATATAAGGTGCAAAAATCTTTTTTGCAAGGTACGAAATAAAAACTTGGTTAAATATGAATAAAATATAAAACCTGTTTAAATGAAGTAAATGAAAAAATATTAGATACTATAAACAATATAATATAGATAATATAAACAAGCCCTAACATTTAGAATTATGATGAATAGTGCAAGGTCTTTTATGATTTTGCTCTATGACGTAGTCATAATTGATAGTAGTCATAATCTATGACGTAGTCTAATTTCTTAACCCCTTAACTGCTGCGGCCGTATATATACGCCTTGCTCAGCCGATGCGTTAACTGCCCCGGGCGTATATATACGCCCTTCGAAACTACTATCATTTGCTTTGCGCTGCTGCCCGTAAAATTATTCGCAAAGCTTTGGAATGCAACAACGCAAATGACCTTGACAAAGTATGCGAAGGAGGATACTATTTCAGAGAAGTGTGGGGAGAAATTGGAGAGAGGGGTGTGTCTAAAGCGGTGAAAGTAATGACTGCGCGGTATTGGCTGGTGTTGTTTGAGTAAAACTGTATTTTTTTTTTTAATTCTGTGTCTTCCGTTTTCGTTTACTTTTCGTAGAAGGTTCCAGGAATAAAGAAATATGTAACGGATGTTTCAAACCCGTTTGAATCAATTTTTGATGAACTGCTCGTGCTTCATATTGTTACTGAAACTAACCTTGGATCTTGGATCATATCTTTACTGCTGGCTTTAGCTACTAAAAGCTCTTACCATTATATTATCATTTTACCATAGGCCATAAAGTTAAAAATTTAAGAGGTGTATTTAAAAATACACCGCGCCCGAAGGCGAGATCAATAAATGAGAGAACTCATAAAATAAGTTTTGCTAAATTGCATATCATGGCATAGCATGGGTGATTATATACGTAAATGGTGGCGAGAAGCGAAATGAAAGTCTAAGCTTCTGCGTGAGTCAAGAACAAACACGTGATCAGCGTCCGGCATTTAGATTGGTCGAGAAGTCAGAGTTCGAAAAATGAAGTTTTTGTAGTTTTTGGCAATAAATAAAGTTCGAACATAGTAAAAGCAACATCTGATTGTGAATTTAGGAGTCCTATGTCTTTTGAAACACTTGAAAATCTTCTACACTTGCGATATAATCATTAAATGAATAGGAAACTGTAAAAGGCGAAAATGAGGTCATGTAGCTCACTAGGGCTAATGAGTGAGAGTAAGCACTTGGTGTTACCACGAGCTTTGATGTTACCACGAACTTTGATTTTAAAACACAATGAATATATAAACCAACACCTCGCAAAAAAAAAAAACTCAAGAACAAAATCGTGGTATTCAACCAGTTCGGAAGAAATATGTGTTTTTTTAGGCATACTGATTTCACAAGGTATAACACTGAAACCTGATATTATCCACTTTGCATAATGACCTTAGGATTAAACCTACAGACTCAGAAATTCTAAAATTCTCGCATAAATTTTTCCTCAAATCAAGGAAATCATTAACCCCTTAACTGCGCTGAAAACGTGCAAGATTCATTTCCCAGTGCCACGGTGAACTGGTACTGGTTCTGGTCTGGTCTAAAACTGGTACTGGTACTATACTGGTACTGGTCTAAAAATCAATTGATCGAAACTCTATTTTAGGGATGTTTCTTATTATAAAAACATCATTTTTATCATACTTATATCTTTTTATTATACTTTTACTCAAAACATTAAATTTTATGCATTCATTTTTTTTTTCTTTTATTCTTTATTTTGTGAAAGTAAAACTTGCACTTATTTTCCCCTTAATACATCGCATAACTACGCGCACCTGTGTCACTGGGAAATGAATCTTGTACGTTTTCCGCGGCAGTTAAGGGGTTAATGATTTCCTTGATTTGAGGAAAAATTGCGAGAATTTTAGAATTTCTGAGTCTGTAGGTTTAATCCTAAGGTCATTATGCAAAATGGAGTTTCTTACGAACCAGCGAGCATTGGCTATGATTCTCAAGGCTTTATTTTCTATTCTTTGAATTTTCAATCTGTTCTTACGAGCTGGAGAAGCATAGAGCAGTATAGGTCTTATGGGTTGTAAATATAAAATTCTTTTAATAGCGATGCTAAGAATTGAGTGTCTGCCTATTAATGCATAAACTCTTCCAATAGCTTGGTTTGCTTTCTTGCAGATATAATTGATGTGATTTTGAAAGGTTAATTATCTATCTATGTGAACACCCAGGTATTTGACTAAGGTATCACGTGCTATTTCAATATTATTAAGTTTGATATTTTCAAGAGGCTTTCTGGTGGGGTGTTTTGAAAATAAACAACAGTAGATTTTTCAGCCAAACTGGTGATCTCTAATGATGTTATGATCTTCTATCAAGGTATTGATTCTATTCATGATGAGACGTTCAAATTATTTTCCTAAAGCTGAGAGTAAGCTAATAGGTCGGTAATCTGAAGTTTCAGAACCGTTCTTCCCAGTCTTCTTCAGTACAACAATAACGGTGTGTTTCCAGTTGCGAGGGAAAAGGTTTAATCTTAAGCAGGCATTATAGATATTTGTGATTTGCACAATTCCTCTCCTGGGAAGCTCCATGAGTGCTTTATTAGTGATGGTGTCGAAACCTGCTGCTTTTTTAGGATTTAATTTAGTAATTAAAGATTTTATTTCATTAGGTGAAGTAGGATAGTTTCTTTTATCTTGTTGGGTGGAGAGAAAGTCGGTCACATGACTGCAGATGAGCGAATCATTTGGGTTGTAGAATTGATTGACGGTAAATTGCTTTTCATACGTATCGGCAAATTTATTTGCAATATCTAAAAGGTTTGTTAATTATTATATTGTTGTCTTTAATCGGACCAATTTCAGAATTATTTTTCTTTAAAGGCTTTTGAAATCTTCCATATGGAGTGGTCGATGTGCGACAGGTTACTAATAAAATCATGCCAGCTGGAATCTTTATAATCCGCCATTAATTTTTTGAGCTGCCTGGATGCTTGGTTCAGATGAAGTATGTCAATAGGATTTAGAGTGTTTTAACGCAGTCTTATCACAATAATGGAGCAGTAATATTACATAATGGCGCATCGAACTCGAACTGAGCAAAAAAATCCCTACTTGATTGAACATTGCTGTATGGAATTAAATTGCCAGTTAAAAGTGTTAAATTGTCTAGCAATATCAAAAAAGAAAAATAAAAAAATAATGTCATTTTGCCCTGCCTTTCTAGTGATTAAATTTAAAATCTCCTTCTGCATTATAACTACAACAGTTGAATCAACAGTTGAAAGTAAGAAGATATATCCATCTTCATATATTAACAACTGTTTCAAGGTTCTTAGGCTGATGTTTTTAGTATGTATCCGTTTTGAGTGTGTGGCATCTATCTTCGTGTTAGCATTTATTCTTCAGCTATTTCATCGGATAAATAAAATGACGTCCTTTTCAGTGGTTTAAAAAATGAGAATTATGCAACAGATTTTAAATTTTGCTTCTAAATTTATAGAAACATTCCTGAAATTGTACTGATTTCCAAAAGCAAAAAGTATTGTTTAAAAAATGACTCAGTATTTCCAATATGATTTTTAATTTACAAATTTTGAGACTTTATTTTGAAAATGATGTATGTTAAACATTTTTCATTATCATGAAGTAAATGATTTTTAATTAAGCACTCCTATGAAATTTAAGTCTCTAAAGTTGTTTGTATTAGATTTTTAAAATTCAGTACTATTTTTATGAAAATGATAAAAACTTTATAATACCAAAATTTAGTTTTTCCAATTTGTTTTGCATAATTAAATAATGGATTTAAAGATTTATAATTATTGTATATAGGAAAGGTTACTAAAATTACTGTAGTAATAATTAGAAATGAGATTATTGTTTAAAAATTTGAATTTTAAGAATTTTCAATTGTTTTAAGAATGACTTATATGTCAAAAATGAATGAGTTAATTTTGAAAAACTGGTACAGAAAAATGGATATAGAATTATGTTTTGAATATAATATAAAATATATGTAACGTTTAGAATTTTGAATGTATTTATGATGAGTATAAAAACACAAAAAATTTTAAAAAGAGAATAATTGCATGTGAAGATAAGAATATGATGAGGGAGTACTAATTCAAAACAGAGGTCCTGTTTTTAACCTCTGTTATTTGTTCTTTTACTCTCCTCACATTAGAAGATATAAACTTTAAAGGTATAACATTTATAATTTTTTCATATAATTATTATTTTTTTATATCTAATGCAGTGTGATTAATTTTTTATAAATGGAATGTCTAGTGCAGTTCAAAAAGGGCAGTTGCCTTTAAACAAGGAACCGAGGCCTTTATAAGCAACAGTCAAAGCAACACTTAACCACTCATGATGTATATGATTCAGTTTTAAGTGTTTTTACTTAATAGATGGAAATGTTTGTATTAGAGAAAGCTGTGGGTTCTTCTAATTTTGTGTAAAATAAAAAAAAAAAAAAATTGAAATGTAACACTTACAAAAAAAAAAAAAAAAAAAAAAAAAAAAAAAACATAATTTAGTAATACTAATTATAAAATTTATGATGTTAAAATATAAGTTATAACAATGAAACTTAGTTTATGTTTTGAACATTTTGAAAGTTGCTGTGATTATTCAAAATAAGTAATTGTGTGCAAAAGAACTCGCCGAATGATTTTGTAAAAGCAGAATACTTACTAAGAACAGTTATCTCGACTTCTGCTTCATCTTTTCCGGCACTGTTGACGGCTGTAACGGTATATTTTCCTGTATCAGCCCTCACTGTTTTTGTGAGAATAAACAGCGTATGATAGTCTTCGTTGTCGATTTTGATCTTCTCATTTGATGTGATAGGTTGTCCCTTAAAAGACCACGTGATCTTTGGCGGGGGCTCACCCTTCACATCTGCGTCCAACTTGACGACATTACCAGCTTTGATAACCAGATTGTTAAGATTTGTTCTGTCAATACGTGGAGCCACTAAGAGAGAAAAATTGAATTATTCATGAAAACAATCTGCTTAATAAAGTGATATTACAGCATTGCTTTTTTACTCAAAATAACAGAGTCTTCTAACGATGTAATCACATATTCAGCAAGATGCTGATATACCGTGTGAAGAAAAATATGTCCATGTGCAATATAATGATTAAAATATCTAAATTGTTTCCTCCAAGCTGATAATAGTGATCAGCCGAATTCTGAAATTTGGCATACGTTTACTATTTCATTCAAAATTTGTTGTTTGCCTACATTTGCTTTCATTAACATTAAAATAGGGTGATCATTATGTCTGAGATCTTTGGCATACACAGGGCAGAAATATTTTTCTTGACTATTATAAAAGCCGTTTAGAAACATATTAGTTTCGTTCGAAAATTTTTAGAAGGCTATGTTTATTCTGAACGACAATATCTAACAGTGCAGATAATACATTTGTGATTTCATTTACTCTTTTTGTAAATAAAAATGATATGGCGATACTTACATGATCTCGGCTTCGCTATGACCGATTTTGAAGCCTCACTAGGTTCGCTAGGTCCAGCCTTATTGAGTGCGATGACTCTGAATTCGTATTCTTCTCTTTCTTCCAGGTCGGGGACAGTGGTTGAGGTGGCAGGACCAATGGTTTCTTTGGCTTTATGCCATTTGTAAGTTCCTTTCTTCCTCTTTTCAACTGCATAACCCGTGATCGGAGCTCCACCATCAGATTCTGGAGGGCTCCATTTCAAATCAACATGGTCAGCATCCCAATCTGTTGCTTCGGGTCGGCCGGGTTTGCTAGGCTCATCTGAAAAAGAGATTTAGCATGCTGCAATTAAGCTTGGATGTTTTTATTTTCTGCTTTAATAATTAAAATTCAATGAAAAGGCCAAGAAAATGAATCATATTCTTTCCAAGAAATTTTATGAAATTATTTCAGGAAGATGGGCTTGGATATGACGCATTAAGTATGCAAACCACAGAACATTTAACGTGGGAAATAATATCGTCCCCCAAGATAAAGAGTAATAAGAATGTTGACGATACTAATTATAATATAATAAATATATTAAATTATTGAAATTTCTTCAAAGGAAGGAATTTGATACTCTATTGTCATCGGTAATTTTCTAAATGAGCAACTTACCGTACGGATTTTTAGCAAGTGTCGATTTCTCCGTCTGCAGTTCGTCAGAGTCCCCTTCTTTGTTGACTGCACGTACTCTGAACTTATAATTCTTTCCTGGAACTAGATTCTTGACATCGAACTTAGGTTCTGTAGAACGACCAGCAGGTACCCACATGCCCGTCTCAGTGTCCATTTTCTCGATTTCGTAGTATTCGATAGGAGATCCGCCATCATCATCCGGCTTCTTCCACTTTAGAGTGCACCCTTCTTTCGTCACATCCGAAACTTCTAAAGGACCATTCGGTCTCATTGGTTTTGCTAGAAATATATAAGTCGTGTTCATATAAACAAAATTTAAGATATCATCAAGTTAGATTCTTTTTTAAATACTAATCTTAAAAGGTTTTTAATCACATATGTTTTAAATTATAAACGAAGATAAAGTCATTCGCTTATCTCCATACAATACATGTATTAATTCAGAAGTCAAACAACAAAAATCAGCGTTATATTTACAAAATTTTCACAGGACTAGTTTCGATGGTTTTACCGAACCACCATCTTCAGCTGCAAAACCGCAAATGAACCAGATAGGAAATAATGATTAGATAAGATAAGAAAGTCTGGACAAGAATAAGCAAGTGGCGCCATCTGTTGGTGAAACCAGAACTAAAACATAATTTCTTTAAAGGCCGAAGGCAAATTTGGATTGGAATTAGGATCGTTAACTAGAACAGAAAGATTTTTGTGAATGTGAAATTCCTCTAGAAAATCCAGTTCTCCAATGGAAGATGTTTTTTGAATAATTTTGGCAGCAGAAAAAACTGAAAGTGTGGTTTTCGGACCAACAATGTTGAGCAATAGAAGACTTCAGTGTTTCCTTTTTTCTAACATATGGCTCATGTTCCTTGACGCGAAATTTTAAGGCTCTCTTAGTTTTGCCAATGTAAATTAAACCACATTTACCCAATGTAAATTAAACCACCATAATGTGGTAAATTAAACCACATGGCCAAACTAAGAGAGCCTTAAAATTTCGCGTCAAGGAACATGAGGCATATGTTAGAAAAAAGGAAACACAGAAGTCTTCTGTTGCTCAACATTGTTGGTCCGAAAACCACACTTTCAGTTTTTCTGCTGCCAAAATTATTCAAAAAACATCTTCCATTGGAGAACTGGATTTTCTAGAGGCATTTCGCATTCATAAAAATCTTTCTGTTCTAGTTAACGATTCTAATTCCAATCCATCTTTGCCTTCGGTCTTTAAAGAAATTATGTTTTAGTTCTGGTTTCACCAACAGATGGCGCCACTTGCTTATTCTTGTCCAGGCTTTCTTATCTTATCTAATCATTATTTCCTATCTGGTTCATTTGCGGTTTTGCAGCTGAAGATGGTGGTTCGGTAAAACCATCGAAACTAGTCCTGTGAAAATTTTGTAAATATAACGCTGATTTTTGTTGTTTGACTTCTGAATTAGTATTTATTCGGCGTGTTATTGGGTCTTAATACATGTATTGTTTGTAGTTAATGGATATTCTGAAATAGTAAGATTTTATTATATTTTTTATTAACCAGTTATTTTAGATTAAACTATTCTACCATCATTCCGTTCTTATGAATGGTGATCTCTCCAAAAAAACAAATACATTTGAAAAGTACTATTATCTAAAAATCACTTGGCAATATTTGAAATACCTTTTTAAACAGTCAATTTAATCTTTGATTTATGATACAGTCGGCGAATACTTTGGCAAGATAGCTCAAGGCAAGGTATAATAAACATTTTATGTGTTCTTTCACTAGACTGGCACATTGTTAGATGATCGCAACTCCCTGCTGTCTGACTAGCATTATTTAAAGAAAGCAGCGTAGTATAAAGTTAGTGATGAAGTTCGCAACCGTATGGGCTTTTATATCAACAATGGCTAATGCCCAGCATGCTTGCAGTATAACGAAAGTCTCTGCTTGAGAAGAAATTAGAATTTCAAAACAATTTAGCTTAGTAAGTTTAGATTTTGAAATAGCTTTCAGTGATTGAGTCCTAGATTGTAGTCTTGCTTAGAAAGTATTGAAATTTGTAGGCGAAGATTTGATCATTTCTATGCTATCTGTGATAACTCAGCTATTAGTTTTTAAGTAACAGTTAAGGAGGAAGAATAGAAGTTAACGTAATTAATATGTAGAAATAGCCCGACAACATTGTTACAAAACCACTTAAGAAAATGCTATTGAAGCCTAATCAAATTTTACCAAAAAATGCTTTAAGTATGCAGAAGCCTTTGATTTTATATCTTAAAGTAAGTGCTGGTAAAATTAAAATTTAAATAATGGGGTAAATCTTTAGCTGATGTTATCACTTTGCAATTTTTTAAGCTAAGTTGAAAGTGTATGCTGCTGAAATCCATTAAATAAAGAAATAAATTTACTCAAAATTTATCATCTAAGCAATATTAAAACAAAATTATACTGAAATAGTTTCAATTTAATCCAGTGGCAATTTGAATACACGGATTCTTCTTCAGTATTCATAATAAAAATAACATTCTATGATTTAACTCCATGATATAAACCATTTCAGTTTTAAGAGCTCAGGTTTATGTTTGTTTTCAGTGTATAAGGGTGTAATTGAAAAATACTGCACAATTATTAGGAATAACATATTTGTTTTTAAATAGTGGCCTTTGTTGCATTGATAAATAGGACATTGTCAATATCGAAATCATTCATTCCAAAGAAATTGTAATGCAAAAGACCTCTGTTTTTATACAGTTCCTAAGTGATCTTGCTGAGAATTCATTATGCTAGTGTACTGCCACATAGACAACATTAACTCCATCCTCAATTAGTGGAATACATTCTTTAGTGGCATATAAATCTGTATAGTCAATGGCCATAACAGCTTACAGGAATGCACTGTAATAATTCGGAAAATAAATTAAGACTTGGAGTGTGAATTAGCATTAGCCTAATTTCGCGGAGGTAATCTAAAGAAAATTAAAAAAAAAAAAAAAAGTGTTGAAAAAGATTTTACTTTGAGAGAAAACTGATATTAAAAAATGCAGATAATTTAGTAATTCATAGAGAAATACCTAAGACAGTTATTTCTACTTCCGCTTCGTCGCTGCCAGAAGGATTAGTAGCCGTAATGTAATATTTTCCAGTGTCCTTTCGAGTCGCTTTGGGAAGGCAGAATTTACTGTTATAGTCCACATTGTTTATGTTATAAACATCTCCATTGTCAATATGATGCTGTCCAAAGCGCCACTGGACTTTGGGAGGAGGTTCACCTATGATGTCGACATCAAAGCTCACCATTTGTCCGGCTTTAACAACTAAATTTTTCAAGTTGGTTCTATCAATGCGAGGTTTCACTGTGAAAACACACAGAAAACATATGTTACTTTAGAAATAGCTTGCATACAATGCACACAAGAACAAAATGTTGAAATAAAAAAATAAATGAAAAACAACAAAAGTCTTTAGGAACTTCCAAGAAGCATGTATTGCACTTAATAATATACAACATATTTTTCAGATTCAAAATGTAATGTTACTTTAGAAATAGCTTGCATACAATGCACACAAGAACAAAATGTTGAAATAAAAAAATAAATGAAAAACAACAAAAGTCTTTAGGAACTTCCAAGAAGCATGTATTGCACTTAATAATATACAACATATTTTCCAGATTCAAAATGTACTGAGTTTGAAAAAAAGGCAATTTAAATGGCTAGTAATTTTTTTTAAATCTTCAATACACCTAAAAAAACCTTTTTTACAAAAGTACTTTAATTTGTAAACGAAAGACTACCATTTATAGACAGCTTTTAACTTAGATGTCTGTTTTTCTTTTCCAGAAATGTTTGAAAACTTATCAGATATAATAAATTGATAGTTCTCAGTGTAATGGATTAATTTTTTTTTTATTTACTCAAATACTGTTGTTCCAGATATCCATTAAATTACATCTTCTTGCTCACCCCACAGTTCTACGCTTCGTGCAAGGTATGCAGAATTAATTTTAATAAAAAAATTATCAAGACTATAATTGAAACCTTAAAACTTACGGTTTTTAGGCTTTGACAGGTGAGGGGAAGTGGACTGGCTGGGTTCACCTGGTCCTGCCTTGTTTACGGCTCTTACACGGAATTCGTATTTGTCTCCTTCGTTAAGCCCAGTCACTTTAGCTTTCGGTATGTTGCCTTCTACTTCCTTGACAGGAAGCCAGTCCGGGCTGTATTTGTCTTTCTTCTCCACTATGTAACCAGTAATAGGAGCTCCTCCATCTCTTACAGGAGGATCCCACTTTAGATCTACAAAGTCTGAATCATAGTCTTTGATTTCTGGGAGACCCGGTGGTCCTGGTTCCTCTATAGAAAAGAATAATATTAGCACACAGTAAAGAAAAGGCCATAAATTTTGCATTAAGCAGAGTCATTCTTTATTAATATGGTACGCAAAATGAATTATCATTTATGGTTTAACTTGGCCATGGTATGAAAAATCTATGAAGTTCCGCAAGAAATGAAAACATAAGAGAGATTTTCGAAAATTCCAGATTCACCATAATTTGGTAATTAGCATTTTTCCAGGTACTAATTTTCTTTTTTTTCTTTCAAGAAATTGGCTCAGGAAAAGAGAAGTTAGAGTAGCACAATTTTAAGCCTTCATACTCGTTTCAAGTCAGGCAAACCATTTTATTTTCCTAATTCATTTTTATTACTTCTGTTTCTATATTAATGAATTTTAACTTTTTTGTTACTGCATATTTCATTTGTTATTAAAGCCATAATCACACTTATATTGTTACTATGAACACGATAATGCACAATGAATTTCACGTTAGAGAATATGTATATAATGTACATCAAATACACTTTAACAGTTCTACCTGGGTACGCAGCAAATGTTCAATTATCAGTTGGTTCGGTGCTGAAATCAATTATATAATTTAATTAGCCCATAATGCTGAAAAGAATTTGTGGAGACATATTATTGCAATATCGATTCTCTATCATATATGTTCCAGTTAATTTAGGATAGCGTAAACACACTGCCCTGAATGCAAGAATACACATCTCTTATCTTGTATCTTGTTTCTTCCTTCCTATCTATATCCTGTTAATACTCCTAAAATACTAGGTTCATTAAAAACGAAAATGGCTTACTGAACGTGATCTAGTATCGCCTAAAAGAACAGCAACTAAACTAAACTCAGTGGCGTAACAGCCCTAGCGGGCCAATGCCTGCAGTGCCCCGAAATCTGCTTTCTTGACCGTGGGCCCCGGGGTGTGTAAGCATATGCCCTAAGCAAGTGGTCAGCTTGTCGCAGGACCTCCAGTGTTTAGTCCTAAACCGAACTTGGTACTTATTTTATCGACCCAAGGGATGAAAGGTTGAGTCGACCTTGCTCAGCCCGGGGATCGAACCCCGGACCTCTGGTGCTGATGCGCGATGCGCTAAAAAGAACAGCAATAGCAGCAAATTATTTTCGTTTTGCATATAAATATTAATAAAACATATAATAAGTCTCACTTAAGTTTAATAAGCGTGACTTATATTTGTAACCTTAAGATTAAATTCGAGTATTAGTGCATATAAAGTAAAGATTTATATAGTAGCCTTACCATATGGATTTTTAGCGACAGTAGCTCGCTCTGTTTCCAATGGTTCAGATTCTCCTTCATCGTTGACTGCTTTGACTCGAAATTGGTACTTTTTGCCCGGATCCAGGCCTGTGATGGGTGCTTCTGTTTTATCCTTGTCGACACGTCCAGCAGGAATCCATCTACCTGTGGTCGGATCCATCCGTTCGAGGACGTAGCCTGTGATTGGTGTGCCCCCATCGTCTTTTGGTTTCTTCCAACTCAGCTTGCAACCTTCTGCGTGTACATCTGATACTTCCAGAGGACCTTCAGGCTTAGATGGTTTATCTGCAATGGTTGAAGACCAAAATTAATGTGAATCGCCCATTCGAAAAACGCCAGTTCGGTTTTAAGTATAAATGGTAAAACGCAGCTCAAATTTTCTTCAGTTTTTTTTTCCTTAACGAAGAATTAAATGTACATGTTTTGCTTAATTACTCAAATTCAAAAGAATATATTAAGAAATAGAATATATAACATGCATAGTTCCAAATAATTACTGCCTATATTAGGTAAGCACAAAATTTTAGTTTTTATCTTGTAAAATGAAATAAACGTTACTAAAAATTTCGGTGTTATGGAGCATATAATTAGCATAAAGTCAAAAACCGTTCTTTCGAGAAAAGAGCTTCTAAAGCTAATGATCGTGTCTGTGTTAAAGCAAAACCCAGTAATTGCTTTTAGTGAATTGTTTGTTTTTATGCATCTTTCAATTTTTACTCCATAGAATAAAATATCGAAAATCAAGCAAAAAACTGCAAGTGATAAGAGAAAAAAATTCGGAATCCTTCATTTCATTTTAGTATTAGGAATATGAAAGATAAACTGCATTAGTTAAGAGTATTTTATCTGCAACAACTGTCTTTAGTTCTATTTTACTACTTAAAACTATATGAAAAATAATCTATCGCCTTTAAAAATGAACACCAGAAAACTTTGCATTTCAGATATCGCTTCCCAGTCTCCTTACACTTTTACGATTTCTAAAATGCAGAGCTAAGTAATACGTAAAATGCATCGTTTTAATAAAAATATATTTCTGCCTACGAATATAAAATATCTTGAATGAGTAACTAAAAGGAAGCTTTCATATAAAAATATTCATTAGCTTCATTCTTGGAATTTACTATTGCTAATTTTAGACGCGTGGAATATTTAACCTCTAATTTTTCCTTGTCGTTTTATTTATTTTAAACATGGACCTGAAACTAATAGATATTGTAACAAAATACGCACCCAAGAATATGATTTCTACATCTTCTTCATCTTTTCCTGAGCTGTTTACTGCAGTTAGCTTATACTTTCCAGACTGCTTACGAACTCCATTCTTGATATTGAGGTGGGTCATGTATTCTTCATTATCCACTTTGATAGATTCTCCTATTTCTACGGGTTTGCCACCGAAACTCCAAGTGCATGTGGGAGGAGGTTCTCCAATAACTTCGACGTCCAGCTTTACACTTTGTCCCGCCCTAACTACGATTTGCTGTAGATTATCACGGACGATCTTGGGTGCCACTGAAATTTCAAATACATATAATATCAGAAAAATAGGGAAAAAAAATCAACATAATAAATGGTGATGGGAAGGTGTCTTTCTGATAAACTGTTTTCATATTGGTAAAAAAATTTAAAGGAAAGTGTTTCAAAATTAAACATAACTATTAGAAAATTATATCGTAATTTGTCTGAAGGAACATCTCCTTTAACAAATTATTGTATATTAGATAAGTAACTTATGAAAACCATTTACTATTGATCAAGTATAATTTAAAATTGATGAACAACAAAAAGCATAATTATAAACATGTTACTATTTCTAGGACTGGAATAAAGTGAACGAAAGAATTTAGGGGATATTAGAAATTAAATTTAAAATTTTATCTTACAAGAAGATTTTAGATGATGGAAATTGATTTTTATACTAACAATATCTGGGCTTGGCAGTATGGGACTTGGTTGGTTCGCTCGGCTCTCCAGGTCCAGCTTTGTTGACTGCTCTGACACGGAACTGATAATTGTTTCCATATTGTAGATTGGGTACTTTTGCCTCTGGCTTCGGGCTTTGTGTCGTAAGACAAGGTTCCCAACCGGGCCCATAGCGTTCTTTCTTTTCTACAATGTAACCAGTAATAGGCGCCCCGCCATCGTCTTTAGGAGGGGTCCATTTGAGATCCACGTGATTTTCATCCCAGTCCACGATCTCCGGGGTTCCAGGAGCGCCAGGTTCGTCTATAAAAAGAGAATCAATAATAATAACGATGCTTAAAACAAGCCTTAATATATTCAATTCTTAGATGCCAGTGTTCCGCATGTGCGCAAATTCCAAGTTTTTTAATATTTTTCACTTTAAAATTAAAAGCACAGTATCCTAGTTTTTGGAGACAGGCTGCAGAATGAATGTTAACTGTATGGCAGCCATCCAAATTTTTTTTCTAATAAGATTAGGATAATCTTGAAATTAAAAGTTTATAAAATGTAATTTGAAATAATTGATAATTTTTCATGGTCTCACACTTTTAACTACCGATTGTGTTTTGGTTATTAAATAAAGTTATAATGGTTTTGGAAAGCAGCAAAATTTATAGAAAAATGGAAAACCAGTTTTCTTGAAAATGTAATTTTTTATTTTTATTGTTCAGAAAGGCTCATTGCTGATGATCAACTCGGCCACAAATCTATAAATATAATTCATTGCTTAATCAAGAACATAATAAATATCAAATAAGTATATGAATGCGAATGGGATAACATACTATCCTTAAGCGTACTGTTTGGTAATGTCTCTCAGACGCTGTTGCGTATTGTACGCTTCACGCGGCAATTCCGACAGAACACCGCCGAGCGGTAAAGTCGCTGAACACTGGTAGTTCGGTCCGAGGTTCGAATTCCGCGAACGGGCTGGCTGCATGGGCGGTTTCGTGGTTTTCCCCATGTGTAAACGTGTATACGAGCCAGTTTCTCTCAGAAAGTCCTCCACGAAGGCATCCCTCCCCTTAGGCAGATAGCCCTAGTGTGCTTTCTCAAAATTAAATACACCACACCTAACAGAACACCCGAACTATCTAACAGAATACTATTCCTAAGTTTCGTGCGCACAAATGGATGAACAGCAATAGAGTTTTTCTTGCATGTTTATACTTATTTCCAAAATCAGCAATAGAATTACTTTTGGTAATGTATAACTGACCTAAATCTAGGACTGGAATAAAGTGAACGAAAGAAGTGTGCGGGCTGTCTGCATACGAAATATTCAAAAATTTAACAAAATCCTTAAATAAATAAAATAAATAAAGGTGTTTGAAAATATTCGTGCTCAGCTTTTTCTTTTTTTCTTTTCAAAAACTTGTTACTTCTATTTGAACTATTATTTGAAGCGCTGTATTACTGCAATTCACAAATTCTTTCAAATGATTTATTTTTATTTAGATTCCAATGCATCCTCAAAGGGATTTATTAGGAAGAATAATCTGCTCAACTTACCGTAAGGGTTCTTGGCCAGTGTTGGCCTGTCTGTAACTAACGGCTCTGATTCTCCTTCAGGATTGATAGCTTTCACCCGGAACTGGTATTCTTTACCAGGAGTTAAGCCAGTAACATCCATTTCAGTTTCCTTTCCATCAGTTCGACCCACTGGAACCCAGTTGCCAGTTGATGTATCCAATTTCTCCACTGCGTAACCAGCAATCGGTTTACCGCCGTCGTCCTCAGGTTTGGACCATTTCAGCTTGCAACCTTTAGCAGTAACGTCACTCACCTTCAAGGGACCCGTGGGTCTGCTGGGAGCGCCTAAACAAAATAATAAAGATTACTTCACAGATTTTTCTAGATTTGAACAGAAAGATTTTGTTCAGCTTATAGCTGAAATTAATCACTCAATCCGGGAAAAGTAATCTCTAGTTAAATACAAATATATCCACTTAAGGATCCAGAGGTAATTTGTTTCTAACTATAATGCGTTACAGTTAGAAACACCTATTTTCCTCAAAATTTCATCAGGACGTTGTGAATTATTATGTTAAATACTTCTAAAATACATTGGTTTCTAGATTTTTTTATTATTTTTTTATTATTTTATAAAAAAAAATTAATTTTTTAAGAAAAAGTTTAATTCTTGAATTTACTTGCTTGTTTCTCAAAAGACTTAATTAGTATTTTCTTTTTTGAACTTTAATTCTTAAATGTTAATACTTAAATGTAAATTTCTAAGGATACCACTTTATTGGAATTGCTTTTGGTTTTGACTTTTACCCTTGCCTTCATGAATGACGAAACACGAATTGAATGATTGGAGAGTTAGGTTTAGAGGCAACTTCCCCTTGATAAGTCTGTCTCCTGCCTACTCTGCGATCATTCACATATGCATTTTTTAAAAAAATTGTTTAATTTAATTTTAATTTATTAAATTAGTAGATTTATTTTCATGGATAGATTTTGCACTTGATTTGCTTATGCTTCTGAATTTAAATGATATTGTAGATTAGTTCGAGAATTAAATCTTTTAAATGTTTTGCATTTTTTAAATTATTTTAAATTATTTTGGCTTTTTTTTCCTTTTTTTAGAATTTAAATTTGCTTTTTTTACTTTTTTACTTTTATACATATTTGTTAAGAATTTAAATTTGTTTAAATTTAAATTTCATTCCTTGCAGCAATGGCGCAAAGAATATTTAATTAAATATGTATTTAAATTTAATTTTTTTTTTTAATTAAACTCAATTTATACTTATGAAACAATTTAATAAAAATAAGATATTTTTCCTATTCTTATTTTAAATTTACTTTTTTCCAAATGAATCGGAAAAGGCTTATTTTTGTATATGTTCTATAATGCTACTATATAATGTTATTTGAATGCTTTCGAAGTAAAATAAATTTCAAGATTCCGATCTTAGAGTTTTTTCCATTTTAAATGTAAAGAAAGATAAGAATATTATTACACAAAATGTCAGCAATATTCATTTCTAATAACAAAACAATTTTTTAAATTTTAGTTTTATTGTAATTATAGTTTTTGAACGCTTGAACGAATGTTCTATGGATATAATGGTGAATGAAACTACTCACATTTTAATCAAACACCAAAAAATATTTCTACATTTGAAATTGATTGCTTCGCTCAGAAGATGATAAAAATAGCCCTTAAAACGAATTTTCTATTATTAAACTCACCTAAAACGACAAACTCAACTTGGGCCTCATCCCTGCCTACTTCATTTTCAGCTATGATAACATAAAGCCCAGTGTCCTTCCGCTGAGCATCGTTGATAGTAATTTTGGTCTTGTAGTCTTCACTTACAACTTCAACGTTGTTCTCGGTCTTTACAATCTATAATTGACAAGAAAATAATATTTATTTTTGCATTTGTAAGCACAGCATATCTAATAGCAATGAAGTGTATTTATCGTAATCTGTGATAGATGAACATTTTCCTAAATATTTTGTTCTTTAAACATTTGAGATTGTGATTTCATTATCAGTATTATTGTATTAATGTCTGGATTTTTTTCTTCGGTTTTCCTCTCTAAACTACACAGTTGCTTACGGAAATCAAATCATCATCATCCAAGTGTCGATACTATTGAGATTTTGTAGGATATATTTACGTGTACGTGTGCTAGTGTGTTTTTATATATTATTTCTTAATTTCATATAATTTTTTGTTAATACTCGTAATACTACAACATAGACCTTTTTTTTCGAATGTACGTTAACGATTCATTTACTATTATATAGCCTCAATTTGAACATCAATTTTTCTAAAAATCAGACAATAACTTAACTGATTATAATTGTATGATTGTCAATTGAAAATTAGACTTTTTTTCGTTCATACCTTGAATTTTCATATAACTCATTCACATGTTTTGAATTTTCATATAATTCATTCACCTATTTTAAATTTTCATATAATTCATTCACCTATTTTGAATATTCATCATTAATTTCTACCTTTTTTTAGAGACAGGCTTATTTACAATCGTATTCTCTGTCAGAATAACCTTCAGTAACATAGCTTGAAAGCTATATTTTAATTTTATAGCAGCTATTTTAATTTTAAAAACCTTTCCTATCAATTCTTGTTCAAACTTACAACTCCCTACCAGCATGAGTTTTTAGAATCGCGTTGAATGCAAATGAGTTAGAAGTATATAAGGAAGGTTCAGCTTACTTCGCTAGAGAGTGCTACGAATCCTTAGTAGCGCATGTTTTTCCTTCGGGCTAAGTCTGCGTTAGGTACTTGTGTTTAGCTTCAACTAAGTCTCGTTTAGTTAGTTATAGTTTAGTTTCTTATTCCTTATTCTGGGTTAAAGCGCGAGTAGAGGCTTCCTGTAAGCCCCAGAAGGGGGCCGCCTGTCGTTCTTAATTGAGTAAAATAAAGGGTATTTTAACCCTTCTTGAGTCTATGTTTTAGTTGTTTGAACTCAGCAATAAGTTGCTACGCAGTTCAATAGGTTCCTCGACGTTCATCTTAGACAAAAAGTATGAGGAACTCTACAAACTCTTAAAACTTAACGTATATTCTTATGCAATACTAAATCATTCGAATCTAAGGTTGCCAAGTGACGGTGTTGACGGAAATTACACTTTTATAAAAAATCAGAAAAGTGCTAAATATAAGGTCGTGTGAATTTTCTTCAATAATAAATCTACTCATACAGCAGCCGAAGTGATAGGATACATAAATTCTCCAACAAACTGACTGACTTGAATCTTATGCTACTGGTACGTGTCAAACTTTAGAAATTTAATATACTTTAGAAATTTAATATATTTAATAAAAATAGAAATTTAATATAAATAAAATTACGGCCTCATTATATTATTTAATTTTTATTTTGTTATGAAATTAAGCACTATGATTTCTCTAACAGTGAATGCAACTAAGTTTAATTAAGCTTAACAAAATTTTCTTTGATAATAACTTGAGGATAAGTTCACCAAAACACGCACTGACTAGAATGCTGTGCTATCTGTAACGTGTATATAGATCTATAGAGATCATTATCAAATCTATTATCTATAGTGATCTATAGAGATCATTATCTAATCTATTATCTATAGTGATCTATAGAGATCATTATCTAATCTATTATCTATAGTGATCTATAGAGATCATTATCTAATCTATTATCTATAGTGATCTATAGAGATCATTATCTAATCTATTATCTATAGTGATCTATAGAGATCATTATCTAATCTATTATCTATAGTGATCTATAGAGATCATTATCTAATCTATTAACTATAGTGATCTACAGAGATCATTATCTAATCTATTATCTATAGTGATCTATAGAGTTATTATCTAATCTAGATCAATATCTATAGAGATCTATCTAATCTATTATCTATAGTGATCTATAGAGATCAATTTCTAATCTATTATCTATAGTGATCTATAGAGATCATTATCGACTCACTTTTTCTTTTAATTTCCAAGTTATTGTCGGCGGTGGCTCTCCTCTAACGTTCACCTCCAGTTTGATAACCTTGCCCCTCTTTACTGTTATGGTATCCAGATTGCTTCGATCGATGTAAGGCTTCACTGGAAAAATAAGTTATGAAGATTTCTTAGCAAAACAGTATAGAGTAGAAAGAATACAGTTTTAGTAATCTATTTTCTTCTCTGTAACGTAAACAAAGGATTACACTAAATGCGATTTAAAGGGATAATTTCCGCAGTTTTGAAAGTTATTCAATAACTGCACTCAAATTCGGTTAATCAAATTTTTTATTCAAGTGTTAATTTATTTTTTTGTACTTTTAATATTTGTACTTTTTAATAAGAATGGATACCACCTGATAACGTTCTTCCAGACATGACTATGTGCAATGATAAATAACTCTATCAATTTCTCTAATTTTTTTTTCTTCAAATGTTTTGACCATTGTGTTAAAATTTTAGATAGCCCTCTGCAAAATATCCGAACACTTTATTCAATAATTATCTGTGAGAACAAATTCCAAATTTTATATTATTTTTTTATCTTTTTGACATGGTGTGATCTTGAAGTTTCCTTTATTTGGAGCATGAACATAAGAGAATATTAAGGCTTATAATACAGTCAGGGTTTTCAAGTGAAAAACTTTGATATATTTAAAACGCACTTTAAAAAAGTATTAATTTCTCTGGAGTGTGTTCTAACCAATGAAAGATAAAACGTTTCACGGGGCAGAAAGCACTAAGATGAATATAAGATGAGTGCGCATCCAATTTTGATTAGATTTTTGAAAGAAAAAAAAATGACAGAAGAAACATACATCTCCTGTGCTTTACAAGGTGCATCTTGGTAGCATCACTCGGTTCGCTAGGTCCAGCTTTGTTCACGGCGATAACTCGGAACTGATATTCCTGACGCTCTTTCAAGTCCGCTACATCAGTCTGCGTCTTATCCCCAGGCACTTCTAGAGCCTTCTCCCAGTCCGGACTGGATTTCAGTTTCTTCTCAATGATATACTTAGTGATAGGTGCTCCACCATCTGATTTTGGCTTTTCCCACTTCAGATCAACTTTAATATTGTCGTAATCTACAATCTGAGGAGTACCAGGTTTGTCTGGCTCATCTAAAACGTTCCAAAAAGAGATTAGTTGTAAGAAAGAATCATATTAAGAACTGAAAAGTTCAAACTATTGAAAATATGTGATTTTTAGAAATTATAGCGTAGAATAATCAATAATTCATGCAAGTAGTACCTATATACTCTTTAACATTCAATTAGAACACATTACGTACAAAACGAATTTAATTACGTCAAATATTAAAATGAGTAGAATTTTTGAAGAAAATGAAAAGAATTCCGTTTAAATGAAAAAAAAAATTCATTCAAAGAACCAACCATAAGGATTCTTAGCTAGTATGGGCTCTAGAGTTTCCAGTGGCTCTGATTCTCCTTCATCATTGGTAGCCACTACCCTAAACAAATATTCCTTTCCTGGTGTTAGTCCGGTTACTTCAAACTCTGGCTCGTCCGTCTTTCCACAACGTGTCCAGCGTCCGCTTTCTTTGTCTAATTTCTCGATCTCATACTGTTTGATGGGGAGTCCACCATCGTCTTTTGGCTTGCTCCATTTCAGCTTGCATCCTTCTTTACGAACATCTGATACCTTCAAGGGACCTTCAGGTTTGGATGGTGCGCCTAGAAGGAAATTCATATGATAAAAATAGGAATAAAAATTAAAGCTGTATAAGTTAGCAAAATATTTAATGCTGTTAATAAGTTTCTAGGAATCAAATTTGTAACTTTCCAGCATTTAATATTTTCAATTTGCAAAACTTTATTGTCCATTTCCTTTTATCAGAATTATATTATAATCTTTTTTTTTTTTTTTTTTCTAAACTCCGGCACCTTTTTTTTTTCTCTCTAAATCCATACATATGTTTGATAGATAAGTAGTACGTCATCAAATATGCCTTTTATGAAACGTAAGGAACCAAAATTATGTTATAGAGATAGAAAGAATATGCGAATAATCTTACCTAATACGGTTACATCTACAGAGACACTGTCTTTTCCAGACGCATTCGTCGCTGTTATTATATATTTTCCAGAATGCTTTCTGGTCAGCTTGTTCAGGTAAATATCAGAATGGTAATCTCTGTTATCAATTTTGATATGATCGTTATTTGTAAGTTTGAGGTCATCGCCAAATGTCCAAACAACTTTAGGAGGAGGTTCACCTCGAATGTCGACTTCGAACTTGTGAGATCTACCAACTTTGAGGACTACATTGTTCAGGTTGGTTCGGTCGATGTAAGGTTTCACTGGAAAATATAAAAGATAACTTTCAAAATACGGATATGTAGTTCCATTTATTATTACATCATACTATTATTAATTTTAAAAAATTAAATTGGTATGGAAAAATTGCTTTACTAGCAACGGCCAATAATAACGGATATGCATAAAATTGTGACAAAAATTTAGCAACGATAATTAAATCTATGTGAAGAAAATTATTTAAAAATGATCAATTGAAAAGACCAATTTAAATGTTACAATTTAGTACTTATAAAAATGTTTCTGAACTTCTTATAATTAAAAAAAATGTAATATTACTTAAAAATAATTACGAATTTGTAACTTGGAACTTACTTAGACTTTTACGTAATTTTTTTACGTTCTTAGCTTTCTCAATTTACACTCATGTCCATAAATTAAGGATAATTCGGAGTCACGCGGAAATCGAACTCTAAAATAAATATATCACCTGTAAAATCACTACACACATCTTCAAGAATCATATGCAAATTTCAGGAAGTAACCAGATGACACTGATGGTACGTCACAATGACGAGAGTGTAAGAGAGTATATAAGGAATACAGGCAAAGAAGTAAAATTGTTCGCAGGCGCTTTATAAGCATTTCAGTGCAATAACCGAATAGTTATGACACAAAGGACGCATTTGGATGATTTTTTACGTGGTAGAATGATCGGCCGTCTGGAATATGGGCGTACCCAACTGGAAGTATCAGACGAACTTTGAATTGCCCAGAGTGTCATCTCCAGGCTTTGGCAACGATTCCAAGATGATGGTAATGTGAGTAGACGTTACAGCACAGGTCGCCCCAGAGTTACAACGCCGAACGAGGACCGGTATTTGGCAGTTACTGCCAAAAGAAACAGACGGAGCACAGCCTCAGACCTGCCTCTTCAGCCACTGGTACAGCAATTTTCGGCAGACCGTGTACAGACGCTTAGGGCAGATTGGTCTAGATGTTCGTAGACCTGTCAGATGCGTTCCACTTACTGCAATTCACTGTCACCCGCGGTTAGCCTGGAGTAGAGAGCATGCATTGTGGACACCGCAACAGTGGGCTTGTGTGATGTTTTCCGACGAGTCCAGGTTTAGCTTGCAGTCTGATTCTCGCCGGACTTTCATATGGAGAGCTCCAGGTACCCGTTACCACCAAGAAAACATCATTGAACGACACCGTTACGGTGGTGCAGGAGTGCTCGTTTGAAGTGGAATTATTCTGGGTTCCAGAACTGACCTGCATGTTCAAATTGGAGCCATGACATGCCAAATCTACCGGGACGTCATTCTGGAACAACATGTACGTTTGTTTCGGGACGCCATGGGTGCACAATTTGTGTTTATGGATGACAACGCCCGTCCTCACCGTGCAAACATCGTAAGCGAATGCCTTCAATCGGAGGATATCACCCGTATGGACTCGCCAGCATTCTCACTTGGACTTGAATCCAGTAGAGCACTTATGGGACATGCTTGGCCGACGAGTTGCAGCCCGTCAACCTCCTCCTACATGTCTACCGGAACTTCGGAGAGCATTGCTTTTTGAGTGGTGTAATATCCCCCAAGATCAGATCGATAATTTGATACTCAGCATGCCTAGGCGTTGTACGGACTGTATTGCATCGTCTGGGAGACATACAATGTATTAATAATCATACCAACCATGTAATATTGGTTTTTTGTAAATAGTTTTTTTTTTTTTTTTTTTTTTTTTTTTTTTTTTTTTTTTGTAATTTGTTCCAGGGAGAAAAAATCGCTAATTTTTTAATAATATCAAACATATAGCATCTTTTTTTGCTCTTTACTTTTTGTTTAATAAATACGATTTACAAATAAGTCAAATTTGTTTTGCTTCTAACTCTTCCTTTGCCTGATTTTGCATTATCCTTAATTTATGAACATGAGTGTAATTTGAAATATAACAATGTTAATAAGAGTATTCCCCTTTGATAATATATGTATTGTTTCATAAGAAACTAATTAGTAAATTAAAATTATATAGATATATATATATAATTTATCTTCTTCTCATTACCTTAACTTTGCAGCATATTGCGCAAAACGTTTTTAGACCAAATAGGTCTTTTTATATAGTAATTACTACCTAGCTTTTTAATTATATATATATATAAAGGATTCTGTATAAGCATATAATCAGCTAGTAACATTATTTGCATTAATTAAAAATAAAACAATTTCTAGTGTAATGATTATTTTGAATGATTATAAGATTATGATTCCAAAGTAATAAATCTCCAAAAGAATACTAAAAACGTATTTTTAGAGCTTGGAAATTTATAAGTTTCTTGTGTGAAATTTCTTTATCAAATTTAACAAAATGATCAATTCAAGGCACTAAAAAATCCCAAAAGAATATCTTTGAATGGCATGTAAGGGGATAAAATCAACCTCGAATTGCTAATTAATCGAATTATAATAACCGAACTCGAATTATTGATTTATTTATTAACAGATCCTTCAATTTAAATTGAAAACGATGTCAAAAACTGGCATTTTTGAAATTAAATATCCCTTTCATTTTTTGTCATACGAGAATTAAACCTTTTGCGTTTTATTATTTTTTTTAATGAGTATAAAATTTTCCCGAAAAGAGAAGGAAAATAGTTTTTATGTAACACTTATTTCTTTTATTTCAAAATACCAAACCCTGAAAATTTGCATCATTTAAAAGTATACGTCTACAATCAACGGTTGGAAAAATAAAGGTGGGAACACTTTTTTGGACGCGGTGTAAATAAGTTGCTCTAAATAATCCTTTACTAACCAATTAAAAAATATGTTAAAATAAGCTTTTCGCTTCCTTAAATACTTGATAATTTCATTAAATAAGCTCTAAAACGTACCTAGTGGAATTTTAATCAAATTTAAATAAAAGAGTGAAAATTTGAGAAATTGTTTCCATGTCACAAGCGCATACTCAAGTAAAAAAATTCGTTTGTGAAAACATCGATTTTCTACTCATGAAATGCTCCCCTACATTCATGACGTACGGTTCATACATAGAATTTGTCATATGTAAGTGACATACTAATGTAAGGAAAATTTAAGTAACTTTCACATATTAATATGTGCCTTGAAATAATTGTCAGAATTCAGAATCGGTCTATTTAGATAATTTTTGCACATAACAGTACAGTAGTCTAATTAAATTAAGAATTAGAAGTTAAATTGCAGCCTGTTTTTTAAGATTCGAGTCCCATACGAATATTGATATACCAGCTCAAAGCCATAGATTTTACATTAATAAGGAATTTAAAAGTAAATTTCAAGCTTTTGCGTATTGAAACAGCAAAAAATTTACCTTTTCTGAAAACTAATCAATAAAAATATTTTGACCCAAAATATTTTCTAAGTAGTGTGACTAGCCTGGTCCATAATGTAGGATTCTTTTTAATTTTATTTCCTATTTTAAGCCATACCTTTATAAAGTATTTCTCTCGCCTTCTTAGCTTGACTTTGTAGTGTAGTGGTCAGCACGCTGGGTGCGTATTCCAGAGGTCTGTGGTTCGATTCCCGGCGAAGGCGTTGCTCATTTTTCATCTTTCCTGCTTCCGAAATAACCTAGTGTTTCTACAGCTTAATAACAGAAGCAGAAATAATTACATAAGAACTATACGAATAGCAGTACATGTAGCAAAAGCCTATTTCTTAAATCTCCTATCAGATGGCAGTTTCAGATCTTCGGTTTGAAATATTTACTGGATATTAAATTATTTGCCAGAGACAACTGAATTATGCGTGATCAAAGTATAAAACTATGATTTGTACTAAAATTGCGTGTTAAAGTATGCCAGTCGAATATTTTTGTTCATGTAGATATGTTCGAAACTTAAACAGAATATTTTAAAGAGCGTGAATTAATTTAAATACGTACAATTCCTGTGTTTTACGATGTGCAACGGTGTTTCTGTGCTAGGCTCAGAAGGTCCTGCTTTGTTGATCGCTTTGACCCTAAACTGGACAGATGAGTTTTCTTGGAGATTACTGACTTTCCCTTGACATTTGCCACCGTCGGTTTTCAACACCTCTTTCCAGTCGTTGCTGAGTTTATCTTTCATTTCAATGACGTAATTGGTGATAGGTGCTCCACCGTCACTAGATGGTGGGGACCATTTCAGATCTACCATCGTATTATCATAATCTACGATCTCAGGTCTTCCAGGTTTACCAGGCTCGTCTGCAAAAGAAGACAGAAGAAAAATTTCATTGTAAAAAGAACTTCTCAGCTCTTAGTAGTTCGACAAAACACGAAAGAAGAGAGTTAATGTTATTATTTTTATTTCTTTCTAAATTTATTTTAAGAAACTGAGGCAAGGAGTATTTCAACATGTTTTGGTACTGAAAAGAAAATTTGAGAAATATCAAAGGGAATTTTTAAGAAATTAATAATAAAAACCACTTTATACTTTCATGAATTCTAAGATTCATATAAATGAAAATCACATGTATTATTAATATGCATAGTTTTAAACACTTTTTAATTCAACATTTTTCAAAGTGTGTTTCATTTAAAAAGAATGCATTAATTGTGACCCAATTTAGTTTAATAAACTAGTAATTATAGAAATAATTATAATTTGATAATAATATAATAATTATAATATAGAAATAAGCATAGAAATAATTATAAGAACTAAAACAATTAAATTACATAACGCATAGCTATTTTATAACACGATAAATTTTATTTTCATTTAAAGTTGGAGTTTCACAAGATAATAAAATTCTAAAGCTGAAGTACATAATGTACAAGCAAGAAATGTCTTTTGTTAATTAGGCTAGTTACTTTAACAGAATTTTTCAAGATTAATGTAATCTCATAGTATACGGAATAAACTGTTATAATTTTAATGATAAATACTTATTTTAGGTCGCCCTGACGGTGATAATTTTTTAAACTGCTAATTTACCAGGCCGCGTGGTTTGTATCATGTGTGTAACGTAAAATAGGAAAAATGAGAAGACTAGGCTATTTTCATCACTAAATACTTAAAATATTCTTACCATAAGGATTCTTTGCGAGGACAGGTTTGTCCGACATTAAGGGCTCAGATTCACCCTCCTTGTTTTTGGCCTTTACACGGAAGTTATATTTCTTTTTGGGAACAAGAGGTTCCACAGTGAATTTTCGTTCGTGGGGTCCCACTTCTCCGGCTGGTACCCATCTTCCAGTGTCTGCATCCATCTTCTCAATAATATAACCTTCGATCTCGCTACCACCCGAATCTTTAGGCGAGTCCCATTTGATGACCGCTTTCTCTGCCCGTACTTCCTCGATCTGCAGAGGTCCTGCTGGACGCGCAGGTTTGTCTGGAAAAAGAAAACACAGAAAATTAGCAAATTATATTTTGCTCCCTGTGTGTAAAATTGAATAGTTTCCAGTTTTAAAATATTGATGAGTATTATTGTTTCCTTTATTTAGACAGTTTGTTTTTGTTCTGACAAAGAAAAAAAAATCCAATGTAATATTCTTTTACTATTAAAACCTGCCGAGATAGAACTAAAAATGGTTCATAATACTTTAATATAGATCCTATCATGTTTCAGAAGTTTTGGTAATCTCACTTTCTGCACGAAAACGTTTGCTTTGAATACTTGCATACCATTTTTTACTCGACTGCCTCTGCTGAATTTCTTGCCAGCGACTACTTTTCTGATATACTGATTTATGTAGTATATGTTTCCTACTCCTGCCAATGGTTTCTCACTTTCAGCATATCAGAATTTAAAAGCTGTGGCCATTTTGACTCCTTGTTTCAAATCGCTATCAGGATGAGGAGGAAGAAGAGCTTAAGCGCTTGAAGTGAAAGGCTGAAGAACTAGAGGGCATGAGAGATCTCAACTAAAGATCATAATATATCTAGAAAACAGCTGTCTGTTTTGGGATTTTGAATTTTTCTTTACATTAGATTTCCCTTTTGATTCTCCTTTGAAACTGCTTGATTAATATCCTTACAATAACAATTTCCAGAAAAGACGTTGTGCCTCTTAATGTAACAGTTAAAATACCCAATATCCTATAACAATGGTTTGTGTTTTCGCTTCGTCTTTCCTACGCGACAGTTCGGTGCCAGTTATTCCAATAAACCTTAATATATGTAGTTAACTTTCATTTCTGATAATAGTGTGCTAGAAATATAACCCCTTAAATTGAGGAATTCGTCTTTTTGTTAAATCTTAGCAAAGTAATTTGTGTTATTCTGCAATGCACAGTTCTCTGTTTTACTTTCGAGTCTCAGAAACATTTAAGTATCATTACTATTTTTGTCAACAAATTAAAAGTGTATTTATCAGTACTTTTGCTAAAGTGGTTTACTTATCTATGCAATTTTTGTTACTTATCTATGCAATTTTCGTCCAGATTTGCGAGTGATTTATTAGAGGGCAAAGTTTAGCCTAATTCAATAAGGAGCCGTCTAGAATAACACAAATTAAAATAAATTAAAAATTTAACATGCATAATTGGCAGACGTATATAAATTTAGAAGTACGCATTTCGAACGTTTTCACTGTACCTTCTTCTTTGACTGCTACTAAGAAAAAGAAAATTTGATCATGTTTGTAATATTTCTAACTGCTTTTTCTACGCTTAGCTTAGTAGAAACCCAGTTGAACTATGTAGCGAACTTATCACTCAGTAAATAAAAAGTCAGAGAAGGTTTAATCTCACCTTTTATTATCTCAAACTAAGGACACAGATGGCTCCTTTCTCGGGCTTACAGAAAAGCCCCCACTTGGAATTTAACCCAAGATAAGAAAATAAGAAATTAATCTAATGCTAAACTAAACTGAACTTAGCCGAAGTTGCACGCAATTATCTAACGTAGTTGGCCCTTCATTAAATTAACCGTACTAAGCGTAGTTGGCTTTAGACAACGAAGTAACCTGACGGCAAACACGTGCCATTAAGGACTCCTAAGCTCTTTTGCGGAAGTAAGTGAAACTTTGCTTTAAATATTCTTTCTACCTCATTTGCATGTAACGCGATACTATAAGCATATTCTGGTAGGGAATAGTAGGTGGGAAACATGAACAGACAGAATTATGTTTAAAAATCAAAATAACTATTATAAATTAACATATACTCTACAATGTGAATAAACATTTTTATGATAAAAGAAATTTTGAGATTTTGAAATAATGTGGCAGCTTAATGACAAGAAGCGAAGTATCTAATCCCAATATCATCTCTTAAGGAAACTGTCATTGAGAAACAAATCAAGAGTCAAATTTGCTTAAGGCAGTAATAAGTAAATAAGGGCTCAATTCGGATCATTAATTAAAAAAGAACAGAAGAAAAGAATTTTACGAATAAAAAAAGCATTTAGAAAATCTAGTTCATAACATAAAAAAAAAAAAAAAAAAAAAAAAATCTGGATAACTTTATAGTAGCCAGGAAAATGTCTTCTACCAAAAACTTTTATACAAAGAAGGATTTACGAATTTCTGTTTTCCGAATATAAATTATGTGTCACTTAATGTGAAATTTCAGATAGATGGCGTTAGGCTGTTGTGCTTTTTAAAGTAGCGTTACTCCATTCAGGGTTGTGCCACTTTGCCCAGTCTCAAAATTTCTATTCACGTATTTTCTTTTACTAAATTCTTCTCTAACTTTTTTATAAGCATCCAACACAGAAATTAAATATAATCCTACAAAACGTACATTTCAGTGTGTGTATTTACAGTGGATGGACAAAAATATGGAAACACCTTGTGAAATGCATGTTTGAAAAGAAAGATTGATTTTAATGAAATATGTAGGTGGCGCTGGCGTTTTTGACTACTGCGCACCTATACAACTTCGTAATGTGCTAACAGTTCAGTTGTTGTCGGAGTACTGTTATGTGAGGTTGTCATTGCATGTCAGAGTTAACAGACTCGAACGTGGGCAAATTGGTTGGAGCACGTATGGTAGGTGCTTCCGTAAGCAAGGTAGCCGAGGTGTTTAGTGTTTCAAGAGTACTGTATCGAAGATTTTCCGCATATTTGAAAAGCCGGAAAAACATCATCTGCTAAATCACAGCGCGGACGAAAGTGTTCCGAGTGACCGTGACAGACGATCATTAAGAGCAATTGTAACTAAAAATAAGAAGACCACAGCTGCAAATTACTGCTGAAATGAATGTTGTGTTACCGAACCCTGAGTACCAAAACAATTAGAAGGGAGCTTCATAAACAGGGAATTGCTGGCCTGCTGCAATTGAGAAGCACCATCAGTGATGCTAATGCCCGTAAACAGGAAAAGGTGGTGTTTAAGTCATAAGCCTGGACTATAAGCAGTGGAAGCGAGTAATAGGTCCTGACAGTCTTCTTTCACATTGTTTCCCACTTCTGGCCGAGTTTACGTCTGGAAACGCCATCTCAAACCTAAATACAGACGCTTGTTGCCAGAGTGAAACATGGCGGGGGTTCTGTTATGGTTCGGCAGCCATATCGTGTTCTCTGCTAGCCCCATGATAACTGTGTCAGGACACATGACTGCCAAGATTTATGTGAACATTTTGGCCGATCAAGTTCATCCCATGGTACAAACTTTGTTCTCCGATGGTGATGGTGTCTTCCAAGACGACAAGCCCTGTTCACACAGCTCACATTGTCCAGGACTGGTTTTCTGAGCACGGGGATGAGTTGTCCCATTCCCCGCCACCACACAGTCACCAACCTGAATATTATCGAAATTTGTGGTCTACATGGAACGGAAATGCGTTCTCGTTATCCACCGCCAACACCGTTATCTGAACTTGCCACCGTTCTGCAGGAAGAATGGTATAATATTTCCTTGGCAAACATACAGGAACTGCATTTAGCCATTCCGAGAAGACTGCAAGCTGTTTTGGATGCCAACGGGTTTCCTACACCATATTAAGCAAAGAAACATGTTTTTTTAAAGGTGTTTCCATATTTTTGTCCAACCCCTGTGCATATCTTAACATACGTCAAAGTTATCATTGTTAATTCCTCTATTTTGATCTAATTAATTTCCTTCAACCTGTAATTTCTTCAACAGAACTAAGAATTAGCTAAAAATGAGAAAACTAACAGAATTAACTAAAAACGATAGATATTAAGGGTAGGTATTAGGAGTTTATTAATTCCTGAAAATCACCTAAGATGTATTTTATAGGGAATTCTTCACGTTGTCTTTGTAGAAATTCAACCGTGAGAACTTACTTGTTTTCTCGCACGTAACTGTAAGAATTTAGCGCGTACACAGACGTTATTGATAATAAATAGGTAGAAATATCTTAGGATGAGAAATATACGTACCCAATACTACTATATCAGCAGAAGCTGAACATGAACCAATGGTGTTGGTTAGGGTAAGAGTCACTTTGCCACAATCGGTTCTCTCGGCATCCTTGATGGTAAGGATGGTATTTCTTGCAGATTTATCAATTGATATCCTGGAAAAGAAGGAAAATGATAAATGAGTAGCTCAAATACCTACATTAAAATTATGAAGAATATTGCAGAATATTAGGTTAAAGGGAAGATGCTTTTTTATCTGATAGCGAAGAATGCTGTTTAAAATTTTTCTTTTCTCCTTTATGCCACATTTTATTTCTATTAAATTAATTTTTTTCATTTATTTTGTTATTTTATTTAATTTTTATGATGCTATATTTTAGTTTATTACTTACTGTCTATTTGCTTATTAGTTCGTTTAATTTCTGTCACATTTAAATTTTATACCTACTTATTCACCATTAATTTAATTTAATTTTTTAACATTTTTATTTATTTCTTTATATTTGATTTAATTTTAATAGAATGCTAATATAATGGAAATAATAATTCTAAAATTTTCCGGTCTCGTTATAAAAGCATTATAAAATAAAAGGAGAATAAAACTGGAATTTTATACTATGATTTGGGTAAGTATCTTAAAATTTTTACTCTGCATTACAAACTATTTCACTTCAATTTACCTTTTGCTTCCAGAAAGTTCAGTACCGTTGATATCCCATTTAATATCGGGCGGAGGTTCACCACCGATATTAATATCGTATTTGATGACCTGACCTTTCTTCACAACGATGTTCTTCAGGTCATCTCCAATGATGAAAGGTTTCACTAAAAGAAAAAGTAATTATTTAAGCATGATGTAGTCAAAATAATAGAATATTAATTCTAAATATTACTTTATGTTATACAGTGACCTACAAAGCTTCAAAACTGAACTATTTTGCCATAAAAGATACAAAAATTATTTGTAGAAAAGAACTTTATTATTGGTTTTACGTCTGCAGGGATTCCTTTCATAGCTACACATCTATATTCGTAAAAATTCAGTATGATTTCACAAAAGTCAGCTGTTGGAATGATGTTTCATTCTCTTATTGAATTTTTTGAAATGACGTCGGAATTGCGTTCTTTAATATAAAATTTCATTTAAAAAACATACCAAAATCTACTAAATTTCTCTGGTGATTAATAAAAATCATTTTTTCTTGAATCAAATTTTTCTTGACAATCAAGGGCTGATGATAATTGTATTGTCAGAAAGGAGCCAAAAACGTTTATTACGAGGAAGCAATAAATTCCTTCTGAATAATTCCTTCTTTGCAAAACACAGAGTCTAGTTCTTTTCTTTTTAAGCGAAAATTCTTTGTGAGATGCTTATTGTCAGTTTAAGAAACGAAAAAGTAACACGATGTTTTCTTATATAGCTTCCAAAATCTATATTCTATATTATAGTTGCATTTATAGCTTATTTATAGAAGAGAAGAAGAAGAGAGAAGGAGGGAGAGGAGAAAGAACAAGAAAGGTTTTTTTACGAAGGCTAATTTTTCGTTTACTTATGCAGATGATAGTCTGCCTGCTTCCGAATTAAATAACTAAAAAATCAACCTTTATCTCTAGCAACAGTTTGTGTTAAAAAATTAGGAATTACTACATGCCATCCCAATTAAATCTTTCTTGTTTTCAGCTTTTGAATTCACAACAATGAAGATGCTCAAATTTGAAACAAAAAATTCCGCTTAAACTAGTTTCCGATGTAGAGTTTCCCTTAGTTATTTAACCTATTATTTAAATTTTTGTTAACTTTCCTGAACTGTTCAACTTTCCCTCGCATTTCTTAGCCAGGATGTAAATTTAAACTTAAGTGAGGTGAGTATTTAAATAATAAATCTTGGAGTTTATTATGAGCGTGTTTTCGCTAGCCAAAGCACGTTTCGTTTCTGACCCTGCTGTTACGCTGACACGCCTTTTGGCCCATTTCAATAATTATCACGCCTGTTAGTTTGTCGAATGACCCTAGTTAGCTGTAACTTAAACGTGCTAATCCAGCATTATTCTTATTAGACTTGATATGATTTGTGTTACAAATTCTTAGCTTCCACGGCAAGTTGTCAGTGTTATTGTAAAGCACGAAGTACGTGCCTTTTCTGTTCACAGCTTAAAATAATAAAGGTTATGTTCACCCTTCTTCTGTGCTGGTATTATTTCACGCCTATACGAGAAGTCGCCAGGTTCATTAATAGGATCTAAATCAGTTTATGTGGCTAAAGAGAGTTAGATCCTGTACCGTAAGTGCATAATAGTTTAATGAAAAAATAGTTGACACAATTTAGTAATAATTACTATTAGTTATTACTTTATAGACCCAATGTTGTGACGTTTGTAATATAATACATTATTAACGCAGTATATTTTATAGTTGCATATGAAAAAGAAAACGTATCGGTAACCTACGAACTGTCTCTGGAAGGAATCACATGCAAATTTCTAACTTACGTTAGCTTCTTTCGTACGTAGCCAAATACAGATTTGAAACATATAAGCAGAAGTACGAGACGAATTGTATAAGACATCATGTTACACAAATAAAGGAAAAGCCAATCTTTCTTAAAGAACTACAAGAATGAAATCGAAAAAAATCTCTGAATCCGAAATCTTAGCCAAAGCACATTCTTCCATAGATATCATAAATTAAGTCTTAAAAAGCAAAACTAATAGCATGAATTATATAATAAATATGCATACTAAGAATTATTCATTGCAACAGGAGTGACTCCTAAGAAGTAAAATGTTTAAGTTCAAGGATTTTACTTTATTTCTACTCTCATAAAGAAGGAAGGAATGTTTATTTAAAACCTTTTGTTTATTTTCATGCAATTTCTATTTTATGTTTCTTTCCCATTGTGATCTTTTCACTTTGAATAGAGTTTTCATTGGCAATCTTTGGTTTGTCGCATATATTTCTGACACTTTTTATGTTAAGGATTCATTATTGAGATCTTGTTTAACTATACAGTAACCCTTCCCCAACATAATGCTCTATATACAAAAATTCTTAGTTGCGTGAGTGCTTAAAACCTGTAACATTCAAATTGAAATCTACCAACTAGAAATAAAGACTCGGTAAAAATTTCCTTCTTTTCTTCGACCCATATTTTTTGCATTAAAAATATATTCGCACAGTTATTTTGCAACAATTAGTGCTGGTTGTTTCTTTATACATAAAATAAGTTTTAAAAGCAAAACAGAATGAATAAATCTAAAAAACAAAAATCTGAAATTACTTTAGAAGAAAAATTAAAAATAATCTATATACATGAAGACCAGAAAAGTATATCTGTATGCATGAAGACCAGAAAATTATATCTATATGCATGAAGACCAGAAAATTATATTTACCAGAAAATTATATCATGCAAAGACCAGAAATATTTAACAGAAAATTATATCTATATGCATGAAGACCAGAAAATTATATTTACCAGAACAAATATTTAACACTGAGGAAACTAACTTTGCTTTAGAAGATGCTGCCAACATAAAAAAGATAAAAAAAAGGCCTGTGCCTGAATTCAAAGTCGCTTTCTTTTAAGAAGCGATTAAGAACTTACTGATGATGCCATTATTCAATTGGAGGCATTTTCAAATTTTGAAAAAAATACTACGGTAATGAACCGGCAACGTTAAAAAAGCATTAAAAGAAAAGGTCTAACCTAGGCCTAATAGGCATGGTTCTAGCAAATTTAGAATCGATAATCCCGAATAGTGAGTAGTTTGAGAATTCTAGCAGCTGCACTCATTTTAATACGTATACCTACAAAGACATCTACAGTGACAAAAGGGAAATGATCACACAGATATATTTGCGATATATTTGCCTAGATATATTTGCGACACGCAGCTTACAGTAGTGTCAGGATGACGTTTCAGACGACCCCGATTACTCTCAGCCTTCAACATCGACAAGAGTAGAAGTTACCAGAGAACAGTTTCTCGTTTTACAGTCATCCACCTACAGCGTTTACACTCCAACCGTAAAGCTAAAACTCCCACAATTTTTTTTCGAAAAATTCTAATTCAGTTTGTTTTTATATTCTATCATACATTTCCCATATTACTACAGTTTATATTTTTAGTACAAATTATGTATGAAGTTTCATTTATAAAACACTGTTCGGTAAATAATGTACATATAATGATAATAAATACTGCACCTGCTTGCGAAGTTACACTTAAAGAGTTTATAAATTCGACTTACGTACAATTCAAGTTATGTAAAGGCTTACGGTAAGCATTATTTACATAACTCGAGGAGGCGGGTTACTATAAATATCTTATATTAAAAGCAGCTATTTTAGGTTCTTAAATTATAAAAAATATCTGTAATATCTGTACAAAGAAATATTTCTGTATCGTCCCATGCAGCATAAATTTTATTTGAAATTTTAAAAATGATTAAGCATTAAGAGTCAGTTTAAATTAATATTTAACTGACTCTTAATGCTTAATATTTATTAATTAAATTAATTATTATTTAAATAAATAAAAATATTTTAAATTAATTTTAAACTGACTCTTAAATTAATATTTAAACTGACTATTTCTTTCGACTTTAATTCGCCTATATAATCCACACAAGTTAAAAAGCTTCAGTAATCAAAAACTTCGTAATTTGCATAGTGTCATCTGTTGATGGAATATATATTTAAACCATAAGCGCTTTACAAATAAAGACAACTTACCGAAACGTGCTTTCACGATAATTGGTTTTGTAGGATCACTGGGTTCACCAGGACCTGCTTTATTCACTGCTCTTATGCGGAATTCATACTGAACTCCCTCTTTCAAACCTTCCACCTTCCCCTTCAGTGCAGTCGGAGGCAGTTCCTGAAAGGAAAAAAGCAGTTATCTCTAAGTAAAACAGCTTTACCTTTATAATTTCATAAAAATGAACTTTGTGCCATAGAACGAATTGCGACTGCATCTCAATTGATACACAAGATTAATTACACCGTAATTTACATCAAGATATTTCTTTGTCTAGTTAGATCTTTGAGGATCTTACTTAGCATCGTTCTTTAGGTTTCACTGTTGGGATTGATGAACAAATACGAGTGCCCAAAAGATAATTTTGTGATAGACGATTATTTTCACCATGAATGACTATTTAATTCTCTAAACCTTGAAATCTGTGATTTTTGGATTCGTTGCTACTTAAAGTTACGTGTATACAAAGATTATTCGTCATCAATAATAATTTTACGTGACATTATCCAACAGTATGCAAATTAACACTAGATAAATGCTGTTTGCTATCATCAAGCTGTAACTGATCTTCAGACAAGGCTTTTAATGATAGCCGCCAAAACAACATTTGACATTTCCTTTTACGATTTAAAGCACTGCCTAGCAAATACATTTTTTATTAAAAAATTGCATAATAAATAAATCTGTTTCAAATATAAAAAATAACTTATGCAATATAAAAAATAACTCTTACACAGACTTTTTTAAATATTTACTTTAAAATAAATTTTTTATTTGTCTTGTATAGTAGATCTTCAATTTTTTTTTGGGGGGAGTTTGTTGTTGTTCCGTCTCTTGAAGAAGTGGTGTGGTGTATTTGATTATGGCAAAGCACACTAGGGCTATCTGCCTAAGGGGAGGGATGCCTTCGTGGAGGACTTTCTAAGGCAAACTGGCTCGTATACACACGTTACACATGGGGAAAGCCACGAAAACACCCATGCAGCCAGCCCGTTTGCGGGATTCGAACCTCGGACCGAACTACCAGTGTTCAGCGATTTTACCGCTCGGCCGCTGGTGGGCCCGTCTCTTGAAGAAGAGAAATCTATATCTGTCTTCGAAATCGATAGAAATTAATCTATACTTCAAATTAATGTTTCTTTTTTTTGCCTAATTTAAAATTTTACACTAGCCTGTTTCTTTTCCAATTTAAGAAAACACAGTTGTATTATTAAATGTTTAGCTTTTTAAAGCTTAAAGTATGTATTTCTTATAAATTCTAATTGAACGCACTAACTATTAAAATAAAACACGATGAAAACGAAACTCAGAGTTTCAAATGACTTTTACGTTTAATTTTTTTATTGCCTTAGTTACACTTACCGCTCCTTTAGACCATTCTTTTGAAAATTTATCTTTATATTCTATGACATATCCAGTAATAGGCGATCCTCCATCTTTTTCTGGCTTTGTCCATTGCAGCTCTACCATATCCAAATCCCAGTCTGTCACTTCTGCATTTCCAGGCTTAGATGGTTCATCTGTAATTAGAATTTCGTTATGATACAGCAGTTATAATAAATTTATAATAATGCCTTCCATTTACTACACGCGTAGTTTATGTTTAGGGGTTTAAAACTGAAAAAAGTATATTGATATTAATTGAAGTA